ACTATATAAGGTAAGATATAGTTTCTATTAGCTTCTAAGTTAATTATAACTTTAATTAGTTTTCCTCTAATCTTTATTTCGACTATAATTTATCTCTATTCTCTAGTAGTATAGAGCTTATAAGAGTCTAATAATATCTCGGTAACCTCTATATCTCGGAGTAGGTTAGTCTATATATAGTATTACGTTACCTATTCTTATAAATAATAGAGTATACTAAGGTATAGAGTATACGTATCTAGAATCGAGGCCTTCTATTAGGTAAACTCGTCGGTTTATTCTTTAATAAAGGAGACCTATTTCTAAATATATTTTCCTAGAGATCTACTAATAATCTCTTATATATCTTCTAGCTTAAGAATATTATTTAAGTAGAGTAACTACCTAATTAGTCTAAGTAGTTCGATAGTTATTTTCTAGGTATATTCTTATTAGAATACTACCCTTTTTATATCTATAAAAGATACTTTATAACGTATATTAATTATAGGTTTCTCTCTCTATATCTATTAGTTAGTAGTAAACTTCTAGCTATCCTTAGTTTTCTAGATATTTCCTTCTTCTATTATCCCCTAAAAGTACTAGTATTCTCTAGGTTTTAGGACTACTTTCTCGAGTTAGTAGGCCGAGAGGCTATCGGGTTCTAAGTCTATCTAGTATAAGGAGTCTTTAATCTAGTATTCCTTTTTTACTAGAGGTATTTCGGATCTTACCTAGACCGCCGAACTTAATTTAGTAGCCTCTTACTTACCCTAATTACCTTTTAGTAGAGTAGCTCTATCTATTACTACTAGTTATCTAGTAGGGCTAAACTATTTTTTCTAGCCTTTCTATAGCTTTCCTTTATAATAGAAGCTAGCTATATAATCTTCTTTTCTATACTTAAAGTAGAGTCTCTTCTCTCTTCGACGTATTCTCTCTTTATTAGAAAGTTTCTTTCTATTCTTTTCTAAAGCGCTAAGTTCCCTTCTAGTAATTGTATTAAGTTCTATTAGATTACTATAGTAGTTCTTTAATAGACGTATATAGTAAGAATAGACCTCTTTCTTTTTAATATAGCGCTTATATACTTAGTTATTAATCTTAATAGCGGCTTTACTTAGCTTATAAAGAGTCTTAAGAGAATCTATACACGATAATTTATTCTTTATAAATTCCTTTAATTCTTTATAGAATAATATTCTTAGGGCTTTATTACCTAGTCCTAACCTAGCTAAGGTTTACTAGAAGTTAATATTATAGCGGATAGCTAACCTAGTCTAGGTAAGCTTAAGTAAGGCTAGCTCCGACTTTTTCTTAATATCGATATCCTTAAAGGCCTTTCTTATACTAGCTATAAAGTCTTTTATTAATTTAAAATAATCTTTAACGAACTAGAAGTAAACTATAGATACTAAGCCCGTTTAGGTCTTATTTTCCTAGTAATCGCTAATATAAGGCTCGATCTAGTTATAGGCCCTTCTCTCGAAGTACGAGATTAGAAATAAAACCTTATCTATATTATTTCTAAACTTATCTCCGTAAAAACCTATATAGAGCTAAGCCTTTATAATAAACTACTCTAGGTTAGCTAGAGTTCTATTATACTTATCTAGCGGAGAGATTCGCAGGCCTTTCTTTACCTCGATTATAGTAGGGACTAGTAGTAGTAGAGGTACTAGGGTTTCTACGACACTTCCGGCTAGACTAGTAACGTTTAAAGCTATTATTAATAATCTAGTACTTACTAAGAATAAGTACTTAAAGTATAACGATTTAGTTCTACCCGGGGTAGACTAGAGTTATTATAAGGTTAGTATATTAAGAAGTAGGCGTAAGATTATTACTTATAGATTTAGAGATCTATTTATTATAATAAGAGTAAGTTAAATAGATAATATACTATTACTATAATAAGTTAAGTATAAAGCTCCTATCTAAGGAAATTATAATTATTATATAGAACTTTCTTTCCTTAAGTTTAATAGGTTTACTAGCGAACTTATCGAACTTCTATTATTACGTGACAGTACTCTAAACTAAGGCCTATCCGCTAATATAAATATTATTAACTTTAACTAAATTAACCTATTAGACGGCAGTCCCGGGAACTACTTAATTCCCGTAACCTCGCCTAATCCTAGGACCTTTAGTCCTAGAAGTATTACGACGCCGAGACCGACGCTACTCGTAATAAGTTCTAGGAATCGCTCGATTTCTATAACCTTATCTAATCTTAGGACTTTTAGTCTTAGGAGTATTACAACGCTAAGGCCGACGCTACTCGTAATACCTAGAACTACTATCTAGTAGTTTTATTTAGTTAATACTAGCTATATTTAGGTTAGCGGATAGGCCTCGGTTTAGGGTACTATTACGTAATAATAAAAGTTTAATAGGTTTACCTAGTAAACCTATTAAACTAAGTAAGAGTTTAATAAGTTTAACTAGAGAACTTATTATACTTAAGAGAAGGTAGTTCTATATAATAATTATAATTTTCTTAAATAGAAGCTTTATACTTAACTTACTATAGTAATAGTATATTATTTATTTAACTTACTCTTATTATAATAAATAGATCTCTAAATCTATAAGTAATACTTTATACTACTACTTACTATATACTAACCTTATAATACTTTAGTCTACTATTAGGTAGAGAACCGAATTATTATAATATAAGATATTTATAAATATTTAATAGATTAATAGTTATAAATAATATATTAGTAGTTATCTTATAGATTAATTAGTTTAGCTTTAAAGCTTATAAATAACTAAGATTATTATTTATATAAGAGAATAGTTCTTCTCTTAGTTTTAAAGTTCTTTAAGTAAAATATATACTTTATTATATATTATTAAGTTATATAGTCTTTATTATATAAAATTTTAATTTAATTTTCTTATAAAAATTTATAAACTATAGTCTTATTACTATACTATATAACTTACTAATTTAATTAAATAGTATAATTATAGAAGGTAAAATTTAGAATAAAGTGTAATAAAGACTAGATAACTTAATAATATATAAAAAGTATATATTTTACTTAAAGAACTTAAAACTATAGAGAGAATTTCTAACTATATATAAACTTTAGAATAAGTTATTAGTAAGCTTTAAAGCTAAAATATTAACCTATAGTATAATTACCGATATCTTAAGGGATTTAATTAACCTATAGTATAACTACTAATATCTTTAGATATCTAACTAGCCTATAGTATAAGTACTAATATCTATACTATATAAAGTAGCCTATTAGATTAAATAGCGCTATATATACCTATATGCTAGTTAAATTACTAAGGCTTACTATATTATTATTCTTATCTCTAATAAATAGAAATAATAGAAATACGTAGACTTATTTTAAACTATAGTACTACTAAGCCTTAACCTAATTAAGTATAGAAAGAGAATAATATAAGTATTTATTACTATATATTATATATAAAATTAATAATAATACTTTTAATACTAAGCTTACTTTTAATTAAGTAATATAATAATTTTAATACTAGACTTACTTTTACTTTAAACTTAAAAATAAATATAATTAATAGTAATATACTATTTTTAATAATAGATTTATAATTAGTAAGTTTAATTAGTTATTTTATTATTATTTAAAGTAAATAATAAAAATATAATACTATTTACCTTTAATAGTAAATTAGTTATATACTTTAAAAGAAGATAAGTATATAATTTAAAATTATAAGTAAATACTAAAATAATAATAATAAAATCTAGTTTTCTAAATATTATTAAAATACTATACTTATAGTATATTATACTATTATTTAAATAATTTTAGTAAAAACTATATATATTATAATAATTTATTTAGAATAGTATTAAACTATTACTTTTATAATTTAAAGAAAAGATTAAGATTTCTTTTATAATTTATAATAACTACTAACTTCTATAAACTTAAAATTTTATCTAGAAATATAGAAATTAGTTTTTATTTTTTATTAGACATCTATCTATATACCTTTACCTATCTGTCTCTATCTTTACTACATTCGGTCCCTAGCTCTATCGTGTCTAATTTCGAATTCTCTGTTATGCTTTTTAATCTCAGCTTCGTCCTTACGTGTCTTCTCCTGAGCCATTTCGTTCCGGATTTTGGAACTGCTCCCATCATCGCCAGAGTTCTTACCTCCGTTCTTCACCTCGCCACCCGTGGGGCTACTGCCGGTCTCTTTTGCCTCTTTGCTCCTCGACCCTCCAGATTGCGCCGAGGCGTCCTCGGGAGTCTGCTTCGAATTCCCTGCCTTGGTCGGGCCAGCACCGGTATTCTGTCCTACGGAAGGTGGCTCGGGGCCTGGGTGTTCGGCGTTCTGCTTCGCGTCGCTGGATCCAGGTTGTTCTTGTGGATTGGAGGCATCTGGGTTCCCGTCGGGGTCTCCATAGCCTTGAGCGGAAAGGGCTGGAGTTGATGAGATGGCGCGGATTGCTTCTGGCTGGCGAAGTGGTCCTCGACCGAAGCTCCTAAGAGCCATGCTGGGCTTGAAGACTGGTCTGAAGAGAGGCATGGTGGATTGGGTGTGCGCGTCGAGTCAACGAAAGATTTGTGAATTGATTTGATTGATTGATGGAGGGAGGGAGGGATGGATGTCAGGCAAAGTTCAAAAAGAAAGGAAGGAGCTCCATCTGTAATATGGGGTAGCAGATGTTGTGGGCTAAGGTTATGAGCTAAGTAGCTCCTCTGCCAAGCCGCCCATTGTGCATTACATCATGATCAGGATTTATGGGGATTGCAGGTGGTCAACGAGGAAGGCACAACAGGACTCTTCCATTCTTCCCCTCAGCCAGGCCTAGGCCTACAATAGTGCGATGCACACTTTCTTACGTCTATGTTTGCGATACCAAAGACCTCGGGACTCTATAGTCACGGCATCATTGCTACCAGGCAGTATTTCCTCCACGACATCATCATCATTTTCCGTTAACCTGGAACATTGCAACTCTACAGCCACAGGCAGTGTTTTCAACGCAACAATCAAACCATGAGTTGCGATTTCAAGGCGGTCGAAGCTTTCAATGAGCCCACGACGGCCAGGCAGATCACAGGCGAAATGGCATACGACATTGCGATGAATTTCGCAATCGCCATCTTCTCCTCCTCCTCCGTTCCACTAACATCAGCCAAAGCTGTAAGCTTTGTTGCGGGAGGGCCGGTAGGTAGGAGCATCAACACAAACCATAGCATTGGATCATGACCCAGCCACCTGGTGTTCGACGCGATCGTGTAGACAGTTCCAATGCTAACACTTTGTACAGAATTATTAGTTTGCGCCCCATCACAAATCATGTCAGAGGCTCATGGGTTATCACTCACATAGGCCACATGATGAATCTAATAAAAAAGATTGTCAGGGCAAAGCTCGGCCTCATCTGGCCGCTCGATTCGCCTTGCTTCATTTTCACGAGGCACGTGCTGAGTTTTGCACCAACAGCAACAAGCTCCAGAGCCGCAAAGAGATCACCAACGTCTTCGAGAGACGACGTCAACCATGCCTTGAATATCCCACCATGACTCGGGGAGTCGAAAAATGCCCGCTTAAGTATCGGGGTCAAGCCGAGTACGGCACCGATTGCAGCTCCAATGAGAGGTGCCGTGAGGAAGCTCTTTATGACCGAAAGACCATTTTGAAGCCAGAAGGGCAATCTAGAGTAATGCTTATGACATCTTTGGGAGATGCCATTGATAAGATTGTGACTATGGTGGGCGATCTCGTCAGGAAGTAATGTTGTCCTCTCGGTCTCAACATCTTCCTCTTCCTCCGCTGTTCGTCCCATCCAATTGCGCGGGTCTGTATGTTCATTGTCACAATCCTCAGTCTGGTCGTCGATCTCTTGTTCCACGTTCCTGTTGTCATCGTCATTGTCTTCTGGACTCTCCTCGTCGTCGAGAAGTTTCGGTCCAACCGCGAAGGTGAACGTATTGCTCACTATCGAGGCAAAGAGAAAGTACGACGTTGCTCGAGTGACTGCGTCTGAGCTTGTATCATCCACCCCAGTGGTCAGACTCTCAAGGATACCCGAAGTTTGGAGAGACTTGGTGAGAAGCAGCGGCAGGGCCGTGGTATTGTTGAAACATATTGCCGGTGTAGTCCAGGCAGGGAACTTAAATGCTCTTCGTAGGAAGTATCCCACTGTCATGGAGGAAAGGGTATACACAATGGCCCAGGCTACGAGTATTTAGTCTTTGCTCACTGCTCAATGTATCGCAACAGCTTTTACAGGCATACCTAGAACTGGAATTACACCTCCTACCGAATCGGACGATAACTCGGTGCCAACGTTTGTGATGAGCAACGCGGGGAGAAACACGCCAACACAGAGCTGATTGATGTCCCTTGATGACGATTCTCGCAAGAGACGAAATCGGGAAGCAACCACTCCGTAACTCATGGTTAGAAGAACAGAGAGAGAAGCCTGCAAAGCACCCAAGAAACACTGCAATACACTACTCGACATCTTTAGCTTTGGTTATAGATACTTGAGTGTGTGTGACTGGTGGCTGGTGGCTGGTATATCGGAATAAATATAGGTGGTATTTGAGGGATACAAGACAAACTGAGACGAATAATTTTGATGTGCAAATGTAGAAGTTTGTCATTATTATAATGCGCCCCGAACTAGATCGCTTCCACTTAATTGAATAAGATCCTACATCACGTTTACTGTCATGTTAAATACTTGTATCTATACGTGTCTGGTAATTGCTTTGGGGGAGTGCTTGGTCGTCTGGTTTTAGGACAACGTCGGTCATTCGGTCAGAGACAAAAGAGAACGCGTGACACAATACTTTTTGGCTTTTCTTTTACGAATATGACGATACGCGCCATTGTAACGCCCTCTTCAGCATGTTGTTATCGGATGTGAAAAATGCCAAGTCGCGAACAAACCAATGCTAGCAATATTCTGGAGCTAACAATAAATCAACAAAAGCTACTAATCCTGAGATTCGAAGCAATGAATGGAGTTGTTGTCACAGGCTTGTTTACAAATCTCGGGATGAGTGTACCAACATGGAGATGACTTATTTTGTGCCCCCCAAGCGGCTTCCTTCCTCGAACAATAATTGATGGAGGCTTGTTACCGTGTAGACTTGCTGTCATTAGGTTCAATAGTTTCATAACAGCACATGTATTTTGGCTTAATAAGTCCTCTAAATGTGTATGGGATGCGTGGTTGTATATTAGCTAATATACCCGCGAATCCTGCTCTTTTAGATAGCAGAATAGTTACCAACCATGAACGGTAACAAATACCAGCCGATTTGGGAGCAAAGAGCACAGCATGTTGTTTGAGTGCTTCTTGCCGCATGTTAAACGTGAATCAGCAGTCTTCACGAGCGGAGTCTAAGACAGTAAGCTCCAAGCTTTTTTGTTGCTATTACCAACATGAAAACAAAGAACGATAGCCCAGATAAAAGTTCAAGACATTTAGGCTTGCGTCTCGAATAGAACATCTTAGAGACATAACTAAAAGGTCTAGCTAATATTGTTTCTTGACTGATTGGGACACATGACTTAATGATAGAAGTCCATGCGCGGTTCTGGTTGAAACAATATTTTTCGGATTAAATTATAAAGGGGTCCGCTAAATCTCAATCATGATTTTAATAATTCTTAAACGTTACTTAACAAACTACAATATAGAATAAATACTTAGCCTAGAGATATTAAAAACCTAGAATAAGTAGCGATGTTTGTCTTCGTTACTTTAAAAGCATTCTAACGAGAGAGTTAGGACACTATGTCGATATTAGTAAGGTAAGAAAAGTAGTAAAGCTTACTACTTACTATAAGGTAATAAGATAAAAGACGTCTTACTTTTAATGAAAACGGTAACCTTTACGACATAGTAATAAAAACTAGATAACAAAAATAAAAAGAGGTAAGTATTCCCTGTTAAGGTAGTTCCGAGAGAGACAGAGTAGTAGAAAGTCATGTAACGATTAAGAATTATCAAAAAATGCGATTAGGATTTAGCAGAGCCCATTATAAATTTCAAACATTCTAGTTGCCTCACATGCCAAACGTGAAGAGGCGATTGTGCTACAGGTGAACGTATTCAAATTACATTATTGTCTTCAGAACGGCTACAGATGAGAAATGCTCGATGACTCGACAGCAATTTGAGTATGGTTTGCTCATTAACAAATGATGAAGCGAGTAAAATCAGGCCTTTCTAGATAATACCTCTCAGAAAATCCTTTGGCGAATTGAAGTAAGAATGTCGATACTACGATTGGAACGGGATCTTATAAACCAGAAAATTGCTGTTTAGACATACGTTGACATCGGGCGAATCACGTTCTCGTGGCCTAATCTCATGGTGAGTCCTGGAATAGTTCTTGGGGGTTGGGATTGCACAAAGGGTCCTAATATCATCAAACCAACACACATACTCCCGCTATCTCGAGATTGAGCTTCTTAGCATGTTTCCGTTTGCGTAGAAGCGGGCAGGTAATATAAGGTTATAATTCCCTCGGTGGACTGTAATTGATGCCGGATATCAAACTGTTGAATATCAAACTGTTGAATTGAATTGAATGTAGAGCACGGTAATCTCTAAGTTACTGATCCGGGGAACACGTTGTACTCCACTGCTTCGGGGGGAGTCCACATTTTGAATACACGTAAGTAAATTTCCTTCTGTTCGTAATTTTAAAAAACCCATAAGGATATTGCTGTTGTATTTGTGATGCGGTCTATTGCAAAGTAAGCACTTCTTCCGTGACGAATTATAAATGTCCCCAGCGACAACGTATTTCATTGCATAAGCTGATTGAAATTGTCCCACGTGGGGTCTGCTCTTGTTGTGCCTAATTAAGGGACTCAGAAAGATCTGACAAGAACCAGAAGTAGAAGGGAGTCCATCCAATCGGGCGGTGTAAATATCTCCAAACGTCGTTCCTGGCTGCGCTCGCTTAAAGCTACGTCAAATTACCTTCGTCGCTTCGAGAACACATCTGTCGCTTAGAGCCCCCTCAGAGCATTGTCTGTTGTGGCGATACAGCTCTGAGCAGACCAATACCAAGCAGCATTGTAGGTCGCTGGATTGGATAGCAACGAATGGCTTTTTCGGAGCCATGATCCCGGTTCCGCACATGCATAACGGCGATTTTATAACGAAATATAGCCTAATCTTAGACGATCAAGTCAGGGCAAGCGCTCGGGTTGCTACTTCATATGTCATATCCACAAATCCCTGTGCCAAAAAACAAGATCTGCCGAAAAGGGGGCCCCTGTATCGTTACAAGCGAGCCTCGCTTACAGACCCCTTGTTCTCCTGGTTTCCTGCAGTTGTTTCTCATCCTATCAAAGTTCTTACCATAATTACAACGTGAAATATGATGCAGATCGCCGTTGGGGTCGTGTCTGATGTTGTGGCTTTTCTCTGGAAGTAGAGATGTTCTTGCCACCAGGAATAAACTAGAAGCAGGCGAGGGGAGTTGGGAATCATCAAGGCTCGAAGCTCCGTGTTCTTGTTGTCTTCAGTTCTTTTAACCTGCAAGCCATTGATAGAGATTGAGATCATTGAAATAGCCCAAGAACTCTTGGTACAGTTATCTTTACCTCTGTTGGCACTCCATCTATACACTGTATTATTAGCGACGGTTTTCGGTGTGTCAAACGCATGAAACCTCTCAACCAAGCGCCCCTATGAGAGCGTCGATCAGTCTGTGGCTGGTTAATCCCAACACCAAAACTCTTGTTTTAAGACAAGTAAGGATGCTGTAAACGTCTTTCATTGTTAATGGAGCCTCTTTAGCTGTCACTTTTCCTTTGAGATCGAGCTCCGCCACGTCTCCCCGGCTTCCACACCCTAGGCATACTCATGACGATGATCTGCTCTCCCCTATTATGCTCGATCCTGGAATAGCTGAATCTAGCTGCATTGGCTCAAACTCATTGGCTAGCTAATTTGACCTATCCGTGCATTTCAAAAGCCCAATTGAAAATATCTGTTTAGGGCATAATTCCAAGAAATTTGTAGCAGGGAGTAAGAGGTACTTGCGTACAGGGCGTGTTGATCAATATCAAAAACCAAACGGCGAACAGCGGAACAACTGAAGCGAGAATGAAATCCGGATATATGAGAATAATGACCTTGAGAGATGACGAAAGGGGGAGTATTGAGCTGGAAACTTGTATCTAGTTCCTTGCTGTTATGTGCCTGTTATGAGCAAGGTACCAAGATCGACAAATTTGATTGCCTGTAACCAGAGAGCAACGGTGGTGATACCGACGTAATTAGAAGAAGTTGATACGAGTTGGTGAAGTCAAGGAGTAGTAAGAAAAGGTATAAAGCAAGCTCCGTTTCCCAGGAAAGCACATCATCACAACCATCAATCACATCTTCAACACATCTTCTACACATCTTCAATCTACGCCTTTCATAAATCAATCCAATCATATACTTGATCATCTCAAACCAACCGCCAACATGCAGTTCCAAATTCTAACTCTTGTTACTTTCCTCTCTACGGCCATTGCCTCCCCAGCAAACTCCGCGCTCGTACAAAACCGACAACTGGGGCTTTGCTCCTCAGCAGCAACAAACCCACTCTGTTGTGACGTCAACGTTCTCGGCGTTGCGGATTTAAACTGTCAAGTTCGTAAGTATTGCCCCTGAAACTAGAATCACAATCAAATATTGGGAGTTGCTCACAATCGCTAGCCCCAACTATCCCAACGAGTGTGCCAGACTTCAACGACATCTGTGCTAGTATTGGAAAAATCAACATGTGCTGCATTTTGCCAATTGTATGTTATTCTACTACTTAACACCCTCATTCGAATCAAGCTGACATAATTTCTCTTTAGCTTGGTCAGGCACTTCTCTGCACATCCCCAGACAGCAGCACTTAAATTGAGTACTCTGTTATTGTAAGATTTAGACAGTTATCTTTGAGCTTCTGTACAGCACTTGTCACTGTATGACACTATCACTTGATATCAGAGGAGGATAAAATGGTTGTCTAGAGGTGTCTCAAATTAGAGGGTCTCGGGCTGTACTTGTATCTTATTAGAGAAACGTCCGGTAACAATAAATAACGTTATTATCATTCGCTTAAAATGTTGATTATTTCATGACATTGACACTTTACTGGAAGGCATGTGCTACACTTCATTGGGTACAAGGTGCGGCAGATTCATCCAACAAGTAGATCACATAATACCCAGTGGATGAGTTTAATTGCAACAACCTTGAAGAATGATGAATGATATTTAGGTTATCTTGCGCAGCGAACCTGGCTAACTACTTGTATGTTTAACCAAATGTTCAGTAACTTCGAAGTAAAGTGCGGAGAAACAATTTATAGAATCCGAGAACTTATCAGGACTGGGCCATACCACCTAAACAGCTTATATGGAGGCAGGAGGAATAAGCTAGTAGTGATGCTGTAGAGACATAAATACCATAATGCCAGACACTAGACTATACACAACTATAAACAGTAACTAGTGCATGGGTTCTAAAGTCGGTGGATCCGCCTTGCCTCCAAGTCCTAGCGCTACAGGGCTGATCACACAGTATTATAGAATAAAGGCCTGTCAAACGAACAAAATCTCAGCAAGGAGGACTGTGCCTGCATTACTACCAACGTGGCTACCTAGCTGGGTTGGCTGCAATTTGTATCTGCCTAGTGGCAAGCGAGCGTTATTCTGTGTTGATATAAAACGTCGCAAAGAAATCCATTATGCCTAACGCGAGTAACCCTGGCATGTGAATAAATAAAGAGATCCCTCCAAATAAAGTCACCCCGATTTGATCGGCCAGAGAGTGGACTAACACGCTTTGTAGAATTCTGACGATAGTGTCGCATTCCTAATTGTTCGAGAAGCTGTTAGTGCTTAACTTATGCACACTCCCTAAACAGCCACAAAACCCCGAGATGTTTAGGTGTCCAATGGATTGGATGTTGATACATAAACTGCACCACTTTATGGCCTTTGCAGTCCAAAACTCCCCCAAAAGTATACTGTTGAAGTTTGAGTGCAACTACGCCATACCATAAACACAACGCACCGCTGGTCTCTTACAAAACACCGTTGTTGACGACTAGTCGAGTTTATGTGAAGAAATACTGGAGCCGAGCCAAGAAGCTGTTTGACACAAAGAGACCCAAAGTAATACAATATAGTATATGATGGGAGCATGCCTAGCAGGACGTAGTGTGTCGAGATATGTGTGATAAACTAAGGGAACACAGTAGAGAGGGTATCATTACGGACAACCAAGATAATCACAACATCTCTAGGAGGAGAGCAGCTCCCTTGTTGCCAACCACCTTCACCTTTATAAATTTAGCTTTCTTTGCCGCAGCCTTCCCATCAGTCTCCTTTTCTGCAGCTTCCCTCCTCAGTCTCTGATCTGTGGTTTCCTCTGTGGCAGCAGCCTGTAACATTTTCTCTTTTGCTTTGAGGCTTTCTTTTACTTCAGAAGCTTGTGTAAAACTATCGGATTCAAGAAGAGCCAGCGGAACGAATGAGCTTGACCCTGTAGCCCACTCAACAATATGATCCTTGATTTGTGGGTAAAGTATATCTGCGAAGTCAAGCGCTGGATCGGTAGCTACGATGGTTTTGGTCTTCGCATCAAATCGACCACCAGCGACAAGAGCTTTAAGCATCTTGCCGCCAAAGGGTGTGTTGGCAACATGTAGGACTGGAGAATCTCCCTCTGCAGCATCGTTGGCCAGAGTAGCGGATGTAATGGAAGGATCCCCACTGGCGGTTCGTGCAATTGCTTCTAGTGCGCCGCTCTTATCACCGTCCGCCCCAAAAAGGACTTCGGTAACAAACTGACACCCGAACGTCGTCAAAACCAAATCCGATGCTGCAGTTTCAATAGACCTGAGCAGATACGGCGACAGAGCCTTCGCAAGTTCCGTCCGTCTAATCTCCGGGTCCTTTTTGCTAGTTGTTGCTCGAGCAACATCGATTTCTGCCAAGATCTCCAGATCCGAGGCGTGGCTCGAAGGAAACAAGGATTTTGTTCTCCCCTGGAAGAGGTAAAGCAACGTGATGCGGGCATTTGGATCATTTGCGAAAGCAAGTGTGTTCTCTACCTGCTTTGCAGCGTCCTTAGACAGTAACTCTGGAAATATTGATTTTGCAGTCAAAACCGTATCGTCAATGACTTCGTATGCGGCAAGTATAATAACATGCCCATTTGGATCGCCAGCCATGGTGTGCATGGTATCTTTATAGGTCTTTAAGATCTGCTTTCGGTCTTTCGCAACACCGTAAGCTAACGCGAGACAGACCACCCTGGAACCAGATCTTGTAAAAGCCAAGTTCTTGAGCAAGTCACCCTCTTCGTCGCCCTTGATGAGTTCTATGAAGTCTGTCACTTCCTCAGTTCCAGGCTTGGCGTTGAGGAAGTATTGAAGCATTGCATCGTGTAGAAGTGTGAATGCAGTGAACTTCTTTTGGATTAAATGATTGACCAATTCTAGCAGTGACTTCATGATAGGACCACGTTTTCCTGGTTCAGCTATCAGAACAGCCGAGAGATCTGTGGGAACTTTCTCGTCTTTGGCGTTTTCAAAAAGAGCAAACTCCGCACCATACCATTCTCGGAGAATGATAGCCTTTTGCTGCCTGGTTGCAACCCCACGGTAAATATCGTCGAGGATCCAGGATGCCTCTGGATGCTTGATAAGCCGTCGTACGTGACCATAAAACTCTGGGACGATCAAATCTCTGATCTCATCGTCACCCTGGACCAACAATTTTCCGATCAGGAATTTCGCGTATTTGCTTTCTGCAAGCTGACGATATGTGCCCGCTAGCTCCTTCGCAATCATCTTCTTCTGCTCAGGATTGGCATATTTGATAGCGGTCTGAACGACCCTGACACTGTCATGCTTCAGTACGAACTCCTTGATTCTCCCCGTAATAATGTCGAAGAGCTCCGCGACCAACGTCTTCCTTTCATCTTTCGGAACATGGGATTTTCTACGCAACCGCTCCCAAATCTTCTTGGTCCTCGCCAGATCATCTGCCATAGGCTTCGCAGCTTTCCTCTCCTTCACGAGTTGTTTTTGCTTGGCGTGAGCTTCCTTCGAGGATTGATCTGCCTACATTAACGAGTGCGTAATGCATGGGTTCTGAACAAACCTACTGCTTGTAATGACTACCTTCAATCTATCAGGATGCAGACCATCCGCTTCCGTAACAGCGTCTTCTGATTCAGAATCAAGAGCTACACCGCCATCCGAGTCCGAGATGTCAGAATCCTCGCTTGAGCTGGGCGCCGTAGATTTATTGGGCTTTTTCAATGCTGTCGAACGATCGCTATTTGATGTCGATTCGGTAGTGTTTGTATCGATCGCGCTTCTAGTGGTCCTGGCTTTCTTGCTATTTCTGGCACTCGTATTCTTTTCTCTCACAGGATACTCTTTCCTTTTCGACGTATTCCCTTTTGCGACCGCCATAGCGTCCGTTTTGCTCTTCGTCGTCGTCGTCGCAGAAGGCATCGTGTGTTGTTCTGTGGTCCTTCGAAAACAACCGTTCGAACTTTTTTGGTCCGATTATTGTCGCCTGCATTTTCTTATCTCCCAAAAATTTGATCGGCGCTAGACAAGGGGCCGACAATACCCCACCGTTAATACCACTCGAAGTTCCTGGAGTCGCAAAGTACTTATTCTGCATCATGGGGAGAGAGGAACAAGCTGAGGAACGAGAAGTTCTGGATAGCATCTTCCCTGACGAGATTCAAGGTGAGTGCAGCCGGCGTGGTGTATAATCGTCACTGTTTCGTGTCACACTACCCCGCCAAAGTTCCAAACTCATACCTTTCCAGATATCTCGGAACATGAATTTCGTATATCAGTGTTGCTGGATATCACGAGCGACGACGGGGATGACGCGGAGCCGCCAACAATCCTCCTTCAAGTAAAGTACCCAGATGCCTATCCAGACGAGCCTCCTGTGCTTGATATTCTCGCCCCCCCAAACGCACCCACGCATTCATTCTTTAGTGTAAATGGAGACCGACAACTGTTACTCGAATCGCTCACAGAGGCAGTCCAAGAAAACATCGGCATGCAAATGATATTTACGCTGCATAGCACCTTGAAAGAGAATGCCGAACAAATCATTGGAGAGCGTCAGGAAGCTGCGAGGAATGTTCAAGAACAGAAACTTCTCGCTATTGAGGCTGAGGAGAACAAGAAATTCCATGGAACACCGGTGACAGTTGAAACATTCGGCCCGTGGAGGGATCAATTCATGCGGGAGATGGAGGAAGAGAAAATGAAGGCCGAGGAGGATGAAGCTGCCGCGGAAAAGAAGCGAAATAGGGGAAAGGAAGCAGTAGTATTGTTGACTGGACGGCAATTGTGGGAGAGAGGCTTAGCTGGAAAGGTCGAGGAAGAAGAAGACGATGATGAAGACGAGAGAAAGGCAGTGATGGAGGGAGTCGAAAAGATGAAGGTATGAAGTGTGCATAGACATGTGGCTGATTTGAGAACATTGGAGTTGCATTAATGGCGTTGGAATACCAAAATGTATCAGTGATCGGGGGGCTCGACAGTTGATGTAAATTCTAGATTTTTGGGACAGGGGGAGAGAGACAGCAGCGACGATACCCCGCATATAACGTCTGGTACCTGAGTCTCAGCATACATTGTCAAGTGTTTCCTCTTATCCGTATTACGGAACTAGTTTGGCCTAAACAACCTGAAGGATATCACGTATTTTTAACTAAGACCCGGCCATTTCTTCATCAGCATTTTCGTCTTCATCGTCCTCCCATTCATCCCCATCCTCATCTTCGCCACCCCCTACCGCACCACCGAGTGCAGCTTCTAGTGTTGCAAGAAGCTCCCTGGCATGTTCACCGAGCCTCTCGTCCTCGTAGTCTTGCTGGTCAAACAAACGGAGACTGTGTGACAGCCACTGCCGACTTGATACCCAGGAGACTCTCCAATTGTCTCCATCACTAGTCTCGGCCGTCAATTCACCATTCCTCTGCTTTTCTCCCAATATGTAGAGGCCCCAACCCCCAAGATACCATACCTCGACACTACTGTCATCTTCACCCACCAGTCGCTCCAAAACCTCGATAGCTTCAACATCCATATCCGACTCCATCAGCAGCCTTGCTAGACTGACTCTTGTGGGAAAATCGGGGATTTGCGAATTTTCGGGAGGCAGATGTTTCCACAAATCTAGACTCCTCCTCAATGCCGCCTGCGCATCTTGAAGCCTTGATTGCGATATCCTAACATTCGCCAAAGTTTGCCATGGCTCGGGAAACTCAGGAGCCACCAAAGTAGCTTCCGTCACTAACGATTCGCACTTCTGTTCCGCGTCTTCTTCCCAAGACAAGTCTGTCATATATACTTCAACAACTCCGCACAATGCTACCGCTAGCTTCTTCTTCTTTTCCTCTAGCAATAGCTCGCCAACTTCATTTAACTTTTTTCGCTCCTGCAAGGCTTGTATTTGTGTTCGTAAAGCCGAAGCGCCTTTTTCGTACCATCTCAAACTGTCAGTTCCACCCTCCTCACTCAATTGTGCCAGCCACAGAAATTTCTCTGCGCCACCTCCCAGCTCCTCATCAACAGTGCCGTCGGTGTCAATGGCTACCGCTTGCAGAAAATACTGCCTGGCCGCTTCGATTTCACCCAGTTCGATGTGGATTTCGCCTAGAAGGTTGAACGCTGGAAGTGACTGGGCAGACTGAGTATCGAGGAGACCCAAAGCTCGTTTCGCTAAAAGTACCGACTGTTCAATGTCACCCTGCTGGAGACTAGCTGTGGCTTGACCAAGGAGGACTTCGGGTTTTTCTGTTGGAGTACGAGTAGACTGTTTTGAGTGGCTGCCAGCAGCACGATTCAGAGCCGACTTTGCATGGCGCTGTGTTTTCTTGTCATTAGGTTTCGTTTTCGCCATGTTTGCGATGCAGTCTCTTCACCGGTGAATCGTAAAAACAGGAGTTGAGAGGTTGCGCCTGGCTCCAAAAACTGTCTGTTTAATTTTCTGAGATTTCGCGACCACGATTAGAGACAAAACGCTAGCCGTGCCGATAAGCCCCACTTGCCGGCATGGCGATTTTGGAGTATTGTGGTCATAGCTTTCTCTCCATGCCTCTCGCACGCGCTCGCGGCTGCCATTATTCTGTCTAGGGAACGACAATCTCCCCGATTGTTTTGTAGTAAGAACTTTGCAACATGGAACTTGAGACTGTGGGGGTTCAAGGTATCATTGTATGTACATTATAATTAGTTTATATGACTTCAGAAACTCATCTGCTGTACCGAAAGAAGATTGGGCGATTTGAATAGGGCGAACATATAGCGCGTCAGGTAATCCAAAGGGAGGATGGGGGGGAGATGTGTTGAGAATCTCAAGTCGCCTCTTGCTCGGGTATTTCCTTATCTTTTGAAGAAGTTGACGTCCCAGGTCGTTGCATATTTCCTAATTCTTCCCCCGTTCCACTTTGCCCCCTCTTCCTTCCGGGAAGATGAAATCTCGATGTAGTGGGCGACAAAGAGTTGTTATCCGAGTCAGCAAATTTTGAAAAGAACCCCTTTTTCTTTGCGTGCTTGGCTTGATCGTCGTTGAGCCCAACATCCTCAAAGCCTTCTTCTGCGGTTGGAGGTTGCCTCTCAAATCTGCGCTCGTTCATGGCGGACCGAGGCAACCTTGGTATCCTCGCCGAGTCGAGACTTTGTCTTCCATTGTCATATGTAGCAACTGGGGATCTAGCCGATATGTCCTACGCATGTGTTAGATGGAAGCACCGGATAGTTTGCGGCACGCACAAAAGATCTTCTGTAGGAATCAAATGATTCTCTTGATATCGGGAAATGCTCGATCTCAGTCTCGCTTTCATTCGACCCCGCCATAGGATTAGGACGCCGTGGCCAGAAACCTTTCTTTTCCGGAGGCGACGGCTGCAGCACAATTAGTTGTGCCCAACATCTTGCTAGGGGCAACTTTCTGGAAGATACACTCCGCTATCATTCACAACTATTATAACAATATCAGCAAGAAGATAGGGCGGATGGGGAAAGTGCGGGGACGTACCGCTCATCTTGTATTCTACGGGCTCCTGGCTCTTCTTTGAGCTGATGCTCATCGCGGAAGACGACTTCGATCCGGTCGTGTCGACCTTTTCAAAGCCCGGTCGTGTGCCATTCTGCGACAGAGGTCGAACATTTTCTTCCGGCAGGTGTAGACCAGTGTGTATCTCTTTACGATCTCTAAACGGGTTCCAGGTCGGCATTGTGAGGAAGGGATTGGTGCTTTAGCTTGCGCCGCACAAGGACCACAGTACAAAGGCTTTACCGATGGTTGTTGCTGAGTGCTTGACAACGCCCAGTCGAGTGGTTGATAGTGAACTTTTAAAGTTGTAACAATCACCAATTGTCATGTCGTTTAGTCGTCCAGTTCTTCCGCCTCGGCATGGTCGCTTGGGAAAGCCGGGTAGAAACTAACGGGATCACCACTGCTGTACCTCACTCTCACATTCTGTAGACCACTTAGTCCACTCGCCCTACCAATGGATTTCGCTGTGCCGGACGGGCGTGGAAGCTAGACATGTGTAAAGAAAGGTAAAGCTGCAATCTGCTTTGATGCATGAAGACTATTGTTGAGGCCTTCGTTATGGGAGTTGTGGGAATTGGTTCGGGGGGTCGGGGCGAGTGAACCCCTCAGGTGCGCAAGAGCCAAGCCGAGACATATTTCGTACTACTGTACCTCTACCTAGGTGTTCTACTGTATCTACCCTTCCCAGGTATCTTACTCTCGGATTTGTTAGTCGATACGCGTTGAAACAGTAACAACTGCATTTCTGGCAGGTACCTTTCTTCCCCACTTCGGCAGCATGAGTACGGGGTACGATCTGGTCTACCTATAGGTACCTAGGTAAGGTAGGTACCCTCGAGGTACCGTAAGTCAGTAGGTACTGTAGAAGTACACATTCGTGATGACGCAGTTCGCAGAACAACCCTGCCGCAGACGGGATTGATGGAGGGGTAATCAACCTCCTTCTCAGTCATCGTCGGGAGAAATCATGACATCCTCTTAAAAGCCTCGGAATAATAATAACAATGGCGAATGATAATGTACTGTAGAAGGATAAATAATGGCCTCTTGCTGTGCTTCTCTCCGCTCATCCGCTAGTGCTACTTGTATAGTAACGTTTGCCACATTCTACGCTCATCGCTAGCTGGCTTCCTTGAAAACGATTCAGGTAGGGTGACTTTGCGCATCTTGGCTGTATCCTCATCGCATAGACTTTGCGGGCAAAACACCGTGAGGTACAGCCTCTGGCTGTTAACGTTGAGAGCTAAGGGCATAGTGTGCGGGACTTTTTTGGACTTTTGACACACCGGCTGCGCGCCTCTGGACGGTGCGTGGACCCGGGTCTTCAAATTTCTCTGCCTCTCGTGCTCTCCACAAGCTCATGTTGATACCTCCTGGAGTTTTGAGTCCAACAGGTCTTTACAGAGTGTGACAGTCGATATAAGATTGCCTGGGTACCTAGGTATGTAGCCATAAAAGTTACATTATTTTAAGGAGATCATGAAGGCGTCCGGACGAATACTCCTAGTCTCCTAGACAGGAGCTATTTTAAGCCCCGTGCGTTGTCCAACGTGTGCTACACAGGTTTCCGCCGTGCATGGCTTTTGTGATTGCAAGGTAATGCACGTTATTCCAGAGCTGGGGCAGCAAAATTCGCACTTGGATGCGCAACGGTGGAGCTCGCAGAAAAGACGGGTGCTGAAATTATTTCCTGGTACAGTATCGGTACTTTGGTAAATGGATCTATAGAAGCCACACCTCTCCCAGAATTTTGACCACCACTTCGGATCGTCCTTGTTGCCAATCTGCGACTCTCCAAAGTTTGTATTTTCACTCGACGCCATATCCTCCATAGGCAGCAAAGGTGCTCATTCTTGCTTATCCTTGAAGCATTGCGAAATCTGGTTCCTCGAAACACTCTTATCCTACCTCAAGCGGAGACCAGCAGGTAGCTGACATTTGATAGACCTTCAAGGTGTCACCAGCAAATACCCGAGGTCAACGAAACCTGACCAATACTTCTATTCTAGGGCTGGGGCGGCCTTCGGTGCTGTGAAGTCCATCGTTTGGTATTTGGTACCGGTGGCTGAGCTACTGTTCAAATTAACTTGTAGGACCTGTAGGTATCCAAGAAAAGACAGGTCTGAGGTTGTACATCATCACGTAAGGCTGTTGTCGTGGGAAGCAAATAGAGATTGGCAAACCGCCATCTAGGAGCATATTGGTGTTGACACCTCTGCGGCTGTCGCGCCTTCCGAGACACATTCCCATCGTCGATTTGGGTTTCGACCGATCGAAGCAGCCCGATTGTAGCAGGGCTCTGGGTGATTGAAGCGACAACGAAAAGTGGTTGCTTGATTCACCGTTCCGACCACGATTGTTACATCACTTCTTCGACGCCTCCTCACCTCCGCGGAAGCCCACCACAATCTGATTCCCAAGTAATTTGTATCTTTGAGAGCACCGACACAATGTTTTTCACTAGTTGGGAGCTGTGGGAGCAGATGACCTTTGTAAGTGTCTCGCAAAAGCTGGTAGGTGCAACTGCTCATTAAAGTAGGTCCTGGGTTGTGCTATAGCCGCAGTCTTCGTCATCGGATACGTAAAGCTTTTATGGCAGAACAGACTGGTTAGGAAACAGGAGCTGGTCGATGAAGACAAGAGGTCGCGCATCGAAGGGCTGAGGAGTAGTGGGCAGATTGTCGAGTCGCAACAGGCCCACGATATTCCCTTTGGAGTCCGAGCTATACAGAGCGGCATTCAGGTTGATGGCATATGGATCTCGAACACCAACACACCAGTGCCGAGTGAGCTTGGACTTGACAGATTTGCGACGCATGGCTCTGGCACGAGTCATAGCCCCTCTCGAGAGGTTGCACAAAAGGCCGACAACAGGTCCAGGCAGGGCAAATCGCCGCTCAGAAATGACCCTGTAGCTTCGACGAACCTGCTCGACGATGATTCCTATGAACAAGCCGATAATGGAGCTAGTCATCCTTCCTATAAACCCAGAAAGTCCTCCCATCTTCGTTATGGCAGCCACGGAGGAACGAACTTCGATGACGGGACGCTAGCGCATCTCGAAGGGCATTCATCACCAGCGAAGAAGAAAGTTTACACCCATCGACCACGAGGATCTCGTCAAGTTGATCTCGAAGGCGACTCGGCATCCGCAGCCGACAACGAGCACTCGTCCGGAGGGTCATCCGATTCTGATGCTACACTATCAGGAGGGTTACGAGTACAAACTGACCGTCAGAATAAGTACTCACCAATTCGGAGCGGAGTCCAAAGGCCTATAAATCCAGTTGTGGCTACTAGGATACCGGGCCGACCCATACGTGATTCGTTTCCATTTCCTACTGCAAAGTCTGAATACACACAGGTTCCGCTAACCGACTCGCCAAGTCATGAAGGAGAAGATCCGTTTCTCACCCCAAAAGCTTCACCGCCTGGGGAGTCGCACCTAGGAAGCTCTATGGGAGGTCAGCTCTTAGGCCACAGAGCTATATCCTCTGATTACCACCCGGTGCAGCAATCTGGTGATCCTACGGCGGAGCGCTTTGTTTCTGGCGAGCTCCACCTCAATAGACAAATGCGTAAAGTGAACTCGGGGTTCGAAGTTCTACCAGCTGGAACTTTCAATGTGCCCACGACGTCGAGACAAGAAAGCTACAATCTGCCAGATGATGACTTTGGGGAGAGACGACAATCAAAGTTACAGAAAAAGCCTCGAACGTCAGGAGTCTTCGATCGGACTTAAATAGACGAATTTATGAAATAAAGAGTAAAATATCATATAGACTGGCGGAACCTGGTGTGACTCAGCGCTGAAATCATATGCCTGTATGTCGCAGTATCCGTAAGATATGGGGTCTGGAGTGGTACGTTTTATGAAGGGGCAAATTTGGAGGAAGGATACTAGTCATGGCGTTTATGGTTTGTCGGGAAATACATTATGAATACCACCACGGCTAGGAACCGTGTTTCTTAGATTCGAAATATATCCACTTGAAAAACTTGACCATAAAATAATGCCTCATCAGCTTTCAAGGTTATCCAGGTCAATGTGCTGACTGACATCAATGATATGGCGACTGACCCATCTCGAGAACACACACTCACTCACTCCACTTGAGATTGATCATGATCTCAACTAGAGGGAGGTTGCCATCCCATTCCAAAATACGCTTGTGCTATTTGCCGCATAAAGATTAGAGCTATCAAAAAATACGTCGGGACAGGATTCTCCTCGCTCGCCGCCCAAGAGGATAGTTAATGATCACGTGGCGTCGTGTTTACCTCTTGACGCGTCGCGGTTGCATCCTTTTCTCCAAAAACAAACTTGACCAAACTGTCGCCCTCCATACTTTTGAATACCTGGGCACCTCTGATTTTCTGATCAGCACTGTGAGAGGATTATCACAACCAAATATGACTTCCGAGGAAGTTGAAGCTTCCCAATCTGGGGTTGAAGAAGGAGGAGGCATGGGAGGGCCTGGTGCTCCAACGCCACTCAGTGCACTCGAGGTGCGTATGATGCAATAACAGATTATGAGCTTGATGTTACAGGGCTGACCAGAGGCTTAGGGTGTCGCGGGCTTAACAAAACGAGATATTCAATTGATTGTAGATGGAGGCTACAATACCGTCGAATCTGTAGCCTACACTCCCCGGCGGATGTTGGAACAAATCAAGGGCATCTCCGAGCAAAAAGCAACCAAGATTTTGACTGAAGGTACGTGACTTATTGCGTTGCAGCAAAGCGGCCTTTAACCTCTTCATAGCATCTAAACTTGTCCCTATGGGCTTCACAACCGCCACCGAAATGCACCAACGTCGAAGTGAATTGATTTCTATCACTACTGGGTCGAAGCAGCTGGATACTTTGCTTGCTGGGGGCATCGAAACTGGCTCTGTGACAGAAATATTTGGCGAGTTCAGAACTGGTAAAAGTCAAATTTGCCATACACTTGCCGTCACTTGTCAGTTGCCATTCGACATGGGAGGAGGTGAGGGCAAGTGTCTCTACATAGATACTGAAGGCACTTTCCGCCCAGTTCGTCTACTTGCTGTGGCAAATCGGTACGGACTATCAGGGGAGGAAGTTCTTGACAACGTCGCTTACGCTCGTGCATACAACTCAGATCACCAGTTGCAACTGCTCAACCAGGCTGCTTCGATGATGTGTGAAACGCGATTCTCTCTTCTCATTGTAGACAGTGCAACGTCTCTGTACCGCACTGATTTCGTTGGACGAGGGGAGCTTTCTTCTAGACAGACACATCTGGCCAAGTTCCTCAGAACCCTCCAACGACTGGCGGATGAGTTCGGTATTGCCGTTGTCATCACTAACCAGGTGGTTGCTCAAGTCGATGGAGGCCCAAGCGCCATGTTCAACCCAGATCCCAAGAAACCTATAGGAGGAAACATCATCGCACACGCCAGCACCACGAGGTTAAGCTTGAAGAAAGGACGAGGGGAGACACGGATATGTAAGATATATGATAGCCCATGTCTGCCGGAGAGCGACTGTCTGTTTGCAATTAATGAAGATGGCATTGGAGACCCGAGCCCTAAGGACCTGGAGAAGGACTAGAACTAGCTTTGATATAGGCTTGCACTTGGAAGATTATTACGAATTTCCTATGTATCTGCATGGTTCACGGCGTGGTCATTCTTGGTTTCCCGGCCACTGTAGCTGAGCTCTGCGATGCGTACATTAGAGCATTTGGGTGGTGTAAATTTCAGTTCAAAGGCTCGATGTAGGTGTAATCGATGTTTCTGTCGGTGGGAGTTGAGACACATCTTGTCTGTTATGAGTTTGTAAATACTTCCATGTAGTACATTTATCATTAACAACATATGTCACCAAAGCTATCCATAATAATGGGGCCATGAATTGTTGAAGCTCGTGCCAGCAAGTGCCAGCAGAGAAAACTGCAGCCAGGGCCGGCTCTTTCTCGGCACTTTTGCTGTCGCGATTCTTCAGAAGCGCGTCTATTGATATACACAGCTCTCTGTTTGCCAACCTGTCGACTAGCTCTTTAATGGAGACATCATGAATCGAAAGGCACCATTCTGCAGCTACAAGGAGACGCGAGTAGACTTGGAACCTTTATCGCTGGGCTCGACAGTTGCGATCCAATTGCCTCTTCACGGCACATCTATATTTCCTTCGCGAACAGCTCAGAAACGTCCGCATATCGTCGAACACCTTGTCGCAGAAGACGAGGAGACCTTCAGGAAGCGACACCTTGCAACCGCATCATCAGTCTACCACCGCGCACATCATGGCTCGCCCAGGAGCTTTCTATGGAGGATCCTTGAAGATGGCAAGGTCCTTTCAGTTCAACCAGTCGACATTTGTAGAGATACCACGAAGCAAAAAATGCATGTACCAGCTGCTAAGTCGAAGATGACATTACACTTGGCTCTCCCAAGCCCAGTACTACCGTCATGCGTCGCCTTTTCGGATTCCAGGGAGCATGACATACTAAGCGTGTTTATTCTGACGGAATCTTACCATCTCTACACGCTCACACTGCGACCCGAGCATTTCCAAAAGAGTCAACTTTCTGAAGGAAATGTTGGAGATTGGTGCAAATCATATATCTCATCCGCATTCAGCTTCAAACATCCTCTCAGGCTTGTTGCCTTGACCGCAGATGATATACTTGTCTCACTAATAGATGGTGGACTTCTTAAGCTTAGTCGCAAATCTGGCGGAGATGGTACGCCCTTGTGCCAATTCTATAGAGCCTCGCTGACAACCCATAGGTACTGAATGGCGAGAAGTGTTCTATAATGAAGGAGGCTGGAGCCATAGCCTGCGAAGCCTGATACCATTCCAAGGCAATAACACCGTCCATCATGGCAAGCACAATATAGAACTGTCGGCAGTTATCTCGATTGCATCCCCTAATGTGGAGATTCGTGGATTTCCGTTTGCTTTTACAGTGTCAATCGATCACCGACTTCGTGTGTGGAACCTAAACTCTGGGAAATTGGCTTACATGAAAGATATGTTAACTGGGGAGCTGGATCTCAATGATCCGGTAAAAAAAGTTATAGACCCTTCTCTGTCACAACTTGTCAAAGTTTTTGGCTCTGAAGAGTATCCACTTGTGGTTACGTACTCGCCTTTGGGGACTGGTGAGTTCAAATTTTGGAGACCGAGACTGCAAGACGACGGATCCTTCGAACTGGATGACTTATTTCGAGGTATTAGTTTGCAACCTCGAGCGCCATCCTCCTCCGACGTCTGGACTTTAGCAGACTTCTCTGTAATCGTGGGAAAAGCAAGCATGTCAGACTTCCAGATGTGGATACTTTGGAAGAACAACACGACACATCGAACGCAATCATTGGATTTCCGTACTGGTTCGTCTGCCCGTAATACGTGGAGTGATGGTTGGAAGGCTATGGCATCCGAAACAATGCGCGAAGCTCAGCCCCCGGTGTCTTTTGCTGCAGATACTTTGGACGTTTCCGACAAGTGGCTGGAATTTTTGTTGGCTCCAGGGAGATATACAACCGCAACGATTGAAACAGGGCTTGCTATAATGAAAAGCAATTCTGGTTCAGAAAAGAGCACCACGCGAAAATCAGAAAGCCTTCCAGAAAAGATGTGTTCTGTCGTAGCCTCATCTAACATACTTGAACGGGCGTCTGACGGGAGCATGGATTTTGATCAACTTCGTGCAGCACTGGAACAACAATGGCTGCGATTCTACCGACTGTTACAGGAGCTCAACAAACAACGTGAAGAAGCGCAATCACTAGCAATCGACCCTCGTGGCAATATGCCTTGCATAGTACTGAGCGATGGCATCATCGCTATTCGAATATGCAGCGAATTAGAGCAATTGTGGCACAACCCAGACGCATTGTTTGACGGCAATCTGCGTGTGCGTGCTCCTATTCTTGCTGCCGCTCAGTTTCGAGACGGACTGGCGGAGGGCTTTCTTCACAATTGCAAGTCCATGTTACTTGGTGAGATCTATGAAGAACCTTTACTTGCAGATCCCGCAAGGATGAGAGCATTTTACGAGAAATGCGGCTTCGAAAATCAAATAGATGACGAATCATTTATACAATTAGTGGAGAAGTTGAGAGAGTTTGAGAGTGGTTGGAAAGATCTGACACCAACAGTCTTTGAAGCCGTGCTCAAATCACTTTCTCCCGCTGACGGCAAAGCAGGAGATCTACAAACAGCGAGTTTTGGGGACAGCATAATTGTGCGTGCAACTCAAGAGATTGTCGAGTTGCATCGCAACATTTGTCTTGACCAGATGCTTCTTATAGTCCTTATCGAAGCCGAGATCAATCATAGTGAAGACGGCTTACAGTTTGAGACTGCTGATGTTTTTGACAAACTTGTGGCAATGCTAAAAAGACTTGAATTGATTAGTTGGTTGACTAGCACACAGATCTGGTTGCCTTACGATGAGGAAGAGAAGGTGAAAGGAAACGAGTCATTACAGAAATCTCAGTCAGGTGAAGTCGTGACTGTATTTGAAGGAGTGTTTCGACATTTATTTACACTTTCAAAACAAGCCATGCCGCTGAGCGTGACGCAACTTGTCTTGCAGATTTGTGCATCGAACACCTACTTCGAAGTCCATCCAGCGACGGTACAATGTTTCTTGTTAAAGCACAGCCGGCCTGATCTTGCCTTGGAGTTTGCTCGTTTTGCCAGTCGCGATCCATTTTCGACTTACATTCTAGGCAGGACTCTGTTGGCGTCTAATGATCTTGTTGGGGCATCCGCGCTCTTTCAAAAAGCCGCATTTGGTATATGTAGGGCTTGCCTGGATTTATCACTCATAGTCTCTTACTGACTGACTATAGCATATTCTAATCCAAAAAATCAAGTGGATGTCGGCAGTAGTGGATACTTTACCAACGAACGAGATTATCTGCATGGCGGGCTTCCGTTATACTACTCTCATATCGCGGCATTATATGAAATAGGAAAGCATTATTCCTTTGTAGCAGATTTTGCGCGACTGTCTCTCCAATTTACTAAGCTCGACGACCGCGATCATGATTTGCGATCGGATATGCAAAATCGCCTCTTCACGGCATCCATTTATACTTGCCGATTTGAAACAGCTTACTCAATACTCATGCAATTCACGAACCAAACCCTCCAAGACACCGCTCTTCGCACACTAATCACCAAGATGTGCGAGCAATCTTTTGCCTCTGAACTTGTGCAGCTTCCCTTCGTCGGCCTTCATGACCAAGTCGACGAGTTCTTGGCTCAAAAGTGTTCAGGAATAGTGGACGTACTTGCTGGCGTCCCATATCACAAAATCCTCTATGCGTGGCGGATCAAACACAACGATTTTCGCGGAGCTGCGGCAATTTCTCTTTCTCGGCTTCAAAGGCTGGTTATCGCTGGTAATGGAGATAAACCCATCATTGAAGATAGTTCGGAGACTCCGGTAACTCAGCAATATGTCAATCTTATTAACGTATTAAGCTGTGTTGATTCTGACCAAGCCTGGATTCTAAACGAGGCGCCTCTACAAAAGGGCAGACCATCAAAGAATGCCGAGCAACCGAAAAGGAGGGTTGTTACCCTGAATGATATTAGGAAGGAGTACCAGGCTGAACTTGACCGGATCGCTGCTATCGCAAATAATCAATTTGCCTTTGGGGATGGGGATGAAATGGATGTGTTATGAAGAGAAGAATTATGTACTAGTTGTAATAGTAGCGTGTGTCAAATTAGAACAACATAGCGGCGTTGGGCATGGGGGGGCCTTTGCATGAATGGGCCCTGCAAGGAGAAAAGTAGATTGGAGTTTGCGATATCCATGGATAATAGAAATGCTGACTTTGAAATTCAATATCATTCTGTTCTCCCGGTTGAATCGGCCTCTTGCCGTATGTGACTAAAGTCACAATCTATAATACAGATCGATAAATCGGATGTGCTTGCATCCTATACAGCGCTTGCACACATCACGCCTGAGGTACTTGGGTCCTGTCCGGGGGCACGGTGCCTGTAATTTGTGTTTGTTGACCTGCCTGGGCGGCAATCTCTGGAGCTTGGCGGTACAGGACTATTTCGGATTGCTTGAAGTAACGCCTGGCATCTGGATGGTATCAGTAAAGTTGTAATCAAAGTTCATGGTTACGACAATGGCGTACCTTCGTCGATCAGCACCAGGCTCAGATAATATCTTGTGGAGTACTTCTTGTTGACTTCTCGGAAGGTCGGAGTCAGGTCAAAGCCACCAAGGAACAATCGGATTGGGATAGTCTCTCCTCTTGATGGTGACCCATCCATAATCTGCATCAGTCAACATATTGTCCAGCAATGCCAGTTTTGTGTCTAGGAGGAAGCATACCTCAAATCGCACAAGGGTCTCGCTCTCATTATACTGATTCGGCGCCGCGCCTGTGGTTTCTCTTCTAATAATTGACAACTCCATGTGCTTGATCTTTAACCGTACAAGTAAGAAATATATCCTGCCAACGATGACGTCCTTTAGGTGATACTTGTTCTTCGAATACTCAAATTCGATGTGTAAACAGTCCTCGATTCCTACATCCATCTTGATCGAGCTATTCATTTCTGGTGGAATGCGGTAAGAGTACACCCATATATCTTTCTCACGTATCACATCTGCCATGCGTCGAGAGACAGTCACTCGAACGAAGTAACGAAGCCGTACGTTGATGCCAGAGTAAGACTCGTACTGTTTCTCGATGTTTTTGAAGTTGAAATCGAAGGTTTGAGGGTGTTGGAGGTCGCCTGGTGCAGCCAGTTCCTGGCCCAGAGAGAGAAACTCATAGTGATTCCCTCTATCGAAAAACATCTCTGATCAATCGTGAGCCGTGATGCTCTGTGACAAGGGGACGCGCCCGCATACCAATTGTGCCTATGAACTGTACCTTGATTCCCGTATGCTCCAGTCGTTTTCCGTCTTTGGGGCGGATAGTCACCGCTCCCTTGACTGATTCTCCGTCTTTGTATAATGGTGCCTTTTCCCGCCGTCCCTTCTCCGTCTTCATATCGACCATCTGCCGGTCGTCTCCATCGTCCAGTACTATATCTATATCGACCGGCGTGGAAAAGAAGTACGACATCTTCACGGTCGATGTGGACGTCCCCGGGGATGGTATGGGACTGGGTATTCCAGGACGTGGTCGGCGGACGTTGGCTGGGAAGATGGTTGGCGATGGAGCTGGAGCTGGAGCTGGAGCTGGTGCTGGGTTGCAAGGCTGGAGAGCCTTCCAGGGGGAGCGCAATCAACAAATGCGCATTGGCGTTGCAGGGCAGAGCTCACCTCATGGGAGGAGCACGGCACAAGGTTAATCCGGCGGCTTCCCCACCACCACCATTCCCATCGTGGTCGTTGATTCTCACTTTTGAGAACCCACAAGCTCTCGTCAACTCAACCACCACGTCAACCCTCCACTTCCACAACATCTCCTTCCTTCTTACTATTACACCTGGACATGGTAGTTTGGACGCCTCATTCCATCGTTCTTGCATCTCCGATACAATATTCTACCTGTTTGCGAGCGAGCGAGCGAGTGCAGTCTCCATCCATCCATTTCGATTAGGAATCCCCCTACACTCCACCAATTCATTGCTTTCGGTCAGTCTGCTTTCCGTCGCAGCTCCATTCAAAGTGCGACAGTACGGCTCACGTCCACAACTCGAAGCTCACGCGGTACATCACCTTGACCTATCCCTCGATGGAAGTCTAGACAGACGCCTTCCTGTCTCCCTGCTTACTGAACAGCGCATCCCCCAGACAGCAATCAGCTTCGAATTTCGCCATGTCGTTCTTTGGCTTTGATTCCTCGCTTCCCCGCGAGCGAGGCCATGATACCCGTGCCCCAGGCTTTTCCCAAGCTGCGGACCCATTTGCTGGTCCTCGCCCAGATGATGACGATGATGCGTATGTTCATCAACCTTCAACGGCTTCCTAGCATATACACTGTATGGCAATCAATGTTTCTTCCATGTGCTAATAATCTCTTCCTTCAGGCTAGACTTCGAAGACACGTATGACGGTTTGGGCGATCAATTGGACGAAACCGACGATGCTTTCAACGATGATACTTTCGGTGGGGAGAGCTTGCCTACAGCTGTGGCGAAGAAACCCGTGGGAAAAGACTTTGACTTCTTCGGGCAGACTGCCAAAGTTTCGGATGCCATCACTGAAGAGCAGCTCCGCTTCTCTCGACAACCACCTTCATCTCGCATCGCCCCTCAAAGCTCAAACGTCAACCAACCTGGGATGAAGCCAGCCAGAACGGGTTACGAACGCTACAAAGAGCCCACTGTCGTGAGGGACATGCAGGTTGATGCCAGCTTGTGGGGACCAGCCGTAATGAAATCCCAGCCCGCGTCTACCCCAGCTGTGGATGCACCCATTACTCCTGGTTTGCCGTCAGGCGGTCGGAAGATGATGAGTTTGGAGGAGGTAGAAGCTGCCATGCGGGCGCAGGCCAAAAAGCCATCGCCAGCTCCAGCAAATAGTCCATACCAGCCCCCTCAGCCACACGAACAACCATCGCAGCAGCATCAGAATTTCTCTCACCAAGGACACCAACCAGTCCCATTTCAAAATAGTGGGTCACCACGCGATGGCCACCAGTCAAATCTGGGGCAACAACCTCAGCAACCACTTCACATTCTCCAAAGATCTCAAGCACCTCCTATCCAGCCAGCCACTCCTACTGGTCCATCCCAACCGACTCAACTGCAAAATCCCGGCAGGTATGTCGGAGAGCAACATCGAACTGCACCTGCTGTCCAACGGCCGGGCCATCAATCACGGCCCTCCAATTCGCGTGCTCCCATAATCACCCATCCCCACCAGCTTGCGAACTTGTCAGAAGAAGAGAGGAATGCCTTCCTTCTCGAGGATGCCAAAAGAGCGAAACGGAACCACAAAATATTTGTGCTTTCCAAGGATAATGGCCTCATGACCCCACAAGATAAGAATTTCATCACTCGTATCCAATTACAACAACTCGTTACAGCTACGGGAAATCCAAATGAACATGGAAGCGATCCCGCGCTATCGGAAGATTTTTACTATCAAGTACATAATCAAATCCGGGGTGGACCACGTCAACACCCTGGACAACCATTGAGCAACTTTGCCCAAACTTATTTATTTCAGACTGGAGGACGTCATGGTGGGATGAGACGACAGCATCGGGGAGGGGACAACCACATGCAGCGAATGGAGCAGCAGGTAGCTCGAGCTGTAGAGGCTGCAAAGAACAAACCCAAAAATAAGCAACTGGTGATTGAGGGAAGTTTGGGGAAAATATCATTCAGCAATGCCAAGACGCCTAAACCGCTTCTTAACATCAAGCGTACTGACAGTGGAGCCGATGTTCGTCCCAGTAGTGCTGCACATAATCGTAAGTCTCAACTCGCAAGTATTCACGGTTACGACAGGAAGACTGTGCTTTTGGATATCGAAAACGTGTACAACACTTTGATGAAAATGGAAGATCATGAGCGTCACCAACCACCACCTGTTGCCGCCGATGATATTAATCCCGAATTGCATGGGCTAAACCAGGATTGGAAAATCAGACAAGATCAACTCAATGCCGAGCTTTGGCATCACCTGAAGGTTCACGAACCCATTGGCGGCCCAAATATACATCCGTTCATCGCCTTCTTATCCTTTAGCAAAGGTAAAAAAGCTATCCCTCGCGTATTCCGGCACATTACCGGCGAACAAAAGACCACAATTTTGACCATGATTGTCGTTCATCTGGATCAGCTGGATGTCGTTCGTGAGGGTCTTATCCCACAGGGTGATATTCAGCTAAACGCGTCCACTCGAGAGAAGGTCGAGCTGTTCTCACTAGCTGTCATGCACACACTCTTTGGATATCTCAACGATGCCGACCTAGCTATTGTTGCTGGCCTCTTAGGTCTCATTTTGAGCCGAACGAATACTGAGCTTATTTCTCGAACACGGATTGGGGTGAGTATGTTGACGATGCTTCTGAGTCGAGCCGAACTTATCAAGCAATCTGGAGGCAACGAACAGGAGTGGGACAATTGGTAAGTTTTTAGCGAAGACATCGCAATTTACATTCACTAATTGTCACAGGGTGGGCATGTACAACACTTTCTTTGATACCCTGGAACCTACGTTGGCACACATTTTCCCTGGCACTGTAAATACCGGGGAGGATGTCTACGTTTGGCAGTTCCTTGCGGCTATTGGGATTGGTGCGAGCCCGGAGCAACAACAAAGACTTGTCATGGCCGTGAAAGACCGCGTCATGGATACCGTTTCGCATGCCAAAACCCTCCCTGCGGCGATGTCAAGCCAGCGTCTAGCTAATGTTAATCTCTTCATGCGATCCATTGGGTTGGACGTGGAGTTACTCGCATAGTTAACGGTGACTGGAGGATGTTTTCATATTTATCACATCAAAATTTCTTTCTTTTTACAACGCATCCGACGATGGGACGCTGCGGAGTTTTGTCATGAAATACGTACTAGCCATATTACACTTGCACTGAGCGCCAGCTTTACGGCTGTTTTTGTACGGCGGGGAGGGGGTGTTGCATACCGATCCGCAAGGATCTATACTTACGACCAAGCATGGAAGACGACCCATGTGTCGTGGCGGTGGAACAGCATACTTTATGGTTTGGTATTATTGATTGAGTGGGCATGGTACGATACTACTACGATTAGATTACAGACATCTTGAATTCGGATAGGGTGATGACTATCGTCTAGAGGACATGAAGCTTTTAAATGATACGGGCATATGGTCTCCGAGTTTGGGTTTTTCTCTCCCCGTTTGTGTTTCGAGGCCACAGCCACACGTAAGGTAGGCGCTTACTGCCGTATGTGTCGCGCGACCTGGTGATGTTTGCAATATTTGTTTTAACCAGCTTCTCTCTTTCCCTCTCGTCTGTCTGCTTAGCCTAGGTGGTCGATGTTGTGAATCAAGCGCTTATGCTGGATGACGACAATCAGCCGCGATGCTGTCGGTGGGTACTCCCTCGCTTAAGGTCTCACTGGATCACTTGTTCGGAGAAGTCTCCTGAGTCTAGACACTCACACTTTCTCGCTCAATCAACATCAACATCATCCATCTCAATTGAAGAAAATCCCTGTGCGCCCTAGAGCTGATAGCGTCATGGGCGATACGCATTATTAGTATGACGGCTACAACGGAAAGGAGTCGTTTCATGCCTCTCTCAACACCTTGACGGCGCGCTACTTGACCACATTTGCATACATGTCTTCTGCGTCGGTGCTTCTGTTCTCCCCAAGAAACATTGTTTTCGTTCCCAGAAGATACCCAGATGGCGCGGAACTCAGGTGAAGATACGTCGGACCACTCGGGCGGACAGAGCACGCAGCCAGACGGTGGCGAGAAAGGGAAAAAGCCCGAGGAGCAACCACCAACTGGCTTTTGGAGTCGCGAGTTGAGAGAGTGCAGACTATGGGTGTTCAAGCATTGGGCCATTACCAGTATGTGACATTGAATCCGGCCCATGGGTAACACATATTGACATAATTGCTTCGAAGCCCTGATACTCGTGGTCGCCATTCTCGCTATCTTGAGTCTCTACTGGGGCGTTCTCTATCATATCGAGTCCAATCTTTCTGCTCTCGTCGTCTATGTGGTAGATTTTGACGGACTTCCGCCCTACGACAATGTCACGCCGACGATTGGACCTCAGATTGTCGCTGCGGCCGAGTCTCTAATTGCTCCCAGTGGCGCTCTTGGATGGGGCTCGCTTCCGGCTTCACGGTTCAACAACGATCCCATCGCAGTCCGTCAAGCAATTTACGACCAAAAGGCTTGGGCCGCAATAATCATCAATCCGAATGCCACATCATTGTATCAAAATGCTGTTAGCAATGGTGACACGAGCTATGATCCCATGGGAATCGCCCAGGTCGTCTACGTGGAAGCTCGAGACGAGATGAACTATCGAAATTATATCATTCCGCAACTCGATCAGTTCCAGACCATGGCAACCGCACAAGTTGGCGGCAGATTGGCGGCGGATACTCTGCAACGCGCAAGTCAGGACCCAGCCATCCTTGCCAATATAGCAGCTGCTCCCCAAATTGTAGCCCCGGGTATTGGCTTCTCGATATTCAACTTGCGACCATTTTCGCCCGCCGTGGCGACACCAGCAGTCACAATCGGCCTGCTATACCTAATCATCTTCTCTTTCTTCAGCTTTAGCTTCTACCTTCCGGTCCACATGAAGTTCATTAAATCGCCCGGACACCCTCCTCTACACTACTATCAGCTGGTAATATGGCGGTACTGTGCAACAATTACCTCTTACTTTTTCTTGTCCCTTTTTTACAGTTTCGTTAGTTTAGCATTCCAGATACCCTTCAGTACCGGCGCGCGAAGTCCTGTTGAAGTACATAACCCAGCGACTGCGTATGGCAAGGGAAGCTTCGTAGTATATTGGATGCTTAATTGGGTTGGCATGGGTGCGTTAGGACTAGCATGCGAGAATGTTGCTATGGTCATTGGGCAACCTTGGACAGCCTTTTGGCTAATTTTTGTGAGTTGTTCCCTGCGTGCTGCGATTTCGTTTGACTTGTGTTTGTTTCGTGGGCAATGTGCTAATTTGACGAAGTGGGTCATATCGAACGTCTCAACGTCGTTTTATTCAATTGATCTCGCACCTCGATTTTATTACTGGGGCTATGCATGGCCGGTACATAATCGTAAGTCTTCTTGATCTTGCTATTTGGTAGTCAAACTACCGCACCGCACCTTTTCAGAGGCTGACAGCTCACAGTTGTTGAGGCATCGAGGACTATTCTTTTCGACCTCCACTCGAGAATTGGATTAAATTTTGGCGTTTTGTTTGCCTGGACAGCTCTAAACACCGCCCTCTTTCCATTATGCTGCTGGTTTATGAGATGGAAAATGAATAAGGGAATCGACCCATGAGAATGATCAAATTTTCGACAATACTAGGATTCAAGCTACTGATGGAGAATCAATGGAGTGTTTGTGACTTATATCTCGATCATGGAGACTAGCTTGCTCATATATTTAATGACGCTGGTGATAAAATAGATGCCCCTGGGGGCAGACTTTACATCCAAAACATGGTAAAGTCTAGATCATGTGAACCCAATATGCAAGGAACGGATACGAATGCGCTATCAATGAGCATAGAAAGCAGTAACATGCTTATTGTGAGCGAGGCTAATCTAGTCCTGGATTTACATGCTTGGCGCGATTCACTTGACGCTGAATCGACATTTCCAAGAATCAATTAATGTCTGTCCTTCCATCCGAACCTTTACATGACCACTCGCTCGGCTATTGTGTTGCCCCTATCTTTTCACGCAATGCCTGAGAACTTCAGACGTCGGGAACACTAAGCGAAGCGAAGGCTTCCGTACTGGTATAACCCTCGTCAAACGCACCACGCACCCTTAAAATAGATAAATTTACTTTCAATGAAAACGTTGATTCTCCTTAGTCTCCTAGCTTGTAACCCAAACGAGACAACCACTCATCATCTAACAAGTAGCCAGCATGGAAGTCAAGGCTGTTTTTTCGGCGCTCGTGATAGTTAGGGAATACACATACTTCACCCTAACCCACATCTTCGCGTAGGTGCAATAGTATGAAGCTAGAAACCATCAGCAGAAATTCCTTGGTCTGTGATTGTAAACGCACCAAGTGGTGGCTTCCACGCCTCTGGTCCGCTATCGCCTTTAGCCTGGTTGACATTGTCCGTCACAGCTAGTAATTGCGGGTTGGTGAGATCGTTGGCGAAAGACTGTCTTCGGGCTGTAGTCCAAGCCGCAGCACCGCTCTTCCATGCATTGCTTAAAGGAACCATGTGATCGATGTCTACGTCACTTGCAGCGGACCACTGTAATTCTTGAAGTCAGTAATTTGCTGTCTAAGTATGTCGATGAAGTCAAGAGACGATCATGACAAGCGAAGTCTGGGAGGAGATCAAGGGGTAGTGTGTTAGGGGCAACGAAGAAGAAACAGAATACAGTATACTAACAGTAACTCCGTCGTACGGAGAAAACCCTACGTCCGAGATCAGCATTTTTTGTCTATACCGGGAGTTTCATTCTTACACTTTCCGGAGGTAGAAACACACGCAGAATCAGTTACAACACTCGTCCCATCTCGTTTAAGAACGGTCTCTCTGGTATTACAGGTCCCAGAGATAGTGATCCAAGTCGGGAAAAGGTCACGAGAATAACCCGTCTGAGGGCCTTGGGCTGCCACGGTGAGTGCTGCAAGTTGGGTTTTCGCTGCTGCCGTGGTGGGAACTCCTAATGTTCAGGATATAAGTTAGTGCCCGTCTTTCGGTCACTTCGCTAATGGGGACTATTGCAGCTAGGTTGCTTCAAGCAATGGGGCGACGAATTGGAAATGGAAAATGAGATATGAATTAGGGTAGCACGCTTGGTTGGTAACTTACCAGGCGGTGCTCGAGGTTCGAGAGGAAGGGCGGCGACAAAGGATGCCGCCGTAAGAAGAAGTACTGTCACAAAAGAAGGCATGTTGTGACGCGAGCTTCTTGGACAGGGTGAACAATCTTTGTGCAATGAAAGCAAGCAGCCGGATGTCCGAAGTGGGCCGGTTGGAGCAAGAAGGAAGAAGGAACTAAGATGCCTCTGGGTCGACCTTAAATGCTAGAAGGGACGGGAGTAAATTATATACACATTCAGCTGAGGCTGTATATGCCAAAGCCTTCATGTTTCCGCCATCGCCAGCTGCTCTCGTTATGCCATCTTCTGGTTGATAAGACGGCGTGGCTTATCTCTCTTCACCACTTCTCTCCCAAGTCATGGCTCTTCCATACGCTCTGGGGATTTCTTGGCATGGTTGCTGAACTTCCCCTTATGGACGCAACAAACTCTACCGAAGCTCTCCTGGCGGTGTCCCGCGGGTCCATCTGCAAGTTTCCGGCAAATGAGCAGAGATCTTCTTTGCACGCTCTACTCGAGTGCCATGCACGTTGTGAACTATCGGGGGATCCCCGTTCCTGTCGCCCCGCAAATGTGAAGTCGGTATGCCTTATGCATGGGGATCTCGGTACATGCTGCTGACCTTCCCATCTCGGATGGATTTGCGGCTGCACATCATGAGAGAGACCAAGAAGCCTTGGCGCTCAACAGTCTGATAATCAGATTCCTGAGCCCCAATATCAATACTCCAGCTGTTTTATCCGCCACTTTGCGTGATCATATCTACATTGTACCAAACGTAGCCAGCCCAGTGCGGCGACTTGAAGAATCCAGGAAGCGAGCTCTTCGTACGAAAGGTACCTGAGCTTACCTCGCTTGTTCAGGGGCAACCTTCAGAGCAACCAGAGCAACCACTACGATAGACGTGCATTTGCAGACAACAGCCATCATAGATGTGTGCATCGGAGGACATATCTAGAACAGGGCCAACATCCCTAGAAACGGAGATGGAACGGAGTACTTGGCTCGGACAGCGGCGACTTCCTCCTCATGTTGATTGCGAATGAGATATCGCGCGAAAAGGGAAGTTGGATGAATTATATTGTGTATTCACGCAAAGCTTCTGGCGGTCGTCCGGAAGAGCGCTCTCTTGAAGCGTCGGACACTACGCGTGAACAAGCCGAGAGCTGCCGAAGATGCGGATACGGACCAAAACCGGCACAATCCCCCCGACCTCGGGAGCTTGTAGGCGGGCACGCGAGCGATTGCCGAATTGCGGGGAGATCCTTAGAGCTTGCGGTAGCTCAATTAGCTTGAACTACTCCGTACCTAGGTAAGAGCAGGTATTCATGCCAACACCACCACCAAGAACTGGGCGAGTGATCGTCGAATACTCTGTTACATTTTGCTACTTTCATGGAAAGCTGGGCTCAGACCAGCTACAAATCATCAATCGCCCCTCGATAAACCTCATCACAAAGTAAAGAATTTCGTCGAGAATTATCCCAACATGCCGGCCAACGCTGCGCCAGCTCGAACAACCCTTCCGTACGTACAGAATTTGATACCTACTTCCCTCCTGTGTCTCCGTCGCCAATACCTAGGTACCCAATGCCATCGAGATACTTATTGCTGACATATTTATTCGCAAGTAGTCGTTCACGAACCCCCCTTGTAGTTAGCACAATCGTCGTCGGCAGCGTATTTTTCATTGGCATGAAATGGCGCGCTGTCATCGCGCGAAGTGAAGCTGCTAAGCATGCCAGCTCGAAGGACAATCTGCACGTCGTTGCTGGCGAGAGAAGTGGTAAGTACATGGAAGCTATTCAGTGGTGTACAGTTGACAAGGTCGCGTGCTAACCTTTCTCTTGAAAAGGCGGTGGAGTTTGAGTGCACGAACTGTAATCCAAGAAAATACCGAGGAGAACTGGTCGAAGATGAGCCATAGGTTGTACATAATAAATCGTAGACAGGTTAAGGGCGTTGTTTGGGATGGGATGTGAGGGGTCTGCGATCTTTATGTGCATTGGGTAGTATCTAGCACGCGTCAAGTATACATCATGTTTTTTCATATGCTCCCGACGTGTTAGGTGGCGAACCAAACCAGATAGACCAACTGGTGCAGCGCCATATAATTGTGTATGTATCAAGTACAATATAGTTACATATGACATGAGACAACGTCGCAGCCAAAATGCCGCTTCAGTTGTTGCCTCAAAATACACCCGGCCCCTTCATCGCATTTCGATATTACAACAGACCACGTAAGTGTGGGGAGTTCATTTCCCCTGAATGTGCGATTTAGCACGTCCAGATTCCCACAACGCCATCTCTGCGGCCTTCGGTAAGATATCCGTCTTTGATTCTTACTCGGTCCACTATGGCAGGCGTCTTACCCTCGTCAAGTGCAGTCACTCCAGCGCCACAGTCCCAGTGGCGACCATCTGTCTTATCGTAGACCTTTACAACGTCTTCCTCGGCTGCAGAGACTATACGGCGGCTATCAAACATCATACTAGTGATAGGACCGTCGTAGGCATACGCATCATGAATCGCTCCGGTTCGAAGATCCCAAATCTAGCTAATGTCAGTGCCTAGAACTCTTGATACCGAATCGGGGTACTCACTCGAATACTTCGGTCCAAACTGCCAGTAACCAGATGCATGTCATCAAACTGAAGACATGTCACAGGTCCGGTATGACCAACCAGGCTTCTGTGAACTTGCCCACTTCTCAAGTCCCATAATCTAACCATGCCGTCCGCAGTTCCACAGGCAAGTGCAGCATCAAAAACCTGCACAGCGCCTACAAAATCAGCCGAGGTGTCGGCAACTTTACCAGTCTGCCTCCAAGCGCCCTCGCCAGATCCCATGGTTGCAGAGGCCTGAGCTGCTGCCCACATGACATCCAGAGTCTGTACGCAACGTCCCTTTTCAAGATCCCACTGCCGTAAAGTTTTATCCGCTGAACCAGAGATGAGTGTATCGCCTCTGAAATGCAAAGCAGTGACTTCATCTACATGAGCCTCTAGTGTGAACAAGGGGCAGTCAGTCATTGTTCCTACAGGAGGATCAAATGGTTGATCCTCTTCATCCCCAAATGCTAGAGGGTCCTCTTCATCCGCATCCTTTTTGTTTATGCGGTTATCTGGTACCTCGTAGCGAGCCTTACTAAGATCCCATAATCGAATAGTGGCATCCATGGATCCAGTTGCCACGATGTTATCTTCCACTTGCAACGCTCGTACAGACGCGGTGTGTCCCTCGAGCAACCCCATACATCTTCCGGCGTTTAAATCCCATACTCGTACACTGTCGTCGAGGGCCGATGTTACCATCGTTCCAAATGGCACATCAAAGTCGAGTGCTGTTATCATATCTCCATGGGCTTGAATTTCTCTTATCATGGACCCTGGCTCAAAATGTTCGTGTAAGATTGGCATGGATTTCCGTCGTATAGTTTTGTGCCTTTTAGCCTTTGTCGGTGTGCTGGAAGCTGAGGGTAACTTCTCGTATATAGATTCAGACATAAAAGAGGCATCAATTGAAGGATCATCCACCTCTTCAAGATCAACCTCCGCCTTCAGTGCCGCCTCATCTTCCAGCTGCTCCTGAGCATCTTCGAGTCTGGTTTCAACATCAAGGACTATATGTATTAGCAAACGGCATTGCATTCGAACATAATAATAACATACTATCATGTTCCAACATAGCCTCCTCCTGTTCCAGTCCGGCTAATCGATCAAGTACAATTTTTCGCATGGAATTGAGATTTGAGATTTTGCTATCGATTTCATGTATCTCGCTGCTCGCCATGTTCTTCCGTATTCCCATCATTTCCAGTTGGTGGTTCAAGTTCTTTTGTTCCCGTTTCAATTTCGAGAGCGAGGGGGGTGTGGAATCGGAATCCGACTTGTCATCCTCAAGTAATTTCCTTCCTCTCGAAACCTTCCTTTGATGCTTTTTACCTTTCGGACTATTGGAAGGACTGGTGGTGGGTAAAGTGGCTTGGAAGCCCTGGAACAGTGAGTATGTGTTCTCGTCATCCGGAATGTTCCTCAAGAGTTCGTCCGGGAGAAATGTAAGAGCACGATATTGTATCTCTGAAGTAGACAGCTTCGAACGAACAAGATCAGTCGGGCTCGTCTTTGCGAACGAGAAGACACTTCTCTGGAGATTTGGTCTTCGCAATTGCTTGTGCAAGTCGCTCATTGCATTGTGGTAATGGGTACTCGATGAGGCATCTAGAGGACCCATGAGATGTCCTGCCGTGGTGGTGACTTTTCTTCCAAAGGCTTCCAGTCCTCGAGTCTACCAAAGCGTTAATCCTGTCCTGAGAAAGCGGTGCGTGACTTGTTTACTGATATTATGCCAGATTCATCTTCCTCGGCGCCTCCAAATGGAGAGGCATTGCTGCTGCCCGAGCTAGCCATCCGTACTTATTCACCTTAGGTGAATCATATAGTTGCGGCACACCGTCAGACAGTTCTACCGAACCCGCGATCACAATGGCGTGAGGGATGTTTATAGAAGTCGGATTGTGATGTTTATCTTGGTCGTCTTGCGCTCAAGAATCCGATGATTCTGCGCCACGACGTGCTTCGTATGTGGCTGGTGCTATGACCCGCCTGCAGCTCCAGGGCAGGCGAGCTAGGTTCCGATATCACTCCGACCGCTTGTAAGCTTCCAGATTTCCCAGGTTGAAGTTACATTTAATTTATATTCTCCTCCCGCAGGTTACAGCAAGCCATTGGGCTCGAAATAGATAGCCTTGGTTCTCCCAAACTCTTTCCTTCAAATAATGCCCGCATCGTACACTATTTGTAGTGCCTGAGAATCTTCATTCATCCTCTATTTGTCGGAATTACCCCGCGACGTGAAAATGGAAGCCACTATAGATTTTTCTAATACCTCAGCAGCCGCAGCAAAGGCCTTAGATCTTTCAAATATCCGGTTTCAGCTAATGTATGGTCCTCGGGATTGATTTAAGACAGTTGCTAATCGTAAGATAGCCGTCTGGAGGATACAATCACCTTTCATTTGATTGAGCGGGTCCAGTTTCCACTCAATGGTACAATCTACAAGCCAGGCGCAGTCAGCATACCGGATAGCAATCTTTCGTTCCTCGATTGGTATCTCAGCGAGCGAGAGAGAGTCGACTCCTTGGTACGACGATTCGAATCTCCAGATGAATATCCATTTTTTCCTGCCGCTGTTCAAAAACCAATTTTGAAGCCTTTAAATTATCCCAAGATCCTTCACAAGAACAATGTCAATGTGAATGACAAAATCAAAAAGAGCTATATCGAGCATTTTCTTCCTGCGGCATGTGCGGATCCAGGACGAGATGATAAAGGAGAGGCCGATGAGAACTATGGTTCCGCAGCTACTGCTGATGTTGCGTGCTTGCAAGCTCTCTCGCTACGCATTCATTTCGGAAAATGGGTTGCGGAATCAAAATTCCGTACAGAGACTGAGCTGTTCACGCGGTTGATACGAGAAGGAGATAGAGAAGGTATTGGTCGCGCAATAACTAATGCCGCGGTCGAGAAAAAGGTATTAGAACGACTGGGACTCAAGGCTAGAACATATGGCACGGATCCCAGTGATGGTGTCGAAGGGCCAGGAAAGATTAATGCGGACGCGGTTGTGGCAATGTACAAAGATTTTGTCATTCCACTGACAAAAGAAGTCGAGGTTGAATATTTGATGCAGAGGTTAGACTCCGAATAGGCAGGAACAATGTGAAAGACATTAGCTTTCGAGAGTATGAGCATTACTGTGGAGGACTTAGATACTCGCAAATTGCTTTCACGGCCCCCTCAAATTTCGCAGCTTCTATAAGTAACATGGTCCCTTGTGCTTTGATACCCAGATCTTGAAACGCTCTTTTGCTGTCCGCCATTCCTTCGCCTTCATCCTTGGTGTATTCGTACGAACCAGATAGGAAAGCATGTCGTTGCAGGACCTCATCCTCTGGATGAAAATAGAAGGTCTCTTTGCTCCCCTTTCCAGCCTTACTCTTCTTCGTGCGAGGTGCATCCTCTTGGTCCAGCGAGGAAGCAATTTCTCTGTACGTCTTAGAAATGATCAGGTAGTGTGTAAATTTATATGGTTCCTCATCTTCCACGGCAGCCTCAATCTCGTCTATGAGCATAGTGTACATTGGTGGGGAGATCTCTGAGGGAACGTTGATTAGACGTTCGGCCAATATGAGTCCGACTTGGGAACTTGAATCTGATAGCACAGGTCCCAAGGCGGAGAGCTCAGGACTCGACTTCGACTTGTCGAGTATGTATGCCACCAGTGACTTGATAATTTCTTTTTCCCGGTGTTCGTGCAGATTCAGAATCGTGAGAAAAGCGTAGGCGTCCGTATCCTCGCCATCAACCTTGACCGTTGATCCTACGGTTGGCTGTGAGAGAATAAGATCTGCCAGAGCTGACAAATCGAACAATTGGTGATCTACGTCGAGGAGCTGTCTTAACAAACTCTTCGTTCCGTGAAAATCAATATCTGGCTTGAAATTGAACCATTCGAATTCCACATTGACCATGTCAATATCCTACGATCGCGTGAGCAGAGAGCCCTATTTGCGGACGAGGGGTAAATTGCACCTCATCACTGCCACTATCATCACCATCTGTTTTCGCTGGCGGCGCTTCTGCTAGGATCTCTGGATCTCTGTTGCGCTTCTTGACCATTTTGGCGGTAAGTACGTCTACACGTCTACCAGCTTGAGACGGTGGAACTGCGTGGTGATGTTCTATGGCCTAGACAACGGTAAAATATTTATTGGTCTCTTATCACCCGTGACATTACCGATAAGCGGAAAATTTTGGTCTGGACATGAACATGCTGCCCCGCGGTCCCCCTCCAACTTTGATCGAGTCATTTTTGGACACTTTCAAATCAGTCAATCCTTTACCTAAACAGTCTTTTCTTCTCATACCAATTACTTTACAAACTTGTCAAGATGAGCGACCATGGCGTCCTTCCAGATGAGCCTCACCAGACTTTTGACACGATTCTAACACTCGATTTTGGGTTCGTTTCCTAGTAGTAATCGATGCAGGGCAGGTTGACAAATATATTCTAACGATTGCGTAGATCTCAATACACTCATTTAATTACTCGGCGACTTCGCGAACTGAACGTTTACTCTGAGATGCTACCGTGCACCCAGAAACTATCCGAATTGTCCTGGTCTCCTAAAGGCATTATCTTGTCTGGTTCCCCCTACTCTGTCTACGAAGCAGATGCCCCTCATGTTGACCCGGCCATCTTTGAACTTGGCGTGCCAATTCTCGGTATATGCTATGGATTGCAAGAGATTGCCTGGCATCATGGAAAGAACGTTGTTGCTGGCACAGAACGCGAATACGGACATTCCCAGTTACAAGCCAAGCGAGTGGATGGACATGTTGACAAGCTTTTCAAGGACTTGGAGGACGACCTCAAGGTTTGGATGTCACATGGAGACAAGTTGGGAGCTCTTCCTCCGCAATTTCACACCGTCGCGACCACAAAAAATGCACCGTTTGCGGCTATTGCGCACGAGACCAAGTCCATATATGGAATTCAGTTTCACCCAGAGGTAACACATACGCCGCGGGGAATCAAACTACTTGAGAATTTTGCAGTTGGGATATGTGGAGCGAAGCAAAACTGGACTATGGATATGTTTGTCGATAAGGAAATTGCCAGGATTAGAGCTCTTGTGGGTGAAAAGGGTCAAGTGCTTGGGGCGGTTAGTGGAGGAGTCGACTCGACGGTAGCAGCTAAACTCATGCATGAGGCTATTGGCGACCGTTTTCACGCTGTTTTGGTCGACAATGGTTGTATGCGCCTTAACGAATGTGAACAGGTCAAGAAGACGCTGACTGAAAACCTCGGTATCAATCTCACAGTTGTCGATGCAAGCGATCTCTTCCTCGACGGCTTGAAAGGAATTCATGATGATCCAGAAGCCAAGCGAAAGTTTATCGGTGGAACCTTCATTGACGTGTTCGAGGCCGAAGCCTTGAAAATCGAAACCGCGGCTGCCAACTCTGCAAAAGCAGGGCGCATAGAGTGGTTTCTTCAAGGAACACTTTACCCAGATGTGATCGAGTCCATCTCCTTCAAGGGCCCGTCGGCAACTATTAAGACTCATCACAACGTAGGCGGTCTTCCCGAGAGAATGATGAACGGCCAAGGCCTGAAATTGATTGAACCGCTTCGCGAGCTCTTCAAAGACGAAGTCCGCGAGTTAGGTCGTAAGCTCGGAATCTCCCACGAACTTGTAATGCGCCATCCATTCCCTGGACCTGGAATCGCCATTCGCGTTCTCGGTGAAGTTACCAGATCCCAAGTCGAGATTGCTAGAAAAGCGGACCATATCTTCATTTCGGAAATCCGAGCCGCAGGTCTTTATGACCAAATATCACAGGCCTTCGCAGCTCTTCTTCCCGTAAAGGCGGTTGGCGTGATGGGGGACAAGAGAGTTCATCAGCAGGTCATTGCTTTGAGAGCTGTGCAGACCACAGATTTCATGACGGCGAACATATTCAGATTCGATTGGGAGTTTTTGGAGAGAGTTAGTACGAGGATTGTGAACGAAGTCGACGGTGTTTGTCGGGTCGAATACGATCTGACCTCGAAACCGCCTGGGACCATAGAGATGGAATAGACGAAGCTCATTCTCTCAGATACCTAATTAGGTACTCATGTCACTAGACTGGATACCCTGCGTGCTTTGTATTTGGGCGTTTTGCTTCGAACATTGTTTAATCTGCGTTGCCGGGATTATAGAACAGTTTTTTGCGGACACACAATGGCGTTCTATTGGTATGTTAGCCCGCTATCACGAAGAAATCAGAAATTGTAGTCTTGGTAGGTGTGTAATTATCTACTTTCCTATCCTATTCGAACCATTCCATGCGTGAGGCATTATCACTCAACGAACCGATTATACCCCCCAATCACCAAAGCATTTCGACTCGTCACCTAATGCATCTTAAAATACTAGCCTGATTTATAAACCACAGCCAGAACACCTCGTTGTCATTCCACTTCCAACCAGTGGACACTAACTTTGTCCTCCTTCGCACCCGGACGCTCCGTACCTCATCGCGAGTCGCCCCCCCATCAAATAGTGAATACAAGAATTGGGTATATAGAAAGGAAAATATTGTAGCGTATGTAAGCTCACTTGTGCATCTTCCGGCACGAGCACGTATCTATCCAGAATAATTTGTCATCTGTCGTCGGCAAAATTATCAAAAGTGACCCTTTAGCGGTTGATAAACCGGAGGCCTTCGTTATTAGCGTATCGCGGATGCAAATAAAGGGCTATGCAAATGACAGTCTATAAGAATATGGCGTTGAGCTTTGGGTATTGCTCGGACAGTGTTGAGCATGTGGAGCGCGCGATAATGGGTTGTCGTTGTGACTCGATGCGCTTGTTGTGAATATAACATGTAAAAACTCGAATCCGAACTCCTGGACCAAAACATAACACCATCATGAGCCGTGGAAATAAGAAAGCGAAGAAGCATAATTCGGATCATCATGTGTTGCCGCCGTGAGGGCCAGTCGAGGTCGTTTCTGTAGAACCATCTCCCTCGATGGTTTTCCTCCAATGGTCTGGCAAGCATACACAGACTAGTGGGAATGCCTTGATCTCTCCACTGGCATTTGGGGATGAGCCAGAAGTGTGGGAGACGCCGCTATCGCGTTGTGCTTGCTTCTTTACTTCCCAGTCTTCGGCATTTTCATTTATCAGAACCCCGGTCGCCCATCCATCGTCCCATATGCCTACGACCTTGAGCATGTCACCTCGTTCTAGAGCAAATTCGTCACCGGCTCTGGGTTGATAGGCCCAGAGCGTGGCAACCTTGTCTCCAGGGTGGATTTCATCAGACGAATAATAGTCTTTGAAGAACGGCAACTGCTCCGATTGCTGACTTGCCACTCCTTGCGGTGATGACATGTCTCCGCCACTGCCAGAGTGTGGTGATTGAGGGTCGTCGAAACCCAAGGCGGAGCTGCTAGATAGAGAGCCATTCCGTCGTGCGGTTGGAGGAGGTCTCAATATACCGCCATTGTTATTAGAGACTGGACTATACTCATCTGACGATGATTCGTGTCTGCGGCTCCGTCCAGCAGCATAGGCAGCACCGCCGCTCGCCCCAGACAGTGCAGTGCCGGCTCGGGTCTCACGGGGTGGTGATTCTGCTTGAGCTTCTAGAGCTGACATTCGGGCAATCCGTCCTCCTGGAAGGACTTCATATCCCTCTGGCGTAGTATTAGTGGCGGCGACAGGGTTGTAAGCCATGCTCTGTCCTTTCCTTGCGGGTGAAGGTTGATTAAATACGCTTCCTTGGCTTCCCGGACGACGTTTCCTGAGGCAGAGCACGAGAAGAAAAAGAAGGGCTGCTAAAGCCATGACCGCGGCGATGGAACCGATGACAATCCCAGCAATGGCTCCGCCGCTCAATCCACTCCGACGGGAAGAACCTGATGGTGCCGTATTGGTTGCGGACGCGGATGCTACCGAAGTCGGCACTGCCGTTGATGATGCCGTTGGTGAAGCGGTAGAAAATGTCATGAAGGCAGTAATAGTAGGCAACACTACATCGGCGCACCTCTCGTCTGCTCGGGAGTTGTAGCAGCACGTGTCTGTGCTGTTCTGCCCTCCCGAGCCACAATATTGACAAAGTCCAATCGTACTGTTACCGAATCCGCAATTGGTTGGTTCGTTTGCTGCACCATCGATGCAGGTACCGCTCAGAGAGTTTGCGGGCAAGGCGCAATTGGTGAAGTCAGCTCTGATCTGCCTATCGGCATTACCACCCGGATTGGTGCAAAGGGCGTTGTTGGCAACAATCAATGCTTCACTCTCTGCGTTGTCGGCCTACACGAATATTAGTATAGTTCTCTTCACCTAGATCGATGCACTCACACACGCCGATGCGCATATCGGACGAGAGTTGGCCGACGAAAGGCCACAAGGCTGCACCGAGTTCTGTACAATTGCATTGCAAAGTACGCTCTTCGTAAAGCGGGCGTAGAGATTGGTGGTGTTGGCTAAGTCAACATTATCGCAACCAAGCAATTCTTGATACCTACTGGCGATTAGCTCCGAAATGTCACGGTAGGTCTCTGGGGAAACGTACTTCTGTTGCGCGTAGCCTATTGACACGTACGAGCGCAATTGTTCATCGAACGTTGAAGTATTCGTAACGGAACGCAGGAATGGGCTAAAATAGCCCGGTTAGCCCGAGACGTCAAACACAACCGTGATAGACCTACAAGTATCCTCTAAGCGTTTCGTCTGTTGTTGAAATCGAAGCTGCACTGAACGCAGGACATTCAGTCGAGCCAGAAAGCGACACGCAATTCTGATTCTGTGCCAGAACCATCGGCGCCGTCGCTAGAACTGACCACAGCGCGGTTTTGACACCAAAGGTCATCGTCCGTGGTTTGCGCGTGTGCTGTTCTCCGCAAGCTCTCGTCGAAATCGAAGGCATCGCCGCGCGAGAGAGATGAGCGTCAGAGCGGTGACAATTGGCATCGTCGCTCGACGGTAGGTGAACGGCAGCAGTGTTGTTATTGTGGTCGTGGCCTTGTTCCCAGGTGTCCTCCCTCATAATTCGTTTTGGCTGGTCCTGGTTCCTCCTCCGAAATTCATGGGACGCGCGACCCAAACGGTTGACCACGGGTGATCTTTTCCTCCTTTCAGCAAACCGCGACAGCAAATTATGTCGAGGCCAAAAAAGCGAATATTATTGTATGCAAAAGACCGACTTCGCGAATGGCGTTACGCGATGGTCGAGGCCTGGGAGACTGAAAAGTCTACAGCAGAAGAAGAGAAATTGCAAACGAATGTGAGGTCGTATCCAAAGGACCAAAAGAGCGTGGGTGGTGGAGGTGGTTGGGTGCAGGCGTGAGGACGGGAGGTGAGTGGGAGTGGGAGGAGAAGAAGGAGGGAGGTAACTTTCCAAAGGGGAAAGGGCCGGTCAAAGCCTGGACGGGGCGGAGGACGGGCAACGGGAGGTGAGCTGGTGCTGGTGCTGGAGCTGGAGGCCTGTGCAGATTCTGCTGAGACGAGACAGGAACCGAATTGGGAATTTGGGAGTCGCTGCTGCAGTGCTGCACAGGCACGCTGAGATCCGATGAGAGAAGAATACCTAGGTAATGGCGCGCGCTGTTGATCTTTATGCACAATATTTGAATGTTTGGAGACATGGTAACGACATGGAATTATTGCGGTCAGGCCATGGCCCGTCTGGTCAGTGACCCATGGCCGGCCCCATAAGAACAACGAACAACGAACAACGACCCAATACAGATCCGAACACCAGAGCAAGAGATGGACGAGCTGAGGGCCCTGCTACTGTTTAAAACGGCAGTGACTCGAAGACAATTCGGAAAATAAAAGGCGCCGGTTGCTGTGGGAAGCATCATCCTCGACGCAAGCGTAAAGTCTACCGCTTAAGCTGCCGTGTTAGTGTATGCAATGCTTCTCATCTCAATTGGGGAACACAACATGGCCAGGAAATCTTTGCTCGTATGCGGTAAGCTTCAGCTTGTGTAGCACTCAATATCTGGCTAAATGGGTGAGGTTGATGATGGGCGAGGTACAAAGGCCGTGGACTGACAGTAAACCGCCATCAACATTCAACAATCAGCATTTCTGACCTGTCTTTAGTTGGTAGTAAGTCTTCTCTCTGGTGCACAGAAGCTAGTATGTTACAGTAGTGATATCGTTCGATCTGGTCATGTTCGGGACGAGCCCGGTCACCACGCTAGGTACTTCACTGCGTATCTTTCGGGTTTTTTCATTGTGACAAGCTAACTAACAAAGGTCAAATTTAAACCTAACGAGCACTTTCCAACTAGTGCGTAAACAGCGCGATGAATGTCGACTCTCCAACCTGGAATGTGTCCCGGACGAAACAGATCTTGTCCAGAAGAAAGCATAGAGCCGTGTAGCCATCGCAGAATTGCATTAAATGCCCGGTCACAAACGGCCAACAGTTTATCTGTTGAACGCATGGCCGAGTGATAAATTTGTCCGATCAAACATAATCCACTACTGCCGTACTACTATGGTTGTCTAGGTGCATGAAACTTCCAGGTACCCGTTGCACTTACCAAAGAAGATAAGTCTAAAGCCCTGGCATAACTCAACCAGCAGAAGGACTGTAATAGAAGGTATGAATCTCAACACATAGCGAGGATTACAAAACTTCCAAAGTCCTACTGGTCGTAAGACACTTGCTAGGGAACAATACAAAGAACTGTCACCTCTGTGGAGCACTCGAGAAGCCTCACTCTCCAGATACGATCAGTGACGAAGCTTTCAGATACGTACCGGCTAAAGTATGAGAACATGACAATTGAAACTGTTGATTCTCCAGCCTCTCGAGGCTCTAGTACTTTTTCTTGTTCTTGTTGTTCTTCAAGCCTCACAGTAGTAAAAACGCACAAGAAAAGGATGCATTAGAGCTCATGGATTGGCGCATCATCATCATGCGTACCGAACCTCTTGTTAAAAGGCTTGCACAACACATAAAACATTATTTCTTTAAGCTTGTGTCAAACAGCGGTTGAGCTTTACGTCCAACATTGACAAATTGACAATGCTTACCCGGATCCAAGCAGTCGGAATAATCAACATTAAACCCCTAGCAGTTGGACACTTATGCATTATCTTCCTGGACTTGTAAGGAAACTATTCGGGAGGATGGCTCAAGTTCAACCACCTGGAGGTATGAAATCGCTTTGTGATACAGTGCTGGCCTAACTTTCAATGGTCAAAATCAAACGACTATCGTCAACGCGTAATTGATGTGTCGTGTCTTTTGTGTGTGGAATACTGGCTGCTGTGCTGTGAAAGTTACTCACTGTAGAAACCACCACAAGGCTGGGCTGGAAGGGGCGGCCAATGGGAGTCCGCTATAGCAAGAATTACCCAAATGAGTTAAAATTAACTGTTATCATTGGTGGTATCGACGCTGTCCATCGAAGCAGATGTTCTCGTTTGCGGATTCGACAACGTCAGCCGCTTGGAGATTTGCAGCAAGGATGTCGAGGTTTTCCGAAATTAGCAAACGGGTGGTGAATATTATCCATGCTGATACTCGGTCTGGATATGGGATAGTTTTGAACTCGGTTTGATCGACATGAGGTTTTTGGACTAACTCATGGCTACTCGTAAGTTCTGTTTCCTTGGGCTCAGGTTTATGGCTATTTTAATCTGGTTTTTCTAATGTTAAATGATGTTTAGCAGCCCGAGTTTGTAATCGAATGGCCAATTGCACCCAGGTTTTCGAGAACCTGCAGCTCGTGCAGCAATTTCGCTGCTGTCGACAAGTCAGATCACGGATCCACGAAACAAAACGAAACGAAACGAATCATTGTTCAATTATAATCAAAAATGCGACAGAATTAGTAGAGGGATAGAAAAGGGCTCGAGCGCGAACCATGGAAATGTCTCAGACAAGGCGACAGATTGAGAAGTGACAACAACAGTCGCATTTATTTGGCCAACTGAAAGCGCGAACGTCTGAATGAAAAACATACAGCGATATAATGATACATAAGCTAAGAAGAGGCTGGCAGCTTTGTAAAGGGCTATCAACATCTTGGCAGAATAAGTTGACGAGGCCGAAAACATGCCTACGAGCTCCAGCGCTCGTCTTAAGACACTGTAGGAGATGGCACAGCTTAGTCTAATTAGGAAAGACTCATAAAAAAGAGTAGGCGAGCCGTTCGATAGTCTAGCCATAGCAATTTTCTGCGATAGAAATTTATGATTTGGCCGGCTCTGTACTACGGCTCACAGCTTAGTTCTAAGGGGTGGAAGCAGGACGAATCCACGCTTAGACAGTCCACTTTAGATAAAGATTATATATAAAGCTCGAGTATCTATTTAGGTGTACAAGTATGTGGTTCAGATTAAATATTGAGGAATTGCCAGACTACAAGACTCTTTCCCCCCAAATTAATATACTCGGCGAGGTATAGCTAAAATTCGTTCTAGTGAGCTAGTGCTATATAACCACTTTAACCCAAATAGTTCCAGAAGCTCTAGGCTGTACCTACTTTGGGAAAACGCCACGCTGCCGAGGATTTCAGAAGTATGTTAAAGCATACACTACTGCCGTATAGAGTAGGTGCCGACTCGACTACTCTTTTGAACTACGGCGTTCGATGGCTACACCACCACATTGGGGTTAAAAACTGAGATGGATTGCTAGATGCCTAGCATGAAAGAAGAACCCCACGCCAGCCACTTTGGCAAATAACCTGTTTCTTCTTTTTGAATCAGATGCGATGAGTGTCACTTTCTCAAAACCATATACGTAGCTTGTCCAATCTCTTTACCTGCCGTTTTAATTTTCACGAAGGGTCGAGTAAGGATCCAAAGGGCGAAATTGATCAATTTCAGTCTACCAGTCCTCAGATCAATAATGGTACAGTTCGAGTGTACTTATCCACAGATGTGTGTGGTGGGGTAAAATCAAATTCGACGCCGAGTGGGTATTTAGATCATGACGTAGGTTCATCCCCCACTAAAATCTAGCGTTACCACCTCTTGCGCACATCAACAGCTTCCATTCTTACAATAAACTACAGATAAAATACTCTCTTCTCATTCAGCTCACTTCTTCAGCCTCTACAAACAAAGCAATTCGAGTTTCAGTAAATACACTCTCCACCATGAGCGGAACCTCCAACGTTGGTCAGAGCTCGGTATACGAGGCTGGTGATCAGAGAAACGTCCCTCAATCAGAAATCGAGCAGCAAAAGAAAGATGATAGATTCCACGAGGGAAAGGAGCATAGCCACAAGGCCAATGACTCAAGTAAGTCCCACCACCGAGGAGGTTTTACACGAAATGCTAACCAATACCCAGAGGATGAGAGAACCATTGCCAACAAGCTCGAGCGTGAATCCAAGGTAAGCCGCATAAACGGAACCCTCAATCTAGCATTCCAGAGAATTAGCTTTCTAACAAGCAACTAGCGAGAGCAAGAGGGAGAGGAGGATACCAAAGAGGTTGCAGCATTGAAGAAAGACCCAACTCTCCCTGTAAGTTGAGCCACAGGATTCATAGTCTTTACAAGGAGCCATCACGTCTTTGCAATGGCAAAAGTCCGTTCTGACATGTTCCTGCAGGCTAAAATGCACGGTAACGAGCCATCCAAGGGTGCAAAGGTCGACGCCGAGCTTCAAAGGGAGGAGGAGGAAGAGTTAAAGAGAAAAGGCAAAGCTTAGACTAGCTTTATAGTTGTGATTCACTGAGCAATACTGGCTAAAACAATAAGAGTTCGAGAGCATACATAGCACAGCGTAGAGAAGTATATGTGTGTTGCAAGAAAAACAGAGATTGTACAATATGTCGAGGTAGGGAGCATGGTTGAGTGACTTGACCCACTTGCTATTTGTGACTACAGTAATGCATGCTTTGCTCCTGACTTGGAATTTGTGTAGAAAATGTGGAACCTAGGAATCGTGCCCTAATTCATCTATCGCGATATTGTAGATAGGTTATTCATTCGGGTTGTTTAAGTAGACGTTTTACACGTGAGATTGTTATTGTTATCCAAGACTACCCCTGTCGCGTGATCGACTTCGGCTTCGAGAGCTCCAGCCTGGGTCTTGCACAACGTCCAACATTGCGTCACGGCCCGATATCGACAACCACCATGAACACAACAATGTATTCATGCCAACTGAATATTCCCTGAGTGTTCTGCGATCTGGGCTACACCTCCAGCAGCGTTGGATGCCTGACCGCCCCGGCTACCCATCCGCTTCGACTTCAATGACTTTACCTATTTGAAGACCCAGAGCTCCCAGCACGATGGGTCAAGGGTTCTCTCTCACTGCCCTTGCAGCGGGATCGGCTGGTATAGACGTACAAGAGTTAAATGATTTAGTGTACGAAAAGTCGATGGGAAATGCCCGATTCATGAAGAGTATTCGAGCTCGGCATCGTGATGGAGTGGTCCTGGTTAAAGTGATGGTGAAGCCATATCAGATGAAGCTAGAAAAGTATAAGCGGAAGATAATCAGTGCGTCTCTGTCTGTATGGCTGTTTCATAAAGCTAACATTTATTAGAGGAGAGGAAAGCCTTAGCTGACGTCCCCAATGCGCTTGCATATCAACGAGTCGTCGAAACAGACACAAACGGATACCTCGTACGACAGTTTTTACATAGCTCACTGTACGATCGCATAAGCACACGACCGTTCCTTGAGGATATTGAAAAGAAATGGGTAGCTTTCCAGCTTCTGTGCGCTTTACGAGACTGCCACGGCCGGGACATTTTTCATGGGGATATCAAGACAGAGAATACCTTGGTCACATCGTGGAACTGGCTATATCTGGCAGACTTCTCGTCATCATTCAAGCCTACATATATGCCATTGGACAATCCTGCGGAATATCACTACTTTTTTGCAACCTCTGCGAAACGAGGCCCCCAGACACAACCGTGTTATACGGCACCAGAACGTTTCGTTGCTTCCGGGAAAGAAGCAGACCCTGACGCTCCTATAACCTGGGCCATGGACATCTTCAGTGCCGGATGCGTGTTGGCGGAACTCTTTCTGGAAGGCCCTTTGCTCACTCTGGAGAGTTTGTTCCGATACCAACGGGGAGAGTTTGACGTCAAGACTCAACTAAGTCGAATTGTGGACAAGGATGTAAGAGACTTGATCGCGCACATGATCCAATTAGACCCCGAGAAGAGGTTTTCAGCAGAAGAATACCTCCAGTTCTGGGCGAAGAAGGTCTTTCCAGACTATTTTTACAGCTTTCTTCATCAGTATATGGGCCTTGTCACCGATCCATCATCAGGTAGAAATCCAATATCTGGGGCATCTGCGAATCTTGGAGAACCCGATGAACGAATTGACCGCGTGTGGTTGGATTTCGACAAAATCTCGTATTTTCTTGGCTATGGAGACGGAAACGAGAAAAGAACAAAATCAAATCGTGTCCCATCTGGCCATGGGCTGGACTTGTTCCCCGTACATCTCAACATTCCAAACAATGAGCATCCCCTTACCGTAATGGACTCGAAGAAGTCAGTAGATGATGGGACCCCTATATTTCTCGCGCTGGTGGTGGCCTCCCTGCGGAATACAGCTCGTTCAGCAGCTAAACTACGGGCCTGCGACTTGCTACTGGCATTTTCAGAGAGACTTACGGATGAAGCGAAACTTGACAGAGTCTTGCCACATTTTATTATGTTATTGTACGACCCTGCGGATGTTGTTAAGGTCGCCGCCATTCGATCTATGACCCAGCTATTGGCACTGGTAACTGTGGTTTCACCGATGAATGCACATGTTTTCCCGGAGTATATACTCCAAAATACACAAGAACTCCTTCATGGATCCAAGAAGAAGCCTAGACCGCTTGTTCGTGCAACTTATGCAGCTTGTTTAGGAAGCCTTGCTACGTCTGCATCTCGCTTCCTTGACATGGTTGCGACCCTGCGAGCTGACGGGTCTCTTCCAACCATCGATACAGAGACCGATGATGGCATCAAAAGCCATACGGGAGCACAAGGCTTGTTTGACAACACTCGCGCGGAGCTCATCATCGAATTAGAAGCGCATACAAAATCACTCATCACGGACCCAGATACTTCGGTGAAGCAGGCCTTTCTCGGCTCGGTTCCAGAGTTGTGCATGTTCTTCGGAACAGCAGACTCGAACGATATCATCTTGAGCCATTTAAATACCTATCTGAACGACCGAAACTGGATACTGAAGTGCGCTTTTTTTGAAACTATTGTAGGCGTGGCTACTTTTCTTGGTGGCACTAGCTTGGAAGAATTTATGCTACCACTAATGGTGCAAGCCCTCACTGATCCCGAAGAATTCGTGATCCAGAGGGTCCTGCATTCATTTGCGACCATGGCTGAGCTTGGCTTATTCTCACGGTCGAAAACATGGGAGCTTGTTGATGTGGTTGGCCGCTTTACTATGCACCCAAACATTTGGATCCGAGAGGCCGCAGCGATGTTCCTTTCTGCGTCAACACTCTTTCTTTCGATGGCTGATACCCAGTGTATTATCCTACCCCTAATCAGGCCTTATCTCAAGAATCCTCTTAGGGACCTCTCAGAACTCAGCATACTTGGCAGTCTAAAGAAGCCTTTCTCCCGCTCCTTACTCGACCTGTCCATCACTTGGGCGCTGAAGGTTGACCGAGGCATTTTCTGGAAACAAGCTACCAAACTACGCACCTTTTCTTTTGACTCGAACAACACCATTCCGACAATCTTGTCGAAAGACCTTGGCCCCCACGCATTGCAAAAGATCCCGAAGAATGAGGAGGATGAACAGTGGCTGAAAAAGCTTAGAAACATGGGTTTGACCTCGGAGGACGAGTTCAAGTTGCTATCTATGAGGGAGTACATTTGGAGATTGTCTGCGTCGAAGGCCCATGAACCTGCCAGCCAGACCTCGAATCTCAACAATATTATCAATCTACGCAAAATCGGCATCACACCACAGACAGTATTATTTGACGAGAAAGCGATGACCGAGGAGGTTGAGCAAGTTATCAAACGAGTGTTCAACGAAAGTAACAAGCCGCACACAATCGCGGATGCGCTACTAGATGCTTCAATGACAATTGATGACCCTATCGCGATTCGCCGCCGATCAGCATTCAATAGCCACCAGTCAAAGCGTAGCACCCGTGAGGGACTATCTCCGACAATGCCGGCTGGTCACGATAACGCTTCTCCTGTTTCTACGCCTGGAACCCCCCGAGAGACTCACAACACCACATCATCAAGGTTTCCTGGATCATCAAGGCCATCCAGGCCGAGCGTGACCCTTAACGGGAGTCGTAGACCCAGCGATGATGATACAAGTTCGGTCCCGGATACATTGTCGAGCCTCAACTCTAGGGATCACAATCACACTATTAATCATAGAACCAGCGCTATGGACTTGATAGGCCGAAAGGATTCCGCAAAGTCATCAAAGTCGTCGCCTGAAACGGCTACGAGTTCTACCAATGCTTTCGGTAAAGTAGAGGGGCCCTTCTCAAATGCCGGTGGCGACCCCTCAGCACTGGCATTGGCTAGAGGCATGGACAGTGGCACGAATGATCGGATTAAATTCAGAGGCGCTCACACATACACAGGCAACGATCCGAGCATTCTCAAGATGCTCGACGCCATGTATGTGGACAATTACCCAATGGATATCGCTGTATTCGGGCCAATAATTGCCCCATCCAGTCGATCTAAGGCTTTAAGTAGGAGTACCAGTCAGCCAGTCACCCAACCCTGGAAACCTGAAGGCATTCTAGTCACAACCTTTTCAGAGCACGTCGGTCCTTTACACCATATCTCTATTGCCCCCGACCACGTGTTTTTCCTTACTGGTGGAGACGACGCGTGTGTAAAAGTCTGGGATAGTGGTAGGCTGGAGCGCAACATAGCTCATAAGTCTAGGGCGACCCATAAACATGCTGTCGGCGCTCGAATCTCTGCTCTATGCTTTGTCGAGAACACTCACTCTTTCATCAGCTGCGCCAGCGATGGAACAATCAACGTAGTTCGAGTTGATTGCGTGCAACATAGCGGAGTGATGAGATATGGTAAGCTACGAGTAGTCCGGGAATATCAACTCCCAAAAGGTGAAATGGCGGTGTGGGCGACAAACTTCAAAGTGGAAACTAATTCGACGTTATTAATCGCCACAAATTTATCAAGGATTATAGCCATCGATTTGAGGACGATGGTAGTTCTATACACCATGGTGAATCCGGTTCACCATGGAACGCCTACTTGTTTTGTGGTTGATAAGAAAAGACAATGGCTGTTGCTTGGTACATCACATGGAGTATTAGATCTTTGGGATCTGCGATTCAGAGTTCGACTTAAGGCTTGGGGCGTGCCAGGCGCCACTTCCATATACAGAATTGAGTTACATCCAACGAAAGGCCGTGGGAGGTGGGTGTGTGTAGCGGGCGGAAGTGGACAAGGCGAAATCACCGTTTGGGATGTTGAGAAGACGCAGTGTAGAGAGGTATATCGAGCAATAGGCAGTCGCCAAAGTCCTAAAGGATACGAGCCATGGCCAGTAGATGAGGATCGCCCAGAAGGTATGTTAGGCCGCTTCGCGACTGCAATAGAGTCGACAGGGTCCAGCAATTCTGACCGTGGAGTTCGTGCGATGATCACTGGAACGGACAGCCATGACAATGGACGAGAATCTACGAAATTAGGCTTCATAGTTACGGGAGGCTCGGACAGGAAGGTTCGATTTTGGGATTTGGATCGCGTTGAGAATTCAATGGTTGTGAACGGTCTTGATATTGAAGAGAAAGTGCCTACATTTAGTTCAGCACATCCCACCCCAACCTTAACGCTCAGCACAGAATCAGCTGGACGCCCCAATCCAACAGCGCCGAATGCGGGTGCTAGCTCGAAGTCTTCAAGTACCAGATCCGTTAGTACCAAGCCTCCGAGATCTACCGTAATATCACTCCAGCAACAGCAACTCTTAAAGTCACATCTTGATTCGATTCTCGATGTCGCGTTATTAGAATCTCCATACGGCATGTTGATCTCAGTCGACCGGTCAGGGGTTGTATTTATATTTCAGTAGAATCGGTAATTTCTTGCACGCATTGAGGGGCGTTTGAGCTTCGGGGGATGCATTTATTGGTATTGGGCTTAGAAATTTTTGATTTAGTAGTTGCCAGAATGTAAATATCCTTGTGCTTGATGTCTAAATTGTGCCATAATGACAGCCATTTTTTCAGTCAATGAATTGGAAGTGTCCGAAAGGTACAGGAAGTTAGGCATATACCACTTTGGGACTAGCGCCGTAATGGTGGTTCAAACCACAACCACCTCGAAATTTATGGAGGGGGAACCTTTCAGCCTCGCCTGCCCACGACCACATACGACATCACAATCTATTCCCACCCCCAGTTTCCAAAAACACGAGGTACGATCGACTCAATATGAGGCTCACCGCAGAGCTCATTCAAAACTCCCTATCCTACCTCAATCCGCTCAATGAGCGCGAACTAGATCTCAGAGGTGCGTTGTATGAACTGAAAAGAACTGATACTACACTTTGAAAACGAGCTATGTTGATATTCAATTCCTATCTTTTTTGGGAGCAGGTCATAAAATTCCCGCGATTGAGAACTTGGGGGTTGCTGGCGTACGTCTTTACCCTTCGATCCCAAAATCTGGCTCTTGCTGACCATGTGCACTCAAGCCTCACGATGCGATCGACTTTACAGACAACGATATCCAGCTGCTAGGAAATTTCCCACTCTCACCTAGGCTGTGCACCCTCCTTCTTGCGCGGAATCGTGTCACCAGTATCCAGCCCTCCCTTGCGAATTCATTGCCGAACTTGACGACATTGGTACTCGCTGCCAACAACATCAACGAGCTTGCGGATTTAGATGTCCTGTCAGGGTTTGCGAGGCTGATGCATCTGGTGTTGATGGAGAATCCCGTCTCGAGAAAGGATGTGCGTGTCTCGGCTTGTGTCATTTGTAGAACGAAAATGTCCGGGTTGCTAATGTTTGGTAGCATTATCGGAGTTGGGTTATTTGGAGGTGTCCTACTGTTAGATTTCTGGACTACAAGAAGGTCAAGGACTTAGAGAGGCAAAAGGCAAAAGATCTGTTTGGAACCATCCAAGAACCATCAGTGCTGGCTTCAAAGGTACACGTTGAAATTTTACTCGAAATAAGAATAACAAGTAAGCTAACTTCAAGTCAGATCATGGGTGTTAAATCAAAAACATTCGATACGCCATCAGCGAACGGTATTGCGGCAGCCTCGACATCAAAGAATTATCGAGTAAAGCTCACAGATAAAGAGCGGAAGAAGGTGGAGGAGCTGATTCGTAACGCGAAGAGCTTACAGGATATCCAACGTTTAGAAAAGGAGCTGAACGAGGGACGGGTACCTGCCGCGGCACAAGGCGCTGACGATGCAATGGAAGAGTGAACATGGCATACATATGAATTTCGGCGTTATCAGTGGTGAAAAAAGTATCAGGCGTTTCAGAATTTGGAGAGGACATAACATCGCTCGGTGAAAATTTGTGCTATACTAGTGGTATAGAAGAGTATTGTAGTATAATTTCACACCAGATCTACTATTACTCGTCCTTTATTATTATAGTATGGCCAGCCGATGCCAAAACAATCGACCAGGAAATGAGCTCGATGTTCAGCTCATTTCAATATCCTGCAAGCTCTCGTCGCCATTGACACTCGAACCTCTCCGAAGATTTTCTAGTTCCAGCTGCTTATTTGGATCCTCCTCCCTGTCTTCTGCCGCCCTGTCGTCTTGTTCGTTTCCATTCATGACAGCGTCAATCGCACCACCATTGCCACTTCCAGATGAAGCACCATTGCTTCCAACAACGCCATTCAAAACCTCGTTTCCGTTGGGTCCAAAAGGCGATACATATGGGCCTGTTGTGTTGGCTGTGTGGGCTGCTATGTTTGCTGATGTGTTGCCTGCTCCCGATGAGGTTAGTGCTTTACTTGTTTTGATGGTTTTGAAGGGCACAGTCCGTGGAACCACATCAACTAGGAACTCCAGATTATCAAGGCGTGCTACTGCATTTGCTATAAACTTGTTAGTAGGATTCAGGGGATGTAGTTATCAAGGGATGTAAAAACGCTGTGAAATAAAAATCTGGTGATTAAGTGAGGGCAAAGGTAACAAATTGACCCCTACTTGATCGTGGCCCCCTTTATCTCGGCTAGCCAGGACGGACTCGAGAGGGTATTGTATAAGAGCACGTTGAGAGTATAACATACCAAGATCGCGATACTGGATATTACGTCGAGGTTTACGTTCTGATTTGACAACAGTATGGCCTTGTTCTGCTAGATATTGAATGAACATTTCCTTTGGAATGTTTAGTCATTGCCATGTGTAGCCACCCCTTTCAGACTTACAGTTGCTACTGCAATAGTGAACGCAGCATTCATCGCGCAAAGCTGAATCTCGGCGTCGAGCATGATCATTTTCTTGACGCGTGATACTACAGGTTATAAGTGAAAGCTTACCGAGCGGGAATCCGATACGCTTACGAGGTAATTGAGTGGTGCCCGTGGGTTCTCGCTGAGGAGGAATTGCAGTGTTGTTGTAAGGCATGATTTCGCTCGTGGAAAGAGCTTGACGATAATGAATTATTGAAGAACACAAAGTCAAAATACCCAGCTCATTGACCAAACACAAAGTATGCAAGAAGAGTCTCGGATTTCCTTCCTGTTTAAGTTGTCAGTTACTGCCAGCGGATCATGCTTCTTTTTTTTTGGAGAGGAGAAAAAGAGTTGATGTGGAAAGTACAACTGTTAAAGCGACGTGCGTAGCCGTTTGAGTCAACCCGTTGAGGCCGGACGTCAAACAAAAGAAGCGAGAATACAGGGAAACACGTCCACTCCTCAGAGCTAGATGATTATCGCAAGAGACAGGAAATTGAAGCAAGGAATTCTGCACTAAGACGGCCGAAGTGTGGTGTATTGCTTTGATACTTTTGGAGTATTTAAATATGGAATACGTTGTAACGAGCCCAGGACGATTCGGCACTGGACGAGAACCCAGACCTGAAATGTTTAATGAAATCATCCACTTAATCCTCAATGAAAACGACACGTACCTCGAATCTCTTGATATTATGAATCGCACACGGTGGTGAGACGTACGAAAATTGACGGGCTTGCGACAAGTAAAACCGTAAAACGCGAAGCACGAAGCGGAAGTGGTAAAGAATACCTGTCACGTGGCTAGCCTGGTTTCAATATCCAGGGGTCTCGTTCACCCATTCCTCTGTACAGTATACAGTTTGACGAACGACGAGATTCTTTTTGTTTTAAACAGTAACCAGTAGTCTGCGTAATGGTTCTCTCCATACCTGTATATCCTTCTCACGACGCCTGACGACAATAATGAAATCAATTATCGGTACTTCAAAATAGTGGATCCTCCGTCGTGTCTGACTGCCGAAAACACCCCAACCTCCACATGCAGTGACAAGCCTCCAACGGACGTATTATCCATTCCCGGAGGAACCTTTTCGAGGAGCTCCAAGCTGTCAGCGAGCTCTATAATACAACGTCTTGCATTGCAGTCTTCCGGACTAAAACAGATCGGTATCATGCCACCTAAATCATCGAAAGCGGTTGTTGCTTCTGCTGGCTCAAGCTCTGGGCCCGACAGAAGCATCCGTATGTTGCATGACTTGATAGGTAGGGCGTGGTCGGTAGGTTGGAACGAAAACACCGGTGCTACTATTCTGACCCCAATAGAATTTTACGATACTTTCAAAAGCTTCCCCGGAACTCAAGCCAGTTTGTGACCAGATCCTATCCATGATTGGTGCTCTACACACCATAGACGAGCACAGAGAAAAGGGAGAGATCTCTGATGAAAACAAAAAAACGCTTCGGGACGTTGGCTTTTGGCTCAATGGACTGTTTTCCGATTTGGAAGCTGAATTAGCAGACTTGAGAGAAGGTCATAGCCACGAGGGCTTCGCTCCGATCGCGGAGAAGCAATTGGATCCGAACAGCCAACTCCAGGCGTTCAACGATCTCATCAGGCGGTATGTTATTATTGTGATTTCTTAAAGTGTCAACGGCCCTAGCTACGAAGTTTGGGAAAGCGTTTTTACGTGGCTAGCTTGAGTTAATCCTCCCCTCAGCTCAATCATCAGCGTTATTGAGGTTGTCTGGGTATTCAGAATTGCAGGCGATACAGTTGACTCTGTTGAGCATCTCGTATGATTGATTGGGCTGATATTCCTTCTTTTGTACGATGATGTATACCCCGTGCTTGAACCTCATGGCGCCCCCTTCCATCTTTGAATGCATGTAGTAGAAGTCACAATAGCCCTATACTTATTCTAAACAGGGATCGACAATATAAAATATGGAATGCTCTTGAAGAAATTCATGGAGATGATCCGCCAGAGTCATACACCTCGGTGGCATCAAACTGGACTTTCTTAGAACTTCAGATGCGCGGCTTTTCCAAGGACCTTCTTCAAGAAGAATTTTTCTTCATCAACGATTGGTTTAAAGGCAGAAAAGACGACAGTCGCGAGGAGGGTACTAATGTACCTCTCACCACCGAGGCAGACGTAGAGAATGATCTTCCGGATTATACGCCCGGAAGCCCACGAGACCCAATCAAAGAAAAAATGAGGGATCTTGACTCAACGACACAGAATATGTCGTTCGGCGCGCCATCTGGCGAAGCTGCATTTATCGCCAAAGCAGATCCTCCGCCTTACACATTTGATGAAGGGACTGAAGAGTCGGTCGGTGATGCAGAGTGGTCTCATTACATGCAGAAAGCGACTGATTTGGAGATGGATATCCGAAGGGCACAGAAAGATAGCCACCAGGAGCTAGCTTCGAATCCCCTGTCTTGGCTACCTCCAGCTCAGCAGGAGTTCTACAAGGGTTCAAAAGAAGTTGTTGACATGATGGACAAGGACTCCTTCACAGTTATGGCATATGAAACTGCGCCTAGATGTATGGAGGCCGTTGATCGGCTTACTCTACTATTTAATGTCTCGTTCGATCGTAAGCTGGCAGACTCTGGCTGGGAAGTTGTTGACGAAGGTCTCCGATCTTTGAAGGTCTTAGCATCTGCGCTGTTGCAGTTCACGCAGTTGGAAAATCAACATAAATCTCTGGTAGAAAGATTCAGTGATATGGATTTTCTGCAGTTCGAATACACCACAGCAGTGACAATGAACCCCGATATCCTGTTTCCTCATCGAGAGTTTGATATGGTACAGAAGAGTTACTACAGACTTCTCACTTTTATCATGGGATATCTTGAGGCCATGTCAGTAGTGTTCCCTGGCCGGACATGTATAGCTGCTTCAAAGGATGTCCTGGAGTCTTCATGGAAAGAGCTCAAGATGGATTCTCGCATAGCTTGGGTAGAGAAGCAATTAGCTAGTTGGAACGCAGTCGATAAGGCATTGCTATATTGTAGAGAATGGCACAGACTGCATTCAACACTCAGAGTTCAGGCTTTAGCGGTCTTGAAGCAGTGGGCTCAATCGGAAAAGATTCTCTCTGGCGCCGAGAGATTCGATGAAGTGGAAATTACAGTAATCGCTGCTGCTGCATTATCTCGCTCAAGTTTTAGGATACCTACACCATTTGCGAAGATTGTCTACTATGGTCCAAATCGATTCGGGGGAGCAATGCGGATCTCAGAACACAAGACTGAGGTTTCACAAAAGACGCAAAACCCAATCTGGAACAAGACTTTTTCGTTAAAAATACAGCCTAATTCCAAGTTCATTGATATCGAGGTATTTGACAAAATTGCTGGTATGGACAAACAACTTGCCACCGTCAGAATGGCATTCTCCTTCATTCCAGGAGTTGAAGCAAACCTACTGGACAGAAGTCTAGTGTATGGCTATGATGGTAAGATAGGCCCGATTTCAAGTCATCTACTCAATATGCTGAATAATTTCCAGAGGAAGTGGAATTGCCGATGACGGAATTGGATGGCAAAGGCAGGGAACGTGACCCTCCCGTCATAAGATTGCGGTTGAAGTGGCCCGGTCGAGTAGCCGTATTAGAGGAGCAACGACTTCCTATCCAACCTCCTGGCAAGATGTTCAGAGCCGAAATTGCCGGTATTCCATACACCCCAGAAGAAAGAGAGAATGTAAGATCCGGAAGACCCCCTCGGCGAAACAGTAATGCACGGATAGGCAGTGTGTCGCAGTAGTGACAGGCACTTGGGACCACCTGGCAAACTTCTACGTCGTGAACGTGTTGTGACTGGGAGTGCTACTTATATGGCGGACAAGAGAAGCAAGAATGTGAAAACCCCCGAGGCGTTTCAGAGAATTCTATATTTCTTGCTTCTTGGCTAACTGGTATAGCAAGTAGATGCAACCCGCAGGTGACGGAACCTATGTCCTAGGAGCACTGGTGATATCTCTTGAAAAACACAGGGATCTTTAGTAAGTTCGCTTCCGGATATAAAATAGCACTTCTTAACCACTCTTAACGTAATGCTTACGCATAGATGTATGTATTCTTTTCACCCTTCATTCTCTTCTGTACCGATGATACCTGATCATTGGCGTAATTCACAAGCGACTCACATATAATAGAAGCGACTCGCTGGCCTACAAAAAACTTGTATGCTCGATTGTTACATCCCAGATCATAAGCAGCGTCGGCCAAGTCTTGTCGTGAGGGGTACAAAGTGACTCGCTTCGGGATGAACCGAACAGTCGACCCCAAGTTTGAAGCTCCCCACCATTGGCCACAATCGATCGACATTACATTGTCCGCCGCCGCTATCCCCAGCACAAGTCAACTGAATGCGGAGAACCTCGTAGCACGAACTCGTTCATCCGCAACTTCGGGAGACTTGACCAAATTATTTAGCCTAAATCGTTTGTTATAACAAAGGAATTGTATCCGACGGCGAGAATGATTCTCAAAGACCTCTGGTATAGCTAATTTTCGATCAGTGCTACCCTTATGATGTATCTCCATTGGCTTACCATTATCTCAGTTGTCCTCGGACATGTATCAGCTCAGAACTCGACTTACCAAAACCCAATCCTGCCAGGATTTCATCCTGATCCAAGCTGTATCTTTGTCTCTGACTTCAACAATACCTACTTTTGCGCCTCGTCTAGTTTCTTGGTGTTTCCAGGAGTACCAATCCACACTTCATCTGATCTCAGAGAATTCAAACTGATCAGTAATGCTCTCAACCGCCCATCACAACTTCCCGGTCTCAACACTACCAAGCGAGCAACAAGTGGAATATGGGCACCTACAATGCGGTACCGCAATGGTACGTTTTATGTAGTCACTACACATGTATATGACGATCTCCCAAAGAATGCTACAAATCGCTTCGACAATCTTATATTCACAACCACCAACCCTTTCAATGACTCGGCATGGTCAGACCCAGTCCACTTCGGATTTCAGGGCTATGATACTAGTCCATTCTGGGATGATGATGGTCAAGTCTATATTACTGGCACATACGCATGGGAAGTGCGTCCCGGCATTCAGATGTTTACTATCGACCTCAAAACTGGAGCTAGTGGCCCAGTCCATAACATATGGAACGGTACCGGTGCATCTGCCCCGGAGGGTCCGCACATCTATAAAAAGGATACCTTTTACTACCTCTTAATTGCAGAAGGTGGTACTGGTTCAGGACATATGGTGACGATGGCTCGTGCGAAGAACATCAGCGGCCCTTACGAATCTTACCAGCAAAATCCGGTACTTACCAACGGGGGTGAGGGTTTTTTGTTCCAGAATTTGGGTCATGCGGACTTATTTCAAGATGAGCGACATAAGTGGTGGGCCGTTGCTCTTAGCGTTAGGCAAGCACCTGATGGAAGTGAGTTTTAGGCCTTCTCTTATTTGATCATTATTATGCTTTTACTCTGGCAAACTCAAAGGTCTCCCTGATTGCTTTAGTCACTTGCTAACCTAGTTTTCATCTAGGCTATCCCATGGGACGTGAAACGGTCATGACGCCAGTGTCGTGGCCCACGAATGAGTGGCCAGTTTTCGATCAAGTAACCGGTGATATGGAGGGATGGCATTTAGAATCTGAAGCCGTGGTTGAGGGTGGAGAAGGCAGTCTCGTTGATTCGAACTTTCACAGCAATTTCCAAGCTGGCTATGAGCTTGGGCCAGAGTTTGTACACTGGAGATTTCCCGTGGTTGGTAATTATGCAGTGAGCCCAAAGGGTCACAATTACTCTCTGGAGTTGCAAAGTAGTTTTGCCAACCTCACCGGGCGCGATGGGAGATCTGCTGAGCCTCTAGGTCAAACGTTCATTTCTCGGCGTCAGACTTATTCGTATTTCGAATTCAAGGTCGATATTGATATTTCAGGGGTGAAAGGCGAGGAATGGGAGACTAGTGTTAGTGTATTCTTGGACCAGGTATGCACTCAGCTCACCATTTCCTAAAAGTGTAGGAGCTAATGTTGTTATAGTTACATCATTACGACTTAGGGGTTGTAATGATTTATCAAAACGCTACGGCTGCAACTCCCGCAGGTCTGTTTCCCTACTTCAGGGTCCGCGGCATAACCACAGTTCCAGCCTTTGTATCGCCAACTATTGCACAAATTCCGGTCCCGAAACGCTGGAGGACCAAGAGTTTGAGTTTTGGGATTGAGGCGACGAGTCTTACGCACTACGCTATGAGTGTTGCTCCTACTGGTGAGGAAAAGGAAAGAATCATTGTAGGATATGCAAATGGTTTGGGTCTGACTTGGGGCTTTACTGGTAAGTCAAAATTTTGCTGGTTTCGTGTACAAGAGTTCACTAATAGTGTCCACAGGTGCATTGTTGGGTGTCTATGCTACTACTAATGGGGCACAAGGAAACTTCTCTGCGTATGTCACCGACTGGAAGTATGAAGGTAAAAGGCAGATTACTTCCTTGTGAGGCACCGGTCTCAGCTACCAGAAGCTTCGAAATAGGCCTGATACCCAACTCTGTATTGCTTTGGATTGGACGGCGAACCACAGGGAATTAATTCGATATAATAAGATATGTTGCTGTAATGCTGGGCTGAGAAGACATCAAGCGTAGCATCCAAGCCAGTAGAGCGAAAAGGAGAAGAACAAGGGGTATTTGATGCCAAAAGTTTGAAACCCTTAAGACCATAGAAGCCGCATAAAATCAGGGCTGAGCGAACTTATAGACTATAGTCAGCGCTGTCCAAAGCAGTAGATGATAGGCTGTGATACGAGAATTGATATATGTAAAACAATGGATCGAAAATTAACCATGACACAAGCTCTTTCTGTACCACTCTTCTCGACATACTCCATACGGTGTTTGACATATATTATAGATCTCTTGCGAATTTCCTCTAATTTTCAATAGAAGCAATCTGGTTGGTCACGTGCAATACCCTTGGGAGACAAGGGGCTCTGAAGCTGTTAGCTGCCGCGCGAGATGTCATCTCGAACATGAATCCGCCAACAAACCCACCACCCCTCTCCAGAATGTATACAAGGTCATGAACTCTCGATCATCTTCTATACATGTTCCCCGGCCTAGCTCTCTCAGACGCCCTTCAGTGACCTCTCGTTTATCGTTCGCAATATCGAATGCCGAGCAAGGCGAGGCTAATGCTGCTGTATCAAGTACGGAACACCAGATTGTCGAGGAAATTGACGAAATCAAGCGTTATGAAGTATGTGATGCACAGTCCTGCTCAGTATTCGGAACTGTGCTAACGTAGATCTAGGACTTTACGACTATAGGTAAACTGAGCGCATCGCAGCCTCAAAAGACACGCATTGACAACAACTAGACTGGGTACAGGACGCTGCCAAAGAACAAGCGCGAAGAAAAGTACAACGAATAGAGACGGCAGGCTTTTTTGAACGAGGAGGACGTGCCGGATGGCGATTTCGAGTCTGGGAATCATATGAAGCGGCGCAAGGATGGATAGTTCTTACTCTAATTGGTGCGTAGACCACAAACGCTTCTAGGATCACGAATGGATTCTAACGAGGAAACAGGCGCGGCGATTGGCATCAACGCGGCGTTTTTGAATATAATTACAGAATGGCTTTCTGACATAAAGCTGGGATACTGTGATACGGCGTTCTACCTTAATGAGAACTTTTGTTGTTGGGGGGAAGACACAGGGTGTGATAATTGGCATCGATGGAGCTCCTTTGCGCCAGTCAATTACTTTTTGTATATTATGTTTGCTGTAGGTATACATGTATCTCTGTTATATCACGGCTAACTTTTATAGACTATATTCGCCCTTACCTCAGCGAGCCTAGTGAAGCTATTTGCGCCTTATGCCGCCGGCTCTGGAATATCCGAGATCAAATGTATCATTGCAGGCTTCGTGATGAAGGGTTTTTTGGGTTTCTGGACGTTGGTCATCAAATCGGTGGCTCTCCCTCTAGCCATTGCCTCTGGACTATCTGTAGGAAAGGAAGGCCCAAGTGTGCATTACGCTGTTTGTACAGGCAATGTCATATCAAGGCTGTTTGAGAAATACAAGCGGAACGCCGCCAAGACACGCGAGATATTGAGTGCATGTGCAGCAGCAGGAGTAGCTGTCGCCTTTGGTAGCCCTATCGGCGGTGTTCTTTTCTCGCTCGAGGAGATGTCATCTTACTTTCCTCTGAAGACAATGTGGCGAAGCTATTTTTGCGCGTTGGTTGCAACGGCAGTATTGGCCTTGATGAACCCCTTTCGCACCGGACAGCTTGTCATGTTTCAAGTCCGATATGATCGGTCATGGCATTTTTTCGAAGTTGTCTTTTACATTATTATTGGTATCTTTGGGGGACTTTATGGTGCCTTTGTTATCAAATGGAACCTAAGAGCACAAGCATTCCGAAAGAAGTACTTGACAAAGTATGCCCTTCTCGAAGCCACATTGCTAGCAACGGGAACAGCCATCATATGCTATCCCAACATGTTCCTTAGAATTGATATGACGGAAAGTATGGAAATATTGTTTCTGGAATGCGAGGGAGCCGAAGATTACAACGGGATTTGCGAACGGGAGAATCGTTGGCGGATGGTGCTCTCCTTGACTCTTGCTACTATCATTCGAACATTTCTAGTCATCATCTCTTATGGCTGCAAAGTGCCCGCGGGTATTTTTGTGCCGTCCATGGCAATCGGCGCCTCCTTTGGCAGAACAATCGGGATCCTGGTCCAAGCACTTCATGATGCGTATCCGACATCTCAGTTCTTTGCGGCATGCGAGCCAGACGTGCCATGCATTACTCCTGGCACATACGCATTTCTAGGCGCCGCTGCTTCGCTGAGTGGCATCATGCATATTACCGTTTCAGTCGTTGTTATTATGTTTGAGCTGACGGGAGCCCTCACATATATTTTACCCACCATGATTGTGGTTGGCGTGACCAAAGCTGTGAGCGAGCTCTTTGGCAAGGGCGGTATCGCTGACCGAATGATTTGGTTCAACGGCTTTCCGTTCTTGGACAACAAGGAAGAGCACACCTTTGGAGTTCCTGTGTCACAAGTCATGACAAGCGACGTTATGGCGTTACCTGCTACCGGCCTCACGATGAAGAACGTAGAGCAGTTGCTTAAGGAAGATAGATACCAAGGGTTCCCTATTATCGAGAACGCAAGTTCAAAGGTGCTTGTTGGATACATTGGACGGACTGAGTTACGATACGCCATCGACCGACTGAAGAAGGACCGGTCTATCAACCCAACCGCAAAGTGCCTTTTTGCTCCCCCTGCGTCGCTTAATCCACAGACGCCGACATCTCCATATCCTCCCACGACATTCGAAGGCATGGCTTCAGGCACCGTGGATTTCAGTCGATTTATTGATGCAACCCCTGTCACCGTCCACCCTCGTCTACCCTTGGAGACTGTCATGGAACTGTTCCGCAAGATTGGTCCCCGGGTGATTCTGATCGAATACCACGGGAAACTTACAGGTCTTGTCACGGTTAAAGATTGTCTGAAGTATCAGTTCAAGGTTGAGGCCAGTGAGAATCCTCGTGACGACGGACATCTTGTTGAGAGCCAGGAACGATTGTGGGGGGTGTTTAAGAAGAGTGCGCTTTGGGTGAGTGACCGCTTACAACATGTTAGTCAGGGTCGGATACGGATTGGTGGGAGTTTTGAAGGACTCCCTCGCAGCCCAGCACGAGGAGGTCATGCACCATCCAGTCATATGATGGATGGAACTGAGGACGGCGAGGACGATGGCGTAGAGCTAGAAGACCGGTAGGATATACCACCGAATTGGATTCGTTGCATCTTTCCCGACCGGCGGATCGCCATTAGCTGTTTGTGGAGCGACTTCGCCTTATTCATTCGTGCATTTACATTAACTCGCTGTGATCATTTTCCTTTCCAAATCTGTGAATTGGTTCAGCCGGTACTTCAGGCTATGATTAAAGGGACAGTCACGTCCTGAAGGTCTAGGCGGTATGTTCTCATCATACGTGGGTCATGACAAACAAGATGGTGAATTTTAGCTGACGCAAAATCCTAGGTCATTTTGCCATACTGTGAATCAAAGAGGAATTCAAAGTGTGATTTAGACTGTTGCGGGTCGCTTGGCGATGGGAATGAGTTGAATACCAACAAACCATTGTCAGTCAAGCCGAGTTGTTTCACATTAATGTCACGTATGCTTAAGAGGTGGTACTGGGAGCGGTTATAGAAGGTCGCATCTTCCCCTGGCATTGGTCTTTTCTGAGTTTTCTCCAACAAACTCATCATCACACACACAACACACAGCCCATTCTGCGCATACTCGCGGTCATCCTTGATCGCGTCGATCAGCTGACGAGCAATACAGTACTGCTTACTTCCAGCTTACGGCGTACTCGCAACACCAACCCAACCACTGCCCCACGGAGCAGTCGGACCTTGCAGCCAACCCACCTGGGTGCTATCCTGGACGCTTAACCACTCGATCTGGCGACAGCCGACCATCTCGGAACCCCAACATCGTCTGGTCTGTGACTGCACCGGCGCTGGCAGGGCTCTTGCAGGCTCCGAGGCTCGCCGCCATTTATCCGCGCTCCTTCGACTCCCCACGCCCCCGGGACAGCCCCGAACCCACCCCCCTGAACCCCGCCTCGACAGGCACTCGCAGGCACTCGCACGCCTGACCGGGACCCCGCAGCCGCCTGCAACAGGGGCTCGACAGCCGCAGGTCGTCTGCAATTACAGGCTCGACACGCCCAACGCTCCGCCAGCATCGGACCGGCAACTCGCTCTGTACAGCCATCTCGTGAGCCTCTCGAGTCTCTGAGTGTCCGTCTTGGGCCTCGTTGGTCGAACTCTATTCCAGCTCCTCCTCCCCCTCCCCCTCCCCCTCCCCACCCATATATTAAAGCGCCCTCGCAGTCATGTGGCAAGGTTTCCTCCTTCTCGTTATCCCCTTCTCCTTTCTCTCGTCTTTCACCTTTCTCGTGGGCCATTCTCTCCCCGCCGCTCGAGCATCTGAGCATTCTGCCATCATGCGTTTCCACGCACTGAGAAACATCACCGCCACAACCTGTGTGGTGGCGACGGTAGCCGAGTGTACGGTTCTCCATGTGGCCTCATACTCGGGCAATGTCACCACCTTCGATTTGAAGCGCAATGACAAAGGCATCTACAGTCTGGCCACGTTAGGTGTGACCAATGGATCAGCACCCCAAGCATCGTGGTTGGAGCTGGACGCAAAGAAGAAGACCGTCTACGGATTGGACGAGGCATGGAGCACTCCGAACGGGACCATCACCGTCTATTCCAACAAGAAGAACGTTTTGGAAATCTCCAAAAAGTATACGACCCTTGCTGGCGCAGTCAGCACCATTGTCTACAATGGCGGTAAAGCTCTAGCAGTTGCTCATTAGTAAGTCTCCCCTTCGGCCTAACATCTCCGCCGAACTAATGTTTTAAAGTGGTGCACAAGCTCTTACAACATGGAGCATTGCAGCGAACGACGGTGCTCTCAGCAACATTGGCAACTTCATTTTCAGTACACCACCTGGACCGGTCCCACAACAAGACAAATCTCATCCTCATGAGGCACTCGTGGATCCTACCGATTCTTACAGTAAGCTCCTCCAACCATCAACCCGGATTTAACAAGCATTCGTGATACCCTTGTCTCATCATCTCATCCGATATCCAAACTGTACACATCTTACAATGACATTTGCTTACAAGCTATAGTTCTCGTTCCTGATCTCGGCTCCGATCTTCTACGGACATTCGCTATCAACGCTGCAGACAGCAAACTCCGAGAGCTGACCCCATTCAAAGTTCCTGCTGGATCTGGTCCTCGCCATGGAAGCTTCTACACTCCTGCCTGTAAGCCAGGACCAGGAAAGTGTTTGGCTGCCAACAAGGAGAACACTTACTTCTTCCTTGTCTCCGAATTAGCAAATACTGTTTCGAGCTATAAAGTCACCTATGGTAAGGATGGACTTGGTTTCACGCTGGTTAGCAGCTCTGGAATCTATGGAAATGTGTCAACACCAACAGGAGCTGCCGCTGCTGAGGGTATACTAAGCGTACGTTCATCTTATCCTCTCCCTTAGATACATAACTAACAAATTCAGCCTGACAATAAATTCTTCCACACAACCGGCCGTAATGCACCTTTCCTCACAACACCAAATCCAGATTCTGCAAACACAACCGCCCTCGCCTCCGACGCCATTCAAACGTGGGCCATTGATGCCGCAACCGGGAAGCTCACCTTCCAGGGCTCATACCCTGCCGGTGGTGTCACTCCACGTCAATTCAGCATCAACGCTAAAGGTGATATGGCCGCCGTTGGTCTCCAAACCACAGGCCGCTTGGTCATCCTAAAGCGCGATATTGCGTCCGGTGCTTTTGGCGCTGTTTTAGCCAGTGTGGAAGGACTCGGTGGGGTCACCACTTCGATTTGGGATGAGGGCAACCCTAGATACGCGCCTTTAGCATAAGGTGCAGGTGCTATTTGATTAACGAAATTTTATGTTTTGAGAGAGATGGGAGTTCTGGGTACTGCGTAATGTGTTTCGCATATCAATGACCATCTGGGCAAGACGCTGGCGTTTGGAGGTATTAAAACCGTTGAGAACCCATTGGATGTACATAGAGAAATTAAAGGGTTTCAAATTGGTTGTTTTCTGCCTAAGTAATCTATTTCATTGACGCCAAAAGCCTTTCGCTTGACGATCTCGGCGGGCATTTACCCAAACGATGCTGTGTATGTAGATCAGGGAAATTGATTGTTTCCATCTCCTCGGAATTTTTGCTTTTCTATTCATATTATTCACGCATTCACCATACTCGGTTCCTCTATACGTTAATTAAGATTTGCGGAGTATGTTGCACCAACACTATCGACTATTCGGAGAGCAGAGCATTAAGCGCCTCTTCATCTTGACAAATGCACTGCTCAGCCGAGAGACAAGTACATTGATCAGCAGAGTGTGTATTACGCTATGCAGCGGGTTAGTTGTTTCATTTAGGCGTGGGACTTGTTCTCGAAATGTGATTGTGGGGAGTTCAGGGTTGGCGTGCTCGCGAAGGACAAAATAAGTGGCAGTCGAAACATAATATTTCTTCGATTAAGTTGACGAAATATCGTATATCTAGTGGATTAACTTAGAACATCATTACTATTCCGTTGTTTGAGTTAAGTGTATGAGAATTTTTAAGCTCTATTCTAAGTCGACTTATTCTTCAGTCCAAGACTAGTTAGTAGGTGACTGACACTTATTTTGTCCTCTGCGAGCCTGGGTGGAATGTTATACGGTTAACTTTCTGTGGCAATAATTTAAATCAGACTCGGGAGGTTTCATGAGAAGCACATCGAAATGGTTTCATGCCGTGGAAAATAGTTACCTGGTCACTTCAAGGACATGAAATGGTTTAAAGTTAGGTTAATGTTCACAAGCAGTGACTCAAGCGAGAGGTTTCTATCTTAGTCACACAATTTTAGGCCTCACCTGGTAGAATGATATTGTCAATACGAAAAGACTCTTTCAACGTGTCTCTCTGAGGACTGACAGGTGTTCTGCCTTCCCAGTCTCACAATTCAAGACCTCGCTTAAGATGATGATAGTCAAAGATGAAATTTAGTTGAAACAGAAAGGGGTATCGTTGCTTTGAGAAGGTAGCTAACTACTCGACAAATATTAAGGTATTCAAACTCCACGCTACATACCCAATATGTATACTTCTTAATCACTATTCACAACCTTCAGTGTTCTCCTCGGGTTCAACACCACACTAAAAAAACTAGGTTCCAACCCACCAAGCAGGTCCTCATTCGAAGAGTGAGCTGTCGATCCGCTTGGACGACCATATGGTGTTTGCGCTCCACTATGCTGTGTGTTGAGGAATTCTTGATCTTCACTGAGCCGAACATACGGCTCTGCGCCCATCGCATACCCTTTACCAGCTATTCCACCACCCGGCATTACTCCACCTCCAAATACAGCAGCAGGGTCAGGAGGTCCGTTGCTGGAAGGCGTGCGATTAGATGACGATCCTCGTTTGGACGAATACGCTGGGCCTGTATTGTGACTTGAACCCACAGATGGACGACCAGCACTGTTCGACCCGCTGTTGCTGATATCTGTTCCGAATGGTCCAATCATAGCTGCGCCAGTTTTCTCGCTCTGTGGTTTTAAACCAGCAGCAGCTCCCCACGGGACTGGACTAAGGTTGCGTCTTTGACCCATTGCAACGTGATCTTTGTAGATGTTGAGTTGTTTGCGGTAAAGCCAAGTACAGAACGCGAGGTAGGCTGCTAAAGCCGCAAGCACAGCCGCCGCTACACCTGCAGCAATAGCTCCAATATTCGTCTTCGATCCGGAGCGAGATTCGCCAGTCACTGGGTTTGCGCCACCAGTTGGACCTGACGTTGAGGTGACTGTTGACCCGGATTGAGTTACAGTGAAGGTTGGAGGTTTTCCGGTGGCAATTGGGCCGCTTACTGCAGAACCAGCAGCGGGCTGTGTCGCCGTCGCTCCTCCCGTAGACCCTCCACCAATGACCGACTGAACTGCCCCCGGAACTTGATATCCGAAAGATCCTTCAAATACAGAAGATTTCCTACTCTCGTCGTTGTCCGAGCTTGCTCCACCAGCTCCACCGGCACCACCAGAAAGAGATGTGAAGCTGTTGGTCCATTGTAAAGAGCTGGTGTTGAATACGTACATCCCCGGGCTATCACATGAGATATCTTGTCCCACGTATCCGCCAACAACGACCATTTGGCTGTCCCACAATGTACATGTATGTCCAGCGCGAGCGGGTGGCTTTGACTGGCCATCTTGGTCGACCTTAATCCAAGTGAAGGACGGAACAGTGAGTATATACATGTCATCATATTGGATTTGTTCGCCCGCGGGTATGAGGTTTTGACCACCATAGAGATATACGTTAAAGCTCGTACCATCTGGTGCTGCCGCAACTACAGCACAAGGGTTGACGCGAATCGGGGGAGAAGTTCCAGAAGTTGACTGTTTATACCATGTGCTATTAGCAATATCGTAGACATCTATCACGTTCATATCTGTCTATTTATCGTTAGCTGTATTCTGTTAGAGCCGACGCACTGTAACTCACAAAGGTGACGTTTGTACCACCAGCGAGTCCTAGAAGGATACCCTCTTCTCCCCAGCCAGGAACATAAACCAATACTCCATCAGCGCGCTCGGTAAAGCCGGCGGTATCTTGTAGTCCACCATCAGTGATATTTCGATACACCCCATCCACACCGGCAGCTTTGGTGGTTCCTAAAGCATCAATTCCAGTGTTGGCATAGCCAGGGTGTGTGAATTCGAGAAAACTTCTCAGGTAAACTCTATAAATTTGGTTTGACCATCCGGGAGTGGTGAACATATCAAGATGGCCCCCAAAATACCAACTTCTACCAATTTCGGGCACGCTCAAACCAGCCCCCTCAGCCGATCTTTGGATAGGCTGGCCTTCAGGCTCAGAATAGTTTCCAGCGGAAGTGGAAGGGTTGGTATGCTCGATCCATTTTGAAGACTTAATATTGTATTCCCATATCGAGAGCGGTAGTGGTTCTACCGGTGGACTGTCTGAAAAATAGCCTCCATATACAAATAGAGAATTGTACGAGTTCCAGAGGGCGCCCATGGCCACGGCCGGGGGACCAGATGGCTGTGGAAGGCCAGTCAATGCTGGAGAAGCTTTGTCCCAAGATTTGGTGAGATCCAAAGCTACGAGGTTATTGTCTGACAGGATTATTGTTAGCAGATTACAGCGATTTTGAAGAGCAAAAACCCACTCCAAGTGTTGGTCGTCTGACCAGAAGACGTTTTTGTCTGACCTCCATAGATATACAGAGTACCATTTACATTTGCACCTGCTCAAAAATTAGCGGTGGCTCAACCCGGGGGGAAACCCCAACTGACTTTGATGTGCCCATCTCCTGCACACGTCTGTGGGACTATTGGCGCGCCCTTCAATAACGCTTCCATTGTCCACCAACTCTCCTGTTCGAATCACGCCAGCGTCTGCTCCTCCCATCATCGCCTGTCCATTTCCAGAACTGTATCTAAAACCGGGGACGACGATGGCGATCAGGAAGGTGATTAAAGCTACTCGAGGAAGCGATGATAGCGGGCCTGGCGGCGCTGTTGAAGAACCTTTAACTGTAGGTCTAGATTTGTAAAACTTTGAATACCATCGGGAAGCATCTATGCTAGCCCTCGTCATGTCTGAGCTGTTCTTTGTATCTGTACTGGTGCGCGTGGTATCTGATGATGCCTTTAGTTCCTTCGTGTCTTGTGTGGGAGAAGTTTCCGAATCCGACTTTTGTGATTCATGTGCCGGATGAGAGGGGTGTATGGTAGTGTCCAAGTCTTCCAGACCTTCTTCTCTGAACACCGATTGTCTTCGTGACTGTATCTTCGAGCCGAAACGTGGTTTGTATCCGCTTTCTCGCAATCGATCAGATGTTTTCGACGAGCTGAAGACAGGTCGTTTTGCATCACCACCACTCGCAATCCACCCAGGTTCGTGGGTAAATGCCATGGTGAGGACTAGGAAATTAAGAGAATAACAACGCCACGCGAAAGGAAAGAATGTATCATGCAAACAGAAGAGGGAAGATGGAATCAATTAATCATGAAAATGGGTTGAAAACAATATGAGCGTTGGAAAACAGCGCGAGTGAGGAGATCTTAAGGTCCTCGGTCCCACAGAGTATGATTGAGAGCGGCATCACCTCCTTTCTGTTTGGCGAACGAGGCGACATATCAACGGCGGAGACTACTCGAGATCGAGATGTCTGACATCATGGGCGAGGGTATTTCTCGACCCGGACGTTTTGACATGGTGGCTCGCATTGTGACAGGCGGGGAGCGGTTCGGAGAATAACCATATCAGGAACCTTTCATGGATTGAGATTGTTGTTGTTGCATGATTGGTTTGGCGCGACAAGAAATTGAAAACTGGGCGAGATCCTTGCGGTCGATCAGGTGACGTAGGGAACAGGCGAGCACATTCGGGGAATTCTTCTCCTCTGCCGTGTATATTTACAGCATCGACAAGGGAAGTCAATACCGGTGAGGGAACAATGAACGGCATAGGTTTTCTGTCATTCAAGAACATCGACTGTTTGACTGTTTGTGGTTGAGAATAAAGTCGAAATGGGTTTATACAATACTTGTATCGCTAAGCGAGTGACAACCTTGTGGCTTTTCAACTAGTTGTCACTTTCACTCCTGTTTGCAACTCTGCATACGATCCTTACGATGTGGCATTATGGCATGTCTCTAACCGGCGATAGATTTGACGCTTCGTACCGGAACTTGTCCAAGCAATTTGGATTCATCATTATCGGCGGCTGGACCTGTAACGAGATCGCACTTCCCAAAAGAGACTCAATTGACTGAAGGCTCACAAGCAAAGAAACATGGCTAGAGTAGCAGAAATGTCGGCGGGTCACAAACAGTACAGTATAGAGATGCAAGTACATATAAAAAGATGTATCAAATTCGAAAGATTTGATTAATTCATAATTAAATGTCTTGCCTTACGTTCAGTTCTCCTTGTCGCTTGAAAATCGAAGGATTACTTCGCCCCGGCTCCTTCAGCTTGAAGAGCTTGCTGCTGCCACAGCTAGATATATGAATATGTTAGCTTGACCATTCACTCGTAGCTTCTCGCCAAGTAATTCCCGGAAGTTGGAAGAAAGACCCTAGACGAACCAACTCTGCCAAAGTCCCGATGCCTTCATTCTAGGACAACATGATCCCAAAGCGGCTGTGAAAATGACTACAGTGGACGAATACGGCACTAAAGCTTCCAAATTAAGAACCAGCCTACGAGTAACCCCGCAAAAAGGCAGACTTCAACTTCTGCAGTGTGTAAGGAGCATATGGTTGGTGCATCGACCAACAGAGAACATTAAGGAACTTGACCCTTTTTACTGATGATTTTCGACCATTGACTCTTATTAGTCTTCGATTTATTTTGTCAGTCAAGCAACAAGAAATGCTTTTCAATACTTTACATCACCAGCAGCAGTCAGAAGAGATAATCGTCGGGTTCAGGTAGCCCTCCTGCGTCACCGGTTCCTTAAATCGCTTAGATATCCAGTAACATTAGGGGTTCTAGTAGTACACTTAGTATAGAGCTACGAGCTGCGCCCGTGACATTTAACTTAAGCTACAGGTACGTTTCTTTTACTGTAGTACGAGCACACAATCTCAGTACTCGTCTAGGAGGTCTATTATACTAAGATGTTTAACTCGCTCGATCCGACTAGGGCTCCCTGAATTACTCTGAAGCACACCTGCAGGCGGGGTATTTAGGCAACAACAAATCCAGCCCTGCAGCAGAGCCTCATGTGTAACAAGCGTACTCCACAATTGGAATATAGACCATAAGTACTCGAGTACCTCGTCTCAATGAATGATCTTCATCCAAGTTTAGATCCTAGAGCGACTGGAAATGAAAGCAAACAACGAGAGTGCGACCTACACTTTGGGTCTAGCGATATGCTTTATCCTTGTTGCATTCATCTTCCACTCTCTAGGAAGCAACCGCCAAATACTATGGCTAGAACCGCTATGCGCTGCCATGGTTCCGACGGAATCAAAATATAAAGACACCGAACGAGAGAAAAAAAGCATCACGACATCAGACTATGACCGAGGCTTTAAAGATGGACTAGCAACTTCCTTCAAACTAAAAGTCCACGAGGAGATGAAAATGGCTCGAACAGGAGCGAAGACCTTGGCGAGTGAAGACAAACGCGTACAGCTCAAATTGGCGGAAATGGACAAGCAGGAGGCTATTCGACAGAGTGTTTTCGACGCCAACATGAAGGAAATCAAGAATTGGAGAGAAGAACGATTGCTAGCAATCTGGGAACAGAAAAGAGCAAGGGAGAAAAGTATCATGACTTGGTTCCGCAAAGGTTCCGCGTCCAAAGTGAATTCTGGGACAAAAGCTATTGAGTGGAGAGACCCAATCATGGTGAAGGAACCGCTCAGCGCACACAATCGAGATGAAAAGAAGGACGGGTGGTAGATTGACATTACATTCACCACTCAAATGATAGGGATGTTCCATCTGCTTAACGCCATGACAATGCACATTTCCTCCAATGCCCATATGATACAGTCTCTACATCCAAAACCTACATGTCATTTCATCGCCGTACCATGAATGATGTCCATCCACCGGATTTCGGTTTGTCTTCGTCCATATCACTCTCCGTGGCTGTACCTAATCGATCCAGCGGCCCTCCTACCCGCTGTCTCTGCTTTTCCTCCTCGAATGCGCCTTTTGTCTTGTCTGATATCGCGCTCTGTGTTTGGCCAATTGCACGACTGACATCACTTGCCCGCTCTTTTATCGAAGAACCCTCCTCACTGATTTCCCCGTGACTGATCTCCCTTTCGTTGTTTTCTGCAAGCTCGACCCCTTCCTCTTTCTTCAAGCCAGAAAATAGCCATTCCTTGCTTTTCTTGAAAATGCCCTTCTTGGCGGCTTTGGCTTTAGCTGCAGCTGCCAATTGAGCATCATGTTCTTCTTCGCGGCGGAGGAAGGCCAATTGATCCTCGGTAGCAACGCCTTGATCAAGGGCTTGCTTGGCGGTCTGTATAGCGCTGGCCTTCAATGCCTTTTGTTCTGTAAAGAATTCCGCCCTCTTTCTTCGATTGTGAACCATCATATCGCCTAATGCGTAGAACGTAACTCCTCCGCAGATGACTGTATGCTTCATTAGCTGGGCATTTTTGTATTGAGTAATTAAGAGAGGTCTGATCGATTGGGCGCAAAGTACCAATTGAGAAACTTACAAGTCGCTGCAATCAGACCCAAGGCTGTGAATCGATGGGCTCTATCAGCCCACACACGCCCCCGTACAATCAACTTATCAAATTGTGAGACATCTGCCTCCCTCGCCCTATTCGCAGCGGCTCTGAGGCGCTTGACTTTCTCTTGTGGTGTTTCGCCTGGAGGTCCGGGTTGCCTCGAGGGGAATGCTTTTGTATTCTTAGAGCTCGACGTTGGAGGTAGCTTCGCGGAGACGTGTGGTGTTGTCGACGTAAAGCGCGTTGCGTCTGTCGCAGATCGCGGCCCCATTCTGATAGGATAATTAAGGGAATTTGCTATAGGGAGATTGGCGTGGGTGGGTGATATTTACATTTACATTCGTGGAAATCGGGTGATGCACTTTTTTGGTGGTTCAATGATCCCCATGTAGACATTTGCTGGCGCCGGGACTTTGCCGACGCGCTTCAAGCTCACCTCATATTTCCGTCACGGACTCTCAACCTGCTACATAATTAATGGAAGTGCCTGCCAGCCAGCAATTTAAGAGATTTATCGCTTCGCGCAACGGCCACAATTGATTGAACGTGCATCCCATCATGGGAGTGTTGGTTGCATGACAGAGCACAAGATACTTGAGGTTAACGTCATCTGAGATTGCCGGCCAGGCATTTTTTGAAAGACAACTGGAGTAGCGTAATCTGCTTCATTCTCTTCTCAGCATACCTTAAATATGGCAGATTACAACTACAACGCGCCCAACTTGGCATCAATCCTTGCTAATCTTGCCAGCTTATCATCCCAGTCACAGCCTCCGCCTCGACAACCAGCGACCATTGAAGAATCAGTTGTTTCAAATTATTCCCAGTCACAGGCTGTTCCAGTAGCACAAGGGCAGATTAGACCTACGAGAACCCAAACACCGCCATATGTGCCCCCAGAACATGACCATTATCACCAGATATGGCAGCAACAGCTCAATAGAGCTTCTCAAGCACCGCAAGTACCTGAGCCAGTTCCAGCTCCAGCCAGGAAGATAGTCGACCCTGCTACTATCATCGAATGGTCTGCCGGTCTGCGTTGTGTTATGAAAACGGTTGCGGTACACGAGAATGTTCTTAACGATATTCGGAGAATGATGAAAACTCAACATGAACATGAAGAGCAATGGTTCAATGGTCGAGTGGAACTGATCAAAAGACAGGCATCTCGAGCAGAGGGCCAAAAGAAACTGGACGAGGTGATGTAAGTCGCGACTCAGGAGGACCTTTCAGACTGTTGATGTTGATATACTGCTAGGAGAGCTGTCGGTGGTGCTCTCTCTTCAGCACCTTCGATCAACACCGTCGAAGAGATGGCTCGCGAGCTCGAGACATTCGACATGAAAGTTTATAGAGCGCAGCTGGAGATGACCAGGCAGATGACATCTAAACTCCAAGAGTTTGGTGTCCCGTTCTTTGGAACGAAAAGTGAGCTAGTGAGAACTCGTATTCAAGGTGAGGGAGACAGAGAGGCCTCCACGCAAGATAAGGGGACCATCGACGAGACTGAGCTGGTGAAGCTCCAGAGGAGGATGCTTACAATCCTGGAAGATCTCTGTAGCGACTAAAACGGATCAAGAACAACAGAGAATACTTTGTTGCACATCGCACGGAGAGAGGCCTCCATGCTTTCCTAGTTCATATGATCCAAATAGGAATCTATGTAAAAGTTGACGAGCGTACTCGGCCTCTGACGGAAGAAGATACGAAGTATTGGTGGCTGTACGGCGCCAAACTCTGAGAATAGCAACGAATCTGAGGGGATACTATGAGATGAGACGGTTCACTATCGCTCTAGTATGGGGAACCCCCACGCCGACTTGCAACTGCATACGACATTCGGCGTCAGCAGATACTAGATATGCCTCTTTGGACAACTACCGGCTCCGAAAAGCTCTATCCAGGCCGTCTTACTCATGATCAAACTCGTGTCGATTTTTCGGCATTTGTTTCACAATGCGCCTCAAGAATATGTGCCATGGTGTAAAGCCCTAAAATTTGCAGCCTCAAGATATGTAGCATTCCGGCTCTTGGGTCATTATGAAACCAATCTACATCCCTACCCAAATCTTTTTCCAATTATATATCCGGGCTCCATAGGTCAGTTTGTTGTTGCTTTAAGCCACTTGTGACTTATGTCTCCTTCAGCCTTCACGTCACCGCTATTCAATCTAATCCACCGCTCTATCTTATTCGTGGAGTAATCAATGTATGCTATCTCGGAACCAAGCTTTTCTCCAAAAGTGTTTGGGGGTCACACTTCTGGAAGGTCACGTTCCGTACCTACTCGAGCATCACCGTTTTGGTAGCGAACGTGCAAAATGGATCCGGAAACCAGGAATATCTCCGAATTGGATATCAACACCAACCGTTCGGTGACACAATCATCTGCGGATGCATCCCCAATCCACGAGAGGATTCCCGCAGCTCCCACCGCTTCTTTAGATCGTGGGGGTCACAATTTTACACGACACCCTCGTGATACTTAGTTTTATGTTCGTTGTAGAATATCATACGGCCTTAGAACTCTTTCATATCTCAAGATCAACACCTGGATATCAGATATCTTAGATGCTATCCAAGTCGAGAAGGACGGGATTTCACCCATCCTCGCTTCTCCCAGCATTCATGTCCGGCAAAATGCTCCTAACGGCCAACCTATCTCACAACATGCTAGTCAGCCGTCAATCGAGGACAGAGTCTGCCGTCGCGCAAGGAGTGCGACGAGCATCAAAAGATACGACCCCGTTCCAGAAATACTACATCCTTGTATGGATGGTTGAAACAAAACGAACTTTATAAACCAATTTCCTTTCTGGGTCACGTTTTATTCCATTTTACACCAAAACCCCAAACAAAAATGCTCCTTGCATGGTGTTTTTGCTGCGATGTGCAACAAAACCCTACAAGCCGGGGAAGTGGCGGGTGAGTATTTATGCGGGAGCTGCTGAGAGGCTTGATTTGCCCCACCCAAGCTTCTGGCCCGAAGACGGCTGCCGACGAGTTTGTATCAGCTCCATGTCAACCTCTTCTCGAAGGCGAGAACTCTTCTGATCTTAGTTTTATATATTTTGCACTTGAGATTATTGTACAGATTCTGACTCTACACTTGCTTACATTTGTGCACTTGCTTACATTTGTGATTTTGAACTCGTGAAATCAATAGTTCAATTCCACCGTCCAGATGGCGGGGCCTTTGAAAAAGGGTCTCTCGAACATCCTCAAGAAGTATCCCGATGACATTGTTATACTATCCTCCCTTCGAACTCCTATAACACGTTCATACAAAGGAGGTCTCAAAGATGCCTACCCAGAAGAGCTTCTCTCAACTGTAAGAACCCAATCTCTCCTCAGACTTTCTAAGTCGTTGCTAAGTAACTATGCCAGGTTCTTCGCGCCACACTAGCCGCAAATCCAAACCTTGACCCGTCATTGATAGAAGATGTGGCAGTTGGCGTTGTCCTCTCCGAATTAGGTGGCTCGAAAGCAGGCCGTATGGCGGCAAACCACGCCGGTCTCCCCACAAGCACATCCTTCTACACAGTCAACCGAGCCTGTTCCTCTAGTCTGAGCGCCATCACCGCAGTATCGCACCAGATCCAGTCCGGGATGATTAATATCGGTATTGGAGGGGGAACAGAGAGTATGACACGGAATTATGCTTCGAAAGCTATACCTATAGATCTCTGGCCTGAATTGAAGGATGCCGAGAAGGATGTCAAGGATTGTATCATGCCAATGGGTCTTACATCCGAGAATGTTGCTGAGAGGTACAACGTATCGAGAGAAGACCAGGATGCATTTGCCGTAGCGTCACATCAACGAGCTACGAAAGCGCAGGCTGAGGGGCTATTTGAGAAGGAAATCGTGCCAGTCGAGACAAGATTCCAGGAGGTTAATAAAGCCGGAGAAAAGGTAGGGGATTTGCAGCAGGTTACCGTTAGTAAAGACGATGGAATAAGAACGAATGCGAGCCTGGAGGGAATGGCGAAGTTGAAACCCGCGTTCAAGAAGGATGGCACTTCAACTGCTGGCAACAGTTCCCAGATATCGGATGGTGCAGCTGCGACTCTACTACTTCGTCGAAATACAGCGACCGAACTCGGCTTGACGTCTTCAATAATAGGGAAATGGGTTGGGTCAGCTGTTGCTGGTTGTGCGCCAGATGAGATGGGTATTGGTCCCGCAATTGTCATTCCAAAGTTACTAGAGAAACACGGGCTGAAGAATGAGGATATTGGGTTATGGGAGATCAATGAGGCGTTTGCTAGTCAGGCTATTTACTGCTTGAGGAAGTTGGGATTAGAGAGTGCTATGGAGGAGGGAAGGGTAAATCCTAAAGGTGGTGCTATTGCGTTAGGACACCCGCTGGGCGCTACTGGAGCGAGGATGCTGGCCGGACTCTTACCAGAGATGGAAAGGCAGGGTCTACAGACTGGAGTTATAAGTATGTGTGTCGGAACTGGAATGGGTATGGCCGGACTGTTTGTCAGAGAGTAGACTCTTGAATATTAAAAGACATGGATAATCAGTTCAATGTCCTAGGCGTGTAATTCTGATAAATGTTGATTCAAACGCTATGATGGGTATGAGCATTCCGCTAAGCCATATAAACATACATTACGGCATTACAGTCATAACCAGTGTCCCTCCTTAACGCCATGCTAGTCAAATAGCCGAAACCCATCAATCCCAACCGGGAGAGGGTAAGAAATCCGCCGGTCATGGTATATCGTGTGCTCGGGTTTTAATACGTGATGATGTGGCTAAAATGTCCTGGCACCTTCAATCGACATTTCTCGCAATCAGCTCTGTAGCCCATACTAAAGCTCTTCTTCATATTGCCATTGAATTCGGAAGCAAAGCCTGATCCCGTCCAGTTCCGCAAACTGTGCTTTGATCGTGTATGTCCTTTCTTTGTAGGAGTTTCGCGCTCAGGATGCGATGAGTTATCGACCTCCATCTGCATATCACCCATTCCGTCAATGATCACACTCGGACTCATCTCTCCTTCACTGATCGGGCTTGGTAATCGTCTGCCTCGCCGGAACCGGTCAACCAGAGCCTCGTCATCCGCAAAATCATTCTCGTGATGGACAGAAGCTTTCTCGGACCGAATATATGGCGCGAACGAGCTATGTATCGGTGTAGGTATTCTTCCAGAAATGGTTAATGACGGGTCGTTGTGAAATGAACCTGGCGATAGATGCACTGTATCGGACATTTCCATCTCGTCAGAGTACATGGCTGCGTCCGACAATTGGGTGTTCTGTGAACTGAAAGGCGATACCGCTGGGTTTGGTGTTACTGTACATGCTGGAGAGGAGGAAAACGGTGAGAAGAAGGATCGGGGTTCATCGGACGCAGGCTTATCCTCCACGTCAGAATCCACCGGTGTAATCGTGGGAGGGGCGGGAGGCTGCGAAGTATAATTTGTGTTGAAAGAAAAGGGAGGGGACAGTGGACGAGCGAGATTCGGTGACTGTCGATGTGGTAACGCTGCTATTCGACGTTTCTGGTGATATGTTAGAATGATGTTGGCCACAGAATAAGCAATTCAAGCGGAAGCATACAGATCTATGTTCACTGAAGCCCGCGGGCACATCGTCCTCCTCTCGTCCCCTCTTGCGAGCTTTGTTCCACTCGGCAAACATTATCTGTATATTTCGGCAGACGCCCTCGGGTTGATGGTGGCACGTTTTATGCGATGTTCGTACGTTGTATCTGTGGTTGGTTTTGATGTTTGTGCCGGTAAGGCTGGTGGAAGCCTTGGTAAGGTTCAGGGCCGACTGTGATAGATTGCGTTCAGTCTTTCAGCCAGGCCGCAGGCGATCCCTGATATTATATTATATGGACGACCACGAACGTGATGCACTCATCCTCAGAGGTTCTGGACGAGGTTGCGTGAGATTTTGGCGGTGGGTTTCAGATCTGCTTCACCCAAAGCTCTGAAGTGTTTTGGATGTTGAGACTGGAAGCTGGGGAAGCGCGAAGCTCGAGGTCCCCCCGGGCCATCCCAAAGAGCGCCTCATGTGGCGCGGGTGTCAGTTCGGGTCAGCTAAAGCTGGAAGTGGCTCGGGGCGAAGCGTCGAAGGCGCTTGTTCACGCGAAGAACACTATGAGCACGAAGCATGGAAACCAATATATTGACATTTTGTTCAATTCCTGAAAGGACACCGTGCAATCAAAGGAGGGCCAAGTGGTGAGTGTTACCATGGCTCTTTTCCCGGTGGCTCTGTCTGATCCGCAAGCCCAGTTTCCCAGTTTGCAAGCTGACACGACGGATTTCCAACCATCTGGAAGTCTTGAGCCCATTTCCTGCGTCGTGGAGGAATTGTTACACCATCAAGAGACGATCAGAGATGACCGGAACGATATCGGAAATTTACTCCTTGCAGAGATACCAAAAGAAAGTTCGTCACCTGTGAAGATTACTGAGTAGGCGCCGGTACGTGGAATCGAGCAGCCGTGTCCTACATGAAAAGGAAATTCTCGAAATCAGAGGAACACCAGTCGACACAAGGTTACCTTTTGACGATCCACGGCCGGAGGGCACGACATATGTATTGAAAATGCACATCCAACGATCCCGTAATGCTGTGAAGATACTCTCTCGACTGGGCGCCGGAAGCGGATTTCAATGACTTTCAACGAAAACCGGAGGCTGAGCTGCCCATATCACCGAGATACAACACGATACAAGAAATTGCCGTCAGGTACAATGGAAATGACAGCTGAGATGTTACGTGATAGATCTCAGCAGGAGAAGCTGCTCGTGTATCAGCAAACGCCATTTACGGTATTTACGCGGTATATGATATATATGGTATTTCTTGTAAGTTGGTCATTTTGACAGCTGGGTCGTCGACGGTTAAGTTTATAGCCCCAGTGTTGACGACCCCTCGTTGCTATTTAGAAACTGCCAATGTTGTTGACATGACGCCGGTACGACCAGTTCCAGTTCCTTATCGGGCAAGAGACTCAACTCGAGACGATGTCCATTTCTTTCCAGCTCCAAGAACCGCAGCTCGAACCGGTCGCCGTCATCGAACTCGGCGACATCATACGACGTCACGTGTGATAAACCGCCCATCCCAGATACGCCCATGTGGCTGGCTGGCTAGTTCCCGGTGGTCGGTCCTGAATTTTTATTTACCCCTCTAAAATTGACAGCAAAGGCTTCCCATTTCGCTTGACTCACCTTCAACTGTACCACGTCTAACAAACTTCCCACTGAGTTTTCCAGTCGATCGTCACCTTTATTTTGTCTGCCGCACCGCCAAAAGTATATCAATACAATAACCATGCCAATCCTCGACATGGAACCTTTTCTTGTAGACGACACCCGCAGTAAGCAATCGCAGACCCCGCCATGGGTTCCATATTTGAATCCCAGAGATTCCAAACAAGAACAGCACTAAATGACATTGTAGTCTTGGGTCAAGATCCTCTCATACCGCCTGCTCTACTGGTATCCGAAGTTCCTATGAGCGATGCCTCCCTCAAGACTGTCGTCAAAGGCCGCAAAGATGCGGTCGAGGTCATCATGGGCCAATCTGACCGCCTCCTCGTTATGGTGGGACCCTGCTCTCTCCACGACCCAAAGACAGCACTCGAGTACTGCGAGAGATTGAAGGAGCAAGCTGACAAGTTGAGCGACGACTTGGTCATCATCATGCGGGCCTACCTCGAGAAGCCACGGACAACAGTTGGGTGGAAGGGATTGATCAACGACCCAGACATCGACGAATCCTTCCAAATCAACAAAGGTCTCCGCATCAGTCGTCAATTGTTCTGCGATCTCACCAATCTCGGTATGCCAATTGCCTCCGAAATGCTCGACACAATCTCTCCTCAATTCTTAGCGGATCTCATCTCTCTCGGAGCCATTGGTGCCAGAACCACCGAGTCACAGTTACACCGCGAACTCGCATCTGGTCTGTCGTTCCCCGTCGGGTTCAAGAACGGAACTGATGGCAGCTTGACGGTTTGCATTGATGCGATTGGAGCTGCTGCTGCTAAACACCACTTCATGGGTGTCACGAAACATGGTCTAGCTGCCATTACGCGCACAAGTGGAAATGAGCATGGTTTTGTTATTCTCCGAGGTGGGACTAAGGGTACCAACTATGATGCTGAGAGTGTGAAGATTGTCAAGGAGACATTGGACAAGAAGAAGCAAAAGCAGGCTATTATGATTGATTGCTCTCACGGTATGTGTTCTCATCTTACTTGTCATCACGGAGTGCAACTAGTTCTAACACAATATCAGGTAACTCAAACAAAGACCATCGAAATCAACCCAAAGTTGCCGCTGTGGTTGCGGAGCAACTTCGTGCAGGCGAGAAATCCATCATTGGTGTGATGATCGAGTCCAATATCAATGAAGGCAGTCAGAAAGTTCCTCCAGAGGGTGCATCTGGTCTCAAGAAGGGAGTCAGTATCACCGACGCATGTATCAGTTGGGAATCCACAATCACCGTACTTGAGGATCTCGCTTCCGCTGTCCGCGATCGCCGTAAGGTGACCACGAATGGCCATGATACCAAAGTCAGCACACTAGAGGAGGGTACGAATAATTAGATGGGAATGATGAATATGATGGTATGGGGCGTTGGGATATTTGCTTTGAGATTGCTTTATATATCATGAGATCCACCGGCAAGGGGATAAAAATGTTGTGAGCGTAATGGCTGATATTGAGACTTTGGTAGGAAAAACGGGTTTCAGATTTCATGTTGTTTTTATAGACAAAAATTTATCCTATACACTTGCTACTTAGGACTCTATATTCGCTTCGCCTGTCAACTAAGGGTGGTCTGAGCGAGAAGGAGTGGAAGTGATGAAGAGCAAAAGTAAGGGCAGCTCAAGAACCTGAATACTGCAGGACGAAGGTTGAGAGAAGTAGTATGGAAACAAGTTTATATTATTAAACGCTGTTCTCGGCCTCCAACAAATATAAACGAAAACCCGATTTAGCTTTCCTAAACGCCAACATGCTAATTCCGCCTTGAGATGTCCTCCGACAATCCAGGTGACCTCAAACGCCATTTTGTAATATTTTTTTATCGAAATGCTTTCCTGGTATTTTCCAACGTGCATTACGACCCGAAGACACCATCATAATTATCAAAGCTCATTATCCGCTCCAAGACACTATTATAAGCGTCATAGTCTACTAGTCTTGACAATCCTATCCGTCTCCAACCCAGTTTCCGTTCCCTTGGGGGCAGGAAGTGTCGGTAACGGTGCAACGACATCAACGACACCTTTCGCAACGCGCATATTAATGTATCCCTCGTCTGGACTCGCCCAGGTGTAATCCTTCAAGTCCCCCAGAATAGCCCACACACCTTCCGCCAACTCGGCAATATGTTTTCTTCGCTCCTCACTCCAGACCTTCTTCTCTGTGCTGACCTCTCGTCCGGAGACTGGTAGACCATCGAGAATGGAATTATACACGGACATTGTCTCTTCCAGCTCAGACAGGTTACTGACGCCCATCACACTTACACCGACACCATTTTGCGAACCAGAACGCGCCCAGGTCTCGAGCGCCCAGCGGATAGCTACCGTCTCCAATTTATCGCCATTCGAAGCCGTGTATTTGGCCGCCTCCGCAACTTTCTGACGCAGTTCTGGCGGCGCAGGATGGAAATCTCCTTTTCCGCCCACGGGCACGCCTACGCTGCGGAGGAGTCCCATGCCGAGAGGACTTGCATTGGGGACGCAGTCAACGCCTGCTCTCTTAAGCTTCTGAAGCCCTTGCGTCTGGAGCGTGGTGTTTTGCAGCGTGTAATTCGCGTATGACATTACCACATCTAAGGGCTCGCCTGTGGAAGATAGGATGAGCTCGCTGAGTTCGCAGAGAAGAGGAACGGGGTAGCCGGAGATTCCGATGTATTTTATGGTTCCGGTTGTGTCGCGGATACGGCGGAGTTCGATGACTGCTTGGAGGACTTCGGAGGGGGTTACGAATTCAACGTCGTGGCAGTAGACCACGTCTAGGTATTTTGTGTGTAGACGTTCGCATGATCGCTGGACGGAGTAGCGGACCCATTCTGGTGAGTAGTCGAACTCGGAGGCGCCTATGCGACCGACTTTGGTGAGGATCTTATAGCTTTCGCGGGGAAAGGAGGAGAGGACGGCGGGTTGGGTGAGGGCGGTGCCGAGAAGGGATTCGGAGGGACCGTAGTAGGGAGAGGTGTCGAATGCTGTTACGCCGAGTTCGAGGGCGCGTTGGATGATGGCGTTGCAAGGGATTTTGGAGGTATCGGGGTTGTATTGATTGTTGAAGGTTGCGGTTCCACAGATGAGAGGAGGGAGAACGGTGGAGAGGGGTGGGTGAGATGGTGGCATGTTGGTGGGAGTGTGGTGATGGGATATGGTGAGAGTTTTGGGAAGGAAGATGGTTCTAAGTGTAGAAATCTAAAAGACAATGATGAGAGAGACGCTATAACATAATCGACTCGTGTTCGTCTTCCTAGATGTATCAGAAAACAAAGGGTTCGATATTATTCCCGTGCAAAGTTCCTGGTGATGGTGGGGCGAATTGCGGGCATTTTGTATTGAAGCTCCCTTCTCAAGCACACTTCGTACCGATAAGGAAGGATCTAGTGCCGCTTACATCCGGCAAGCCCGTTTCAACAGATTAGGGGTCTTTTCCAAGGAAAAAGGGCTGGAAAGCAGATGGAATGCGTCACGATTAAGAGCCGAGAGACTTTGCGCCTCTGCTTATGGTTGTCTGTCGGATGGTTGACGATGCACCGTGTTCTATCGCAATGTAGAACCAGCTTTCGCGATCAATTCGGTGCACATTTGGAATGGTTTTGAGGTGATGCTGCGGAGTGAGTGGTGGAAGCCGTTATTTACGCCGCTGGTTGACTGACTGTTTTCGTCGGATCTGGATTCTGGACCTGATTAAATCAAGACCCTTGAAGATCTAGCGACCCGCGATTAGATCAAGCGCCGAATCACCGACCGATTCCATCGTGCCAAGCGCAAGGGGCAATGGCGACATCTGAGACGGCGGCGTTTGCTTGCGGGCTGCTGCTTGCATCGAGACCCGACAAATCAGGTTGGCGGTGAGGGCACGTTCTACTTGAAGGGTCGAACATGTGATCTGCCTCGATTTGGGCAATGCCATATTTAGATGGACTTGTTCATGTTGGACATATCTATCTTAAATGGCTTAGAAGATGATCTAAATGTACTGTACAATTCACTCTTCTTCTCGCAACACGGAAGAGCCAGCACATCATCGTTGTCATACGAGCTTGCAACAACACAACCACCATTCGCTAGGGGGGATATCGGATACATCCCCGTCGGGTAAACACTTGTGTGTTGAGCTGCTCCGGTTCGTAAGATGTGAAAGGGAAGCTCCGTCGTGATCATTTCGATTGAGGCGAGTTTGTCTAGAAATGAGACACTCAATCAATACATGGTGGTGATGGTGGTACCCGAAGGACTAGTGCATTGTCGATGAGGTTACTTCCGATAAGCTTTTTGCTGACTCGTGACTTGGTGATGGTTTTATCCAAAGCAATCGTACGAGGCTCATATATCAAGTGTGTAGCAAACGTTATGAATTGGAGCATCCTTCCCTTCATGAGTTCTCGCTGATACCGTTCAGCAGCAGGTCAAACAAAGTATGCCGGTGGATTTTGCTTCAAAAAAAAGTGCAATTTACAAGATGGACAGATGCAGTACGAAACTTGAAACTCACCCGGCTGCTTCATTTGAATAGCTTTCGCCAAGCAAACAAGCAGTGCCTTCGCAGAAGGACAGACCAAGCTGACTGCCCAAGAGACAGAACTCAGAAAGAGAATGTGAAATGGTAAGTAGTAGTAGAAGACCATGTTTTCAGACGACCCAAGTGACAGACCAGCTCGCTAAAATCTACTCTCATTCGAAGAGACAAAACACAGCCCCCAAGCATTCGTAGGCTCTCGTCGGTCTCGTGCTTGGTTTTAAGATCGACAAACCAGTAATTGAATGGTCTCTAACAGACAACAAAACGCTCTGCATATTCCACACATTGAAGTGGTGGCGCAGAGCGATGTGATGAGACGTTGAAAGCACTCCCAAGACATCCAGCACCAAGTATTCTCCCGACTCAGATTGTGCATAGTGACTTCGACCACGAAAGGCTAACTGCAACTTGCTCAAAAGAAGTAAGCACAATCTCAGATTATAATGAGAGTATCCGAAGTGAATCTCGGGCTCAATAGAGCACAACTGATTCATCGAGCTGCGTTTGTTTTGCTGTGTTTGCTGATACTCGGCGCTTCAGGCTATTAGCAGTGTTTTCAAAGAGCTCAGGACATGAAAGCATATGGTATTGCAGTTCAAGAAACGAATCTGACCCCCGGTAATTGGAGACGACTTAAACATGTAATAACTAAACAGAATGAAAATCAAGAAAGATTTTCAATTCATCAGATGAATAAGTTCAAGAAAGTCGAGAGTCTCCTTCATCATACAAATTTCCTGCATCAAAGCGTTTTCTGATAGGCTTACAAGGATGCGCTGGGAGCCGACAAAGCCGGTCGCCTTTAGCACTGCAATAATTGCCGTCATCTCCAAAGCAAGCTGGAGTTACTGTATACCAGCTTTCTGCTGTTTGCCAACCTACACAAACCTCCTCCGTTGTCCGCATCAATAATCCTTTCCAATTCATACCATATCGCGACTCGCCATCGCAGGTTCAGAAGGAAAGCGCAGCACGGCAGATCCAGATGACTTCTTATCGCATTCCCTGCAGCTGATTGTTCGCATCACTGAGACACGAGGGACGACATTCCAGTCCTTTTCACTTTCCTTTATCTCCCGCCAGCTCGTGTGATCCAGCATCTCGACGGGAAATTCAGGGAAGACTATCTCTATCGATCAACCAAACTTCATAGTGTGGCTGCAGTATCGATTTGGCCCACGAGAAGCGCCCATTGAGCGACATCTGGGCTGTGAGTGAGACGGCGGTCGACTGTTGCTCCTTGTACGTCGTACCAACTATTTTCCCCACGCTTGCCGAGACCTGCATATATTCGACGACTCCGCGTCTGCTCCCTCAGCCATCAATACCCTCGAACACGGCCCACGGGCACCTCTGCCACAGTATCGTTGTCGTTGTCGTTGCGCCGTTGAAACGCCAGATGCGGAGCAAGTGTGGGCAATATGGGCAACAGCAGCACGAAAGAGTCGCGACCAGAGAGTCATCGTGGGGATAGCGGGACAAGCGGTCCCACCTCACCAAGTGACCGACATCATCCTCAACATCCATACAATGCGAGGAGTGGCCGAGGAAGTAGACCTGACTTGTCGACGATATTGGGATTAGGGGGCTCGAGTACGGATGTACCAGAACGGAGGGAGACCAAGCATGAACGGGAGGCACGGAAACTGGAAAAGGAGAGGGTGAACAGGATAAAGGAGAGAGAACGAAGCATCAAGGAGGAACATGTGGACGGAGGTTATCTGGTCACGATGGGCGTTTATACTGGCCCTGAGGATTTCAGCAAACCCGTGGTCAGACAGCTTATGGTACGTTGGAGCAAAATGTACATTTGGTTGGCAATTTTATACTAATATACTACAGATCGAGCGAAGGATAGCTCCATTTTGGCGTGGTCTCGATGATTTTAAGGAAGAATGGACGGAATACCAGCTGGTCGCTGCGGGCAGAGGTTTGCCTATTCCTGCCGCGGATGAGATACCCCCAGAAGGAATGATGCCAGGTCCATCTGCAGAATCCGAAAATCCATCGAACCCGAACATACAAAACCTTATGGTTCCTATTTCTGGTCGGTCACAATCAGCCTCGTCCGATACCTCGACGACTCTTTCTCCCTCACATCCAGCATTCTCCGTTCCGTCTCCTACTTCCTCAGCACCACCGCCCGCACCCGGTGCCTCCCCTTTCCGGCCTCGATCCAAAACCTTAGCCTCGCTCACGACTTCTTCGAAAAATACTTCTTCTACCGAATTAACACCCCGCGAGATCCAGCTTCCAAACGACCCCTTTGTCAATGGTCAGCCAGTGGAGGTCTTCCTATATAAAGACTCTTCTGAATGCCCCATTTGCTTCTTATACTACCCACCATATCTCAACAAGACGCGATGTTGTGACCAAGCAATATGCTCCGAATGTTTTGTGCAAATCAAGAGACCAGACCCTCATCCGCCGGAGCATGAAGTGAGCGACCCAAACAATCCAACACCTCCTCCACCTGAGGGAGCAGGAGATCCCGAACAATTAGTATCTGAGCCCGCAATGTGTCCCTATTGCCAGCAGCCAGAATTTGGTGTTACATACGAACCGCCCCCATTTCGACGAGGACTGTCATACACAACACCTGCTCATGGTCTTCACAGTCTTTCTTCTGCAATGTCCTCCTCCTCCTCCTTGAATTCGACTGGTGGCCCTGCAGTTGCTCCAACTGCACACAAGAGACGCACCACATCAATTTCTGCGAATGCGCCTACGGTCATCACAACTGATCGGATCCGACCCGATTGGGCCACTAAACTCTCAAATGCCAGGTCCCATCTTGCTCGTCGGGCAGCAGCAGCCACAGCACTTCACACGGCCGCTTACTTGATGAACGGAAACACTGACAACAGAAGTTTTGGTTTCAGCAGTCGAAGTCGCTTTGGAAGGCATCGGGGTGACAACAGCCCAGGTACAAGTGGGGCTGCGACACCATCATCTGCCACAGCTGGTACTGAAGGCGGTGCACGAAGCGTTGGTGAACAAGTGGCACAGATGCGGCGAGAGGTTCAAGAAGGTGGTGCTTCGCGGCGAAGAAACAGGATGGAAGACCTCGAGGAGATGATGATGTTGGAGGCGATACGCCTCAGCTTAGCGGCTGAAGAGGAGCAGAAGAAGAAACGGGAGAAAGAAGCAGCTAAAGATGCCAAGAAAAGGGCTAAGGAAGACAAGAAGAGGGAGAAGAAAGAAAGAAAGATTTATGGCAGTGGCGCTAGCTCAGCTAACGGCAGTGCGCTGAGCCTGTCGCTCGGACTCGGCCGGCGGAGGGGGAATAGCGGTGCGAGCAACCTTGGGAGAGAGATCACCTCAGAGAACTTGCACCCTTCAGACCCGAAGGGTAAAGGTGTTGATCGAAGCGGTGGTAGCCAATCCAATTTATCGGCCACATCAACACCTCTGGATATTTCAAGGGGCGAGAGCAGCTCTAATTCCAGATCTCCAGGCCCTCGACACATAGATACCACCCTCTCGCCTATTGGCGGTTCGCACCAACCCTCTCCCTCACCTACTGCTCCGGACAAGCCTTCTCACTTGCGGCAGATGAGTAATGCATCAAGTCCAGCTTCCTCATTTGTCGAGTCTGCTTCTGGCAGTCTGCGAAAAGATTCCCAGATGGCACATGCTGGGCGCTACTCTGATGACACACCTGAAGAGGACGAGCAAAACGGAAACCCAGAGCTCGAACCTATGTTTAATTTCCAAAGCCTAGCCGCTATGATAGGCGCAGAAGACGGCGATGAAGATGACAAGCAAGACGCTGCGCGGCATATTGAGCACCTGAATGGAGGACGAAGTTCGGGGACGAGGCAGCCGACCGATGATGGTACATCAGCATTGGAAGAAAGTGTAGCTACGCTAAGAGTGAGCGATTCGTACTCACATGAAGGGGTTAGGGGTTCCGAATCCGGCCCAACGACGTTGCTGGAATCGCAAATTTCGACGCCAGAAGTTAAGCTTACGCCAGAGACCCCCGCAGCTGTAGATGACCGAGAGGATGAGGGTAAACAGCTGGGCTCAGGATGGACGGAGCAAGTCACTCGGGAAATTACACAATAATCTCCTTTTCGATCGGCCACAAGAGAATATTTCTATGGCAACTGTGGCTGATATTGCAGGGTACCGGAATCGCAGGCATCAATACATAGTACAGAGGCGTTTCTTCGAAGTGGAGTTTTCTTTTGGGTTTCTTGCGAAAGAATTGTGCTATGGGAATCTGGGGATGGGATATGTGTTTATAAGGGGTCGGTACATTTGGGCGTAACTGGAAAGTAATTTTTCCCTGAGTATTCTTGGTACCTTAAACCAATGTATGTATGTATGGAGCACCTTCCGAACATTGATAATGTTTGGGATGGGGGAAACTGGATTTATTAGCGTGGGGTGGTTCGAGGGATAACAATGCATGCATGGGAGGAGCGCGTTTAGATGTAGTAGCCAAAATGAATAAAAGTCTTCACTATTCAGACTTTTTACTGATGGATATACATACAATCGCTTAGTACATGCAACGCTGCAGTTGCAAAAGAGATACATACAAGCGCATCTACTGTAACTTGTGGCAGCCCAGCTTCTCTTGGAATAATCAACTCAAAAGTTCAAACCCTCCTCAAAGCCATAGATACACCCTATGACCACTTTCATCTCGTATACACTTTTACGTCGCGAAAAACCAACAAATGTACCTAGGTAAATAAGCTTTGTTCCCATCAACAAAGGAAGGGAGGGAAGGATTTTCGCTTCGATCCGTCGGCGAATCGCCGTCGACTCGCTAGCGAATCTGCAGGAGATCATTCGGGTGCGATGTGCAACAAAATCGGACGGTTTGGGGGTGCTTGGCGTGGTGGGGGTGTGTGATTGGGCGGGTGGTGGAGGAGTGTGTGGGGTAGTGGGGCTTGTGAAGTGAAGTGTTGGTGCCAGAGAGAGTCAAACACATAGAACATTGAAACGACTTTCCAACAATAATATGTTATATGTAATGAGTTTTTTTCTTTCAAATGAGATCATATGGCGAACATGCTCGATTTGATTAAGAGAGAACAACGTTTCGACAAGAAATAATCAGAAAATACTGTGAGGAGGTGTCCTATCGGACTTGTAGTGAACTGATGATGTTTGGAATAAGTAGTATAAAGGTAGAAGCTGCTGATTACTCTGCTGGGTGTAAAAAGATTTTGGAATGGGCAAGAATTTTGATTGTCAATTGTGTTATAAAAGATTCTGAAATATCGTATGTACTGGTAGAATGGTCGGAATACACGATCATCTAGCGAGGTGACAGAGAGATATTAGGTTTTACTGCAGTTCTTTCTCGGCCATCGCGAGTGGTTCGCACTGTATGCAGTGGTTTGTAGAGTTGAGATTGGAATGGAAAGTAGGTTATGAAGCGGAGGCCTTTTTTGAGTTGGCTTGAGAAGTGTGGTAGTTTGAGAATTTGAAGAGGATAAATGGCTTGTATTCTCGTACGTCTCTTCTTTGGAGACATTTCCAACTCTAGTTATGAGAGGATGAGACAACAGTCTTATTGAATCTGGTTCTTATTGATGTTCCTATAGTTTGGGCAGAATTCGGATTAAAAATGCTGGATTGAGAAGCTTTTTCATAATGAATCTCAGCCAATCAATATCAATGACGAGTCTTGCACACTCTTTGATGTTACAGTCCTCCACGAATTATCCAAAGTAACATAAACCACTCATCTCCCAGCATCTACTCAAAAACCACATTCTTATTCGGCTCCACCTTCTCCACAAACTTACAAACCCCCTTATGCCTCACCCAATCCTTCTTCTGACACTCGGCACCACAATACCTCATCAACTTACACCTATTACACTTCAACAGTTTCGACTCCGGCACCTTCTTACACACATAACACGAACCGCAAATCGGATTCACGGGATCCGGTCCCTTCACATACGGTTTTATAACCTTATGCACGTCCTGGATCCCCGTAGTCGATGCAATGCCGTTGATATACTGCATCCAATTCTCCCGACATACGCCGCCGTCTACACATACCACGCCAGCGATGTCCATGATACGGTATTCGTACGGGGGGCCGGGCATGTCGGGGCCCATCCAGCACATTGGGGAGTGGATTACTTCTGTTCCGGGACGTCCACATGAACAGGTCCAGTTTGCTGAGTGCTTTACTTCATGTTGGATGCGGTGTGTTGTTGCTTGAATGAAGGCTTGGGTTGAGTTGGGATGTTTGGAGAGGATTTGGGAGGGGTTGATTGGTTGGGCGATTTCTATGTTGAGGGAGGCATCGTTACCGCCGTGGAGACTGATAGTGTGGTGGAGGGTTGCGGAGGTCTCATCGCGTGGAGCCATGGTAATGGGTTAGGTGTGTCGTTTGATTTTTGAGATTGGGTAGTATGAGGAAGTGAATTTTGAGATTCCTAGGTTTCTCGATTTTGTAGATGTTGATATTTGAATGGCAGTGGAGTCTCCTTGTGGTTTGCAGGAAACACACTTCCAATTCGGTTTGCGTTACAGAATAGGTGTGTTATTTTCCAATAAAAGATGTAAGAGTCTAGAACACTTTATAATTCCCAACGGAGTAGTAAAGCCAAACCTGTTTCGCCAAAACCAGATTGTTACTAAAGAACTTGAACATGCGGTCAGGTCTAATTGAGGTTTTGATCTATCATGCATGGCACGTGCTGAGATCTCCACTTTTATACACAATCAATGGAAGTGCAAAGGATAGAATCGTCGTTCCAAATCATAATATTGATTCATTGGATGAAGTTGGAAGACGAAGGTTTAATCGATGTTAAGAATGTGGCCTTGAGTGAACCTCATTTTCGACTTTCTCACAGACGCTGAGGTTTATCGAAAGACACGCGACATACAGACACGAAATCATAATTTATATCATTGTTACATGTTTCTAAAGCTACCGCTCTTGTATCGAAATTTACTCTATTGGACCGTTAGGATGAATCAAAACTTTGGTATATCCATCCTCTCTTCTATCGAATTTCCCGTAAGCAGTTGGTGCCTCATCAATGGAGATGTTATGAGAGACGACGAAAGAAGGCTTCGCTTTGCCAGAAATGATCATGTCTCTTAGGTACCGATTGTACTTCTTGACATTACACTGACCAGTACCGATAGTCAGTCCCTATTCAAAATGAGTTAGCTCCGTCATGCTCGATATTATATCCAGATAATGCATACCTTCTCGAACAGTTTTCCAAAACTAATCAACAGCATGCCCTTTCCAGAGTTCTCGTCTGGAGCTCCTGGATCGCTTGGTACATACAAGCCTGGAACACCAATTCCGCCAGTAGGTCTTGTGACCTTAATACAGTTCTCGAGAACGATTGATGGCATCTCCTTCTTCTCATCACCAGAAGCTTGATAACCAACAGCATCGACACTTCGATCGACCATACCTCCATTCTTTTTGATGATAGCTTCAACTGCATCTCCCTTGGTGAAGTTAATTGGAATACATCCAATCTTCTCTGCAGCTGCTAATCTTTCTGGAACTGAGTCAACGACGTATACAGCACTTGCACCTCGTAGAGTAGCGCTGTATGCTGCCATCAGTCCGACAGGTCCAGCACCAAAGACTGCTATTGATTCGCCGGATTGGAAGCCTGAGATGACCACACCATGCCATCCTGTTGGGAAGATATCGGCAAGAAGGATGAAATCGGCTTCGTTTGCCGTACCGGCTGGTAATGTTAAACAGTTGAAATCTGCAAATGGGACCTTGACATATTGAGCTTGACCACCTTCATAGGGACCCATTGCGACATAGCCGTATGCTCCACCGGCAAACCCGCTTTCATGGGTTAGTCAAAATGCTAATAATCGGCTGTTCATAGCGAACTTACGGATTGACTCCGGTACAGAAAGCCGTATAACCTTCCTCGCAGTTTTGACATCTCCCATCAGCTACGTTAAAAGGCATGACAACTCGGTCTCCTTTCTTGACCAGACTGACACCCTGTCCAACTTCGACGATGGTTCCCATATTCTCGTGTCCTGTAGGCCAAATCAGCTGCTATAAGAATTACACACAACTGAACATCTTGAAACTTACCAAAACATAATCCTCCTTCGGCTGCAGTTCTTCCTTGATACATATGTAAATCAGATCCGCAAATTGCTGCGGTGGTTACTTTGATAATAGCTTCATCAGGATGTGTGAGCTTTGGAAGTGGGCGGTCCTCGATTGTGACCTCGAATGGCTCTATATTGACATTGTTAATGATGGGGTTTTCCTTGTTGAGTTGCCAATCCAGTTGAAATTACCTTGGTACACGACCGCCTTCATGGTTTCCGTTTTCGACATTTTGAGGATTTATATGTTCAGCTTGAATGAATATAACTTTCAATCTTTCCGAGAACTGATTGTGACTCCAACTTTCAATATTTCTTGGGAACAAGCTGCTTCAAATACTACTCTCAAGAAATCCAAGAGTCTAGAACAGTGGAATGACCCCGCATGAGGACGTACAAAGCCCCCTCAAATGTCAGACTTATCCACGCCACACAGCACTTCTTCATGAAGTCACTCTCCAGGGTTTCTACCCCGCAATAGCTTGACATTGTGGAGACGACTCCATTGATTAGCCCCGGTTCTGGACTGTTCGTGGACCAGATCTTCGGGATGTCGCTTATTGAGTCGGTGCAATATCGGTATCGTCGTATAGTTGGTACTTTCGGGCAAGTTCAAGGTGAATGTTTGCTGTATGTGAACGGCACAGATTAGATTTATATCACTATCGTGAAGTTTGAGAGGTCTTTTTGTCTGATGTAAATATCTGCCGAGGACACAGGAGGACGTGTTGGCCCCATAATATGGCCACCACTAGTACGCATTAGTACTTGAACCCCTCGCTTACCCCTCACTATGCTTCACTTTCTTTTGGAAACATTCTTAATTTCCTTGTAGGAGTTCACCGTATAGATAAACTTCTGTGGCATTGAGGCTTTAGGTAGTCTGTAGTACTCTCGTTCCAAGAACTGCATGACCATGTGGGCGGGATTCAGTACAGGTATTTGAAATACCAGCACTCGAGTCTGGGCCGGCTGGTTTGCTAATAAATCAAACGGTTCGCTTGGAATACGTCCCTACCACCTTTCATACTTTATTACTTCAGTCATGGTGTTCTGGGAAGGACAGCGAGTTACATCTGATCAGCTATAAGCGCAAGTGCGGAATGAAGTCCAGATAGTTATCTCAAACTCTTGACTATATTGATTATCGGCGGTAAGGAGGGACGGCGGTTGTCCCCATTAAAACCGAGGACTAAATTAGACTACCCCGCTGTTAAGTACAATACATAAGCACTTTCAAGTTCACAGTCACTTTGTCTTCCCTATAAATCCTCCAAACGTTCTTGCGATCATAATTGACGCAAAAATGTCTTCCTCAGCTATTCATGTCACTGCTATTGTCACTCCCGCTAAAGGGAAAGAATCAAGAGTACACAAATCCCATACATCTTGATGTTATGGCCTTACGGATGCTGATGAGATGTTTTTACAGGTTAGAGAACTTCTTACAGATCTAGCTGGCAAAGTAGAGAAACAAGAACCAGAAGTGGTGAGTTTCAAGCCTCGGTTGGACCGCATAGCAGCATTGACAATCTTCTAGTCCAAATATCATCTGTTCGAGCAATACGACAGCGAAAGCGGAACGAATGTATTCGTGGTCCAGGAGATTTGTAAGTTTGATTTAACTGCTTTGATATCCTCAGTTGCAACCTATGTTTCGGTTTTGCCTTTAGATCCACATATATACATCACCAGATTCCCCATCAGTAGTACTACTGCAAACTTACTTGTTCTGTGTTTTGATATCATTGATCACGGTTGCTCAGCATCATCATTCATATGCTTATACGCTTCTTTTTCTCCTCCATCACAAGATTTCAAATCGACTCCTACATTACACACTTTACTGAAATCACCACAACAGATAAAGACAAGTCAACATATGACAAACACTTCAAAACCGAGTACTTCCAAGCTCTCGGCGAGACGGTCCAAAAGGAAGAGCTCCTTTCTGGGCCATTGAACATCATGACTGTCAAACCTATTGCTGGATATAATTGTCGATAAGAAATGTATAAATACGGACTTAGTTGGATAATAATACAATATGTATTAACCTCAATTGTAATATCTCGAGTTGTCATAATATCCGTCAGACCATTTTTTTTTCCATACTGTAGTGATGCAGCAGTCGTTATTCCTGGATGGCCAACGTAATTTAGTCAACCTTTGAAACGATTCAAAAGTGTGTGGTGTTGTGAGTCCTCGTGATTTGTGATTGCTCCTTGTTCGTCTCGCACACTCTCGTTTACAACTCATTTCATCACTGCTCCTGAAGCATCCTCCTTGCATGTCAAACACGGAAGGGATTTCAGTCACCACCCGTCAGCTGTTGATTTTGTCACCATTAGGAGCCGTCCATGAAGAGGTGAAATAACATGTCCCTTTTCTTTTTGGAGATGAGTATACTTGTAGTATTACTTAATGGTTTGCTACAATACATATGCTCAGTGTATGTGTAATCTTTGAAATTTCTGTTAAGATTACAACCAGTGATCGCGACAAATATTAGCGCCCACTAAAACAGGGCTTCTATTTCCCCAATATCCAGTTGAGTTCCCAAAGCATGCCCCGAGCGGCCCGATAAATGCAAATCCATAATCCCGCTACAAAATCAAATTCTATGCCCATATTCTACATCAACCGTTGACCAATTTATCATAAATCCATGAAACCCAAAATATACCCTATATATACAACGAGATAACCCCAAGCCGTTTAAAACATCCCCAAATTTAGTGTCCTGAACCGGCGCTCTCCTCAGCATTTGATTCGAAAGCGAAACCCTTCTCCTTCTCTCGTCTCAAGATCGCACGGCTCTCCTGCTCTTCTAAAAGTATAACCTTCGTTTTCTTCATCTTCAGATATATGTAAACCGCAGCGATTAATGTAAAGAGAAATGTGACGGATAATACGACGGTATTGATTGTGTTGTTTTTGGTCTGTTGGACTAGGAGGACGCCGAAGTAGACGATAATGATTTGTTTCGGAAGGGTGAGGAACGTGGCGACGGAGAAATGCCAGAACTTGACGTCGCATGTTGAAAATACTATATCCATTAGTCAAGAGTATAAAGGAGAAAGAAAAACAAAGCGTACCAGCTGTGCTGAAATGTGAAGGTACTGCCGAGAAACGAACGATCAAGACGACCTGTAAATTCCTGTTAGTAACATGAAGAAGAACGAAGGGGGTTTGCCATACCAAGAAGCCGCCATCGCGAGTCAATCGTGCCAGAGATCCGTAGTTGAGGTTGGACCTCTCAAGTTTTATAGCTTTCCTTCTAAATGCGTATTTGAAAGCATACCATGTTCCGACTATTTTAATTAGCATTTCTCCCTTTGATTCAAGGTTTCGAAAACCATACCCTCTCCGATGAAAGTACCAGCGGCGACAATAGCAAACCCAATCCACAGTCCATATACGACTCCACACAGCAAAGCAATCAACTCATGACCGAATAAGGGCGGGAAAGATATCAAAATTAATATGGCTACTGGAATAAGGAAACCACCCGGTAGGTCTCGAATCTTTTGTGATATCGGTCTCAGTACCTGTCTTCGTTAGCCACAAAGGACAATCATAGAGCTCGAGAATGTTTGCAGCTTACTTCCACAAGATGATCATGATATACCGTGATCAAAATCACCATTACCACAGTAAAAACCACAAGAATATGCCATGCTGTATCCAGTCAGTCGCCGACTTAATTCAAGTCAGCAAATTACTTGCGGATGTATTTTGGTTTTAGGAAGAAACTCTTCCAGCTGAACGGTTTGTATTCATAAACCTCCTCCTCGACCCCCTCAGCCTCTGGCTCCAGCCCGCCGGGTTTCAGTGTTTTCAACTCAATCGCCATATTTGGAAAATGAAATGGATGATCGTACAAGATAAAAATGTAGAAATGAAGATAATTTAATGAGTGACTGAGAGATGTAGGAAATAGAGAAGGAAAATCAATCACCAACACAGTCTCACAGGATGATTGAGAGGATGTATCATCGAGAGAGATGGATTTCGCGAACGGGTTTTGCGACTTCGTGGTAGTTCCGCGTGAGACCCTTCCTGTTTCACTGCCCCTTTTCATGCAACAAATCGTGACTGCGATTGGGTAATTAGGGGGCGATGGTCCTTGCGGATCGTTTACTCGCTTAGTCCGGTACTTGGGGAATGCCGGTCGTATCACAATAGATTGGCGGGTTTGATTGTGATCTTTTTGATCTTTCGACGAGATAGATTGATTCTGTCCTGGGATGTAGAACTGGCTTATAAAAGAGAGAGAAATTGTATTTGTGTTCTTCTGAACCGGGAATTACTGGTCTGGTCTCATCAAGTGTTGGAGTTTCAACTCTCAGCATCATCAAAAAGCTGCGCCTCACCCTGGTCAGCATCTAAATACGGTACCAAGTTGTGTTCAAGTGCTTGTGTCGTGCGCCAGAAGTTTATTTCCCGAATGATGACTTCCAGCCCTATCATCCAAGCCACTGGCCGTTGGGCCAACAAAACCTAGCCATGCGACCCAGATTACTTCCTGTCCAGTAATCTTGATGTAGTCCACTAATCAGGCGCGCGAGTATCAGAATTCCCTCAAATCCCCTTTTAAGAAAGTTGTCTGGTCACCTGACGGATTGGTAATGATACCTTGTAGAGGTCCTGTTCGGAGAGGAGACACATGGATTACGTGAAATAGCAAAGATGGAAGCGTACTGATTCAAAGTCATTGATATATCAGAGGGTTAGCTTTTGATAACGAGCTACTTGTGCGAGGGGTTGCTTAGCCTCTCGCGCTATCGCGCGAGTGCAAACTATCATTTGATTAAGTGTTGTGAAAAGTCTAGATCCACGATGAAGTTTTTGCCTTTCCTTAAACCATTCCCCAGAGGCCCTCTGGAGTAAACATCTTCGCTGAAAGGGCGATGAGCCCGCCAGTCAAACACATCGTACCACTAAGTAGAGATACTTCGTAGAAGCCTTCGAATTGCCTGACCATCAATCCATTAATCGGGGGACCGACAAGGCCACCTAATGCGCTGATGGCCATTCCCATGCCCATATAGGTACCGATGTTACGGGAATCATTGGAGCAGCCAGAGAACGCGGCAGAAGCTCCAGAGATAATGGTGCCAGAGGCAAATCCGAACACTGCCGAATAGATAATCAGACCGGTGTTATTAGTTGCGAGATCCATACAAAATATTGTAATTCCGCAGACGATGCCGCCAATTGAGAACATATTGATCCGCCCATACTTGTCAGCCAGCAAAGCCGGTAAAATGCGCCCAAAGGTAGATGTTGCGTTGATGATGGAAAGCATGTAGCCAGCCAACGTCGGATTCATACCACGGGTGACAGCATAAGTGGGAAGGTAGTAAAACGGCGTGAACATGCCGAAAAACATAAAGAACAGAGCAGCAATTAGGATGAGGTATTTTGCTTCTTTGAAGGCCTTTGGCAGCCAGAATGTCGACTTTCTCGGAGGCAGACGGGCTGTGACGGTCACACAAGCGAAAATCATGAAGGGCAGAATAAGGAACCCGATGATTCTAATCGACCAACCGAAGTCAAGTGAGGACCCGTTCAGGAGCTTAGATACCACAAGAGGGATGATGATACCGCCGATCGAAGATCCAGAGACGACGACGCCCAATGCAACAGCACGCTTCTTGTCGAAGTATTGAGATACAGCTGCGAATGCTGGAAATTGGAGACAGCCCATTACTAGGCCCTGAAGAATGCCTTGCACCAGCATGAACTGCCAATATGTTTTGCACAGACTTAGCATCATGATGGCAAAGAAGTAGAGAACTGCAGCGGGCCGGATACTCTGGTATCCAGTTAGGAAAGTAACTATCCGGTCAGAGGAGAGGTATACGCACCCAAGACCCGAAGAGGTCAAACAACGGTCCCCCAAAGGCGCCCGCCGCAAACTGCAGAAAGAGCGACAGTGACCCAATCCAAGCAATGCTGTCTGGTGAGTTGCCTTTGAGCTGGTGGGTCTTATAATATTCGATGAAGGTACCAAATGAATTTGAGAAGCCGAGGCAACAAAAGAAGATCGCACTACCACCGGCGGCAACAAGCCATGCATTGAGACCACCCTCAGGAGCGACACAAAACTCCAAAGAAGCGCTGGTTGCTTCCTCATCGTCGTGATGTACTCGGCTAGCGGTCGTTATTTGCTGAGGTTTCCCCCGAATCAGTTCGTTTTCAGAGGCCATCTTGTGGATTAGAGGTGTGAACTGAACATGACGAAGAAAAAAGCAGCTGTTCGTGAGTATAAGCCTGCTGCGGAAGACATGTTTGGATATATGGACGTAATATAACAGATAATCGGATATAAAATCTCGGGGTCGGACATAAACCCGAAAAGTCGGAGTGGTCATGAAATGTCCAACAGCCGCTGCCTTCATACTATCGCTGATTCATTGGACCGTTTCTTCGTGAATAAGCATTCAACAGCTATCGCCCATGGTTTCTCTATAACAATGAACTGAACGTTATCATCTCCTGTTTTGTTTATTGATCCAAAAACACATATAGCAAAGTACGAACGCTGGATGCTACGGTGAACATCATGACTGATTTAGAAAGACGGCGTAGAAGACCTGCCATGTACGTCCTTTTCAATAGCGCCTAGTGATTTACCCACACTCACTCTAAGTGGCAGATCATGTACCGTTTGCAGAAGACGTAAGCTCAAATGTAATCGTGAAGCGCCTTGCAGTAATTGCTTGCGGTCTCGAAATGCGGTTTGCATCTTTGAGACTCACCCTTCACCAGCGATGCCTGCTCTCAGCACAGCATTGCAAGACCCCCAAGGAACCACAGCTGTTTCACATACAAGTGCAGCATCGTTTACTTTGGCAAGCTCTGATCATCTCAAAACTCCTATCAGCCACTCCCCCAACGCCCATGTCGAAGGGCTTCAGAGCCGAATTCAACAACTTGAGGAGCAGCTATCCGAAGCCATCTCAGGGACGATGACTTCTCGGGCGACCACTACCATGGAAACAACAAGTTCCCGTCTCGGCGGAACATTCCACTTCAATCTAGAAGGTCGTACAACGGACACAGCGCAAGGTGTTTCCCGCAGTGTTATGCACAAGAAACGTATGTTTGGTCAGAGCCACTGGCTTAATGTGATATCACTAGTAAGGCCCAAGCACTGAACTTCTGATTCTATAGCATGGGTGTAATGAATCGTAGTTTCGTGACACCTGGGAGATGATCGACTGCCATCTCCAAGAGGAAACATCGAAAACTTTCTCAGGATTGCAAGAATGTAAATCCCTGGCTAGAGCCATAAAATTTGGTAGGTCACCACTGTGGCCCTTATTGCCTACGGTAGATCTGCCTTCGAAAGACATTTGTGATGAGCTTCTCGACTGCTACCTCCAGACAACGGAGTTGGTTTATAGGATACTACATGTTCCTACTTTCAGAAAGGAGTACGATGAACTTTGGATAGCGGGTCGTGAGACTCAAGGCACTTTTCGAGTCCAACTGAAGTTAGTCCTTGCCATCGGAGCTGCCACATACGACGATAAATTTTCCATGCGTACATCTGCCATCAAGTGGGTATACGAGGCACAAACTTGGTTAACAAGGCCGGAAGGCAAATCACACCTTGATGTAGGTCGCTTGCAGACCAGAATCTTACTATTGATCGCTCGAGAGATAGTAGATATTGGTGGTGACTCAACCTGGATCCTGTCTGGTGATTTATACAGAAGAGCCATGAACGCTGGGTTGCACCGCGATCCTTCTTCTCTACCAACAACAACGGTATTCGTAACTGAGATGCACCGTCGCTTGTGGAACTCGATTTTGGAAATCTGCATCCAGTCGAGCATGACTTGCGGAGGGCCACCGTTGATTTCGCTCGACGACTTCAACACTCAACCTCCTTCCAATCTAGACGATGACCAGTTAACAACTAATGAACCTATTCCAAAACCAGAAGAGGAAATGAGTCAAGTCTCTATCGCCATAGCGCTGCGGAAGACCTTTCCAATTCGTCTCGCAATTGCAAAGTTCCTCAACGACCTTCATTCCAATGGTACATACGAGGAAACTATCTGCCTTGATAAACAATTCAGAGCATGCTACAAGGTATTGTGTCGGACGGTTCAGGGTCCAAAATCGAACACTGGGTCCTCCACCGTTCAACCCGAGGTATATGTGGTGGAATTTGTAATGTCCCGGTACTTGTCATCCCTTCACACGCCCTTCTTCGGACGTAGCTTGTATGAGACTTCCTATGCATATTCTAGGAAGGCAGTGGTTGAGAATTCGCTCAAGATCTGGCGCGCATCCCAAACGTCTCCTCTTAATCGCCTCGCAGTCTGCGGCTCAGGATTCTATGAAACTGTCGCTTTCCAAGCCGCATTGCTCGTAGCCGTAGAAATCAGAACACAATTGCAAGAAGAAGAAAGCCTTGGGCCCGTATCTCTTCGACCAGATCTGGTTGCTGTCGTAGATAATGCAAGAACTTGGTGTCTACAGCGCATCAAATCCGGCGAAACCAACATTAAAGGCTATTTACTTATACACGTGGTCACCGCACAGATTGATGCACTTCGAAAAGGTGTAGACAGGAACGCAATGCCAAGCATATTGGTTCAAGCGACACAAGATGTTGAAGATGTTTGCTTGCCGATACTGGAGGAGATGGCGTCGCAGGCTCAGGTCGAAGAAAACGCGGATGGTCTAGCAGATATGAGTTTCGGTGCCTCGGTTAGGGGGACTGAGGATTGGGGTTTCATGGTAAGTCGGATGCGTACAGACCGTTTGCTGTTGCTTACAACATCATCAGATGTCAGATCCTATGTTCATTTCGGAGAATTCGAATCCATTGAGTTGGATGTTTGATGACGAGTTTCGGTAGTAAAATGAGATGAACAGCTTGTATCGTAAGTCTCAGTGGCACCTCATTGAGGCGAGTTAAGTATGGCAAACGATCTCACTAGTCATAACTATCTCCTGTAGTGAGCGAATGTAAATTAAGTGTCGGGATTAAGTTTGGATCTTTCGTCTCCGAGTACTATTTTCTTCCGCATCGTGGTTGCCTGTTATCGGGACAGCAGAGTCCATGGTATCGTTTCCATAGTCGGGCCCTCCAACAACCCATGTGTTGACGATCTCTTTGACCTCCTTAAGACCTTTAGCTTTCCCTTTGGCCTCTCCTACTCTTCTGACATAGCCCAAATACACGACAACTTCTGCGACCCCAACCAGCAAACTACCACCCATACTTAGCGCCAATCGAGCGGGTGTACTCCACCAACGAGCGACAACCCATAAGCCACCTGCACAAGCAACAATACTGATCAAGACATTAAATATCAATGCCATTTGTCTATCAACGTCGGCATATGTGACTTCGTCTTCAAGCTCTTTAGCTGAGCCTTGATTCGAGGAGAAGGCGAAAGCGGCTGACGAGGCAGGGAATTTCTGTGTAAATGTCTCCATTGGTGCTGGAGGATTCGTCATTCGTTCGTAGACGCGCAGTTCTTCTTCGCGACGCAGTCGTGCCATCAACGCTTTGTACTCAGATGTCTGCGAGGGAAAGGTATTAGCTTCACAGCAAAGTCAAATAATGCTGCCACGAGCGTGAAGTGCCAGTACAAAACAGCTGTTGAAGCAGAAATAGCATGTTGACTTACAGGCTCCCGCTTGGGGGGAGGTGGAGGTATATAAACTTTGGACCCTCGTAAGAGCTCTTCTAGTCTACCAAAGTCGGATCCTGTGTCCCTCATTTGCCTTGACAAATCTAATACCTGGCTGTGAGATATAGGATTTCCAACAGATGGGTTCGCCAGGGAAGGTTCCGTAGACTCGGCAGTGAGTTGCAGCCCATCTGTCACCGGTGTAGAGGGGGATCCGTCCAGCTGTGTCCTACCACTCTTTTGTGGTGGCTTCTCATCGTCGTTGTCGCATAAAGGCTCGTCCGCCGTGTTCTCGACCGGTGGTTTAGTCGGATTGTTATTGTCCTGGTGTGTAGTCCTTGCTAATATGTGTTGTCGATCCTCAACCTGCCGCAGCCCCTCCACCGTATTCTTGGTCATAGTCAAGAGCACCATTTCGTCGTTGTCGCTGATCCATAATGAAGATCCGTGGTCCAGGTTGCTGCTTGAATTTAGTGACATAACTTGTAAGCTCAGGCGTTTCGGGGGATCGTTTATCCGCACAAGGATAGCCTACCGCGGACGTTGATCCTAAACCGAAAAGTCGAGTCGGGATGATACGGCTTCTGTATTCTTATTTTCTGCCAGCAACTATTTCTTTTTGCTAGAAGCTCAATCAAATTTCACGACAGACGTTGTTCGGATAGCCCATTAAGTAGCTGGGTTACAGGCCATTTCATTTGGAGTTTGGGATATGCGAATTCAGCCCTCGAGTAGAGCTTCCGCTCTGTTGCGCAGTTCTTCGAAGTCGACATTACGGTTAGATTCAACATGTTCTAGATGTCAATTGCTCGCACAACGGCCCTCGTGGCCCCTACCAACCACCATATACCACCATCCAACTCGGCGGAGACAGTCATCATGGGCGCAGGCAGTTTCAGTGGCTTCGAACGTCTTCTCGAACGCGACAGCGCGGACGACACAGGAAGGAGGAACAAGTGTAGATCCTTTACGAATGGTCGCTAAGGAGATGAAGTTCTTGACGGGCAACATTCGACAGCTACTTGGTTCCGGGCACCCGTCTCTAGATACTGTTGCGAAATACTATACACAGGGGGAAGGAAAGCATGTTCGGCCACTCATTGTACTCCTCATGTCAAGGGCCACTTCCCTCACGCCCAAATCTCCCAGATATATTGGCCAAAACAGTTCAGTCGATATAGACAAAGCTATCTCTCCGATGTCTATCCTTTCAGACGTCAATCCTTCCTCGCCAACGAACAATCCCATCAGCCATACTCAGACCTCATATCCAACAACTGACAGCGACATTCTTCCCTCTCAGAGACGACTTGCCGAAATCACCGAGCTAATCCACACCGCCTCACTTCTTCATGACGATGTTATTGACCACTCAGTGTCGAGACGTGGCAACCCCTCAGCGAACCTCGAGTTTGGCAACAAAATGGCGGTTTTAGCGGGGGATTTCCTTCTTGGTCGTGCTTCAGTAGCTCTGGCGCGGCTACGGGACCCAGAAGTTACGGAGCTTTTGGCCACAGTTATTGCAAACTTGGTCGAGGGAGAGTTTATGCAACTGAAGAATACTGCTCGGGATGAAAAGAATCCCGTTTGGACTAAAGAAACCATAACTTATTACCTCCAAAAGACCTACCTCAAATCAGCTAGTCTGATATCAAAGTCAGCCCGTGCGGCAGCTTTGTTAGGAGGATCAGATACCGCAACGGTAGATGCTGCTTATCTTTATGGCAAGAATCTTGGATTGGCATTCCAACTCGTAGACGACATGCTGGATTACACAGTTACCGCAGAGGAATTAGGGAAGCCCGCAGGGGCAGATCTTGAATTGGGATTAGCGACAGCACCCTTACTATTCGCTTGGGAAAACAACAAAGAATTGGGAGCTTTGGTCGGGAGAAAATTTGAGAAGGAAGGTGATGTGGCGAGGGTAAGCAATGTCATGTGAAAACGCATATGCTTAATACTAACGAACGTCCAGGCTAGAGAACTCGTCCTACAAAGTAACGGACTCGAGCAAACGAGAGCTCTCGCAGAAGAATACGTCAACCAAGCGATTGCGTCGATCGAGATGTTCCCAGAGAGTGAAGCCAAAGCTGGCTTAATCGAAATGGCACATAAGACTTTGAAGCGGAGGAATTAATGTTTAAAAATGTCTTTCATGACTTGTACAACTCCCCTTAATCCACGCCGTGTGTTATCTGTACATTACTATATGGAATGCGATGCCTGTGTACATATTAGAATACTTGTACGATGTGGAAGAAGAAATACTCAAAAGATGAGACTGGGTAGAGGTTTAAAAATAGACAAGCGATACCACCACGTTCCAAATACTTCAGTAATGATTTACAGATGTTTTTTTTATTTACGTCTGTATTCGTAAACCAGCTCGAAGATGACAAGGAACCACTCTGTACTGGATTATCACAACAAACTTTGTTCTAAGGAGTGGCTCTAGGTTCGAGCGGAATTGGTCTCAATGGACAGACAGCAGAAAGTATCAAAAATTCGACAGGTTGATCCAGATTTGATCGGCTGTCAAAGGTTTGAGTCAACTCGTGGCGAGCAAAATCAAAAGTAGATTGGAGGCAGCAAGAATCGAACTCGCGACCTTTTCGAGACGTATTGACCTATTGGATCAATGCAAACGAAACATTATACCACTAAACCATGCCCCCTTCTGATTGGTTGAAGCATTATCAACAATTTTTGGTATATATTGTTGTTGTGTGAAAAAATTCCTGTTGTGGGTATCGGGCCCACTTGTGCGTTTTATCATTTTTGAACTACAGTACTTTACAATTCAACGTTCACTTCATGAGAACCTTTAGGGCGAGAACAGACCTTGGAGACTTTTCCTATCTCTTATGATCATTGTTAATGAATTACAGGAAAGACAAATATAAGAAAAATATATAGGTAGAGTGTAATTATCGTTTAAGCTTTAACTACTCGGGGGGGGGTTATAGTTTAGTTCTAATAAAAGTTACATTTATAGTACTAGGCTAGACACCAAAATAGTTTAGTATAATTACTTTCTATTTCGTTATATTAGAAATCTATTTAATACTACTAAAGTATATTATAATATAAAACTATAAGATAATAATTAGATAATATTAGAATAATGTAAAGGAGATAACCTCTTAAATATTAAAGTACTAGTTTAGTACGTATACTAGACGTTAACTCTTTTCGCTTAATTGCATATAGGTCCCTATATACTCTCAAGTAGTTAATTTGTTAGGTGTAACAGATATTTGTAAACCTGAGATGCTCAAGTCAGAAAAAGAAAGGAGAGCAAATAAACGAACACTATTGTTGTTGGAAAGAAAAGGTAGGTATAATGAGACCTTTTCTATAAGAGCAAAAGATCTGAGGTGATGTTCGGGCAATCATTATGATGAGAAGCTGGTCAAGGGCTTGTCTACATATGAAGAGCTACGATGAATTGAAGTAGCTGGATACCCTAATCCTAGTTTACGAAATCCACAACCATCACCTTCAACACTTCACCTTTACTCTTCAGTAGACGCATACAAGATACCCGGATGGCTTAAGAAAAAGTGAACGCTACGCAAAAGTATATATCTCAAGCAATACTTGTCCAAATTCAAACCACATCACGACCTCATTCTCGTTATACTTTCTAGCTTATTCGATCTATCTACAACACTCAATCCCTATCCGTCTATACTCACAATCAAGCAACAACCTCCAAAATGAACACACCTGAAGCCACCAGGGCACGACTTCTTGACTGTGTGCAGCAAACAATTACCAGAGGTGTTTATAACCTGAACTTCAAAAATGGCGCTTTCAAATCTCTTATTTCCCAAAGCATGCCACCCGCCCAATCACTCACAATTCTGTCAAAATCGGTTCTCACAACTGAAATAGAGATGGAAATTTGTTTCATCATGAGGGGAGCAGCACTCGAATTGTCAGAAGGGACATTTAGGATGGACGATCTCATGTTGTTCCTCAATGTTGCCGAGGCCCTCAACAATGCTTTCACTGAAGATGCGAGGAGCAGAGGAATGTATGTCGCTGACCCCATAATGCAAATTATTGGGGAGAATGGTGAAGTTACGGAGACGATGAGTTTCTCATATGACGGAAAAGTCACCAAGACGAGCGGTGGTGTTCCTGGCTTACCACCAGATGCTCCTGTTGGATACTCTTCGTGGGGGATGCGCGAACTTGAAAAATTCTCCAAGGCCAGGAAAAATTTAGGCGGTAAGAAGACTTCTGGAAAAGGTGACAAGAGGGGTAGACAAAAGGGGACGGAGAAGGTGCAGCCGGGAACGGATGGGGTCGTTGGAGATGCCAGTAAGGCGCCTGAGAAGAAGACTAAGAAAGATAGTAAGCCGTACTTGCCAACAAAACCATTCCTTACTAATTTGCTACTAGCTTCTGAATTCGGTGGTGGCTTCAGCAAAAATCTTCGGGGAGCTTTCATTTGATACTAGACTCGGTGCATTCGGCGGCGCAACCTGATACAAATGGGCCACGGCCTGATGATGGAAAGTGAGATTTAAATCGAAGAACAGCCGGACTTCAGGTGATGTGAGTTAACTGAAGCCCCAGGAACCGCATTATCTAACTTGGTAGTATCATGTGATATACGCGGTGTTTCCGGCATAAAACTATCATGGGATTATCATCTCATGCACCGGTCATAATCCATTCAATGATGGAGAGCAATTGACAGAGAATGGAAGGTTAATAGAGAGGATATTATAGCCTGATAAACCTTGCAATTGAATAAACAATATCTGGCTCTTTCTCTCTATTTACAGCTGAAGTTGTGTCTGTCTTGCAATATAACCAACCATAGGATAGTAAGGCTATGTGCCTGGATTTTGTGCCAACTCCGAATTATCCTCATTTCGCCTTCTTTCCTCCGCCGTATCATCGTGAGTCTTATGGTTCACAAAAACAGCTAACATTCCAAGGTCATAGATGACTTTGCATGTTCCTGCTGCGACAAATGCGACCCAGAAAAGCTGATGCCCAGCCAGAATACCAGTAATGAGGGGACCGAGACTCTGAGAAGCAGTTTTGACGACATTTATCACACCCATTACAGCTGTCCTTTCATGAGGCAGAACTACTGCGGCAAGAAATGCAGAACGCGGAGCAATATCCATGGACTGAATACATGAGCGTAAGATGATGAACGTCATAGCAACAGTCAGAGATGATGGGATAGGAATCAAGGCCAGCAGGATTGCTCCTGGAAGATGTGTGAACACCATAGTCTGTGAGAAGTTAGTCTGAGGTTGAAGTATGATGGGTATACAAACCTTAATATTACCAATTCTCTTTGCAATCGAGGAGGCAAGAAGCATAGAGATGGCGGCTATGATACTCGTCACGAAGAATAGTGAGCCAAGTTTGCCGCCTTCCAGACCGAATTTGTCTTTGAAGAAGAATGTAACCCAAGACCTAAGTTGTTAGTTAGGAGCATTTATCAACAACATGAGTATTCTTAACACGTACAATGGCGCTAATCCTGAAGCAAACGAATCTAATGCAAAAAGTATGCATAAATTGACCACAATCGCCCGACTTTCTTTGCTCACAGCGGGTAATTTGGAGCGAATGTAGCTCTTCTTAGGTGCCACATCTTCGGCTCCATCCCCTAATAGAGGTGCAGTTTCTGAGTCCTGTATCCGGTTATTGGGTTCTTTGGTGGCTTCAATCACCTTTCCCAAAGACAAGGCCAGGCAAAATTTGATTATTCCCAAAATTGCATAAGCATAGAACAGGGTTCTGTAGGTCTTGATGATATCCCAACCTTTTGTTCTCGTCATATAAGTAATCGACAATCCTGAAGACGCCATCCCAAGTGCCGTCCCCGCAGTTCCTATAAGGGAGTACCAAGCGTAGATATCCCCGCGATTAGCAGCTGGAGTAAGGTGCGCCAAGGTCGACTCCTCGATTGCTCGAAATGGACCAATCTCATTACCACTATAACACAATTAGCCCAGCCATCTGCGACTCTTTCGCCCAAAACTCACCTTGGACTGATAACTCCAAAGATGGCAGCTAGTAGTAAAACCCAATAGTTCCCCGAAAGAGCGAACACCACTCCACTAGCTGCCATCAAAGCTGCGCCTGCAGCGAGTATAGCTTTCCTTCCGAGCCCATCTGCAAACATCGTCAAGACAAAGCTTATTCCCACATCCCCAATCAGCGTGAGGGTCATGAACAGCCCAATCCGCGGCCTCGAGATACCCAAAGCTTGGAGATAGTCTACCAGTACGAGCGTCGAACCACCGTATGCGAATAGACGGACGAATCGCTGGACACATAGCAGCTTGGTGTTGTGGTTCGAGATCCATAATGAAACGAGCCCGACCTCCTCCAGAGCCGTGTGCATGTATTTCGTTGCCATTGCGCACCGACAATTGATCTTGGACGCTCGCAGGTCAGGTCGAGGGGAGTGGAATATGTTTCCAGCCTCCCTTTTGGAGATATTTGATGGAACACCGGTCCATAAAGAAACAGGTTTCGTAGAGACGTCTTTAGCTCGTCGTGATAGGCGTCGACATTCGGTCGCGCGTGCTTACGCGTACTAGAAAATTCGCGCCACCTCGAGCTTTTCACTCAGCATACGGAAGGGTCGACAGTCGCGATTCATTGTTATGGGCAGCTGCATGTTTTGTTCAAGATATATCGGTATGCTGGAGAGTGGTAAGTTTGTGTCGGGATCCGTAACCCCGACGACCTTTCTTTCCAACGGCAATGGCCAAAATGCCTGGAAGTGGCAGTTGACATAAGTTTTTGGTCGATTAATTTAACGTAACATCTTATACTTTATTGATTAGTTCAAGTAAACAGTACCTTTGTTAGGTTTTACTTCCGAATTTATTTATTGATGCGAGGAGAGCATGATTGAATTGAGACAACTATTCGATGTTCACATACAAAAGTCATGTCCATCGTGGGCCGAGGTCATTCTTTTCACATCTTCCAATTATACACTCCAAATAAATTTTCGAATCGATGAAAGTCTATTAGGCGGAGCCTAGTCTTTAACGTGGCTTCTATGCATTCTGGCACTTCCATTGATTGCCTGATGCCCTAGAAATCTTTTAAGACGGCATGGGAAGCTCGTGTCACACAAGATCTTTTCCATCTGCTCAAAAGTCTCTTCATGTTCAATATTGTGACCCTTATCTACTTGATTGATACCATCTTGGTCTTCTGGATGTGCCTTGACGCGGTAGGAATGGGTATCACCAATCCTACTAAGGCTTTATTATATTCGCGGATGACAGTAAAGTTATCTACGATACAATTGAAAACTCCGTAGCATAGAAGTTCAAAGAATCGCCAAACTGAAACTCCTATGAGATGAGAGACATCCGAACCTGATTTCAGTCAATTTTCATTTACGATTCGGGTTCGGCCTTGGAAACATTCCCGAATTTCTTTGTTGTATGCATGAAAGAGTGCTAGCTGCATGTTGTTGCCACCACTACCTGTCCGAATCCGCATTGAGGTATTTCTAGGATGCTTCCTTTGTCTAGATGGCTGGAAACGATTCAGTGAAAGCTTCCAAGCATTGAACTTTTCCTTTTGATGAGATTGCCCTCCAAACCCAAAAGATTTCTCAACAATTATCATACTTGAGTTCCCCCATAACTCAGGATTAGCAAAGGTATAAGCGTCGCCATTCGAATTCAAAAATGCCAGCAAGCACACGAGCCACTCGTTCTACAGCAAATTCAGCGACCTCAAGGCCAAGGACTCCTGATGAGCAATCTCTACAAAGCCCAACAATCATGCCACCCAGCAAAAAAACCAAGCTCAAGGACAGCGGCACACAAACCAAGAGGTCGAAGCCTAACGCAATACCAAGTACAGAGAGACGAACGAAAAAGCCAAAGAACGAAGCTCATGACGCGAAGAGCAAGCCCAAGAGCAGCGTCAGCCAGGACACCTCAGATAAAGTCATGGTCTTAAAACGACCTGGAAAACAACCATCTTCTTCATCAGGACTTTACGGTGGTGACGAAGATAGTGGAGAGTCTCAAGATGATTCTCAACTTTCCCTTCCAGAAAGTACTAAGAACAAAGAGAAAGCAGCTGAATTCATATCCCCGAAACTCTTCAAACGGGCCAAAGCTGTCTCCTGGGATTCGGCTGCTTCTAATATGACCGGTAAAACCGGTCCAGTCACTGAGACTATTGTACAGGCTGGGAGGAAACGAAAAAGGAATGTTTTGAAAGATGTTTCACTCAAAAAGAAGAAACAAGGTGCTGAGACGAAGCGGAACCGATGGGGCGAGACTCTCAGTGAAGAAGAGGAGAGGGAGAAAGAAGAAGACGGTGATGAGCTATCTCCTTCACTGAACCCTTCGCCTACTACTCTCGAAATGTTGATTCGAGGAGTCAAGCGAAAGGTCAATAAAGCATTTGTGAGGTCTCCCAAAAGTACGATAGGGCCACGGCGCTCTATCGATGGAGAGAAAGACTTCAGCTTGTACGGCTTTCCTCCCACGCCAGGTGTATCAAGAAGCATCGAAGTCGCGAGTTGGCCTCCTATAACTCTAAGTGCGGAAGAAGTCAAGGTTCTCTTTGAACAACTATGTCAAGACTGTCACTTCGTGAAGGCTTCCTTGACTTGGATTCCATGGGGGTCAGTTGACAGCGAAAAACGAACCATATCATGGACGTATCCTTTGTCTGACGATGACAAAATTTCGTCCCATCCAAATCCGCCTGTGCAGGAAGCCGGAAAAAGAAGAGGTTCATCAAGTACTCCAGAATCTCTAGGCTTTGGATCCCTCTATCGTGATTTCTACGAGACCATTGATGCCTTGGATTTACACCTCACCTTTACATTGACGAAGAATGGTGAACCATATGTGGTATCGGAGATAGGCCTGAATCCTCTCGAACGAAGAGTAGGGCCCCGTGGCGAAACAGTAGTAAGCTGGCGGGAAAGATACAAGCACGATTGGGACATGGATGATGACGGGAACTACCATGCAAGAGAGAGAGACAATAAGTCCTTCGCGATAATCGCCGAGTCAAAATATGTGCCCCTTGGCTCACGGGATGGAGTGGCAAGCGAGCTGTTTTCGAGTGGCTCTAAACATAAAGATGCTAGAATGAGTTCATTGTCGCCCGGGAAAGGGAGAGACAAGAGAAGAGTTTCAAATGACCTTTCACTTTCAGAGGCACAAGAATATGATTCAGAGGAATCTTTCCACGCCTCTAAAACCAGGAGACGACAATCACTTTCCAGTAACCCAATGTCACCTCGCGCTCGTCTACCATCAAAGCCGGCAAAACAGCAGCTGAATTCCCCTTCTGTTCTTGCACAGAAAGATGGAACAGAGCAAGACTCAGACGACGATGAACGTGCAGCAGACCCAGAGCTATACAGAAGACTTCAAGAAAGACTGAAGGAATTGTCCGTTGGCGCTCCAATGATCTGCTGGACGCCGCGACTATTCATGAAAGAGGATGGAACTCGCCGATCCCTCAAGGAACGTCTAGAATTACAAATCATATACCGTGAGGCAGAGGCAAAAGACCGTGAGGAAGAAGCCATGAAGACCCGTACTATTAGGACAAGAAATCTGAGTTTTGACGAACAAGAAGATACGAGCTTTGGAGATCCATCAAAAGGTTGGTTCAAAGAGATTGTAGCCACGCCTATGAGCATAAGCCACGAAGAAGCCGAGAAAAGACTCAACTATCTTGCAGGAATGGGCTCACCAATCTGGGCCAAACCAGCTGCGAGACGAAATAGCTGGGTACGAAAGTATGAAATATTCGATCCAGCGTCTCGTCCTCATGGCATTTGTAATTGCCCTCCAAAGAAAGCGTCAATCTTCCCTGTGTGGTCAAAACTCCAAGTCTCAGGGAAAGATCCAAAGTCTCCCATGAGATCAGGTGCAATTTTGGAGCTTAGAGGTCAATGCCGCACTTGTGGCAAGCTGATTTCGAAGACGGATTCAAGGGGTATAGGAGAGAAGAATGCTCCTACTGGTGAGCCAGGGCAAGATATGGTAGAACACGATGAAGCAATTGTAGCTACGAATGGCCGTCATCATGTCCACTTTGCAAATCAGGGGGTAGAGGAAGACGACAGATGGATCTTAGGAGCGCCTCCACCGCTTAAAAATGGGGTAAAAGCAGGCTCAAGCAAGAATAGGAAACGTAACCCCGCCGCCAAGAAAAAGTCCAAAAAAAGAGCTGCTGTTACTAATAAGAAAGCCATTTCAACGGATTCCCAGTCGAAGATCGCACCCAAGACGCAAGAGGCAAAGAAAAGGAAGAAGCCAGCAAAGAAAGTGGTGTAAGTGTGGACAATAACCGCTCAGACGGCTCGTTTAATTTGAGAGAAATACTGTTGGGACAATTTACTCCGAATCGCAGAGCAGGAACGCCGAAGTAGTTTCAGGAGTGGGATTTGGAGACTGTGGTTGGGAAAACCGCGCTAGGTGACGGAAATGTCAAAATGTCGTTCTGGCCTTGTGTTAGCGCTTTCAATGCCGGCAGTTATGTTTGATAATGTTAAACATGGTTTACTTACTGCCAGCGTTGACCCTCTGGATCTGGTAATTTGATCATATGTAGCAAATGCTGTTGTATTGTGAGTACGTCTGCCGCCTTTGACAGGTGCATAGATTCTTGCAGTACCTAGAGCAGAAGTTAGTAACTGGCTATGGATATAAGCAGAGAAGCTGGAGAGTTTCAAAAGCTTGGAATATCCAGCAGTAACCAGTGCGAATTGCTGCTAGCAACAAGTCATTGACCCAACTGGACCTCGGCAGTAACAAGAAGATATATCTCGCTTAATCAGTCTCAATTGAGGTTTTATTGAGACCGACTTCGAATCACGCCAAACTCCGATTCTGTGAGAACGATCTATCCTATATCTCGGCGTTCGCATTTAGCGTTTTACGATAGGTGGAATAACAAGAGAGCACTGCGCCTTTTCTTTGAGGCTTGAGTTGAGACAAGCCATGAGATGACGGAGTGAGCGAAAAGGCGCCGTTTGATGTAACACATTACATTGGCAATGTTTACGAATCTGGGGAAGTACATATACGCCACTGAATGTGCCATACGTGAGGGGTGCGTCCTGTTTCCGTGAGTCAAAGTCGAATAACTTCCCGAGAGGACGCGCTTCGAATTCCTCGTTGCTTCAGGTCGATGACTTCAAAAACTGAAAGCCCTCACCTACTCCTCCCCTTTGACATACGCAAATATTGCCACCTACGTTCTCGAATTTCTTCCTCAGTGACGATTTTGAGCGCCCCCACATTGCATGTCTGTAGCCACTGGCTTAGGACAATCTCCACCATCCCCATGTCTTCCCCACAAAATCCCACGATGCCGCTTAACCTAGATCAACGGAAAGCCCATGTAACTTTGATCGATTTGATCAGAAGGGAAGAGGCATATTGGGTGTAACCATCGTCGGATCTATTCAACCTATGGAAACTCACCAATATGCTTTGCAGGTGTACCAGAGAAATGGGTCGCTTGAGGATGGAGGGGTCTTTGCTGACGCCACGGGTAAAGTTGATGCTCCGTGAGGGGTATCGTACGTGCTGTACGAGTATGCAAGTAAGGTTGACAGAAAGGGCTCAGAAATAGAAGCTTGACTTGAGTCAATATTAATTAATTTGGCCGACGATACCATCGGTGGCAAGCGTGGAAATATATTGTCAGTTGAATAATATAAAGAGCGGGGTCCACTCAAGATATTAGACTACTTATTCATCGAATTTCGCGGATCCCATGTGGTGTCTCGATCCCGCGGGATGTTGTGTTCTCGCACTTTCAATCTCCAAATCATGTAAACTGCGAGAGACAATTCGAGTGCTGTCCCAACAATCACTAGATGACATACGTCTTGACTGTGAAATTCCAAGTCCTTCAAGACCAGGAGATACTTGTGCGCGGCAGCTAATCGGGACGTGGCAGACATTACCTTGCCCACAATAATCTGGACGAATAAACAGCTAACCAATTGTCGACTGGAAAAGGCTCTATACATCTACTGATGCACGAAAGCGCAAAAGCAGTAAATTTGCGACCGAAACGAAGGGAAGGTAATGTCAGGACCGGGCAAGCAGCTAGGTAGCTGGGCTGATGTAGTAACGAGCCCCATTCTTCAACTGGAGCGGATGAACCCCGAAAAGCTGAATGGTCTCGACTCCTTAACGTATCTTGCTTGTTTCAAAGCAGAAAACATTGCTCCATGTATGAAAAATTCGAATAGGAAAGAATACATCGTGGCTGAGCTTGCCGCTGCATGCGATTGAAATTATGATCGTTGTCCGAAGCAGCGAAGCCAGCATTGTCGGGACGGTGGTGGAAGCGGTCTCGCTTTCCCGAGACACAAGACGGCATATCGGAGCCAGACCGGATCGAAGACAAATGCTGTGAGAGCGGGAGGTCATCAGCCACGCATGTGTATCTTGCAGCTTCTGCGCGGAAGTCTGGTGATGGGCCTCTTCGTTACCAAAATCCGCAGAGACAGCGTGGGGAAGAAGACGCTGTGCTAGGTTGGGCGGAACCCAAAGACCGCCCGTTTCATGAATCAGGAACCAGAGCCTTGCATGGAATACGACAGAGTTATAGCTTTTGAGGCTCTACATTGACCGACCTGTCCACGATTTGACTCGGGCGAAGAATCTGCACAGCTAGGAGACTCATCGTGGCATGTTGTTAACAATAGATAAGAAAGTGGGGCACTAACCCCCACACTACATAACAAAATGTTTGTAAGTTTCAATCATACTCTTGGGAAAACTCTGTATACTTTCTGGGATGTGTGTTGTATCGAGTCGTACCGAGGAAATCTGCCAGTGTGAATGACCATATATTTGTAAAGACATGGCCAGTTCTCAGGGACTGGAAGGTTGTATTGGGTACCACTACATATGGTTACAAAATGAGGGGAGACTCGGGAAAAGCATTGTCGGCAGTAGTGGCATGTTGACCGCATGGTTTGCGGAATAGGTTATGCCCGTTATGTAAAAAGCGACCACTTGAAGGTGTTGTACTTTGCTAAAGTTGCATTGAGATTGGTACAGCGAGGCCTGGCCATCTCGTGACAGTTGCAAACCTGGTTTATGCTTTATGGAGCATTTAGAGCTGACGCGTGAGATTCGATATCAGATCTGGGTCCTCTGTCATTGCTTATACCACGAAAGGGCATCTTCGAATGCAGTATGGTGCGTCGGAGAGGTGTCGTGTAATACTGCTCCTTACTAGGGGGTAATGCCATATGACTGCTGTAGCACGAACTCGTCTTGAAACGGGGCACCAGACTGCATTCCCCGACCGCCTTTTAATCTCCCTTTGTGTTTGCTTTTCTGCTGGCCTTCGGGTTTTGCCATATCTCACCGAAGTGATGTTTGGTCGTTGGGATTCAAGGATTGAAATCTCCTCCCTCTGCCAAACCCCCACGCTCTTCACGCTTTGACGCCCGGGAATCTGTTCGGATTTCCTTAGCCAAAGGCTTCCAGTTTCCCAGGAGCCACAGTCCTGGATTGTCTAATCCGCAAGAAGTATGATCAGCGGACCCGCGGCTGACCTGCCCCAGTATCGATGATCGCTATCTGTTGGAAAGCAGTGAATAAACCAGGATGGGAAGGTCGAGTGACTGCAGGGCAGGGGAGCCAAAGGGGGAAAATAAGCGGAACTAGAGGGGAGAACGGTTGGCCCTTTGAAGATGTGATATGTACCGTCTATCGAAATCATGTCAGCAATAGCATCATCGATTCGCCGTTTGGACTGGCTTCACAGAGGCTCGGACAGGGCGAGCGTCGCAAACGGATGGCGTTGCAAGGGCTCAGAGCTCTGATCAACAGCACCAGAACCCAAGCGGAAAATATGAGGAAGAAACCTGCGTAGCCAGACCTGAACGGGACTCCATGGACAAGAGCGGTATGGTCGGCCAAGGTATCCCCAGACTTCCTTGGACAAATGATTGTGAATGCGGAGGATTTGGAGTGGTCGAAAAGCTCGGGAAAAGCACGGAGAACAAGCGAGAGAAGAAGGAAGCTGTGGAGGAAGACCGTTTAGCGAATGATAGGGGGAGCCCTCGAGCACCCAGCAGCACCTGCCACACCAACAGGGAATGGTAGCGTGGTTGACCCCGCGAAGTGCATCCAGTGGTCGAGTCGACCTCTCTATTCGGCGACTGGAGCATCACAGGTCATCAATGGCATCAGCCGACTTCACATTCTTTTGCACTGCTACGCAACTCACCGCAATGCTCGCCGTCAATTGCTCAGCATTGCTCGACCTGCTCAGCTCCTCCCCCTCTGGACACCAAGTCCGATGTATCTCGACTTTTGCTGGCAACTTCCCAAACAGGCCTGACCAAGGCCTGTTTGATTTACAGCAGAGCACAGCACAACACACACGACCGATCGCCAATACCACCTCTGCATGCTCCACAGCTAACACGAAGCACACAATACGCACGTCTCCATGTGCCTGGCTAAGTCTGGGTGCAAAGGACGGGGAGAGCGGCACGTAACTCAGCAAAGGTTGCGACGCGGTGAGATGAGATGAGCTTGGAGCCTCTTATTTTGCTTTTCGAAACAACCATCTGCGTACGGTAGAGCCTTGCTGTATTGTTCCAGCTGTTTGGGAACAAGCAAATAACCCTAGCAAGAGATTAGAGAATCGTTGTCTCTGGGCCTGTGAGAGACCCTGCTTAAGCCAAAGCAACATTGCAGGACGCCACAACGAAGCCACCACAACTGTGTATTCAGATAGTCGGTGAGGTCATCAGATTGCATGATTTACGGCGGCTGTTTATGAGATGAAGATGTACTTGAGATTGAGGTTGGGACGGGAGCACATGCAAATAGGATACTCAACGACGGGCAGCAGGATTTCAAGGAAGCCTGATTACTTTCCTCGCCAACAAGCGACGTCCGCCGACGGCAATGGCAGTAATCACGCTGGAGAATGGTCCTTTTGCAGTGCTGTTTGTCACAGTTTTCCAACTTCCATCAATTGGATTAATGCGGCAGTTGGTGAGGTAGCCACAAGACGTTGGCGAATCTCACGATCCTCGCCTAGTAAAACATCGAAGCCAGCTCGCTCTTACACCATCATGTCTTACACGCTGCAAACTCTATGAGACTAAAGTTGCCCGAGACGCCCCTTGGCTCTTCGACATAGACACAAAAGTTGCAAGGTCCGCCAGTCTGCAAGCCGAGCCACGAGGCCTGCCCGGTCAGTCTGTCATGCAACAAAAGTCCCACCCCCACACTAACAATCCGTAGGGCCAAGACCTTGAAAAAAGTCAGAAGTGCTGTACGGTATACCCTTTGGGGATGAGATAATATCTATTTCGGACTAAGCAATGTACTAAGCAGCTGTATTCCATGTACTCGTACTCACTCAGCCCATGCCCAAGACAGAGATCCCTTCCTGTCAGGCACAGCGAATCACCACCGTACCCGCCGTCGGAGTGGTCGCCTACGCCACTGTCCCAGGAACGGCGAAATAGTATTTAATCCAAGCCTCGTCCGGGTTCATTAGGAAAGTACGCATCTTGATTCTTAAGACATATTTCAGCTCACTTGTTCCTTTTCATCACGTACCGTCGGCTCCAAATTAGCTCCGGGCACTATCCTCAGTGAATTGCACCGGACTGACTACTAAACGAACTAGTCCACTCAGTTGGCTATATTATTCATCCTCCACCACAATTCAAACATGTCTCCTCATAGTGATGCTCCTTCGCCGGCCGGGAGTTTTACACAAGGCTTTCACGGTCTCTCATCTTTCCGTCCAATTGCCAACTCGAATCTACGAGTATCAAGTAGCAACACCAACAGCATCTATTCAGATTCAGCTTTGAACGATTCTCAGTACAGCTCCTCCTATAGCACTACATCGATGGATGCCGACGACCATCCTCCTCGCCTTTTGAAGGCAGGAGTTTATGTTCCTACTGTCTGCTTTTTCGACCCGGTCACTGAAGATCTTGACACCCAAACCATTGCAACTCACGCTGTTCGACTAGCCAAAGCCGGTGTCACTGGCCTCACCACGCAAGGTTCTAATGGTGAAGCCGTTCACCTCACTCACTCTGAGCGTCAGACGGTGACTGCCACCACTCGATCGGCACTGAATGCAGCTGGATTCTCCCACATGCCTATTCTTGTTGGTTGTGGTACTCAATCCGTGCGAGAAACAATTCAATACTGTCATGAGGCGAAAGCTTCCGGTGGTGACTTTGCACTTGTTCTCCCTCCATCCTACTACGCCCCCCTATTCTCACCTTCGGCTGCAAGTGTGATTGAATTCTTCACGGCCGTTGCCGATCAGTCTCCAATTCCACTGGTCATCTACAACTACCCGGGAGCTGTCTCCGGAATGGATCTTTCATCGGACGTCATTATCCAGCTTGCAGCACACCCAAATATTGTGGGCGTCAAGCTCACTTGTGGGAATACTGGCAAATTGAACAGAATCGTTGCCGCCACGAAAGATGTGAAGTCAAACTCAGCATCACGCGAGACCCCACCATTTTTGGTATTGGGTGGTAGTGCAGACTTTACTCTTCAAAGCTTGGTTGGCGGAGGTCACGGTATCCTCGCAGGGTTGGCCAACATCGCACCAAAGTCATGCATCGAACTCGTACGACTATACAAAGCTGGACAGTTAAATGAGGCCCAAAAGATGCAAGAGATCGTTGCCAGAGGCGATTGGACCGCGATTCAGGGAGGAATCGTGAGCACCAAGGCTGGCATGGAAAGTTGGCTCGGCTATGGTGGTTACGCTCGCAGTCCCCTTCCACGACCAACAGCAGACCAGAGTTCGAAATGGAAAGAAGGATTCCGAGAGTTGGTTGCTTTGGAAAAGAGCTTGTAGTGAGAAGTTACGAAATTCCATCTTGCGTCGATAGTTTTCCCGGTGCTTATGGCGGTAATGGTAAATGCAGGGTTCCCGTTGCGTATAGGTTGCGTCAACTCAATATGCAGACGAAAGGCGTGGGCGATATTGGCCACAGCTATGATTGATACCCCCGATCTAAAAGTCATGACCTTTTTCTGAGATTTCTAAATTTTTCTGGGTGGATATTTGGTAGCAATGAGCTTTTTCATTCGCTTCGGATTTATTGGGAAGGACGTTTGCGTTACATTTCCTTGGTCTCTTTTTTCCATCCGACATCTCGACCTCGAATCACTTCACAGCCTCAACGACAACACCAACACTTCGGCTGTCTAATACAGAGCTGGTCTCTTCAACACCTTTCGACATCGACCTCCACTTCCAATTTCCTTCGCGACAAAAACGACTTTCAACCTCAAGCTATTGAATCTTCGGTGCACAAAACGAAAAGTCTAAGCGAACTAGAGTGCAATTTCCACAAGTCTCAAAAGGGCCGGGATTTTGCAAGCAAAAGTCTTCAAAAGGACAATTTGGTCCTATGTATGTTGGAGGAATTGGTTTATTTTTTCTTTTCGATTGATAAGGGGTTAGATAGAGAAGTATGAGAGCTTCACGGCTCTGATAATTAATTATGAGAAGTCTGAAACTTATCGTTTCCGTGTCTTTGTGTCTTGCGGTGATATGAGTGATTAATAAGATGACTCAATGTTTTTCTTTTTAACTTCTGCTAGCAAATAGAGGTTTCTTAGCTGACATTGAACTAGATCACCCATAAGCATGACACTTCGGAGACGAGTTAAGCGAAAATGCGGTGTTTTAAAGTTTTTCATAAGTCTTGCATAGTCAGAACAATGTCACTTAAAGATCTCCCTTCTCGCCTTCTAACCACAACAATTCCATCCAATACGTTATAAACTTCTCGAAGCACCAAACCAGGCTTAGAGTGGCGGGAAATCCAAAGCGAAAGCGAAAACGATGCTGCTTTTCAACTACAAACAATAATCCACCTTTCCAAAGTATCTAACCGGTATGATGTTACATTTGTATTCACCCACTCCAAGTACACATCACACAACAGCACAACATGCTACATGACCTCCTTCTTGCACAACTAAATTGCAGAAAGCAGAAAATTTCGTCTGCTTTCATCAAGTGCGATTCGCACCTATAGTGTAGAAATCCTAATAGCGGGTCTCCTAATCAACAGCGTAGGATTCGAGTATCTTTTCGGCAAATCAGTCGAGCGGATGCGTTATGCGGTTGAGGGATATACTAGAATGAGAAGGTGTACAGAAGATAATTTATCCGTTGGGGGGTATAAGAGCACAGGGTTTCGCACTGAGGGTTAGGAGATTCATCTTCATCATCACTCTCCTCTCCTCTATTCATACTAACCAAACACCCTCACAATGCATCTCACAGCCCTAACCCTCACCCTCCTCCTCGCCTTCACCACGGCCCTCCCCCAATCCACCCCCGCCATCACAGTCCTCCTCCGCTCCCCAGAAAACGCATATATCCCGTCCCCCGCCCTCGCCGCCTCCATCTCCTCCGCCATGGCCGCTGCCGACCTTACCTCTTCCACTTCCCCCCTCCTCAAGCGCGCCTACGCCAAAGTCCAAGCCTGTCGCACCTCCTCCTGCAGCGACTGCCGCGTCGTCTGGGACGGCAGCTTCAACAGCAACAGCGCGTGCATCCCCGCCGACAACACAGCCTGTCTGATATTAACCAATTTGAGCGGCGCAAACGTGCAGTTCTGGAACCATGCCGGGTGTAATGGGGCGAATACCGTGTTTCGCGGGTGTGGGGATGGAGATCACTTTCGCAGCGCGCCGGGAACTAATAGTTTGGGGGTGCATACGGGGTGTTAGATGAGGCGGTAAGGTGAGATGTGAGGTTGGATGTGAGGGGTTGTGAGGGGCTTTAGGAGAGTGAGGGTAGAAAATTGTGGGAATTTTGGATTTCTCGATAGATTGAAGACTGGAGAGAGTGAGCAAAGAATGATGCGTCAGCAGCATGTGGATGTGTTGTTTAGAGGAAGTTTGGCTTGAAGTCTCGCTTAGCTGTTTACATGAGCTTGTCTGCTGAACTACAGCAAGTTCTATCATAAATAATAAGCAACATGCTACTTCGTCAGACAAGAAAAACACCAGAAAGGGTAATCTCTGAGATCTATATCTATATACCTTCCTTTTACACATTTTCCAACAAATAGCCCACCCAAATTATACAAAACAACCTCTTCTCGCCTTACTATCCACAACATTGCAATCTCCTCATCACATAACTCCTCTGACACTAACTCAAAGCACACCAACGGGATACTCACTTGGTATATTAGCCAGCGGCATAATCTTGGGCACTTCACTATACACCCTCGTTTCCACCGACTGGTTCGCAAAAACTGGCATCCTCCTCACATGTCTCAACCCGCTCAACTGACTCGCAATGCCCAATAACATTTCTTCACTCCACGGCCGTCCTAGAATCTCCATGCCAATTGGGACACCGATCGGTGCATCTGTCGACGGCGCCGAGAAGCCCGCGGGTATAGTGACGACCGGACTCCCTGTCAGGGCTGCTAAAATACCATTTCGTCCAGACTGTGACGGCGAACCAAGTTTCACGACGAGGTTCTTTTGCTCCGGGTAGATTATGGCGTCGAGATTGTTAGTTGTGAAGGTTGAGGCGAGAGTGGTGGTGAGGTTGCGGATGAGAAGTTGGGTTGCGGCGTAACTGGTGTTGCTTGTCGAGGAAACTAGAGCGGTGTTGACGTAGCTGTATTGGCTTGGGAGGACGAGGAAATTGGTGCTGTTGGTGTACAGTTCTGTCATTGTTGCAGGATGGACTCCTGAGGATGAAGCTAGGTACGCATCTAGGAGCTCTCGATATTCAGCTCTTTGAACGTCAAGTGCGCCTATCGCTGTGGCGTTGTAGACTGTTTCGTTGATGGAGATGGTAGTTGCTCCTGCGTTTCGGAGAACTGATATCATATCCGCCATAGCGGTATTCACAGGTGTCGTCTCACTCGAATTCGTCTGGTTGAAGAATCCTTCCAATACCCCGATGCGAAGACCTTGAAGACTAGCACCATACAATGAAGCAGAATAATCCACACCCTTCACGGAATCAGGGATGAAAGCTGTTGTGTTATCAGCAGCATCATATCCCACATTCGCCATAACCGTAAGTGCCACCGCCAAATCCTTCACATTCCTAGCAATAGGACCAATAACATCTTGCGTATAGGAAATCGGCACAACACCAGCTCTAGAAATCAACCCTCGTGTCGGACGTACACTGAACAAACTATTGGCCGAAGCGGGACTTCTCAACGAATTCACAGTATCGGTACCTAAACAATCAACACCATCCACAAATCAGATAAATAAACTCACCTGTCCCGAAAACCGCAAATGAAGCAGCAATAGAAGCCCCCGTCCCACCAGAGGACCCACCAGGCGTCCTGGTATGATCATACGGATTAATCGTCTGCCCACCCAGACTCGACACCGAAATGCCCTCCAAAGCAAGCTCATGCAAATTCGCCTTCCCAAGGATAATAGCACCAGCATCTTTGAACGCCTTCACAGCCGGTGCATCTTTGGTCGGTTGATTTCCAGCGAGGTCTAAACACCCGGCTGTGGTGTTCATGCCTACCGCATCGTAATTATCTTTAAGTAATATCGGGATGCAGAAGAGCGAGCCTGTTGCGTTTCCGGCCGCGAGACGAGCGTCCAACTCAGCGGCGAGGGACAGGGCAGAGGGGTTAAGTGAGATGATGGCGTTGATTGTGGGATTGTAGGTATCGATGCGGGAGATGAAGGAGGAGATTATTTCTGTGCAGGTGGAGAGGCCGGTGAAGAGGGCGGTGTGGACGCCTGAGATGGTGGCTTCACGGGTGTCGAATGCATCGTTGAGACAGGTCACTCCGAGAATGGGGAGGGTGAGGAGGGAGAATCTCATGGTGGATAAGCGAGGATGAGGGTAATGGGTTCATTTTGACGTGAGATGATGCGATTTATATGTACTTAAGAAAGTCCTTATTTCGGATCGCCGACTGATGATAAGAAGACATTGCTAATACCTTCAATTTCATGTACAGAATAGTTGCTGGATGGATGGCCAAGACTGTACCTGCATAATGAGGAGGGTGCAACGTCATTCGCTTAGGTGAGGAAATACTTGGGGACGACCGGTGAGGCGGCTCATATAGTAGATGTAAGCGTATACGAAAAATGGGGGCAGTGATGTGCTGAAATTTGACCTGATTAACTTTTCTAAACTGGAAAGTACGCGTTTCTTACATGCTGAGAAAATGAACACGACGACTCCTTTTTCCCCTGATGTTGGGAATTTTACTTCATATGTCTTGTTTCTATATTATATTACCACGACTATGTACTACATGAAAGCTTACTACGAAGTTGTCAGATATGTAATTGGTACTCGGTGGTAGGTCCTTTGAGCTACAAGTGTATTTTTAGAAATAGAGAGTTAATTATATAAATTAACCTTACATTGTTAGTAATAAGTATCTATACTAATAGTTAAATTATTAGATACTTTAAAATTTAATTTAATGGATTCAAATTTTGTTTATACTTAACTTGACTTAGTTCTAGATATTTACAGGTAGTCCAAGTACTTTAAGTAATCCTTCCATCTAATCATTATGGATGCTATCATACAGACTCACCGATCATCCCACGTCACCACACTGTACAAACACTCCCAAAGCCTCCAACTCCTTTACGTCCTAGAAAATATCAAATCGCCAAAACGACCTACTCCAATACTCCCAGCGTTACTTGACATTTCAGTCAAAGAAATATCCACCTACTCATCTTCCAAATCCATGAACACCTCCTCCAATCCCCTAACCAGCTCCAACAACTCCCTATCAAACCCACTCCCCGCCAGTACCGTAACACCAAAAGGCAACTCGGTCTTCCCACAATCTCTCTCTCTACTTTCAAACACTTCCTCTCTACTCTCATTGCCCTCAAGTTTCTTACTCTCCCTACCCCCAGTTCTATAGGTACCGCAAGGCACAGCAACACCACACAAATCAAGCACATTCCCAAACATAGCAAAAGCTCCCAACTGGTGATTAACGCCAAGAGGATCTGCTTCTACTTGTTTAATCGTGGGATGATATGGCGCAGTAGGCACGATCATAACACTCAACGTCCCCGTATCTCGATCAAGACTCAAAGCATCCTCAACCTCCCTCTTCAACTGAGCCTGTGTATGCAAATCCCGAAAAACATCAACAGCAGAACTCTTTCTCGCCGCCGCTTCTTCGAAGACTTGCCGTGTTACGGGATGTAAGTGGTGTTTGTTAGATTCGAACCAGCCGTCGGGGAAGATGGTGAGGCGTTCGAGGACGAAAGTGCCGTTGTAGAGCAGTTCGTTTGCCTGCGCGAAGGGCGTCCAATCTAGGGTGAATGTAGGGTAAGGGAGGGATTGGATGAGGCGTCTGAACGTTTTCTGGTATACAGGACTGCAAGTTTTCAGGATTTCATCTGGGGGAATGCCGATGCGGCATTTACGTGCTGAGGATGGTGTAGATCCGAGAGTAGGTGGTTTGGAGAAATGATCATGCCTGTCGTACTTCTTGCAGACATTCCACACTCTCTCCGCATCTTCAACCGTAGAAGCGAGAAAAGCAACACAATCTTGATGCCGGCAAGCTGGATAAACACCCCGTGCTGAGATCGTGCCTTTCGTAGGTTTAAAGCCCACCACGCCGTTATATAGTGCTGGGATTCGAATCGAACCTGCAGTGTCGCTGCCGAGTGAGAAGGAAACAAGTTGTGCGCTTACACTCACTGCACTCCCGCTGCTCGATCCGCTTACAATATGGGCATCGCTGAATGTAGAATGCAAAGTCCCGTACGGACTTCGACAGCCTGTCATCCCTGTGGCGAGTTGTTCCATATTCGTCTTGCCTATGAAGAGCGCACCGGCGTCGATGCAGTGTTGATATACTGGCGCCGATACTTCTGGGTTATAGGCGAGAGCTGGACAGCCCACAGTGGTTGGTAGACCGGCTATATCTATTGAATCTTTGACGCTGAATGGGACGCCCCATAATGGAGGGCGAGACTCGGGATCTGGCCAGCGGATTTGGAGTGCATGGGCTGCTGCTAGGACGGCGCCGATGGGTTGGAGATGAATCCATACTGAGGGCTGGATTTGGGTGTATGCGTCTATTCTTTCGTAGATGGCTTCGATTACTTGCTGTGGTCGGATACCGGCTTCGTAGTCTAGAGCTAGGCTTGTCATGTTGAGACTGGAATCCCAGTGGCCTAGTCCGAGTTCATCTTCAACAGCGTCCCATGTACGCAGCATACAGAGTTCTTGGTAGAATTCAGGCGTGGTTGAGTTTTCTTTCGTGGGTAGAGGGAGAGCAAGTCCGTCTACCACGATGAATCCATGTCTTCGATATATCGATGCTGCTGAAAGTGTACTTTCGAGATAAACTGGAACATTCTCCTTTTCCGCTCTGGAAAGACCCCATTCAAGTAATATAGTTGCGGCTCCTCGTCTCTGAAAATCAGGATGCGTTCCCACAAAGGTTAATCCTAAACCCAAAGTTAGTCAAGTTCCAGCTCATTTGAATTCTGGAACCAGATCTTCACACATGTCTCCTCTCACACTACCACTCCTTTCAATACAAACACCAAACAGGAGAAATCAAAAACCAGATCTTACTATAACACCTTCCCCCCTCCTCCCCCAAAACCCTCCTCATCGCCTCCTCAGCCCTCTCATGATACCCCACCAGAAACTCCCTCTCAACATCCTCATGCCACCCAACCTCATCATCATTTCTCCCTCTTTTCACCCTTTCACCGCCCACAACCTCCTCCTTCTCATCTCCGCTACTAATCGATGGTACGTCCCATTTTGCGAAACTGATGATTTGGTTGTTGGCATCAGGATCTCTGACCACCAAAATCGTTTTCCCTTGCTGTTTCGCCATAACAATATCCAACATCTCCCTCCTCAACACCCCCCTCAAACTCTCCAACGCCTCAGGCGTCGGAAACTGCACATGCAGGAGGGAATTCGAGTCAAAAGACTTGAGATGAAGATCCGCTATCTGTTCTACATCATCCGGCGTGGCTGTCGAGAGCGTGAGTCGCATCGCGAGTGAGCGTTTATGTGTCGTTGAAGGCGTCGTTGATGGGAAGTATATATGAAAGGTGGAAAATCAATAAGAATTTGAGTTCTGGGTTTGGGGGTTGGTAAGGGGTGTGACTTTGAAGCTTAGAAAAGGTGAAGGGATGGCCCCACTTTTGAAGTTCTGAGATATGTTTTTACTTTATCCTCGGATGAGAAAACCCTCATGGATGTGTTAACCTCGTCCATCATGAATAAAAGATGAGATTTTGCATATCATTTACCCATCCTTAACCAGTCTGAAATTTCAGTTCTGTAAAAATTTCCATTATCAACTGTTTCTGCCATCACAAGCTCGAAGTATTCACACGTCCCCGCGCAGAAATTGTCAATAGGACGTTGAACACTGTAATCATATCTCATTTCTAATCATCAATCAAAGTCGCCTCTCTCAGATCATTCTAATACTCTACAAACAGACCCTGTCCTTGACCCCACAAACAAACCAAACACCAATTTTACCAAACACCACACATAATTTCATTTCTCATGCTAGATTTAATACCCCTCATCCACACCCCTAACCGCAAAAGCGCTCGCACTCGCCAGATACACCTCCTGACTGCCCCCACTAGAACTAACACTCGTACTGGGACTCACCAGTCCACTCCTCATCCCATTCTCCTCCTCACCCGTATAATTCACCTCCCTTGGAGGTCCAATCCCAAAGCCACCCGACGCACCAGTACCAAAAGAGCCGAATCCAGAATAGCCTTCAACAATGGATCGATTCCGTGAGCGCGACAGATTTTCACTCTCAGAACCGACGCGAGAAAGTGCTGGTTTTTCTGGAAGTGCTTTGAGTAGTCCGGTGGACGTATCTAACATGCCCATTGCGAATTCGGTCAAGCGACCATTTCCCCCTTCGCCTGATGCACCACCTTTACAACTCACAGCCAACGTCCATCTATACTCGCCAAGTCTTCTTCGATACCATTCCGCCTCTTCTCTTCCTGGAGCGGTAGCCCAGAGGAGACTACCAAAAGTTCCAATGAGAGCAAAGTTTGTTTTCGAGGCAAAGTACCAGAAGGAGCGGAGATGAGAAGTGGTAAGTCGGTTAACAAAATCCATGGCTGAGATGAGACGGGTTTTAGCGGCTGAGCGACAAATGTGGAGGATATAAGGGTCGAGAGTTGGTTTAGCGTCGGTTGAAGCTGGGAGGGAGAGGGATCGTATGATACGGCGGTGGAGGGTGATTTCAGTGGCGAAGTAGGCGAGATGGAGGAAGCCTATTGAAGAGAGTTTGCTAGTGTTAGAGGTTTGTATGTTCGAAGATGAGTCCATTCGTAGACAGGCTGGAAGACCTGCAAACCAATCTTTGAGTTTTAATTGGACAGGTTTCGCAAGTTGTAGTACAAGGTGCGTGCCTTGAGGCCCAGCCGAGTTGACAGTTGCCATGGCTTGCAGGGTGTAAAAAGTGTCCAAAACCTCGGCTAGGATTTGAGAGAGTATGATCATTTGGGTAAAAAGAAGACGGCCTCTTTCGTAATCGGCGGATTCATCGGAATTGTTTTCGTCGAATTCAACATCTGGAAAGTCGTTTAAAGAAAGTGGTTGTACAGCCCAATTCGAAGCGAAAATATGTGACGGTCGACCGTGAACAAGTGACCCCCATTTGTCTTGCATGTATAAAGCCCACGCGAGACGTTTTCTCAACCCACGCTCCCACGGTGGAATCTTCCAACTCGAACAATCAAGATGAAGTCCCAATTCCTGGCCAATCGCTACGAGTTGCGCTGTTGGTGCCCATTGGTCTCCTTCTGGACGTTGAGAAAGTAGTAATCCCGCTTGTACAGTCGACAATTTCGGTCTATACATAGCATCCGCCAAAGTCACGCGAGCAAGTCTTTCCAACTCTTTGATATCAGGCTTTGGAAGATTTGCAAGCTCGTCGCTATGGTCCCACCAATTAATGGCAAGAATATATACCGCAGCAAGGATGGGAGGAGAAAATTCGCGATGTGAACGATTATATTTCTCGAAGAAAACAGTCTTCTGTAGGATAGGGAAATTAGGATGAATGATACGGAAGTAAAGCTCCAACAATGCTGGTCCATGCGGAGACACGATATTCTCAATCGCATCCGCATCGTCAATAACATGCTCGTGACCATGCGTATGATAATCCGGCAACATCAAAAATGTATCTAGGTCGCTAACCTTTCTCAAGGTACCGCGGGATAATAAGCTTTCGTCTTGTGGGTCGAACGAAGACAAATCGAGCAGTGATGGTTCGAAATCGGTTGTGGGCCCAATGTACTGGCTGTATCGGTCATTCTGTAGGCCTAGCGTTCTCTTCAATTGTATCGGGCCCCCAATGTTTGCCATGTCCTCGATTAAAGAATTGGTAGCACCAGTACTTGATAGCGATTCCGCAAGTCTTCCACGTCTGTCATCTCTGTCTGGGGATCTGGGGTGGTGTTAGTGTAAGCAAATACAAAATAAGCTTCAACTACGAGCTCATATGCATGAAGAAAAAAAAGTCGTCAAGTTGCACAGAAAAAAAGTCACATACCTTCTTTTGGCGACCGATTCCTCTTTACCTTCCGTATTGAGCTTCCTTTTCCTTGGTTGTGGACTTTGTACAAAAGTACAATCTTGCGTGTGAAATTGGCATAGAACGCAACTCGTTTGTCCTTCGTTAATTACGCATCTACTTTTCCTTCTTCTACACGCATCACACGGACGGTCCTTGCGAGTTCTCATGTTTACACCTGACTCTCCCGAGGTAGAACTACTCATACTGGCGGACAGGTGAGGTCTGCTGTTCAAGTTGTTGATCGACGTCTCAATCGAGGGTTCAATGGCTCGGGGTTTGCGAGAAGCTATAGCAATAGGTGCCGTCCGGGCGATGGTACTTGGGGTCGACATGGCGTATGAGGCTCGTCTGGACCGTTGATCGACGTCCAGGGACGGGAATTGTCTGCTGGGCCGGTGACCTGCAACTGCTGACGGCGGTTGGCTCCGGTTGAGGGCGCTTTGGGTGGGTGGGAGGCTGTCAAACGCTGGAAAGTTGGGATGTTGGCTGGGAGTCTGCTGCAGCTGGATCGACTAGGCACTTTGTCTCGAGACGAATATGCAATTCCCTGTCCTCGGAGAAGTGCGATGACCACAGTTTTGCTTTCGGTGCAGACGTGAGTGGCCAAAGGGGAAATCAATTGGCTCGAAATGGCTGTCCAGCAGGCTGAGCAAGGCTTTGGTGAGCGTTATCAAGATATGAGTGGATGCGGTTTTGGCAGTGAGATGCGCCTATCCTGTTCCCCACTCTGACAATCGTGGGAGGAGCAGGAGATTTGGTAAGATCGGACGGGTATATTCTTATCGGGATGCTGGGGCGAGGGAGGGTGTAGGATAGGATATGTCGAGGGTAGGTACGGAAGTACCGAGGAACAATACGTTGGAGACCGTTCTGAGGTGGTTGGATTGAAGTGACTTCCCCGTTGGATTGAGGGTGCCCCGCTGCTGATAAGGAGATAAGAGGAGGGACTGACTATTCGAGTAGTCGGTTTCTGAAGTAGTAGCTTGATCGGGCTCGTCTGACTATATAGAACGTGTCTGGCTATATTAATCTCTGGACGAGTTAATAATGGAAGCTTTCAATGACTGTCACTGCTGCAGGACCCCGCCAGTGATTGAAGAAGGATGAGATGGAGATGGCTCTTGGGCGTCATTGAAGCTACGCAGCATAAAAAGGTTGAAGAGTGGTGTCTGATTTGACTCGAGGAAGATTCTGTTTGTCCTGTAAAAGTAATCTGCGTTGGACGATCTGCTCCTGGTTCGCTCCTAGTCGGTCGTCTGGGTCTGGTATAAGGTTTAAGGCTGATGGTGTTGGTTCTGACTCGATTCGGGCGCTCGCAATGCCAACCAGAATAGCAATTCTGACTCTGCTCTGACTCTGCTGCTCTTGTGTGCTTGTGTGCTTGCAGTACTTTCGTACCGTCCGTCTACGCGGCGTGGGACTCCCATCTTTTCAATCTCTGGCGATAAGCAGACGCATTAGAGCGGTACCTCGCAGCAGCCATCCCCGCGCATCTACCGGTCGCACCACCTCGCAGCCCACCTGGTCTGGCCTGGGAACCCCCAAGCTCCTGCTGCCCTCCGCCCCGACTGGTGAAGCTGGGGAGAATCCAAACGCTGGCTTGTGCTGCTTGGGGCGACATTCCATGACACCAGCAAACGCCAAAAGCAGATTTCCATACGTAATCCACGTAATATCGGTGCGCTCACTGGCTCTCAACCAACTCTTATTTCCATCGTATTGTGGTAAGCGTATCTCCCATCTCGTCGAGCACCAGTGAAACGGCCCTTCGTTATCTCCAAGTACCCTCGGCGAGGCGGTCAAAACCCTCCGTCGTGTTTGCGGCTAGATAAAACCAAAGGAACCCGTTGATGTTCTGTACGGCATCGTGAACCCCACAGTCGGCTGCGCAGAGTGACGTTGCAGATCGGAATGCTTTGCTAAAAGATTCGAATTGGCCGTGGCTTATTGGGTGGTGGCTGGCTACCGAAAATAGGGGATGCGGTGTGGTCTGTCCGGATGCAGACCAGGTAAGGGTCCAGCGAAATATTATGTAACGGGGAGATGGGAAAGATAATTACGAAAACTTTGGTGTCACGATTTGTCCTGCATTGAGTGAGGGTAACGTGATTGATATCATGACTTTGAGAGTGACGGTAACCTGGAAATAGTCGACTTCTTATGTGTTACATATATATTTGTACAATGGATTAAGTATATCGAATATTCGTTTGTACTTCGTATTTGAAAATCTACAAGCACAAACGAAAATCCACGTTGTGTCTTGGCATCAATACTAGAACTGTCAAATAATACTATAATAAAATGAACGATGGCAGATTGTAAAGTATGTATTAAACAGAGAAGACACGCTGGTTCATTGCAGCTACATGTGTAGAGAGAAATATATAGCACGTGACCGCAAAGCATGACTTACCTCTTCCTTAAGCTCTCATCTCCAAGTCTGCATCCCAAGTACGGCCTCCACGGCCGTGGCCCTCGGAGAGCCAGCGGAGTGTCACCCAAAATCACATCTACACCATCAGCACTACGTAGTCGTCTAATCCGGATTATAATTATCTACCTATCAAGCGTCTTCCTTACCACGAATTATTCCATATCAGACATTATGTATATGCCACCAAAGGATATTCATCATCTCTCAAAAAGATAATCATTACACCTCCAGAAGATAATCATGCTACTTATGCATCACTATTAGTCCTCCCGCACGGTTTATCCTTCGTAACCTCAACATGATAATTATGTTCCTGCCCATACTTCGGCAAGTCGGTAACTTCCGATGGCAATTCGAATGTCTGGTCAAACACTGAGACTTGCAGGGTTTCGAGGGCTTTGAGATCGCCTATGGAATTGTCTCGCTACAAAGTGTTAATTAAAGACGGATGATTAAGGGGAGAGTGAACTAACCTTTTGAACTCTCCAATCTAGATTCTTTTTCAAATATTCAACGACATCCTCAGTTTTCGTATGATCAATCCCTGCCGCAATGATAGAATTTGTAAGACTCCACTCATCATGGACTGTGGTATTTGGAAATGGTTTTGGCCCGTCAAATGGCTCTGGCATGATAGTCATTGTTCCAAACAGCGTCTTGCACAAGCCCCAAGCTTTCGACTCCGCTGGTATATCACCCAGGAATAACCTGATCCGGAACATCTCTCCGTCGAGATCGAATTTCGCGACTTTTACAGCAACACTCCATGCCCTAGTAACTGCCCCAGCCTTGAGCGCAGTGCGTTTCGCCGCTCTCAGTGGACGGGTGTTTTGCCAAATCCCATTCGGATCGTAGAGTCGATTTATCTGGGCCGTGACGTTCGTCTTGAGCTGATCTACGCTCTGGTTCCAATCTTCGATCTCGGGGTATGCGTAGTTGAATTTGGCGGTCATCAAGGCGGATGCCGAAGTGTAGAGTTGACCTGCTATAGTAGAAGTGAAGGGATAGAGCGGAGTCTGAAGAGTGTCAAGATTGTTACGCGGAAGGGAGTAGGTTCCTGGTTCTAATGCTGGAGTCATTTGAGAGGTCGGATTGATGGCTTGCCACATTGCGAAAAGTCGGTCTACATTTGTGTGGTGCAACCAGAAGATCGGATCGAATGCTGAGTAGTCCAGGAAGGACATGTGTCCGTTGTTTCCACCGAGGTAACCATGGATGTTCTGGATAGGTCAGTAAATGTCCCCAAGACGAAGAGGAAATACTACGTTATGCACATTCTCAATTGACGGTCCCTGAGTCGTCCCATCAGAGAAGCCGTTGTATGATCCCTGTCCCTTGGTGAGAGTGTCATACTAAGTATCATTGTCAGTATCTTTCCTGTCCATTCCCATCATGCTACCTACAGTTCTTTGCATCAAACCACCGCTGACAAGCAATTCGTTTATTCCCCCAACATCCGAAACGGCGTCAAAAGTATTCGTGATAGGGCTTCTCACAGTCTGAGGAAATACGGAGAGAGAGGTTGGCGGGAATGGCGAAGTATTAAGTGGATACCGTTTGAATCTATAAGAGAACAGCGGGTTTCGAACAGTGGTAAGTCCATTCGGTGTGTTGATTTGGGTGCTCGCAAGACTGACAGAATCTGGCATTTTAGGATCGCTCGCCCAGTCCCAGTATGGCATTCTTAGCTTGTCTGCAGCTGCTTGATAAGTGGCGGCGTTGGATCCAGTATATTGCTTGGCGACATTTTGAGCACATTGGGCCAGGACTTGCTATGTCGAGTCAGATATGTTTTCTCTGTTTTGTCATCCAATGTTTACCTCGAAGAGTGCAAGGTATGGCCGATGCCAGGTGGTAAACAATACCGAGCCTAAGGAATATGTCAAAACGATGGCTATGGTGGGTAAAAGTGAACTCACTATGAGTACAATATCCGCCATAAAATGGATTCTGCGTAGGTCCTACGTTGTTCCATGTTGAGTAGGGCCTTCCATGGATGCCTTCAAATTTGATGGTCAGCTTCAGCATTAGCGAAGCGAAGACCACGTCGACAAACCTGCAATCTGAAACCAAGAAAGAGGGTCATTTTCATCGACATTCTGCATGGTAGTCAAACATTGAATATAGAGAGCCCTGGGTAGCAAGGCAATCAAATTAGCCATTGGAGATTAGCAATCAACCGCCACGAACATACCATGATGGCGCATCTTGCTGCAGGTCCAAGATATTCCGCCTAAAAGGTCGCGCTTTTGTTTGAGTATTCGTCCCCGTTTTTGACCCTGTGATGCTAACATATGCTGTTCTGCTCGCTGCTGTTGCAGCAGTAGTGATGTTGACAAGACTCAGGAGCGCAACAAGATAGGTGGGAATCATCTTCAAGTAGTTTTCGACAAATCAAAAGAGAGTGATTGATGAGGAAGAGAAAGAGGATTGGTGGCAAAGGTAAGGGAAATATGTTTTTGCGGTGGCCATGTGTGTGTTTGCGAAAAGCTGAATATAAACACCCGACTACAGTGAATGGCCTACCTAGTAACTAGTTCAGCTTCACAAACCGAGTCCAGCTCTGGACAAGCAAACTTCGGTTCAGGTCCCAAGCGCCTCGACTGCACATGTAAACCCTAGTTGAGATGTACCTTCGATGAAAAATGCATGGTTTTAACTGACATACGATCCTGATACGGGTAGGGGTACAACATACTCGAGGGTGAGGTGTGCTACAACGTGTACCTAGGTATGCGGAAATCGGCTGCGTCAAGGGTCTTCCCGAATACATCGTGTTGGCTGTGGTTGTACAGCATGTGAGATGAGCTTGTGGTTCCCAAGAAAAAGCTTGACTGATAATTGTGTTCCCTGGTTCTATACTCGGCATCACCTTGGAAAGTGAGGATATCATAGGAGCTTCTACAGGACTACCACTTTTCGAAGCCAACATGACCGCATATCAAACTGCTCCAACGTATTCGAATTTGCTCCGCTGGCGAGACTTGCCAACTACGTTTGCTTCTATGCAGCCATCTTTTGTGTGAGTGCTACCAAAAACGTGAGATGAAAACGTCCGAAATGCCACAGACCGATAATGGACAGCGGGTGGCGGAGACGAACGAAAACATGCCTCTATCAGGCGGATATTTGCATGGCACCAGAGTATCTACTGTTGACCGAGCAAATACGACCACTCCAGTTGAATGCAGCAACAGTCCTGTCGTGTTCAGTGACCTACATATGGGAACATCTTGGTAAATGTGAGAATATCGCCAAGTAGAATCCGTCACGGCCGATGCGGTGTTTGCATCAGAACTCGAGATACGTTCAGTTTGTGTATTCGGGCCGTCATAGGCCGTCATTATGCCAGTCTCCTTTTCACTCGCAGATACCTAAGGGACCGAAATGAGAATCTCGTGCGGACTATCGATGATATCAAATGTTAGAGCTCGGGTGGCTATTGCATTCCCGATTCGATACCTACCTTAAGCTCCCTGGCCTATGAACTCGCTTCTCGTAAGGACCAATGAGGCTGCATTTGAATACGTTCCATATGCGGTCGAAATGTATTAAACGCCAACTCTGTGATGGGTTTCTTGGCTTCGTCGTTACACGAGAGAAAACATGGCTTTCAGGCAGTCATTTTAAACCCGTTTGTGGCATAGACTTGGCGCATCGATCTCGTATCCGGGGAAAGCGGGAGGATTCGTTTGTCGACGTTTGGCAATGTAGAATCCAGAAGGACATGGAATAAATAACCTGAACACAGAATGTTTGCACGAGCCAGTGAGTGTTCCACTGACAACGTGACTGCCATTAGTAACGAGCCCTTACTGCAGCTTCTGGGTAGTATTGACAATGTGTGACCCGTTTTGAGATCTGACTGGTAAAGGGAATAATGCTCGAGAAAGTAGTGGTAATGTGACTGACAAGTTTATAAACCTAGCTAAAAATGCTATGTTGGCGAACCCTATAGTCATGAGCTCAAAAGCAGCTGATACAAAAACTTTCAACTCGATACTCGGGTATATCCTACATTAATCCATAAACATAAACATTACCCACATCTCCACTAGCTCACCGCAAAGTCGGCCTTCGCATTAAAACAACAACGCAAACAATCCAACCATAGCCAATCTCCACCCGGCAACCCCAATTACACTCCCTCTACTATTAACATTGGTGCTAGAAGGACTCGCAGGAGCGCCCGTAACTGTACTTCCACCAACACCAGGCGTACCCGTCGTTTTCAAAACCGAAGTAACAGGACCAACAAACGTCCCGGACGTAGTCAATACAACAACAGTAGAGTTTCCAAATGGTCCAGACGTGGTGATTGTCTCATTCGCGACTGTCCCCGTCACCATAACCACAGAACTAAGACTCGTCGTCGTCGGCGCCGTAGAAGTCGATGTTGATTCGGCTGTACTCGTCGTACTCTGCACACTCGAAGAACTCGACGTACTACTCGAGCTCGAACTCGAACTAGTACTTGACTCCGTAACACTAACCACCTTCTTCGTAGCCGTCAATCCAAAACTGCTCGTTAACGCCGCCTCGATACTGGAGATCGCACTGCCCGTCGGATTCACATCGAGTATCGACAATGGTTTCTCCGTCCCATCTTGCCCCGGCTGGAAACCCTGCGCGTAGATCGTGAAATTATAACTCCCACATCCCGTACCAACATTGCCGCCCCCGAAAACTGTATGATTCTCCTTTTTACCTATCTCACATCAGCTAACGCCCCATCCATCACACCAAAGCACTTACAAGAATCCACTAACGTCCCAAAATCCCCCGCGCAAACATCTTCCGAACAACTCCCTCCCGCAACAGGTTCAAACCCCAGCGAAACCCACGGATCAGTCGCGCTCCCCGTAAAAGAGAGCTGGGACGCGAAAGATTGGGCTGATAGTTTATGGCAGAAGGTGCGGTAGAGGAAGAAGAGCTTTTCTTCCTGGTAGCTGGCTGCTGTTGCGGGACAGGAGGGTGGTGTGACTGCTAGGACGAGGGAGGGGAGGATGGAGAGAGGGAGGAGCGCGCGCATTGTGACTGAGTGAGTGTTGTAAATGAATGTTTGTTGTAACGAGTGTATTGTACTTGGTAATGAAAGTAGAAGAATGAAAAAGATAGACAGAAGGGACTGAATTGAAATGAAATGAGGGGATTCAAGCTTTGTGCTTTGACAGGGACATCTGAAACGCGCGCATTGCTCGTGGGGTATGGAGCATTATATATGTATATATTTATATCTGGATAAGGAGTTTATGAGGTCAATCTGGACTTTATTATTCCGTGGCGCTAAAAGCCTTGGAAGCTTCTGTTTTTGTTGTGTGGAGGATCTGGAAATAATAAGATTGCGGAGGATGGATGCAGGTTGGGGGTTGAGGCCGACGTCAAGTTTGGGTTGACGCGCTTGGTAACTCACATTACTTGACCAAATATGTGTTTCTAGAGGACCAATATATGAGATTATGGGAGATATGAAGATGTGTTATTTCATAGCAAGTTTTCTAGATAATGCGATGAGTATCTGTGTTGGTATCTTTGAGGTTCTCATGAAGTTCCCGTTGCTGGGCGATCTTGAAACACGATGCTGTAAATGAACGGCGCAGAGGAGTTATAATTCATCTCTCAGAAGAATGTGTAGTTATACAGGCATATAGTTTCCATCTATCATACGCCACGCTATTCTACAATACATGTACAGAGGCAATTCCTATGCAATGCTATTTCACACATGCATTACTTGACACATTCAAATACTTAAAGTCTTCCAAGCCCTCCCAGATAACACTTGATTGCATCATATTCCGACTCAGCGACTACTCCTGATCTGGAATTTGTTTGACTGGTTCCTAACAACACCCACTGGCAAACCCTTCCTCTCCAACTCCGCATTGATAAGCTTCAGTTCACCAAGTTTCTTAGACTTGGCTGTTTTTGTAATCCTCGTCGGAGAAATTGACACATTTGACAAGGCCTTTAGATCGACATTTCGAGTCAAAACACCCACGAGCTTCGTTGGCTCCGGCTTCTTCAGCATTTTCGAAAGGATGAATCGAACGGTATGTAAATTCTGCACCTGGGAATCCGGGAACTTGACGCCTGTCAGTCGGAAGACCCTTTTCAAAAGCTAAATATAGGTCATTAGCATATTGTGCAGGTGATGACTGTCCAGTGAAAACTTACAGCAAACTTGAGATCCAGGTCGCGAAGAGGAACATCTAACCATGCTTTATCGAATGATTTGACAAGATCTCTAGCTCTCTGCGAATCTTTGGCGACCAAATTCCTTTCTACCTCCGCTTGGCTTGCGGGATCTTCTAGATGCGCATCCACCTCGACATCTCCAAAGACCTTATCTGCGGCGCCCTGTTCTTCATACTCCAGAGCCGCACCATCCTCAGTAGGAACGATTTTGGCAGACCGAGCACGATCGAGCATCAATTTTTTTGGCAGACGTACAAGGTCCGAGTATGGTTTCCCGGTATTCTTCAAGGTAAAGACATCCACAACAGCTTGATGTAGAGCGGCAATCAGCTCATGTGAATCCTCAACCACCGTTCTGGGAGCAAATGGCTTAAACTTGGCTCCTGACAAGCTCATTTTTTGCAAGTCCCCAACCATTTCTAAATCATCCCATGTTTTGGCCTTCTTGTGTTTTTTTGGTTTTGGTAGTTCCTGAAGTTTTGGCTCCTTCGTAGTCTTTCCAGCCGATTCCGTGACTAGTTCTGTTTCTCCTTCCTCTGTCTTCAGGCTATCATTCGCATATGGATCTTTCGCTCCCGGCGGTTCTGTGGTTCCCCATATCTTGTTTCGAAGTCTGCCTGTTATTGGGATTTTCTCGTCGCTTGTTGGAGATGGTCGAGACGGCGATGTTGAGAAGGAGGCGGCTTGAAACCTGCAGCCTAGACAGACACTCGGTGACTGGGTTGAAGCATATTTACTGCTAAGAAGGTCAATTGACCTGTTGACTCTCGGTATTCGACGCATGTTGGTGTTGAATAAGGAACGATCGCGAGCTATGTCGAGGGCGTGTATGGGAATATTTTCGGGAGCGATGGAAAGTTGCACTAAACTCGTTTGAGGCTGCCTGTGGGAGCTCGGGCCATCATCGCCATACACTTCTTACACGTCTTGAACATACTTTTGATATACCTACTTCTGGGACACGACCACAGGATTATCTACAGTAATCTCAGTGTGTATAATGGAATTTGAAAATTAACAAAAAGCGGTTGTTCAAATCATCTCACAACTTCTCAATCGACCGCCAGAAATTCACAAGCATCCCGATTTCCAGCTACACCACCACCACCATGGCGCGACTCACCCAACTATTCTTCCTCCTCGCCCTCATCCTCACAGTCCTCGCGAGCTGTACGTATCCTTTCCCCTCCCTTCTCTCTCCTCAAAACTAAACCCCTAACAGCACCCCCCTCATTCTGCAAATGCACCTGCTTCACCAACAGCACCATCATCCCGCTCTCCTCTTCCAACTCCCAGTCCTCACATACCGAACCACGCAGCCAATCCACCTCCTGCTCGGCCTGCAAGAAATCCTTCTGTCTCGAGCAACGCCTACCCATCTGCAAAGACGCCGAGGAGAAAGATGTGTTTACCATGTGCTTTCAGCGTGATAGTAGGAAGGATCAGATTGTGGTGTTAAGTTTCATTGCAGGGACCGTGGGGTTGCTAGGGTGGGCGGCTGTGAGGAAGGTGCTGGAACGGAGGAAAAGAGGAGGCGAGGGGGAAGGATATACGGCTGTTGGGAGGTAGAAAGGGCTTGGGGAGTTTGAATTGTTGAGATGGGAAGGAAGGGCTGATGCTATATACCCAGGACTTCAATCCGGCAATTCCCGAGCCCATTTTCCAAACTTCATTGAATCTGTGCTGGAATCTAGACAGAGCTGCTGTTGGGAATGACTGAGATGTGGAAAGATGGGACCAGAATGATCTCCAGGATTACGATCAGACGATCCTCGAGCTTCTGGCAAAAGCACAGTTGAAGCTGCTTCATCACCTCACACGGAAGCGCCGCAGGAAAGGATATATCCAGCTCTAGATGCGAGCTGGATTCGAGAGGAAAGCGCTGCAAGCTGAAGCGGTCTTGATATATAAGAATGGTCACAGGCACAAATACGTCACGGCGTCTTGCCAGACCGGCAGCTTTACCACTTCATGGGTGATCATATCCAGATATAAAAAGCTGGTCGTACAGAAAGCAGCATGGGCTAGCCGTAGGAATGGAACAAATCTGCACGGGCGTTGTATAGAAACCAACGCCGAACTTCGTTTCACTGTAGAGCAGCTGCAAGGAGTCATGAAGGAGATGCCGAGGAATAACACAGTCCTGTAAGTTGTGGTTTATATGAAACGAGATATTTGTATATTGAAGGTAAAAGAATTGATAATATGATTAAGGCCTTGATACAAGAACCTCCCAGCTTCCATGTCTGGTTCATGAGATATAACATATATCGCTTATGCCTACAAGAAAACGTCATATTTTAGAATTACTACCAACTCAGTAGGAGTTACCTAGGAAATGTTCAAAGACAACATAGACCTGTAGGTCATGGCGCATGTGGGATACGGTATTTACACATTGAAGAACCGATCGTCACCGCTTCACTAGAACGAGCACTAAAGTTCACATCTTGCACCGAAAATATAATATTTATCACTATTTCTCAATCAATAGTGTCTTTTTCTCTGGTGCAATGAGCGCACTGGTTAATGCCCCTTCTTATCCCCCTCTCTAACCCCAAAATACTATATGTAACACCCCCCAACTCAAACTTTATACAAATCCCCAATCGCTCCGCCACACCAAGACACCTAATCCACCTTCTTCCAGTGCTTTTTATGGATATAAACGCCCTATCATGCACCCTTTGCATCCGCGAAAAAAAAAGAACAATAATATAATGGTATCCCACACGATAAACCACTCCCGATACACAAAAAGAAAAAACAAACATAATGCCGGTGTACTGCATACCAACCCCTTTTCACAATAATATCAACGCCGTTCCTGTATGTTATGGCGACACCGATTGCAGAATCCTGCATACGTCCCAAACTCTTAGACCAGAACTCCGCTGCTATGTCAAAGGCTACTCTAGCCTGAATGGTTTGTAACAAACGCAAGCAACTAGGAAAGAAGATCGGCCATTCCGCGAGGTAATGCGCCTTTTGGAGATATGGTTTCCTGACGATCGTAGGTTGGGGGTGGCGGCGTACTTCTGTAAGTTGGGATTTCGACGACAGGTGAAGTAGCTTTCGCAGCTATGTCGTTGTTCGTACGAGCATCGAAAGGTGAGACTGGACCCATTGGTATTCCAGCTCCAGCCATAGGTATCTTTGAATCTGGAGGACTCGGTTTTGCCGGCTTGTTGACTGCGACCTTCGACTTTGTTGCAGTAAATGTGTTTGTGATGACATTCTTGGGCTTCGAGTTTGGCAATGGCTTTCTTCCATCCTTTGCTCCATTTTTCGGTGCCGCCTTCCTGCCAAGCTTCTTTTTTGGCTTGCCAGCCTTGGTCAACTCTGCTTTTTTCTCTAGCCCAAAGAAAAGCTTTGGCTGTTTCATCTTCGCCATATTTGATAGCGGTAAAGGGCTTTGATGCCGTGGACTATCAGTAGGGGTCAGAATACCTTGGTTGTTGACCACATCGACAGGCTTAGTGTCAACAACAACACCAATAAGTCCCTTTGCCTCCTCTTTTGGTCCTTGAATCGTTTTGTATTCTCCACAGTCCTTGTCGTTCCAATGAGGCAAACCGACGTAGCGAGCGATGTCATCACATTCTGCGGTGACGACCATGTCCCAACAGTCTTTGAGGTCAGCCCCGGATGGAGGTTGATCGAGATTGATCCAAGCTGTGAAGCCGCCTCTTCGATCACGAGCCAGCTGACACATCTCCCGGGCTAGGCGACGTGTTCCTGGAATTTTGAGAGTTGTACCGACAACTATAACCGCATCAGGTTTGGTTTTCAAGTCCGCTTCACTGACCATGCCAATGGCATCTCCATCCGGGTTGAATTCGTTGTAGAGCACCATTCTGGGTCTTAATCGACCAATCCCATGACTCCTAAGACCTGCAGCTACTCTTATCATGTCCCTTTCTGTACATACCGGGCAATCTGGCGGTTCGGCACCTTCAAACAATGCTGCATCAAAATCGAGACATGTTTTACATTTTGTACAGACCATCTTTTCTAACCCTCCGTGAAGCTGAATTGTTTTTGGCCAAGGACCTTTGGTGTTAAGAGGAACGTTAGTCTTGAGTGGTTCTAGAGAGGTATCAATGCCGTCGACATTCTGAGAGTATAGTCGGAGGAGGCGACCCTCCTCGGCCAATGTTGCAAGCATATGGTGAAACGGAGTAGGCTTCGCTTGCTTGGTGCGGTGAGATAATTCACGGACCATGTCATGAAAGGAGCTTGTCGCGCGATCATCTTTGTAAACTGACGCGTCGAATAATTCTTTCCCAGAAGATTTCAGCTTGTGCTGGCCACGCAATGTGGTGAACAGTCCTGTTGAGGAACGGAAGTCGGGAACTATATAGACGTTAGCATTACACCTACGACTGGACCAAGGGAATAGACATACTGCCAGCAGACACCGACATTCCAGCACCAGCAATGACGACGATTTTACGCTTCGAACGCAAGACCTCAGTTAGTTTCTTTAGTTTCGCATCCTGTATCTTATGATCTGCCTCGTCGCAGCTTTCGTTAAGGGCCGGCAAATTAAGGTATTCCGTCGTCTTCTCTTCCCCCATCCATTTCGCAAACCTTTGTCTCTTTGCCTGGGGCTCGTCACTTTCGCGACGCGGCGCTTTTCTCTTCACGGGTTCGGACAATGTGCTCGTTTCTGCTTCATTGCTAGGACTTGGCGATGGATAATCGACTGGTGGTGTAGGCGACCTTGACCCTGGGTCCGATAGAGGGGAGGACAGTTCTGAAGAGCGTGGAGAGGATAGAGGAGAGGAAACGGCGGACATGGCGGCGGTCGCGCCGTCGTCCATCGTCGAGGTTGGGGGAGGAGGGCGAAGGGAAGGAAAGAAAAGAGGGAGTATTCTATTTATCATACAAGACGTGCCCAGATCATTCTTGTCATGTGTGTCGCGTGAGATGTGGTGGTGGAGGTTCTTCAAAGGCCCGTCGTCGTGTGGCTGGTCGTTATGAAGAGATGAGGTTGTAAGATGCGCTGTGCCCATTCAAGATGCAGATGAGCGGGACTCTGCAGGGCACTAAATAGGCGAAGAGCAATAGCAACGGTCCATTCCTCTTAGAATTCACGTTCATATGGACAATAATAAGGCAAGAAGAGGATATGTGAATGGACAATAGTTCTGAGTTCACACAATGTCATGTATTGGGATTCTTAGTTCCCATTGTAATGTGCTCTAAGAGCATAACTGAGGCAATCAATCATTCTTCAATTGGACAGTAACTTGGCCTGGCCCTAGCAAACCCCAGCTCTCGGCTTCATAACAAAAAATGTGCCTGGGCGGGCCTGTGACGTCTTACCATCTCTTTCATGTATCCGAGTGCTTAGATAGATCTGTATCATGAAAGACAAAGCGGCTATGTAATGCGACACTCAACGTACGTCTCATAACTATATAGCTTAGCCTCTCTGATATTTGTACGTGTGTTTCTTGTCTGATGCTCGTCTCTCTACTCGGTCTCCAGTTTTCTTACTCTCTCCCCGGCCGATGTGGTTGCCGGGCCGAGTTCGCTGGTATGGATGGGCTGGCCGGCTGAAAGTTCTGGGCCCCGCTTGGAGCCTCATCTGCAAGGCTAGGCTGAACTGAGTTCCCACCCACCAGCTGGCAGCACAACATACCTTTCTTGGTCGTGCTCATCACTTCTTCTCCGTCACTGATTGATATGAGCAACACAATGCCTCTATCTGTTACACAAATCCGAACGCAAACCTGAGCCACACGTATTACTACGAAGTACAATAATGTATATTTAATCTTGTTTCAAGTCCTTTGTCGCTATAAACTCTCAGACGTCCTGCGCCCTTGTGAGCCTTTCTCGCGTTCCATGGTGCATTGTTAATTCCAAGCTATGCCACTTATCATGGACGAAGAGATGATGGACGATCTCTTCGGCGATGGTGGCGGTCTGTCAATTCCTTCTCGACCACCTTCGAAGGAACTCTACCAACGACTTGACGATTTAAGACGAGGTGGATGCTGCCAGTGAGCACATCATTTCAATCATCTGGCATGGCTAACGTCTTGCAGGGGCATCGCATGGTCAAATTGGGGATGTATAGCAACGATTGCTTCCTCTGGAGCTATCTTAGAGCTCAGAAATCTTCGTTGTCACCCGGAGGATGGTAAATGGGGACTGAGTGAGCCTTCACCAACTAACCCTCTTACAGCAAATCTGGATGGCGGCCCTCTAAAACATTTGTGCTGGAGCACAAGTGGTTCTGAGTTGGCAGTCATCGATACAGCTGGAAGAGTAAATATACTATCTTTGTTTTCGTCTTTAAATAAGCCTACACTACATAGGCATTGTCAAATGGATCCGATAGATGAGCTATGTGGTATCGTTGGCTGTCACTGGCTCACACCTGCGCCGTATCAGGCAAACCGCCCGGTAGGTGTGCTACTTATTCTACCCACCAAAATCCATCTCATTTGCTTTTAGGCACAGTTAAATGGTCCGGCCGTGAAAGAGGGTTCCTCATACAAATATGAGACCTCGGCAGCACCTGTGTATGGACCCTTTCATCCTGTTTTGGGGAAATCCGCGCTCGTGTGCGTAACTACAAATGGCACCCTAAGAATCATTTATCCTCAGGTCAATGGGAAGTACGCGGAAGTACACACAGAGCTCGAGAGTATTGTATCGTCTGATGATCTTATAACGCACGCTGCGATTGGAAGCGATAGAAGTGAGGCGATCTTGACATGTTTCAAATATCAAATAAACCTGACAGTTTTTAGACCAGACTTTACTGATTGCTTTTGCCACCACTTCCAAGCAACTAAGAGTGGTAAGGGCTGTGATAGATTGGGGTCAACAAAAACCAACAGAAAGGGGCGCTCAGCCTGTACCACAGCAACCCTTAAACCCTTCGATCAGAACCCGACATGTCGCAGTAACGAGCTGGCTGCATGACAGTCCTTCTGACAACATAAATTCTTTGAATACAGAGTCGTCAATGATGCAGTTGTCTCATCTTGAGTTCTTACCATCAAGCTTAGAACCTGGGGGAAGATTAACTCCTCCCACAATCGTCGCAGTTCGCTCTCATCTACCGCCATCTATGGCGCATTATAACCAGGAAGTACATACCGTTGTGGACAGATGGGAAATCCGCGAAAAGATGCAAACCGTTCACCCAGCCTTTGAGCAACTAAGTTCAAGAAGGAACAGTATTGGATCGCCCCCACAGGTAAACTCGCCCATGCTGAGATTCTTTCAGATATCACTAATAACAGTCAACAGGCCATGTCTTTTCTGAAAAAGTTAGATAGCTTTACGGTAAACAAGATTTTACTTGCGATACAACCAATCAATCTCGGCCGAGTCTTGTTCTTTATGTATAGTGATAGCTCTGTAGAATATCGAGACCGAACAACTATGGCAGAGACTTTTACAGATAATGATCTGGACAGAGTTTGGCATCTTTCGCAGATTGGTTTCACGTATCCTGAAGATGAGCCATGTCAGTAAACTTGTCACCCAAGTCATTCGGTATCAAGCTAATTTATGAAAGGCTTACAGGTGGCGTTATCTCCCAGCTATTGTTCAATGGTTCAAATCCGCAATGATGGCAAGGTTAAATGGAAGCAGCTGGATTATGCTATAGGGGACATTGGCTCAGATAACAGTGATCGTAAGAATCCCGAATGTATCAAAGTAGAGCGTGCTGACGTGAAAAGCTCAATATGCAGCCGTAGTGGCAGCTCTTGCCTTGTCTTGTTCGAGTGCCGTGATGAGAAACGTGGCTTACGATGACCTGCTTCCGATCGCCGCAAAATACTCTAACACGAGTTCGTGGTCCTCCTGTCTCCCATTTGTTAATTTTGGCTGATTGCAGTAGATCTCACTTTCGACTGGCTTGTTGAATTATCTTCAGTTCTGAAGGTGCCTCTTGATTACTCCGAGGAACAGCATGCCGATCTGCTCATCCGAAATTCAACTATTCAATTATTTCACAGCATTCAGAGCTCTCTTGGGTTCCGTGGCGAATTCGAACCACGATCATTCCCTGGTAAGCTATCTTGGCTTGTTCTACAACTTAGAAATATCGTAGTCCTCGTTACGATGGCTGCCAACCTTGGCGTTCGAGGAGATGGACCAAATCCTAATGAGAAAACCTCCCCACTGGATGATCCAGGTATGACAAGTAACCAAATCGTTTCTTTAGCATGACTGATTCGTATCCACAGAAGTAATTAATGCTCTAGCAGGCTCTGTACGGTGGACTTTAGATCTTATGGCCTGGCTTACAGACACTTTACTCACGCTATCTTCAACTCTTCCTCCAGGAATGGATCTTACCAATGTCAAAGGGTTCTCTCTCCCAGAGTTGCATGCTCATTTGGTTAAGACTAATACAGTGGCCTTACACCTCCTGCTTTCTTCATCTACCCGTGGTTTTCTAACGGCTATCTGCCGCCGTCTATCACATCTCGACTGGATTGCACGACGAGCAATCACACCATCTGCCGGCAATACAGGCTCCGGAACACCAAACACCCAAGGCAGCAACCCAGACAAACAACCCTCCCCAGCCCTCCGCAATGCCTACCTCCACATCGCCACCATAACAACCAACACCATCCTCCGCATCAAAACAATCGACACGCTCCTCTCGGCTCTCACCACCTCCATCAAAGACGTCTACAGCACCATCCTACCCAAAAGCCAAACCAGCGACAAATCCACCGACAAAGCCAACGAAAAAGCCCGCAACGCCTACGAAATCAAAATCGCCTTCGGCGGGCCCTTCCCCGAAGCCTTCAAACCCATCATCGTCGAGCTCTTCAGGGCCGACGGTCTCCTGGCCGCCGTCCGGGAAGACATCGAGCCCGCGAAACTCTTCTTCGCAGATTTCTCCCTCCTGGAAGTTAATGAGGATAAGGCTAGTCTTGCGAAACGAAAAGCCTCGGGCATGACGATGGATTGTTTCCGCAAGACGTGGCTGCCGAATCCGAAGAAGGGGATGGATTTGGTGGAGGGGAAACAGGTTCCACGTTGGAGACGCTGTGCTAGGTGTGCGGCGGTCATGGTGGATGTTTTGACGGAGAGGAGGGCGTTGCAGTGGTTGATTATGCAGCAGAGACGGTGTTTTTGTAGTGGGTATTGGAATACGGTTGCTGCGGGGGAGACCGTTGCTTGAAGATCAGAAGAGGTGGATGAAAGTTGGAATTTTGTTGAAATGGCTTGAATTTTATGTGATAAGTATTTAGTATCATGGCAGTGTGGTTGCTAGGTATTAATAGTCCAAGTCTTGTTTAAGAATATGTCGTTTTGCATTTTCTGGATTACAAGTGAGCTAGAGGCCTAGATTCTATTTCAGAAGTAATTTCTCTACCCCTGCTAGAGTTAAAAGTTGCGAAATTCTTCTTCCATATGCCTGACATTGCAAAACATGAAAACCTTATCAAGGTGATTAGCTGTGGAATTGTCCCATTTTGCCGTCTTGTTGTGTTCCTCTGTGTACTCTCACATCGTTGCTTTACTGATACTAGCACCTCCATCAACCAATCCGACTCCCGGTGTGTCAAATGATAAGAGTAGAGTAGACTAGAGTAGTAGGTACTAGTTTATACTCTACTACTTTACTTAAGATGATTGTTTATTCCTTGTAATCTACTCTACTCTACTCTACTTACACTAAATATTATTATTCCTTCGATAGACTGAACATGACACTACGTTAGGAAACAAGACGTACAAGCCAGCGAGACAGCGATACAGGATTAGTCAAGCCTGGCACAAGGCTAACAGGGACTGATACGACTTCTTCCACAAGTTAAAACGACACCGTATTAGGAGTAGACGGGTACAAGCCAACGAGACAGCTAAGGTAGGCTTCGTCAGTCTGGCCCAAGTTGATTACGGTCACTAAGTCACACTCATCACAATCACATGAACCAGACCACGAAAGCTTTTTCTTGTATGGGAATGTATTCTCATGCCTATATGTTCAATCCCCCCATCTAGAACATCTCAACAAGAACATCTACCTCTTCCCAGAATGAACAAAAAGATAGTTGCCAGCTAAGCATGGCAAAACGATGGATCTGTGCAACGACTATTATGTAGCACCGTCCATCCATCGAATTTCTGTGGTATTTGTCCCATCCCAATGCAAAGAATTCATCACAAACTCCAACCCGCCCAAGGAGTCTTCAAAAATGATACTCCTCTAAAAAAACAAATAATGCGCCATACGATGCCTTGATCTCGCCGGATACTATGACAATGCAGCCCCAGCTGCGGGAACCTCCATCGAAAAACGCCGACGCAATGGATATTTTTGTAAAATCAAGATATTTCTATGTATGGTACCCTCCTTTCACTGTGGACGTGCGGATGAAGAGGCGCCGTTGGTAGCAGGCTGCTCTTCACTCGGTGGTTTGTCCGGGTTCTTAATCCTCTGATACATGCCTTCGAGTCGCTCACCATCTGGGAACGGGTGAGGCCAAAATGTTGCAACATAGCTCCTATATCTCATTAGTATTCATTAAACCCTCACCAAGTCGGAAGGAACTTACCAGAATCGGGGCCGTAGAGAAGTCACCTGGCTTGGGGATGAATCGCGAAGTTGGCTTTCGATAAAATCTCCAATCTTGACAAGCGCGCTCTTCATTACATTGGCTCTTTCCTTCTGTGACTTGATGCGCTCTTTGGTGGCGGCTTGAATTCTTTTAAGACTCTCTCGTACAGGCTTGAAAACGATTCGCATCATTGGATCATGTTCATTTGCAGACTTTGATTGATGACGCGAGTCGGACTTTTGATGCTTCGCCTGCCTTTCCTCATGTGGAGTACTGTCCTTCCGCTTCATATTTGGTTTGCTGTGCTCACCGCGTCCGTAACTTTGGCTGTGGCTACGACCTTGATCTCGCTCACGGCTTTCTGGGAGCCGTGCATACTTCTTGGACTGAGGTGCCGGTGCCGGTGATGCAGAGACCGAGTCCCCAGCTCGACGATGGCCATTAACGCTGCGGTCGTGCTTCTTATTGTTACGGTGATGATTTTCAACAGCACGTTTAGCAACCTCATTTCCTTCTTGCGATTTCAAAACCGTTAAGAGGTAATCAGATCGTCGGACGAGATGCACCGCACCAGGAGACTTGGCGGCCTTCTCCTCCCCCTTGCTGCGCTCGTCCTTCTTTTCGACTCGATGCTCCTCCAAAAACAGTTTGTCCGACAAGCCAAGATCGGGGTCGTCTCTGATTTCAACCCAAGCACCATAGCCGTGTCTATGAATCCCAACTAGCAACATGCCATCCTCTCGAGGACCCCATTGACAAGAATAGTTGGCAGTCTTCGGCGCATTCGTCACTCGAAAATTCTTGTAATCAGAATAGTTGCTGATCAGATTTTTAAGAATCCTCATTTCCACTGGACGATCAATGATAGTGTCGGCATTCAATCTCTTAACGCCGAGGTAATCGAAAAGAACAGCCTTTTTGTCCTTTTTGGTCAGACTCTTGTTCTCCGTCTTTTGAATCTCATCAATTTTCAAGTCGTATTCAGCTTTAAGTCTAACACTTTCGTCCGTGATTGCTTTGATGGCAGCGCGTAAAACCTCCACATCACGGCCAACGAGACGAGCTTCTGTGATAAGCTCTTCTTGACGTTCCTCGAGTGAACCATAGCGCAGGAAGGCTCTGAAGAGGTTGCGGGCTTCTTTCTCATTGAGCTCTCGCTTTGGATCGGCAAGAAGCGCGGCCGACTCCTTGTCAGCCTCCTCTTGCTGGTACTGATCTCGTTCACGCTTCTTTTGGAGACGCTGTTCTCGTTCCCATTCTGCAGTGTTTTTCATTGCCGCTTTTCGAGGTTTGCTTTGATCGATAGCATTCTGCAAGAATTCCTGTTCAGCTCGCTCTTCCTCTTCTTTTTTGATGGCTTCCAGTTGATCTTTGGGGATAATGTCATCCCATTCCAAGTTATCAATCTTGACGTCAGTGTACTCAAAACTCTTCAAGAAGTCTTCACCACCATCAGCGACCATTCCTTCTGGGACCTCAGTGTTGTGCTCTTCGGCGTCTTCAAGTACTGCATCAATATCTAGTTCCTCAAGCTTCTTTTGATTGCCAGATTGATCGCTGAACATCTTCTGTCCCCGCTTCTTGAGGATTCTGGAGATGTCGTCGGATGACTTGGGGTCGTCGACCATTACACCCTTTTTGAAAGCTTTCTCGCGGAGTTCTTTTCTTTCCTTGTCCGTGACACCACGTTGAATGGTGACGAATTCCAGCATGAGCTTATTTCTCGCCCTCTCAAGGATTTCTTCCTCAACAGTTTCTTTGGAAACCAGTCTGTAGATGCTGACAGGTTTCTTTTGACCAATTCGGTGAGCGCGAGCCATGGCCTGCAAGTCTGCTTGTGGATTCCAGTCAGAGTCAAAAATGATAACCGTATCAGCTGTCATCAAATTGATGCCGAGGCCTCCTGCCCGCGTAGAAAGCAGGAAACAGAAATCATTGCTACCTTCAGCATTGAAATGATCAATCGCTAAACGACGAGGAGCAGCGGCAATTGTACCATCGAGTCGCTGGAATTGGTAGCTACGGAGTTGAAGATAATCGCCAAGGATATCAAGCATTTTGACCATTTGACTAAATATCAAGACTCGGTGGCCATCTCTCTTCAGCTTCGCAAGAAGCCGGTCTAGAAGCATCATCTTTCCACTACTGGCAATGAGGCCCTTGAGTTGGTCATCTCGTCGAGTGCTACCCTTGATGATCTTATCCTCAGCATTCGGGAACATGTATGGGTGGTTACTGGCTTTCTTGAGCTCCATCATGATATTGAGAAGTGATTGCTTCTGGCCTTTGGAGCCTTCGTTGAGGGCTTTATAGTTTCTAGTCAGGATGTTCTTGTAATACTCTAACTGAACATCAGATAGTTCGACTCGAATGATCTTCTCGGTCTTGGGTGGCAGATCATTTTCGACTTTTTGCTTCGTTCGCCGGAGGATGTACGGTTCGATGTCCTTGGTCAAAGCAGCGATCTTCTCTCCGGCAGCCTCTGCGCTAAGATCCATGTCTTCTTCAATCTGAAGCTCGCCAGGCATGAGAAAATCCATAAGAGCAGACAGTTCACCCAGAGTATTTTGCACTGGTGTGCCTGTAATCAACAGACGGCTAGGAGCCTTGAAGTCGAGAAGCTTCACATACAGCTGCGACTCCCTATTCTTCAACCTATGAGCTTCATCCACGGCCATGAATTGCCATTTGATTTGAGCTAGGAACGAGGAATCAGCTAAGATGTATTCGTAGGATGTCAAGAGGACGTTGAATTTAGGTCTCTTGGGATTTCCGTCAATGAGAAGCTCATATTCACGTATCGTTGCTCGTGCAGCTTCTTTGCCGTTGTATATAACATAGTTCAGATCAGGAGCCCAGTTGTCAAACGTGTCAGCCCAGGCGGGGATTGTGGTCAGAGGAACGACAATGAGGAACGGCCCCTGCTGGTTTCTGTCGTTTCGCAGCCAATTTGTAAACGCTACTGTCTGAACCGTCTTTCCGAGCCCCATCTCGTCTGCTAGGATGACGTTCTTGTTTTTCGTCCAGTTGTAAGCCAGGAAATTCAGGCCGGTCATCTGGAATGCGCGTAACTGGCCATTCATAATGTACGATGGCTGTTCTCTAATAGGCACGTGAGCACTCCGAGTATTCGGATTGGATTCATGCCTATCCGACGATAAAGTTCGAGAACCACGATCAAGGAAGCTATCAATAGCTTCTTGAGAGATCTCGCTAATCAGAGACGCAGATTCCCATGTACAACTGTCATAATAGAGACCTTTCCACTTGACAAAGTACTCGGTACCTTCCTCTCCTTCGCGGGTACCAATAACGCGCTCGACCTTCGTGTAGTCTAGCAGCGCATCAGAGGCGCGCTCCCTATCAAGCATCCATTTTTCCTTCTCCTCGGGTTGGATATCATCCCCACGGGACATGTATATGTCGTCGAGAACGATCTTTTTGTAGTAGTTTTCGACTCGACGAAAACCACGCACGCCTGTCAATGTAGTAGTCGTTTCCCATGACGCATGATAGTGGGATTTGCCCTGCCATTTAACGTAGTACTCAAAATCGTCTCGTCCAAGATCTTCCTTGGCCATACTCTCACTTTCCTTCAGACGGTGCTCCAGAACAGTGTCAACATACGGCGTGTTGTCCTCGGTATCTCCTGCCCATTGATTCGGAGTCATCATTTCAGATTCATCGTCCATATCAGCATCACTTTCTTGGTATGCCCCAGCAGTGACTTGAGCGGCTCTACGGCTACTCCATCGAACGACTGCTTCGCCGGCAGAATCGTTTACCTGGCGACGATTCTTTTTCGATTTCTTTGCTCTTGCGCCTCCGTAGTTGTCGCTGTCGGATTCGGAAGCAGAGCCCGAAGGCAACGCAGGCGTATTTCTTTTGGAGACTGTAGCTACACGTTAAAAGCCCGACGCAATATGGGGAGGGAGTCGACGTGACTTACCAGGTCGCGAACGTTCTTGCTTCCTCCGCTTCGGGCGACGGGCCGAAACAACGTCGGAATCGGAATCGTTATCGTCGTCGGATTCAATCTAAAGAAGGTAGATATGAGTACATCTTCGGCAAGTGATTACAGCTAGCCTAGGCAGCAAACAACTTACAATTGGGCGATGTTGGACTTCTCGACCCTGAGGAAAGGTCAGCAAGACGGTATCGGAGGGGGTCTTTTCTTAGCACACTTACGCTTCTACGCAGAAGAAAAAGCTCAGGGTTCGCTAGCATGTGCTGGTCGACAACAGGTACTTTCCGCTTGGCAGGACGGCGAGAGTCTGTTGATGTTGAGCGCTCCTCTCGCGCACTGTTCGTAACTACAGCAGCAGGGCTGTCTTCCATATCAAAATCTGCATCATCGGATTCGCCTTGTGCATCAGCATCTGAAGACTCTGAAGCTTCTGTATCTCGTGCACCAAATTCGGATTGGTGATTTGCTGAGGTCGCCGGTGAGGGTTCGTCGACGATGGGTACGGCTACCTCGGAGAGGTCGGATTCACTGTCATAAGGTGCGTCTTCGTTATCGTTTGCAGACAAGTTGCCATTGTCCCCATTGGAAAGAGATAGCAAGGGATTCGCGTCTGTTAATGTTGTCGTCGATGGTGGGGCTGGAGACAGTGATGTTAGCAATGTAGATGTGAAATGCTCCACGTTCTGACAGTGAAAATTCTCCATGCTGAGATGGTTGGATAGCAAAGAAACAGGCGACCCAGATTTCATCACGGTAGCAACCTGAAAAGGTCTGAGACGTCTTTAGAGGTCGTTGGCGCATTGCCATGGTATGGGTGGTATCTTGATGATAGGGCTGATGATGGCTGTCTGATCGATTGAAGGCGACGAAAGTTCGTATGGGCCATGCTGAAGATGGCAGATCATCAATCACGCATCGAGACGCGATTTGAACCTCATGGGAACCTTTCGAGGCATTCCCACGTCCCTAATCTTGAGATATAGAGATGTCCGTGATGGCTCTCCGGGCAGGTCGATGACAGCCAGCCTTGAGCATATGGCAGAATGTGCAAGAGGAGTTTGAGAAAGCAGACACTTACAAGCCATGATTGAACGGCTCCCCGTGAGCCAGAAACTATTACTACGGTTTAATAATAGTGGTGGTGAGTTGCGGATGTTGGCATAGTCGGGGGTGGTCGACGAAGTGTGGAGGTAACTGATGGAGAGCGAGGCTCCTCTGGAAGTCTGTCGGTGTCAGTGCCGCAGAAAACGCGGCACCCCAAACCGTCGAATCACTAGCGAAAATCTCTGGAGCGCCAATCACAGCCCGCACATTGGTACTTACTAACATTTTCAGTCGTAGAGAGTACGAGAACACCGTTGAAGACCGGGAATAAAATGCAAATTAACGAGACAACTTCATATAAATCTTGTATACCACCTCGGCCAGCCTTGGAGTTTTCTCTGAACCAAAACGCTATCACGCAGGTGCAGAAGAGACAAGTGACGGAGGACTTAATCGAGTTACCGCAGGCGCCAAGCATTATCTCATCCCCAGTGGTGGCCCACGAGAAACATCATATTTCGTGTTCTCAGAACGGCAAAACCCATTGCAAAAGACTCGCCATCCGTCGTTGCGGTCGTAGGACTCGACTCCATATTGTGCACGCCAACAAAATTCTGCTCTCGTCCTTTAATCATTCAGGGTAGTCTGAAACAGGATCGTGGCCACATCGACCGAACCAGTTCTCGCGCTCACCAGCAGAATTCGCAAAAATGTCCGACAAACTCACTCGGTGCGTATATGCTCCCCTTCTTGGATTTAAACCTACAGAAATGATATCAAATTCCCGGAGTGAAGACTAATCTTCTACTTCGCACAGTATCGCCATCATCAGCACTGATAAGGTATGGAGATATTTTTTCATCACCCCACTACCCCGCCAACAATATGCGCAAGATGCTAACATTTGTGCCTTTCATAGTGCAAACCCAAGGTAGATTTCCTAAGCCATAGACGAAAGCAGAGCCTCCCTGCTGACACACCGCTACCAGAAATGTCGACAAGAATGCAAGAAGTCTTGCCCGGTCGTGCGAAGCGGACGCCTATGTATCGAAGTCACTCCCGAGTCGAAGATTGCTTTCATATCAGAGAACTTGTGTATTGGATGTGGTATATGTCCTAAGAAGTGCCCTTTCAGTGCTATTACTATCATCAATCTGCCAACCAATCTGGAATCACAAATCACACATCGATACTCGGCGAACAGCTTCAAGCTTCATCGTCTACCCACGCCACGACCCGGTCAAGTTTTGGGATTGGTTGGATCTAATGGTATTGGAAAGAGTACGGCTTTGAAAATTCTGAGTGGAAAGTTGAAGCCCAACTTGGGCAGATATGATAATCCTCCAGATTGGCAGGATGTGATCAAATACTTCAGAGGATCTGAATTGCAAAGTAGGGCAACTTGTGCAAGCATTGCTACAGTTTACTGATTCCGCATATAGACTATTTCACAAAAATCCTCGAGGATGATCTTAAGGCGATTGTAAAGCCACAATATGTAGACCGTATTCCAAAGGCCATTCGCGGACCTGACAAGACCGTCCGGACTCTCATTGAGGGCCAGGCGACAATGGAAAATATGGAGGAAGTATTGGATGTATTGGGTATGTCACATCGTAATGCTTCAAGTCAATTCGACTCTGTTATTGACCTAGTGGCTAGAACTCAACCATATCATGGATCGGGATGTGAATCTTCTATCAGGTGGAGAGCTTCAGAGATTCGCCATTGGTACTGTCTGCGTTCAACAGGCGGACGTGTATGTGATACGAAATTCAAATCATTACCTCGATTTTGCTAATACAGGAACAGTTATATGTTTGACGAACCCTCCTCATATCTTGATGTTAAGCAACGTTTGAGTGCCGCAAAAATTATTCGATCTCTACTACGTCCAGATGACTATGTTATCTGTGTCGAGCACGATTTGTCGGTCCTGGATTATCTTTCGGATTTTATCTGTGTTCTTTACGGAAAACCTGCTGTGTATGGTGTCGTCACTTTACCCGCATCTGTTCGTGAAGGTATCAACATCTTCCTCGATGGAAACATCCCAACAGAAAATCTTCGGTTCAGAGAAGAATCTTTAACCTTCCGAATTGCCGAGTCTGCTGATGAGTTCATGGCTGACCGTTCCCGTGCCTTTGAATATCCTACAATGGAGAAGACTCTTGGCAACTTCCATCTCAAAATTGAAACTGGTGATTTCACCGACTCGGAGATTATTGTCATGATGGGCGAGAATGGTACTGGGAAAACCACGTTCTGCAAGCTCCTAGCTGGTGCTTCCCCTCCAGACAATGGCCAGAAGGTTCCTGGCATGAAAGTCAGCATGAAGCCACAGAAGATCACGCCCAAATTCGAAGGAACCGTCCGTCAATTGTTCTTCAAGAAGATCAAGACGGCTTTCCTTCTACCTCAGTTCCAAACCGATGTCGTAAAGCCACTCAAGCTTGAGGAATTCATAGACCAAGAAGTTAAGACATTGTCGGGTGGTGAATTACAACGCGTCGCTATTGTTCTCGCCCTCGGTGTCCCCGCAGACATCTACCTCATCGATGAGCCATCTGCATACCTCGACTCTGAGCAACGTATCATTGCTGCTCGTGTCATCAAGAGATTCATCATGCACTCAAAGAAGACAGCGTTTATCGTCGAGCACGATTTCATAATGGCGACATATCTTGCAGATCGTGTCATCGTTTTCGATGGTGAGCCGGGAATCAACGCCCGTGCTAATGCACCAGAGTCTCTACTCACCGGCTGCAACAAGTTCTTGAAGAACCTCGACGTAACTTTCCGTCGTGACCCGTCAAATTACAGACCGCGTATTAACAAGCTCAACTCTCAATTGGACCAGGAGCAAAAGCTGGGTGGTAACTACGTAAGTTGAAACTATAACACCCCTCTCTCCCAATGGCTTGACTAACATTCCATGTCAGTTCTTCTTAGAAGAAGATAAATCAACGAGTAGTTGAAAAGGGCACTCCACATCAAACATTTCCACCTCCAGTCAATGCATTGCTAGGCGTTAAGGATTCTGCATTGCGAGGGGTAGGGTATACCGGGAAAACGCATGGACTTCTGGATGAAGAGGGTTCTTCCAGCGACGATGACGACCCTGAAGAATAACATCGGCGACGGCAGTCTATTCCCTGTTATTGTCTGGTCCTACAGCTCGCCGTTACAATTTTGTTCTATAAGTGACGATGCGAGGGTAGATTGAGGGACAAATGGGTCAAGTGGATGACTGCCGTCATGGCGGAAAGGATGAAGGTACAATGCACGTGTTTTGCGTTCACGGTTGAAAATTGTTGATATTGACCGATTATATTAAAAGTATCTACGAGTACACGGTTGAGAATGTCACTCTCGAGGAGCATTTTTCTTCTGATTATAGGTGGCAGCTGATCATTAGGAGAGAAAGATACACACCAAATGAAGCCTCAATACCTAATGCAACACTATGCCTCGCCACCATCTGCTCGGTCCATCTTTGCCATTGAAGTCGACTGACTTGTCCAAACTTCTGGCTCCTGTCTGCCAAGGTCATCTTGCCATGAAAAATGAGGTGCGCTCGGATACGTACGGCTTTTTCTCTGTACTGTAACACCCTTTGAAGTTTCTGCTAACCCTTTACCTACTCTTCCTCAATCTCTCCCTCTTCACTTCCAGAATGCACGGCTGGCTCTTCCTTCGAAGGCAAGGCAGCAGGAGGTGTCCTAGTTCGGTGACGTCGTTCACGTGGAGGAGGGGAACGCTCACGTGGTGTTAATTCCCTTCTGGTTCTCTGTTTCTCAGTTTAGTAGAGTTTCTGTGATTATCATGGTGGTACAAACTTTTGCCAATCTGGTGCTGCTGGCGCTTTCAACGTCGCTGTCTGTCCTTCGCCGTCGGGCGGATTGGGGCTTCTCGTCACCGTAGGGGAGCTCATCCACAGTTGTTCTTGGGTCAGCTCTGCGACGATAGGTGAGTTCCCGCGACGTCTCCCTTTCTCGTCTCTCGCGTTCATAGGGATCCTCGCGTCGGCTACGGTGTGGACGGTCAATATCTCGGTCTCGGTCGGCCCGGTCACGTTCGCGATCACCACGGCGAGGTGACAGCAAGCCGTCTGCTGCAGTCCCTTTGCGATAGTTCTTCTCACGATCGGCGATCGCCTTACGCCTGTCCGCCTCGTACGCGTCTGGTTCTGGGCTACGACTCATCCTAGCATGACGTCCGCTAGATCGGTGTGGTCTCTCACCTCTATCTCGTTCACGGTGCAAGCCCCGATCCACTGAGATCCTTTCGCGACGCTTGTTCCTGTCTTTCTCGGCATCTTCGTCTTTCTCTTTCAAGCGTCGGATGACCTTGTCATACGCCGAGCGTCGAAGTTCATCAGTTCCAACTGCCAGGTATTCTTCAGACTTTTCGATTCGGGGCTTGACCCTCTCAAAGGAATCATCGGCGCGGATAGGAGGTTCTAAATGTTTAATGTATGAACGGAGACTGTCCACAGCTCTACGCTGTTGGCGCTCTGCTTGATGTTTGTCATCTTCACTGCGCCTAGATGCCTTCTCATGAAGCTACATAAAATTAGTCGTTGGCTTTACCAGAAATTCAAGTGCTCTACTTACACGCTCAAAGATTAGTGACAGCGCATCCCGATCAATGTTAGCAGTTCGTCTATCATTCTGCATAAGGGCGAGAAATTCCTCAAACGTAGTTTTCTGTTGAATCTCGAATCGCTTGTCCTGTGAGAATATTAGCATGCCGCAACAAAATTTGGATTGAAGGTTTCCACGTACATCAAGAACATCTAGCACATCATTACGAGTGCTACGAAGCGCGCGCTCCTCTTCCTCCACGACATCCCAGAACAGATCCAAGGGTGTAGAGCCCTGTTGACCGAGCATAGCTTGATATCTCTCATCTTGTTTGATTGATGGGTATAATTTACTCCACTTAGTCCCTGCTTTTATTTTACCTGCAGACTTGAGTTCTTGGAGCAGACTAAGATACCGGTCGCGATTTTGTCGTTCTCTCCTAGATCGTTGATTTTTTTGTTGTTGCCGAGCATCATTGAAAGTTTTCTCGAGAATTTTGATGTGATTTTCGAAAGCTGTCAACATGTCTGATTTGCTCAGAGACTTGAATTTCTCGTCACTCTGAAATCTTTGGTTGGATTGGATGATACCTTGTGCCTCTGACCATCTGGTATACGGCTCCAGATCAATCGCTTTCAATATCTCGATCAATTCATCCATGGCCGCTTTCCGAGTCGTGACTTCTCGTTCGGCGTTCGCTTTTTTGAGTTCGATAATGTAATCTTCAAACAGCTGACGTCTTTCATTATCATCGTTAGCAGATCTGAAGATGGCTTCTGCCTCGATTATAGGCCGAGCCGTCTTCCACCGGGTGTAGTGTTTGATTTCTGGATGACTTCTCAGCATGGTAGCAAATTCTTTGCGGAGTTTCTCAATTCTCTCTTTTGCGCGATCTTTCTCTTGGATTCGAACTTCAACAGCATATTTCTCAAACGCTGCCTTGCGGTCCTTGGGATCTTTTAATGCTCGGTACTGTGGATCCTTAATGATGGATCTCATGGTTTGCTCCCACGTCCAATTCGGATCAACCTTGTTCCTGCGCAACAGCTTCAGAAATGCAGCCTCAGCTTCTTCAAATGTGGAATAATCGGGATCGGTATTCGCGGGTACGAAAACTTGCGCACGACTTCCGTTCGCATCGTTGCCGTAAGCAATCTGCCGCGCTTCTCCTAATGGTTCTCTATCTCGTGGTTGGTCATATTGGGAGGTCGAGAAACCGCCACCAGCAACAAATGTAGGTTGCCTATATGTTCATCAGCACGTCACAATAAGATCTCCAGAGCGATACGCAACATACTGAGGAGTTGGAGTTGGAGCAGAAATCTCAGTACTAAGCGCATCCTTGAAAACTTGTGGCATCTCCCAAGTACTTTGCTTCGTTTCCTTATGCGACCAGTACTTGCGGCCATCTGCGGCAGTGTATTCTTTCCAAGAAGAGTTTGCCACAGCACGCTGTCCCAATATTAGCACTCCAACAAACTGCGACAGGTCAAAAGGACTACTTCACCTCTGCGGGTGACATCAAATCCTCTGGTTTTTCCCATTGAGTTGCCTTTGTAATGGTGTTAAAGTAGTAGACTCGACCCTCCGCGTTTCTTGCTTCACTCCATAGCACAGGAGCAGGCCCATGGCCATTGAGCCCATTTACGGTATTCATGATGGCGTTGAGTTGCGAAAGAGATGCGCAAACTTCCTTAGCTAGGAGAGGGCTTCAAACCAAACGTTGTCGGGGAATAAAGTTTAAGGTTAGCGCCGAAGCGCGCCTCTCGCGACTGGCATGGGTACCGGGGCCTGAGCTTCATCGAATTTCAGGGTCCACATCAACATCCGCATCTCAAGCAAAGAGACAGCCCGGGAAACCGGTGCGATTTCAGACGCTCACACTGCCACATAATTATTTACAGAACGCACACCTGAACGCCTCCGACTCTTAATTACAGCAGATGAAGCTCAGAAGCTATTATTATTCCTCTTTTCTTTCAAACGGTCCCCGACCAGCTTGTTCTCGTCACCCTTACCACATATAACTACGAGATGATGGACGAAATGGAGACTGTGCCCGAGGGCAGACCTCGAGGTAGCATCGATATTGTTGAGAGCGCGATACTTGACACTATCATTCCGCTTGCTGGCGAGCTCAATATGGAAGAAGCATTGAGTGGTTCAGTGGAGAAACTGGATGAGGGAAGCTATTCGCCGTTAGCTGCTATCCCACAGAGACATGCGTTGTTCTTTGGTAAGAGCACGACGGCCCTCAGCGGGGTCAAAATCTTACTCATTCTAGATAACAGATGAAATTGTCAACGTCTATGTAGTCTTACAAACCCCCGTTTTCGACGAGAGTACCCTTCGCTCCTATCTGGGAAGGTTGGCGATCAACCTCGAAGCGCAGGTCGTCAATGCCCCGACAGAGGGCCAAGAGGCCCCAACGCCCCACGAAGTCATCTTTAAAAGTTCTGTTCAAGACAGCGAGGAACCGTTAATTATCGTACAAGGCTCCGACGAACATGACGAGAATGCTGCGGATCATATACTGGTTGTATGGAAACTATCCGCTCCTCTAGTTAGACCTAGATTACGTCTACATAGTCCATCGGTGGTATTCTCTGCGACCGCAAGCTTGAAACCTAGTGAGCAGGTAGAAAGTGATACAATTACTGAAGAGTATTTACCGAGCCAAATACCTTCCGGGATGAATTTGTTGGAGGCATTTAGCGACGACCCTGCAATGGGTGGAATAAAACCACGATTATCAGCCCTCAGAGTTTCTCAGGTACGGCCACCTAGTCAGGCTACGAGCGAGCTGCTCCGCCCTTTGAAAAATATATCACGTCAATCGGTGAAGATATACCCAGCAATAAATGCTCGTGTTAGATATTCAAGGACGAGTACCATATCAATCAACAGCTCTGTCGTGGCATCTTTAGACATTGACATCACCCCTTTCGCCAGCTGTAAGATCACTATCGAGAAGGTTGAACTCGAGGTCAGTGGAGGATCCGTCAAAGACCTAAACGTTATTTCAGGCGTGACTTTACCTATCACATGTCTTCCTCAAGATGATCTCACATTTCTCTACAAACTGGCAGCCGATTATATGGACCCTACCATCAAATCACAAATACGAGTCTTGGACATTGCTATTGTCGCTACAGCACATCTGTCAAAAGTTTGCCAGCCGGTTATCACAATGCGATGGGCAACTTCTCTAGATTTCACCCCCCCAGTAAATCCGGGATACGGACTCCCAACTCAAGCAATACAAAGAGCTCATCGACCTGCACACCTCTCAATTGGCTCTGCAACAGAAACTCCCACCATCTCAACACTTGCAAGCACCAGACCAGACGCTCTACCTTCGATAGATATTACCACCCGCCAAACACGAGACTCGAACGTCCCTGACTTTGGCGTTACGATGACGTTCACTGCTCCTACAGCAGACACCCCCATATATCCAGGCATTGCCTTCACCTGGTCAGTCTTCATAGTAAATCGATCTGATAGACCTCGAAAACTGGCCGTTACGGTTCTTCCCAAGCGGCGGCGGACCGAGACACGGATGAACCGCCCTCCATCAGTGCAGAAGAACGATCCTAAAATCGCGGATGCGGTAGTCGACGACAACATTATTCATGCGATGCAGAAAAGTGCTGCTCTCGAGGCAACAGAAATTGTATGTCTAAGTACAGATACTCGTGTTGGTCCGTTGCTACCATTGGCATGCTACGAAGTAGAACTCAAGTTTATAGCTTTCAAAGTTGGTATTGTGGATATTGAGGCTGTTCGCATTATCGACCTGGGATCACAAGAACATGTGGACATAAAGGATTTGCCCAGCATCGTTGTATCCCCGATTCCTCAAACAGATGAATAATCAGAATTGCCAGTACAAGATATCATCGGCTGCATGTTTGAGTACTGTAAACCGTCAGGAATGAGACCCGAATGATACCTTATATCTCATAGTGTATCAACTTTCTCTCTTTTTACACTACGATATCCCTAGTCATTGGTTGGTCATGTCAGAAAAGTCTCACATTCCTCAGCCCAGCCAGAATTCACTGGTAAAATATTAACATTCCAGTCTCCCGCCCCGCCAACCGCCATTGTCTAAGCGAGCAGGATATAAATACAACCCCCATTTTCCTTCCCCATATACTTCATATATTCGAAGCCTCAAACTCATCAGCTCATCTGGTATCAATCTCAAACATATCCCATATTTTTTTAAAATCAACCAGCTACAAACAGCAGGGATCCTCCATAAACGCCATGATATCGCTCCCATCCAAATGCAAAAAAGGCTCATCTCAAATTAAGTTTTCGAATATATAACATCAAATCTTCTCGATTCTAGCGACGCGAACGACGGGTATTTCTCGTGCCTCTACTTCTTCGGTCATCTGAACTTGCGCTGCCTGGGAAGATTGTTAGTAAACGGGAATGTGGCTTGGGGAACAGAGAACTTACTCGGACTGCTTCCAGTATATGAGTCTTCATACGAGTAGTAAGAACTACTCAAATCCGATCTTCCAGCATGGCTTGCGGCTGCCTTTTCCTTCTTATCATGGTTTCTCTTCAATCCCAGAACAACGGCTAGACCTAATAGTCCCGCGCCTACACCACCCAATCCACCGAAACCACTGCTCTTCTTCTTACGCTCTTCGGTAACGCGAGCTGGTCGACCAGCACCGCCAAACCAGCCTGAGTGTACAGGACGAGAACCACCTCCGGCGCTGTGGCGAGAATATCGCTCCTCTTCGGTAATGACGACTCGTTCATCTCGTCGCTTGCGATTCTTTCCAAGACCGAAGATGCCAAGGATTCCGTCGAAACCGGCTTTGACTATGCAGCAGAAGCAGAGGAGCAATAGCAGAATTATACCGGCGATTACACCAATTACGATTCCGGCAATGGCTCCTCCGCTGAGACCGTTGTTGCTGCTGTGGGCAACGATTGGAAGTGAACTTCCGCTTGCTGTGGCAGGTGGAATGAAAGGTTGAGTTGTTGTTGGCGAGATGGTAGCTGTTGCTGTTGAAACTCCACCGCTTGTTGGTCGTAGTGGTGCGGAATAAGTTCCTGAGGTTGGTACAGAGGCGACTGGAGCTGAGGCGGTAGGAACGTACACCCAGCTAGTTGCTCGAGCCGTACATGAGTTGCCAGGTTTAAGACAACCTTGGTCTGCAGCGCAGCAGATACTACCGCAGCTTGACTCTCCGAGACTGGTGGTGCATATTAACGCTGTTGTCGCTAAGGGTTGGACTGAAGGTGCTGCCACCCAGTTGGAGGTATATGTGCTTGTCCGTAAAACAAGGTCGGTCTCGGTGTAGGTTGTTGTGTAGACGGCGTATCCTCCTTGTCCTGTAGCTGCTACACCCGCGGCTGCCATGCAAGTCGCAACATTTCCAGAGAGTGTCGTGCAAGCTTGACCTTGTGTACAACAAAATTGGTTATCGGCGCCACAGTAAGATACGCAAGTCGTTCTCCCGAGCAGCAGCGCTCCAAAGTCGAACTCTCCCAGAGGGAAAGCTCTGATTTGCTCAAGATTTGATAATGCGACCAGGAGAAGCGAGAGTAAACTCGGCGGTGTTTGTGAAAGGCGCATGGCGTCGGTTTGTGTATGGTATTTAGAAGTGAGGGGTTTTCGATAGAGTCGATATCGACTTCTTACTGCAGCGGTGAGGAAACCCCACTCCCAAGTCTAGTACAAACGAATGTATTCGGGAAGCGTATCGACAACGAAATTTGGTAATTGGCGATTCCGACGGCGACGACGATATCGAACACTAGAATTAGAAAGTCTCTCCAAAGAATGTGTGAGGAATGGGGAAGAATGGAAAGCGTGATGGGTCTGGATTTGCACTTAAAGATGATGGCTAGAATTCGGTTTCCCGCCCCCCTAATAATGCTCCCAACCTCCTTCGTTAAAATCGGTTCCAACACGAAGTCAATCGAAATTAGCGCTATAACAGTGATGTTATGATTGATCTTCCAATGATAGAGGAGAAATGGATGAAGTGATGCAGGTCCGATAGGCTTTTTCTTGTGTCTTGTTCTTGTCCTGGTGAGGTGGTATCGAATTGATCATGCACATTTGCTGCAGGAAGCCATCTTCATGTTGACAGTCAGTGCGCTGATAGTGCGCACAGCAACCACGATAAGATCGTTCTTCGCCGAGGCACAACAACGTCGTTTCTCTGATGCGACAAATAGATCTCCTGAAATATCTAACATAATCTATAATAATCTGTTCGATTTTGCGAAGAGCTTTGAGATAGATGCTATCGTTGGTCTTCCAGCTCTGAAAAGCTCCCTTTTACGATTCGAAGCACCTAGCCAATAACTGTCTGCGTTCTGCACTTGGGGGAATTACCGTATACTTCACTCTGGAGGAGAGATTATACTTCTGAGTAGCTACTTTAGTACATCAAAACCTTTCAATTCTGAAATCATTTAATCTATGAACTCTCATTGATGGGCTCACGTATTTTGAGCTCAACCACAAGGTATGAGACTGCTCTTGGGAAATTTCGTGACAGAAAGGACTGCCATTAACAATTAGACCTCGTTAATTTATTGATCAATAAAAGCGAGCTTTAATTTCTCAAGAAATAAGGTTATAAATGTCACAGGACGCAACGGACCCCATTTCCAATAGACGGATAAGGTTTCTCAAAGTACCTAGGTACTTATGTGTGTAGCTTAGACATCCCCTTGCAATGCCAATATCCATATCATGATGGCTCCCTCTGTAGTGTCAAACGGAGGTCTCTACAATGTGAACTATATGTAACGGAAACAAATGTGTTGCTCTGCAGAATAAGACTTCCGATACGACAGCTTCAGATTTGTCCTCGCTTAGGGAAAGGGTCCCCTTAGACAAAGCACACTAATTAAGCCTATAAAAACGTTCGGGTTACGCACATCAAATTCTAAATACGTCCAGCAAACAGGTGATTCACGATCTAAAAATAGTATTTAAAAACTATATCTGTCTACCTCAAACTTGGGGTGTTTCCCGTTCCTATCCTAATGTTGTCTAAATATTCAAATGTCGTTTGGCTGAGGGGTGCTTCCTGTGTCTGTATAAAAATGCAATTTCAAAAACGCCATACGAAACCCAAGCAATTCTCCTGACTCTTTCGCCCAGTAGAAGTCAATTATTGTCCGCTAGCCTACCATCTTCTCCAACTATCTCCTTAAAAGTCCCCTATCACCTGCCATTCCACAAATGACTCTAATAGGCCGCAGTTCCATTGCGACGTTGGATTTCAGAAGTGCCTTTAAACACTCTCTTCTGCTCAAAACTCAACGGAAGTTGATGTGTAGCAAGCAGAGCAGCATCCACAAGATTGATGATGTTCGGCAAGATATTTGCGTTTCTGAAAAATAATCATTAGCAAAAGTTCAGTCAGCGGGAAAAACCACCACGAACCTGTTTGCTCCAATTTCTTTCACGGCATTATTGATGCTCACAGCGGCAGTAGGCTCGTCAATGATACTCTGCAATTTCCAAAAGAAAGTTTCCGGCTGTGGATACCCAATCGTGCCAGATTTGCCGACAAAGTTCTCTACGAGCACGTCGTTCGCAGTTGTAGCAGCCTCTGTCTGTGTTGTACCATCGGTAGCTTCGTACAAAGCCAAGCGCTGGGACACTCAAGAAGTCTGATGCTCTGTTCTTGGTTTCTTCTGCGAGTTCTGAGATGTATTTTGGATCGGTTGCGAGGAAGATTGCGTTGAGAGCACAGGTCACTGATACAACGTCAACACTCAATCTCGCTACGGCCAGACTGATAGCAGCATTTCGGGCATTGTATGTCTGTCTCTGGGTTTCTGGTCGCAATTCTGTGCTTCCTGTGGTAGGGATTGGTGAAGCAAGTGTTGGAAGTGCGAAAGATGCTGAAAGGAGGGCGACGAGAAGAGTGAAGGAATGCATGTTGTGAGGAGTCCTGAAGATTTAATTGAGTTGGTTTGAGGTAGAAGCAGAGAGAAGATAGAATGAATAAAGTTGAAGTGGTTTTTCTGGACGATGGAGTGGTTGTTCAGATACCGTTCAATGAGTATTTCGATATCTTATATACTAATGGACGCTCAATTCTTCTGCTAAAAAAAGATTATGTCCAACTTCTCAACATATGTCTTAACTGGCAGTCTGTTTCCAATCGTGCACAGCTACCCAAACAGCTGCTTCTTGTTCGACCTCACTTCATGGATCATCGTTCAGTTGTACGACATTTCCAAATTGAAAAGGGGGCATATCTTGTAAGCGTGATTAAGCGAGCGAAGTGATCCCCATCCGCTCTCCTAGACGGCGGCCCCGTATGAAAAAGATGACTGCTCAGAAGTAAGATTGGAATGAAAAGTGTCTCACTCTCGAATTCCCTCTGTTTGCTGTCTATACTCCTTCTGCCAGACGAGGTGTTGTATGGTGGCTGCGCTGTTGACCCAACTCCCTCGTAACGGGCTCGCCTAAATCGGAAGCGCTTCGAGGTTCAATTTAAACTCCAACCAACTGTGGCGCAAACCAGTAACATTGCACTGTTGCTTGCCGGAAACCTTTCCTTCTTCGCCTATGTCCGACAGTCGTGGTGGTAAAACGTATAAGTTATTATGTTGAGCTGTATTGTCGTGCCCGTTTCCAGTGCGATTGGTAAATTCTAGCTACCGAGTATGATACGCCAATACATGATAAAACGCAAGTTTTTGCATACAAATTTATATATGTATATCGTTAATATCATTTGTACTAGGTATCGTGGATTTGATTGGTTCATGAGTAGCTGAATCTCTATGGAGACATGTTTGCACTACATATAGATAAAATATGCTGTCATAGTGCAGGGTCCCATAATCGAAATTAAAATCCTCAAATAGTTCCAAGAAGTACTACGGTAAATACATGTAAATACTGCGGATTATTCTCCATTTCAAGAAAGTTCCCTCATAGTAGATTGTTACGCCGCGTTGCACAAGACAATGTATGCCGCGCTTGACCATCAAACTAACAACTATATTTACACGTTCGTGCTGCTGGAACTTTGTCCCATGGCCTCATGATGATTACCGGTATGAAGCCGTCTTACCAGATACGTGTTGCTAAAGTGTTGAGCTGGCCTCGTGAGATGACCTCCATAACGTAGTGTGGTTTCTCGAATTCTGACATTATCTTACGAGAGCATGCCTAGGTATTTATTTAAGAAATCTCCCGCCCTGTTCTGGCTGGGTAATTGGGAGGGTACTCCGTCGAGCAAAATAAACATCCGGTGAAACCGAAAATAATGTCTGGCCTTTGAGACACGTAAGAATTGAAAGACATGGTTATTAGATACCTGTCAACGGATAAAAATATCCTTCTAGATGACACGGTATCCAGGTAATATTGTTTGTAGTTTGACAGATATATATCTCTTCTTTACGTGGGTCGGTTGTGCCAGTGAAGTAATTAGCCTTTTAGGGTGATGACAAGCCGGTTTCTCTCACGTTGTTGAGCCCGGCCATTCTCGAGGAGGTCATCTAGATGCTGCCGACCCCGGGAGAAAGCTGAAGTGGTGGCAAAGGTAGATTTTAGTGCCGCGTTATGAGACGAAGGCTATGCGCTTGAAATAGTGTCCATGTGACGGAGTAGGAGATATAGTAATTTGACAACCAACATCACAGCTTGGGGCGACGCAGTATCAACGTGACCTGTTGCAGTCAAATCTCAGGTAAAAGTCGAGGCAGTAGAACAAACATATGTAAATTTGGCGCTAAACAGTAGGATAAAATACAGAATATGATATCTACATAAGCTGGTAGATAAATGACCTATAATCCAAAAAAGATTTATTCCATCACGCCAAAGCTAATCGCACAACGGCACATTCGGAAAGTGCAAATGTCCAGTATACGACCCAAAATATACGCCCTTAGTACACGTAATCCCACAAGGATTATCACTAGCGTACGGATCAAGTAAAGTCGCATCATACACCGAGCCGTCCACGTTGAGCGCCATACGACAGTCGAACTTATCAAAATTCTCCCCATCAACCGTCTGAAAAAAAACTTCTTTGCCGCACATTTTGATTTTCTCCCTGTTACGGGCTGCCACGCAAGGGTCTACAGCATCGAGAGTTTGGCCTTTGTCGCCGCATAGATCCCCTGAGTGTGGTTAGTGATGGACATGTTGAATTCGAACGCAATTTAGGACTTACTTTTATCTAACAGGGCCTCAAAAGCTGAATTACTCCCGTCCTGAAAGTCAAAAGCTCCGACAGAGAGGCATACCGCTCCCGTAGGTTTAGGAGGTGGAGCTGGGGGGTCTGTAGGCGGGGGAGCTGGTGGGGGAGGGGGTGCATTAGCATCTGGATCGAGGCGATACTTGACACAATCATTTTCCATAATTCCACCCTGACTTGCTTTAGTTGCACTTTTATTGCAGCCATCAACAATTTTCTTGAATTCACTGTTGCAACTGTCCTAATTCACGGTGTCAGTATCGACTTTCTCATCTTCTTCGCAGTGGGAATTGTAAATCAGGAGATACACACTTCTGTTATCTGCCACTGGCACCCAGGTTTGATTTCAAGAGAAACCAGAGTAGTCACACCAGCGCCATTCGGCTCCTTCCAGCCGGAAGAGAAGCTCGAAGACATGATGCTGTTTGTATACTCTAAAGTGTATCCCTCGAAAAAGTTCACCTTACAGAAACTGCTAACTACACCGCTTAACCTTTCTGAGGTTACAGACTGTCCAGCATCATAACAAGAGACAAAATCTTTGCTGAAATTAGGATTTTGCGCTGTGGGTGCTGGAGGTAAAGGTGCAATGCTTGTCGTAGGAGTAGGAGCCGGGTCGGGTTCGTTTGGGGCTGTAGGTGTTGGGGCTGGATTTCCAGGGTCTGGATCTTCGGTTTCTGGATCGTCGGGTCGCAAGATGCAGACTGGATTTGGATCTTCTGGATCTTCTTCTTCTTCGTTGGGCTCTTCAGGGAGCCCAGGAGGACAACATGGGTCCGGCCAAGGACGAGTTGTAGGCTTTGGTGTACCGTTTACGATCAATATTGGGGGTATGGGACCGGTCACCGCTGGCGGAGGAGGAGGCATTGGTCCGGGAGGCCGAGTCGTATGCTTGGCACCGCTAGGATCTGTGTATATGATAGGAGGCCAGGTTTTGGTCATTACAGGTATGACGACGGATGTTCTCTTTTTGGTGCCGTCATTAGAAGATTTGGAGCTTACAACGATAGTTGATATGTACCAAGAACTGACTGTTAATGGTTTGTGAGTAATTGTTGATTTCCAGGTACCGGATGTTACGGTGACAAGAGGATAATCAATCGTCGTTGTTTTTGGCCAAGGAGGTAATACTAAGACACACGGCCAGAAGCACTGAACTTCGGGATTTGGCGACTTCCATATCGAGGGATCAACCCATACTAGATATGTTTGAGTTAGCACGGTGCTTCTTTCGAAAAGGGGCAAATCAATTGATGCAAAGATGAAGGGTAAGCGAAAGAGATATTCGGTTACCCGACTGAACTTACCGAGAGTACCATTGCCATTTTTGTCGTCACTTTCTCCGTTTCTTAGAGGTTGGCCAGGCGGAATAACAAACGGAGCAGTGAAAATAGTTCCTCCAGGTAATATAGTTTCTGTGGGCAGTGGTACGCCAGCTGGGTGCGTCTTACCATCTGGACTGACAAACGGCTGGTTGGGCACGAAGCCAGCAGGTAGGGGAATGTCCATTGGGACAGGAACATTCGCAGGAATGACAATAGGGTTACCCGTGCTCCCTCCAAAGCCACAACACGTTGAAGTGATGAGGCGAAAGAAACTGCATGACAAGCAGTTCTGACTTGGACATTGCCCTACGTTCTGCTTAGTACCGGGTGGCAGCTGGTTGATATCAGTCGCGATTGGGTTGGTCACAGTGAAAGTGGCTTTAGGCGCGACAGTTGTATGAGCCATTGGGATGACTGTAGCACTTTCAGGCGATGTGCAGTTATTGAGTCCTCCCCCACCTCCCACAGTAGCGTCAAAGTCGATAGACCAGATCATTATACCACCTAAACATCGACTGTCGGCATAAAGCTCTTTCATCGCGTAGGTATCCTCGTCATCGTAACCGACCCAATTGTCGCCACCGTAGGTGAAGTACTTCACCATGGCCGTGGTGTTCGTATACGGTTTGTAACCATTCTCCTGGATCATCTGTCGAATCTCTCTGTTGGACAGAACTCCTGGGGTTTTGGTACAGCGACCTGGAGCTCCTGTTCCCGAGAAGGGACATCCCATAGACCCACAAGACGAGTCGGTGAGCTTATAGGTTCGCCCATAGTAAGCAATACCCATGACTACTTTCCTCGGATCAACGCCGTCGAACCACAATGGTAACAAATCTCTCTCAATCTCTGTAATGTCCGTTTGTGGGCGGACTTTAGGACCAAGTGTCTTCACATCGCTATCCCAAGGTCCGTGTAAGTCATAAGCCATGAATCCCATAAAGTCGACATATGGCTCTATTTCCACCGGCTTGAAACCTCGAAGATACCAATAGTCCGGAGCGATGGTCAAACTTAACCCGAACCTGCCCGCAAATGCCGCATGAGCTTCTTTCATCAACAGTGTAAGGTTATCAGTGTCAGCACTCCTTCCACCTCTCTTGGGTTCAGCAGGCTACGACAAATGTTAGTCTCCTTTCTTATAAGAGTTTGGACGAAATGCGACAATGATTTTGAATGAAAAAATTGCTCCAGAGAGTCAACTTACATATTCCCAGTCAAGATCAGCTCCTTGAAATCCGTAGAGTTCCATAAAGGCAATAAGAGACTTGATGAATGCTGCCCTATTCGCAGCAGTCGATACCATGTTGCTGTATGCGAATTCGGTGGGTGTACCTGGATCGTTGAAGCTCCAACCTCCAACTGCTACCCATGTTTGCAATCCATTGCGTTTTAAGGCAGTGAACTGGCCGTACACAGGAATATCCAATGTATTTCTTGGGGCGATTTGGAAAGTGGCGGGATCGAAACTAATAAACGCATAGAACAGATGAGTAAGGCCACGGGTGTTGATCTGATTTGGAGTGACAGTATCGCAAGTCCTCTCACGAACATTCCAGCCTTGCCAGTAAGCTATACGCCTGCCGCGAGATGAGCCAGATCTCTTATCACAGCTAGGGGGTGGTATGATTTTGCAACCCCCAAACCCTTGCTGACATGGAGTCTTCAAAAAATAAGTGTTAGCAGAGGCTTTTCCTCGAAGTCATGTGACACTGACCTTTCCGACCAGTGGTTCTGGGTCCAAGCAATGGACGCTCTCCGTCCCACACCATCCATAATAAGAGCAACACAGCTTGAGCCCGCACGATGTCTTACCATCGGCCGAGTCAATGCCGCACATAGCTTTGGCCTCGCAGTGCGATTGGCAGCCCGTACCGCAATGTCTGCAAGCCTAGATTTAGTTACGATCTCTGTGTGAATTCATTGTTGACTAACACTTCTTTGAAACCGCATTTTCCATCGGCGCTACAGCAGCTGCCGTCTAAACACTCCTGCGTTGCTGAACACTGAATTGGACCATCTACCCTTTTATTCAGAGAGGAAAATGGAGTCATCTGTGTTCGTTCTCTCAGTTGGTCTTTGTTCAAATACCTCGGAAGCGGTTGAGCCGTCGTAGTTGTATTTCTGCCTAGTAGCGAAAGAGAAGAGTTCGACGCAGTATCATTGGAAACAGTCCCAAGTTGCCCGAGAATATACTCTGTTCCCAATTGGAGGATGTCAGGATGGCCAAGTCCTGGCTGTTGCTGAGTGACTGTTACCCCTTGGGCAGTAGAGTTGACTGCGTCAGCGAGAGTGTAGTCCAAAGTAGCTGTCGGCAGGTCTGAAGTTGTCGAGCTACTATCGGAGTCCGAAGTCGAATTCGCTACCATGTTGAAACCTGATGAACTCAAAGAGCTAGGTTCGTCTTCTAGTGGCGTATGGTTAGTGTCATCATCTGCTAAATCTGATATGGTCTGATTCTTGTAAAGTGGAATATTGACGGATTCTAGATAATCTTCAGATCTCAAGCTAGTGCGGATGTTAGTGAAGCTTATGAGAAGATGTCCTCTCTCTCTCAAGGCAAAGCGGGACTTACCTGCCAAAGTACTTCAACATCTCGACTCCGGAGGGCCTGATCTTGCCTATGGGAGGTCCATCGTCCCTTTTATCAGGAAGTGGACGGTCCAATCCGACGTCCCATGATTCTGGTACTGGTGCATGGTAACGTACTGAGCCGGGAACCCCATTTGGCCCGTTATTGACGAGAAGCAAGTTGAAAACAACAACATGAATTTCCGGGTCAGGATCAACACCAAGGCGAGCCCTAGCGGCTCTCTTGATCCACAGCTGTCAAAAATAATTAGTCATGGGTGCTCGTTGTATCAAAATAAAGAGATCTCAGTCGATCGTTATAGTGATCCGGCAAAAGTCGGCCTTTCAAGCCCCCGAGAGCATCAACAAAATTGACAGGTTGGATATGTGGTCCTAAACTTGACATGGGGTAGAAATACTGTTCCATGACTTACCTGAAGTTGAGTATGAAGTCCTCCCTGCCAATCTACAGATACCAGTAAGTATTTCTTCTTCAACTCCAAAGACTCCGGAGTTTACTTTGTTCAGACCAGACCCCTTCGTCGTCTGTATGTTCTATCAGCACTGCGAGTCACAAATATTCCTGAAGCGAGTATCCAAAAGGTTTCTTAAAGCGCACATTTTACAACATATTGTGTGAAATGAATGGGGAGATTATACATACCAGCACCACCATTGCATTGCAAATTCATCATCATAGGAGCGCAGATTGTTTCGCCTCTAAATCCGTCGAGTTCAGGAGACACATTCTGGCCTGGTGTGCCTACACCACCTTCAACCCAACTGCAAAAGAACGTTTAGTAATAGGGTCCCTAATCGGCTATCGTTCCAGCCAAGCTAGATCGACGAAAGTAGCATACCTTCTAGGGGGGAACTCCTCGCAAGTGTAATAACGGCCACTTCTCCGGACAGTGATATTTTTAGACGGATCAGTGGGGAAATTAGGATCGGGCTTCGTTTGTGCTGCGATCTCGTTCACTTGAATAGGATCCAGGGTTTCCCTCGTATTTGGCATCCAGTTGTCCGGCATAATTGGTGGTTGGATGACGACAGACAGGAGAGGTGGAATAGCTACGCTCATCTCTGGACAGGAATGTGTGTCTTTCCATCTACTACTGCACATTCTATCCCCCCTATGCTCCTTGGCAGCGGTCTTGAGGTCGTATGCAAAGACATTGGGCGAACCAGCCCACATAGCTAATCTACGCGAACGACCTAGTGTGCCCTGGGGAGGATTTATAGGACGGTTAATCCAAACCAGTGCGTTTTGACAGGTTGCTGGCATGTAATGACAATTGTACTCAATGGCGATCGGAGAAGCAGGTACTATGACTTCAGTGAGGGCATTGTTCGTCGTACGCCGCCAGTATACTGTTGGCACCCCGCCAGGATTCAGCACCTGGTAGTCTTGAATATATTGAGCATGTGATTGATCGAGCCAATGCGTGAGAAGGCAAAGAATGGAAGCAACCACCAGCCCCAGAGTTATCTTCATTTTTGTGAAGATTTCTTCCTAGAAGGAGTCAGTATTATCAACTTAGACACGGTGGAAATATCCCTACCAGAGAATGTGATGGTAATGATGTAATGATTGTGTTCAGAATGGTCCTCTATTCGGGGAGAAATCGAATTTGGACCACCAAGCTTCTTATAAGAACTATAAGTGTGATACCGGTTCATTATTGTTGGAAGCTAGCATGCTCTCCACATTCCCAGTAAAAGTTGCTGTCTGATCCAAGTATCAAGCCGAATCTTACAAATCCTAGCGCTGACATTTGAGAAATTGAGAGAACGGAGCACATCGTAGATAGATCCTTAGGTGCCCCTTTTCCTTAGGCGCCCGCCACCCTAATCGAGCACAGGCGCACGTTTTTTTTTTGGATACGGATAATTGAAGAGCTATGTAACCATAAGCCAACTAGTTACCATTAAAGTCCCTAAATGATATGACCGAGAACTAAACGGGTCGGTCCTAAAGCCCTTGGCAGACCGTCTGGCCAGTGGCCCCTCTACCTTTGATGCCGCAGTAATATCAGCATGACAATCGTCTGCAAGCAAAGTTTCACATGTTTGTCAGCGTCTGTTGAAAACACGGAGATTAGGATTGGACTTTAGGGGTTCACTGTGGTGCTGGTAATCTTAACGACTGCTTTCTGCCCAGGGGGTCTGCAGTCAACCACAACCGAATATGGTAAGCGAGGGTATAGGTATGCATCCTCGAATGTATTAGTTGCGGCTCCTATTGCACTTAGACGGATGGAATCGAGGCGACTTGTATGCACAAGGCCTCCATTCATGCAACCCCAATTTGGGTGAAAGACTCAGGTGTTGGCCAGCTGCAAGTGATGTGTGCTCTCCAGTTCCAACATTTTGCGTCTCTGAAATGCTTAACATATGTTAAGCATAGCACGAACTGTCCTAAGCCGTAGAGGATGGCCTGGGCAGGCTTGGAACATGAGAACGAAGAGATTGTCGAAGAAAATCGCGGTTGCTGAAATGAGGGATCATCAATCATCCCATCATTCTACCCGCGAGGCGTTCGATATAGGGTATACGTCCGCGTTGTGTGCGGAGTGACCTGAAGAAAACAATGCAATACTACCTCCAGTATGATGTAGAGATTAGAGTTGTGATGTTAAATTTAAGTTGGGTGATGATTAAGCTTAACGATCTGGTAGGTTCCGTGAATGCGGGAGGTCAGACAGGATAAGCATCTTGATTCGCGGACTCGTATCTATAAGTGGGGCATCACCACCAGGGCTTCAATCCCCTCGTAAAGCTTACCCCGTTTTGACCTGTCTTTCCCCGTTTGACCTGCCGGTAGGAACTCATAAGCTCACAACTTGTGGAAAACCGCTCTAGGACTCTAGGCTCCAGCCTTAAGAGCGGATGAGACACTCATTGGGAATAAACTAGACCCACTGTGCCTCTATCACCTGCACTCAGCTGCCCTGGACACATCTTTGCAGGCATTCCAGACACATCCGTGAGATCACTGTAAGAATTAACCCCTTGACTGAATGCTTCTTGCTTTTTCTTGGCAATACCGGCCCGGGAGTCAACGGCCACGATCCAAGTTCGGTTTCTGAGTAGCTTTGAGCATGGCTACAACAGCCTACAAGAGTAGACATTTGAAGATGGCTGGTCCCCCCCTATTCTGATGTAGTTTTACGCGGTTCAACATGCTGTGGTACACGCATCCTCTCTTCGTTCTCCTTACTGGACTCAGGCTTGTCTGTGCTGCTTCGAATTTCCAATGCAGATATAATGGCACTACACCAGCCACTGTCAACTATTACACCTGCACCGAGATCGCTAACAAATACGACATCAAGCTGGCAAGCTTGTTTGAGCTAAATCCTTCATTGAAACCGGATTGCAGCAATATTGCTCCAAATACAAACTATTGTGTTGCTGGAGGTAAGTACTTTACCTCATCTGTCCGTAGCCAGAGGCCTCCGCTGACTAATTTCGAACGTCCTTTAGGTGTTGCGCTCGTCCTTAGCAAAGATGGTTTTTGTGGCCCACAACACGCGAATACTACTTGCAAAGATTATTCTGGAGGACAGTGCTGCAATTCTCAAACTTGGAAATGCGGCGATGCAACGTAAGTGTCCAGAAATTGCTAGCCCATGATCACAACTAATGGATTTTCAGAGCGGATTGTCAAGCCGGCACATGCTTTGAAGGTAGCTGCGTTGGCTTTCCCTCTACTTACTCGCTTGATGGCAATTGCGGTACAACTCATGGAAACTTGCTATGTGGAGGGACATGGGGAGACTGCTGCAACAAAGCTGGCAAATGTGGTAAGGGATCTGGTTTTTGTGACAAGTCATCTTGTCAATCTGGACTGTGTGAGCAACCTGTTGTGACGCTGCCGCCCATGACAGTTCCATGGGCGACTGGTAACACGACGGATGGAAAATGTGGAGGAACTAAAAAGTATACCTGCAATGTATTGTATGAGACTGCTGCAACAAAGATGGAATTTGTGGTTCTAGAGCTGCCGATTGCGGAGCGGGCTGGTAAGCTTTCACGAACTCACCACTGGGACAGCACCTAATAACTGTGTACAAATAGTCAAGCTGCTTTTGGCATATGTGCGAATTCTACTACACCTGGTTCGCCAAGCAAAATATCGCCTGATGGTAGCTGTGGTGGTACTGGCGCCTATGTTTGCAAAGGTTCAACATTCGGTGACTGTTGTAGCTCTTCGGGATTTTGTGGATCTACCACAGCTCAGTAAGTATCTTTCCTAATCTCAAATGAGCTTCTTAGGTAATCTCGGGACTAACTTCTACATAGCTGTACCGCTGGATGTCAGCCTACTTTTGGCAATTGTACTACTACTGATCTCTCTCCAGATGGGAGTTGCGGAGGGACCAAGAAGTACAAATGCAAAGGGTCTAATTTTGGAGACTGCTGTAGTTCTTCTGGATTTTGTGGGTCTGATACTGCCCACTGTAGCGCGGGCTGCCAGCCATCGTTCGGAACATGTGCAACGACTAACATCTCGCCGGATGGGAGTTGTGGTGGCACTAACAAGTATGTTTGCAAAGGATCTACCTTTGGGGATTGTTGCAGTTCCTCTGGGTTTTGTGGTGCTACCACTGGCCACTGTGGAGCGGGATGTCAATCTACCTTTGGAACTTGCGTCGGCAGCAATATTTCTCCAGATGGCAGCTGCGGAGGGACGAATAAGTATACATGTACCGGTTCCACGTTCGGGAATTGCTGCTCGTCCTCTAATTTCTGCGGCTCGACAACTGCACATTGCGGAACTGGCTGCCAACTGAGTTACGGAACATGCCCAGCTACTTCGACTACCACAACAACGCCTAAGCCCACGGACATCTCTTCAGATGGAGCTTGTGGTACGAATGGCAAGAAGTGCGGAGGCAGTGGTTTGGGTGATTGCTGCAGCAAGGGGAACTTCTGTGGCAGTACGGTAAATCACTGTGCGCAGGGCTGTCAGAAGGGCTTTTCGACCGCTTGCTTGACCACCAACGTTCCTACGCTAGATGGTAGTTGTGGCGGGACCGGAAAATTTACTTGTGTAGGTGGACCATTTAATGGTCAGTGTTGCAGCTCTTCAGGGTTTTGTGGTAGCACTACGACTCACTGTGGAACTGGATGTCAAAAAGGATATGGAAAATGTACATAGTTTCAGTCCCTGGCCAACTGCTGCGGGATCGCTTTCCTTAAAATGTACAACCTAGCATTTCCTATGATTATCATACCACTCTCTTGTAGTTCTTGTACTCCGAGAATCAGGACAGGTGGAATCTGTGGCTTTATTTCACTCACATCCAAGGACTTATCATAATAGGATTCCCCAAATATGGGACAGAATCAGAACGCATCGTGCTTAGTATAATCACCTCTCAATCGAGCATCAAACGCCGGAGTAAGAAATGCTAGAGTATTGGTGAGAAGAGTGTATCTACGAATTGTCGAAGGAGGTCTCTCACAACTCTCGAAAACTGCGCTTTGTATCCGGGCATTGTTTTTCTATCGTCTGTCAGGATGCAAGGCACGCGAAATCGTGTGGCAGTATACTTTTATATTCAAAGATATGCGCTCATTGCCTTCATCATCTTTAATCTTCACGAACGATGCAGTGTCTATAATTCCTACTCTTTGACTTTTTATAACAGACTCCGCAACTGCAGGTTTTTCTTAGCTAGCAAGATAGCTGTGCCTATGTATTGCAACTACTCGTTCCACTCATCAAATCACAGTAGCTGTGACTCAGTTGTCCTGTGCAACGTGCCATTCGAGGTCACGCTGATTATCTGCAAGTGCAAGTGTTGCATGCTCAAGGCTTCTCTTTACGTTTAACACCAAAATATGACTCAACCCCGTAACTCAGAGCCTGAATTATCTGTCCACGTCAGACAGGCAATAGCTAATAAAGCTTAAGCCTTTCAGATTGGAGGCATGGGTGGAAAGGTTCACCTCGAAAGGGGGAGGGATACCTGAGGAATTCAAGTCTCATGGCCATTAACATGTGTTTTGAAAAGAGTGTTAGTTTACTATAGACTCATAGTCAAGAGTTAATAGTTTTAGGTAGCTAACATACGATTACAATTAAGTCATTCAAATTGTCCTTGAGCAGGCGATCATCTACTGGGGTAGAATTCGACACAACAACACGACGTAAGGTTTTTCGATTACGATCGCTTTACTTGGGTGCTTCCGTTTCTATACTAATGTGGATACACCCTAGTACATCTACCTAATGTGCTATCCGTCCTCTAGAACAGTTTCATAACACTTCTGGCTGTATATCAGCTTCCAAACAACTCGCTAATTTCGCCAGGCAACTCAAGCACTTGGAAGCAAGTGTCTTCTCCATGGCCAGTTCCCAAAAATTACCTCTGACCACAGATGTCCACCACATTTTCAACGGGTTATGGTACCTCTGAGCCCGAGATCGGCTCTCTCCACTGTCAACTCGGCTTGACCAGTCGCAGCTAAGGCAGCATTCATGAGATCTGCAATAGATGGCAACATGAACGAACTTCTAGAGATGTTCATTAGCGTTTGTTCTGTACGTGTGAGAGAGTGCACTACAGACCGTGTTTTTTCAATTTCTCGTGCAAGGTTGTTGACAACTTGTCCAGAAGCAGGCGCATCGATAATTGTCTGTAATTTTCCGAAGATGGACGAGTCAGCGCTTTCAGGTGATTTGCCGTCACCGTGAAGGCTGATTTTGATCGAACTTTCTGCTACATTGCCTTCAGATTCCTGATTTGTATTCAAAGTTGCGGCTTTCAAGATGATGCGGTGTCTCTCTCCATTTAACTCCCTGTCGTTGGCCTGTTGTGCTAAGTCGGAAATGACAGTGGCATCTGTTGCAGTAAGGAGTACATCGAGAGCGCTTGTTACAGCTTTCATATCACGACTGAGTCCCTCTATAGCACCTAAAACATCTGAAGCACTCGGGGGTAGCTGTGCTCTCCCTGAAACTGTTGCTTTGGAGGATAAGACCGGAGCTGCTAAGGTCGAGACCGTGAAGGAAAGTGACAGGAGTGACGTGAGAAGAGTGAAAGAATGCATCTTGTTGGTGATTATGAAGAGTTCGATAAATTTGAGAGCATTGATATAGATGAAAAAATTATTGAGATGTGTATTTTTTGTAACGAAGAAGATATCCGGATTTTGTTGAATGATTGATTGTCATCTTTATATTCTACGTTTTGCCTACACAGTTTGTCATGTAAGTCAATCTTTAGAAGTTTGCTCAAAGCTGAGCCCCGTTCTAACCGCAATAATTGAATGAACCGGTTATGTTATTTTCCGCGAACCCTTTCAAGTGCGGTGTTATTTCCAACACGATCATAGAAGGGTCGAGGATTGCATTTAGACAAGCTTATTCCTCCTATCCGTAGGCGCAACTGGCGTTGGAGACGACACTTCAACATCCGAAACATCTCAGAAGGTGGGTGTTGCCAACTCACAACCCAACCAACACAACTTATTATTAGAACCTAAACAAGCATAACTAAATAGCATTCAGCCACACACAACCTAGTATCCAACCAACACATTCATAGCTTGCCCGGTCATGTGATATTCTAACACTCGCTGAATTCGAAAGGTATTTACCCTGCGGTTGGAATGATAGAACGGTATTTCCACCCCGGAGTAGCTCTTCCAATGCGGTTCTACCAAGAGTACTTTTGTCCAATACCCGTGTTGTTATCTTTATGGAAAAGAAAATACAGATTGCCTTTAAGATATATTTTGCTTGCTGATACTACGTGGATAATGAGACATCACAGATTATTTGGCTCGCAATTGCCACATCTCGCCGGGGCTGGTTATGTGTTGGGTTGTGGCTATAGCACGGCGTCATTGGCTCGTCTATGCCTAACTAATGGCAAGAGTTTATCTGGGTAAATTAGAATGTGAAAGTATTGCCTTACACAGGCTGTACAGGCTGCGCCAGCTCAGATAATTATTATAATTAGATAATTACGCAACTAAAACATGACAACTTAATCTCAAGAGATGTGATTCAAACAACCTACTGAAATATTGAGCGATTAACCATAAAATTAAGCACGCGTGTTATTACTGTCTGACTTCTGTTACGTTCCTCAAGTTTTAAAGCCACTCCGAGGAGGTTTATTTGACTGAGTTCTCAAAGTAATCTTACAATCTAAGAGTGACGATCTAACCTTTAGAAAACATTATCTCTGAATCAATCTAATAAGTCTCGGGCACCAACCAGCAATGGGACTCTAACTGGAAGAAGTGATAACAGGTAAGAACTTGGGGAAAATACAGTTCGTGGCACGCGGAAATTTATTATTTTATTATTTGCGTGTTCGTGTCCCAATAACAACGAAAGAGAATGCATTTTTGCAAAGTCCCAACATGCCAAGTCATGCCATACTAGGTTTACAATGTAAACCTAAAGTAAAATCCCAAAGTTTAAGTAAAGCTCTCCGCCCCATAGAGCGCCATCGCTCATCTTAGTCGTCCACTGAATCACATCATTCTCAATAGTAATAGGCTCGCGTTGTGAGTGCAAATTCCTGTTTCCATCTATTGGGCAACTGGATATCTTTCCCACTCTCTTCTTTAGACCTGTCGTCAGATTATCGATTTCGGGCGGCTCCAAAGGATAGTGTTATAGGAACGTCCTCGAGGGTCGGCAAAGGAAGGTTCCAACTTTCAAAAACATTACTTCGCAAATTGACGTGTCTGTATTTGGCTTGGTTGACAAGATTGGTGGATGCCCATCGAGAATTCAATACACAGTGGAATATGTGTTTAAGCCAGCGTAGTAGGTTTCTGTGCCGTGGATCCACGTCGCCAAACAATTGCTTGAGGTCAAGAACACACAGTACCGGATTGAAAAGTATTCCAGCCCGTTCAATATTCCAAGACTTGTCCCATAGCACTTCTCTCTCCCTTGCCGTGGAGTCCAATGCTGGCCACTCTCTTATTGTTGCAGCTAACATGTCACCGCCAATCGACAATATCCCTTTTTTCGTGTTAGTGTAAACATTAGCAACTGCTTTCCATAATGAATCAAGTTCGCTAATTGGGTCTGCTTCATGCCTCCATTGGTCACCATGGATCTCTCCCGGAGGAAAGTATTTCTTGATGAGACTATCAGGAAGGTATTTAGTCGCGATATCGTCACATTGCATTACACCTAGCCTGACAACATAGACACACTTTGCCATACCTACAATAACTTGTCTCAAGGCAACCTTTCGATCCGTGAAGCCTTTCTCACCGCCTCCTCCCTTTGTGTAGGATTTTGAAGCGGGATTCCAGAAGTAGGACTTTCCGATACACCAGGTGACGTTGCCCACAGTACGATAACGTTCATCTACCATTGGTAACAAGCGGTCATAACTTTCGTCGGAGTCTGGGCCACCCCCTGAGTCGTTTCTTCTAGTTTGAGAAGTTTTGTTTTTTTCACCGTTTTGTCGTGGAGACTCCGATACTGGTGTTGGAAATGCTGTGCCTAATTGGAAAGATGTGTTCGCCATCGAAGGGCGTGATTGTGATACCCGCTTAGTTGCCGATGCTGGAGGTGGCATAAATTGTTTCCTATGGTCTGCCTTTAGGCGTTTCGCGTGGCTTGTCTCTGTTGGAGCGCTCTGAACACGTCGTTTAGTAGAAGTTCGATCGAGCGACTTAGCAAGAGAAACCTTTTCCCCTGTAGAGACCTTTTTGGGTGTTTTGAGCGCAACAATGACTTGACAGGCTCCTCTGAATGACTCCGACTGACTATAACATCATTCACTGTGTCTTCATCAACGATATACTCCTCTTCGATATCACTTCCTTGTTCATGTTCTGTGATAGATCTCGATGAAGTGTGACCGCCGCTTTTGAGGAGTCTAGAGATTGCAGAGATCTGCTTCAACGGCAAATCTTCTAGTATACTATCGAAAGCATTCAACACTGACCTCTGTGGCCGTTGGGGCGGGGTTGAGGGTTTGACAGCATTGTCAACGATATGTTACGCACACTTAGCGCCCCTGCTTAAAACCCCATGTTTTTCATGTAAGCATGAATAGAGGATGACACTTACCTGTTTTTGGTCACTACCAGCGGTAATAGTGAATTTGCGGGGACGAAGATTGCTATCGATAGCGGGATGTAATTTGGACCGGACTTCCCAAACGTCAATGTCATCCTCCACTGTAATATCATCATCTGAATGTTCATTAAATGCTTGCGATTGCTTCAACGTTTCGGTTTCTTGTACTCCATTTTCTGCCTCCCATAAATCTGGCTCCGCGCGATATCGCTCCTTTTCTTTAGACATCTGTTGGGGGGCCTCTTTCGTTCCACCATAATGTTGTCCAATCAAAGTGTGGGTATCCAGCATCATTTGCAGTCTTTTCTCGAAAGCTTCAAATTGATTATTGTGACTCTTCTCTCGTTCCTCGTCTCTGCTCTGTATCCAAGCCTTGAAATCTGAGAACTGCCTCTGCTCTCTCTCGAATTCTTTTTCTCTCAGTTCCTTATATCTCTCTTTCAATCGTGATATAAAATCTATCAAGATGCCCTTGACATCTTCAATACAGATTTTGTCACCTCCAGTCTTCTCGGACTTCACTGATATTGGTTGAAAGTGAAGTTTCTGACAACCATGATGAGCACTAGTCGGTTGAGACATATTGACTGTCGATGTTGAATATTCTGTAGAGACACCTAATGGTAATATCAATACAGTGCATGAATAGTAGTGTTGTGGTAGAATATTAGTTGTTGTTTCTTTGATGGCGAACAACAGGAAATATCCTTGTGGGTAGGTTAGAGTGTTTAAAAATAAGGTTTCAGAGAGAATCGCAGCTTATAAATACTGTGAAACACACTTGATGAACTTCAGTTAAGAAATTATGGAAATTAGCTTTTATTGTGAATTCTCAAACCAAAACAAAGGCATAAGAAGGCTACTGTATATCTAAATAGGAAACTTTAGCCTTAGTGAAGTGAAGATAATAGCGTCCTTTCATGAGAAAACGATTAAACAATTTATGGTATTCACTAAGCCAAACAATAATCGGCAATTGATATCCAATATTTATTTCAGCATCTAACAAAACTCTTCCATCTAAAAAGTCCAATTTAGAGGACATACCTTAAAGATCAATCGCTAGTTTACCATTAAGAAAACACCTTTGGGATGTTTACTTCAATTTTGGATATAAATTTCCACATTTTATGTGGTTGAAAGAGACTTCAATCAGCTCATGCTAGTAAATCTACCATGTTTACAAAATACATCGAACAGAAACTGTAAGGCGACTGTGTGGGTATAATTTACCTTAATAATTCACATAATTGAACACCTTTGACTAATTAAACGCCAATGCTTCCTGTAAACAAAATAAATTATTTACATGATATCACACTGGTAAATAGCACTCAGAAACTCTATACTAGGTGAGATAAATGATATGAATAGTTTGATTTACCAATTAAGTGGCGTAGCTCTGTAATTTTCACGTACTGACTCCGCCAAGGATAGGTTTAGAAACAGAAACTAAGACATCAATCAGTCAGGAGTATTTCCGCAAATGTTCGCACAGATAGAATGTGTCCAACAAATACCGAAAAGTTCTTTTGAATAGACTCTGAGACTCACTTCAAAATTTGATCGTCCAACCTCATTATGCCTCAACGCATCCTCCAGAAAATATATGACACACCTTCCTTTATGTCATAAGGTAGTTAAATCATGGTTGTAACTTCTGAAAAAATAGCAACTTCTGAAGAAAAAATCCCATGATTCGTATTTTTGTTCAGAGACGTTTCACTAACTAGCTAGGACCACCTAAAAATCCTACAATGAGAAATCATATATCTCTGAGAGTAGCAGGGACTCCATTTACTGGACAGCCAGATGTTCAGGATTTTCGGTTTCTAATCCGGTCATCATCATCATATCAGCTCATTTTGTGGGACTTTAAGGGTCTGGTGACGCAGATGGTCCTAGGGTGTAGTGGTGAATGGATTAAGATAGAGAAATATTTAAATCATCCATCTTCTAACCCTACAATGATTAAGACGTTCAAAACTAGTTTGATTTTACTCCTACAAGAAACAATCAGTCCGAAGAGCTGAAATTATTGCGAGCCTGAAGTCTTCTTGCTAGTCAAGTACTCAATGGTACTAGATATGTTCCCAGACATGTGCTCATATCTGCAAACTAAATCTAGGATAAAACATTTGAGAATGACTGCTCAACTTGTCTATGATTTTCAGTTAACTACATTGCCACTGACATAATAGGGGAAGAACCACCAACATTCGTGACGTGTTGGGGCATGCAGTCCCAATGCTTCCTACATGCATCAACATTAAATCTCATGGAAGTTCGTCCCCTTACAGTAAAGAAAATAGACACGAGAAAATAATGGACTATTCTTCATTGTTGGTTGTCAACATAAATTCCATATTTTTATTAAAACAAACGACCGACGCCTTGTGAAAGTCACCGATTCTCCACAATTGTCCCTCACAAAATTTCTCTCGTAGTTTGTACCCTCATAAGGTCTCATCTTTTGCTCCTCCTCTCCTTACTTTTCTCTTAGCCGGCAACATGATTTTTCGCTTTCACACTCGTGTCTGTCATCTTAACCTCATTCCGTCTGCGACATACCGACACAAGCCAATAGTGTTGCCTACTAGCTTTCTGATACCAAAAAGAAAGACTAATGGAGCCTCACCGCCACGTATAGTCACCATACGTGCTTCTCTCCTCCTCAGTGGATTGTCCGAATTTTCGCTGCATCCTACGTAATTTGATTTGCCGTAACACCACTGTCGTGCCGATTTAGAACTATATATCGAAGACTCTGTCCAGTCCGTACGCTGGGAGCTCGAAAGTTCGCAAGACTCTTCGAACAGTGCAGGATACGAAATATGACCACTTGGCGCCGAAAGTTCTTTAGTCGGGAGCTTTGAATGTGGTGGCCATGCTGAAGTTGATCAGGGACTCTGATCTGTAGTCCAAGTAAAAACTGAGTGACGTAAGTCTCTAGGCGGGCTGTTTGATCGTGCTTCTTCTTGTAGTTCCAAATCATCAGGATATGGTTCCGAGAAGTCGCTCTCGGCAGAACGTGCCAGATACTCATCCATAACTAACTCGATAGATTCCTCCAAATCTGTGTAGCCATCCTGATTCTCACCCATCCTAAGTAATTTATCACCCATTTTAACATCGTCGCTCGGAGAGTTAGGTGGATTCACCAGGAATTGCTTTGTAACTAGGCTAGAGTCCGATGCTCCTTGGTTGTTCGGACAGTTGCCCTTTTGAGAAACAGAGCTTGGTCCAGAAGTTTTCTTTGCGTGAGCGTCAAAAGAGTGAGCTTCTGGTGAGGGTGGCATGATCTGCCAAGGACCAGTGGATGATGCTCCTTGTCGCTGTCTTGCGGAAGACAGAGATTGAAGGTATTTAGCAACACCAGATCTAGTGTCGTTGACATTGATTGGCAATGCAAACTTTGGCAATCTACCTACAACTTTCACAGGTGGCTTCGTTAAGCGAGGTAGGGAGCTTTCCATCGCTTCATTCAGCTGTTCCTCAAGATCACTTTGACTGCCGTTGTTATTCGTAAACAATTCAGGAGACGCAGCTCTCGCAACAGGTCCTGCATGCTTATACTCTGGGTCAACTGCCGACGATGGTTCCAATGTATTCTGAAAATCATCGTTGTCTTCTGGGTCAGAACTATCTTCGTCCTCCGACTGACTTCTTGAAAGGGGCATCATGATGGAAGGTGCAAAGGCATCGTCCAACCCTAAAAAGTCGACAAACACAAAACCGTCATGTTCAGCATCGTAAGTGATGCAGTCTTCGTCGTCTTCGACATTTTTTAGTCCTCCGTCCTGAATAGTAAAGTCTTCCTTGCATTTAATTATGCTAAATCCTAGCCATCCCTTCTTGCTTCTGATCTTTCTCTTTCTTTTCTTTTTCCGTGACTCTACATCTTCCAGGTTCTCTGAAGAAATGTTTGATGGCGACACTAGTTCCTCTGCGTTGTAGATTGTTTCTTCATCTTGGCGGTATGTCGGACCCGAAAGTAAATCCCCACTCTTTCCACTACGCTGATTGTCAGACCCAGGAGTCGATGAAGTTTGAAGGATATGTCGCGGTAAGTCTCCATCAAAAGACCCGGCCCGGGATGAGCTTCGAATAGTTGGTTGTGAAATAGCACAAGGTGTAGGAGCAGGTGGGAAACACCATTCGCGAAGGAGCTGAGATACAGAAGGCGTCGGCTGTTTTATTGGATCTCGGCCAGTGAGAAGCACCTTTGTGCCACGATTTCTCATAGCTTTGGCTTTGTTGTTCCCTTCAGCCTTTTGTTTTTGTTGAGTCTTCCCAGGTTTCATGGCGGCAGACGAAATCCGGATGAGTGGTAACACCTCAAGGTGATGGACGATCTTTACCACTTGGATGGGTATTACTAATGAAAGGCAGAAATACACAAAGGCTTCTTTCGATGAGGTCGTCGCGTGGTCAGACGCGTATCGTTATACCACTGACAGCAAGTGAAGGGGGGTGGATCAACAGAGAACTTCCGTCATAAGTAGCCCGCAGACGCGTTGTCCTGTGAGTGTCTCGATAGGATTTACGTTACGTTGGGCGTGGTTCAGTTTGGAAACTCTCGAATTCAAGGACGATGATTGACTTGGTGGCAAAGGCTGCGTCTAATGGAGTTTGTTGTGAATCACAGCCACTCTTTGGCTGCTGGGCCTCGCTGGACCTCGACGCTGAAACCCAGAAGGTTCCCAGCCACCACAAATTCTTCCAAACAAATACCAGTGAAAGGGTATCCTACTTGGCGTTGAAAAAGATAACGCAAAACGGAGAGCAATCGAGATAGAATTGCGGAAGATTTCCCCGCAAGCTATCATAATGAGGTGTTTTTGAAATTGCTACCTACCAATTCACCTATTACCCGCATGCTAGACCAGTCAGGGGACATTTTGTGAGTGGAGTAGTCAGGGGACTCAGGTCTTTGGGGGGTTCCCGGAATATACCTTAAAATCAATGTTCACTGTAGGTTTCAGCCCATACCAAATGACGCCCACTGATAAACAACATTTCACCTTCTGCTATTATTCCTCTGTTACTAACTTTTCTACTTACCAAAGTTCCATTCGCTATATTCTTTCTTCTCAGCGTTCCACCGCTAATGACGATGATTCCATTGAGGTCTATCTGTGTCCTCTATTCTTGCCTATTAATGGGTGACAAGCTTGAATGATTTGGATAAATTGTAAACCATAGTTCAATTGTAAATTGTGAGAGATTCATATGTCATACAAACCATCTACCTTCATACCATTCACGTTTCTATAGATTTATAAATCCATGTTGAATGGAAAGCTCAATTCAGAGGGCTGTGGCTTTTAAGCGAGATATGTCTTGGCGGGTATGAGAAATCCAGAGATCAGTTATTATGAATTCCGCAGCCTGAGTTTGTCTTTCATCAAAAGTAAGACTAGTAGACTGAGAACAGTACGAAGGGGTACGTAAAAGCATAATTGAGTTCAATCCAATCAGCTATCCCAACTATCATCATTCAAATTTTCCCTGCAACCACTTCCTAAATCCTCAGGATGCCACAAATATCCAGAGGACTTTCCACAAACAAGGTTGTTTTCCACCACTTATGATGAATCCCCAGGTCCTCCGCGATAACTTCCTAGTGCCGAGTCTTGACTATCTTCGGCGCGCTTTGCGATCCCATAGTAGTGCCGAGGGCAGAATCCTGACCATCTTCTGCGCGCTTGCTCCCTCCATGATAATCACCGAGTGCAGAATCACCGCTTACAGCGTTTTGACCACGCTTTGCGATCCCATAATAATTACCGAGTGCAGAATCCTGAGCGGTGTCGGCACGCTTTGCAATCCCAACATAGTTTCCCAGTGCAGCATCCTGACTGTCTTCCGCACGCTTATTCACTCCATGGTAATCACCTAGTGCAGAATCCTGGCCTCGCTTTGCAATCCCGTAATAATTGCCCAGCGCCGCGTCGTCGGTGTTATCGGCTCTTTTGTTGATTCCATAATAATTGCCAAGTGCAGAGTCCTGAACATTCTCCGCGCGCTTGTTGATCCCATAATAATTCCCCAGTGCAGCGTCTTGAGTCGTGGTGTCACGAGGAACTATGAGAATGTGAGAAACTGTAGATGGAAATAGGGATTCAATGAACTTATACCTGTTGGTAAGGCTACAGCTGAGCCAATAAGAGCGACGAGAATAAGATTGAACTGCATTTTGTTGCTGAGATGGTTTTGAGGTGTTGTGACTAAAGTGATGATGTTGTTGCAGTTCAAGTGAAGTCGTTGTTGTGGTTGTATTGTCTGAATAGTTGAAGATACTGGGCACTTTTATACTTAATCTGCAATACCTGATTTCATTTTTTCAACTCGAGAGAATCAATGTTAATGCTCTGTAGGTATCGACATTATCTCACCATTGTCATGAAAATAAGCATTACAGTGTAACATAATGCTTATCCCACATTACCTGTCATGCTGCATAATGGACCTATCCCACGTGGTGAGGTAATAAGTGCTCAAAACTCCGAGACACAGCATTCAGAAAAACGCTTGATCTTCTCTCTTTCTTTCCCTCAATTCTTTTTGACGTAGACTCACTAGTAGATGTTTTAATCTATTTTAATCTCAAAATGAGAAACAGCAAAGAATATTTCGACGTTGAAGAAATCAGATTGTTGCCAGACGACGATGCTTGCGGGAAAGAAGCGAGACGAGACGTTGCCGAATTGGTGAAACACCTCAATCTAGCGTTTCTAGCTCAGATGCAGAAAGCACGATATTCCGAGAGAAGCTGTTTTCAGAATGTTTGGAGATTTCTGAGATCGAGTCCTTGGTTCTTTCACCTCGCGATTTTGACAATTTACACAAGTCTTTTCGTTTTAGCATATTTCCAGGCAGAATCACATCCCGCTCCCGATGCGCTGATATACAGTATGATTGTCAATCTGCTGCTTGATGATCCCTGTTGACTCTTCGATAGCACCGGCTGAGCCGGCAACTATACACGAGGCGAGAATGATAAGTGTTAAGATCAACCCGACGAACAACATATATAATAGTCCACCCTCGCCAGAAGTGGACCAAGCGTGGGCTGCACTTTTTCGAAGTAAGCATAGCGTCTAAAGTCAGCAACCAGCTGTGCTGATTCTGACAACAGATGCAAACGTACGAGTAAGCAGAGATGAGCTTGAGAAAACGGGGAGGTCATCCGTTGAGCTAGAAGATGAATCGGGTGGCTTCCTTGGAGCTTTAGGTAACTTAAAAATACATGTCGTTAATATCATGAGCTGACGATATAGATGTATACCATCAATTACATTGTCTAGTGAGATCATCAAAGCCAAGGTTAGATTGACACGAAAAAACTGACTCCAGAATAGAAGTACATTCGGGAATATATCCACCAAGATTACTACACAATCAAGAAGACCAACGTCCCGAAGAAAGATCACGTCAGTAAGTTCTTGAATCCCCAAAATCACCCTCGATCTCTAGAATCATGAGCTAAGTATAGAACAGATCATTGTATCGAGATGTTGCGTCAAATTGTGATGTGCAAGGCGGATACGGCATTGATGACTTATAGCTGGTTGCCAGATTTTCGTGCCCCGTGGCCAGATTTCGGTATAGAACATCAATGTGTCAATTGGGAAAGTATTGAAGAATGGGGGAATAAAAGAAGGATTGATATATTCGAAAAGGGATTGTTAGTACATCCTACTATGGGGCCGTCTTATCATGAGAACGATGTTGACGAATAAATAATGTTTAAGCTCAAAAGACTTCAGTATTTGCCTGGATATGAAACTTCCTAGCGAAACCTTGATGATTCAAAGCCATTGTTAACCCATTGAATACCCAGTATGATGCCTTGTGGGAAATGTCGTCGTGGTTTTGACTGTGAAGCAAGTATATGAGCTGGTGCATTTGCCTTATTCAATGAGCTTGCTGGTACGAGAAACCTGACATAATCAATGATTAGGCTCACCAAAAAAAAGCCCATAGAGTCTATATTTGTAAGAATGACCTATAGGAAAGAGCGAAAACTTTGCAGGAAGGCACAAAGAGTTTGGCCAATGCCAGAACCACAATGGAAGCATCGCTTCTCATGAGATTTATATTATTATGTCTCTAGAAAGTTCCTTCTCCAGATGCTTGCAGGTAAGCTTCGCATGTAGGAGATGCTTCATAGTATCGTCCCTTAAAGGCACCGCAACAAACACTTATTAGTCCTTTTTGACATTTTTGCGACTCGCGCGACTTTGTAATTTAGCAGCTTTTAAGTGTTCCTCCGACCAATGAGATGCAAGCGACTTTTGATACAAAACCAGCGGGTCTTTGCAAACATGTGGAACCATACCATTCGTTGTTGGACATCCTCCATCTATGCTTGGCTTGGTAGGCTCGATGGCACCATCCGCGTAGCAGAGAAATGACTGTGCTACGTTAGCATTCTGGCTTTGATAGACACGCGAAAGGAATCCAACCTGTCTAAAGTAATCCAAGCAGTGTAGTATATGAGCTTCGTCAAAATCATGCGGCATATGTGTATGCCCGTTGCTCCTTCTCTCATTTCTAGCGAAAAGTGCTTGAAACCCAGATCGTACCATAGCGAGACAATGAAGCTGATGGAACATGGCGATTCCATTTACTTGACTCCCTGTTCGGCTTTCGTCGATGACAAAGCCGCCGTTCGGAGTGACTGTATCTTGCCATAGTTTGTCTGCCGTAGAATTGAAGGTCTGAAACCGTTTGTCTTCTTGGAAGTCTGTCGTAACGGTATCGACCGCTGGGCACAGCGATAAAGATGTACGAAGGGACTTGACTTCTGATCTTAAAGGCTGGTTTGATATGAGGATGATGATTGTAAAAATAAATCCAAATATAAAGAAACCGCGGAGGAAGAGGTGGGTTTTGTTTCTGGGATGATACCCATTTGTCTTCTCAACTCGTGGTTCCATGATCTATGAAAACAAACAAAAATTATGCTTGCTGAATTGTATGTTAGAGATCCGTGAAAGCGCGAATAGAGAGGGGAATGGTATCTTGTGGTCTAAGGCTCAATTTGACTCCCTACGCTGAATCTTTGCAACGTACAAGCATTAAACCACTCATAATGATGGCAAACATAACGTAAGGTAATGGAGGGAATGTAGCGGCATTCGTGATGCTCACTGCTCATTCGATATTTGAGCATTACATATAACGTTACTTTAGTAATGATGACATGGTGTAACGATAATAGTGCATGTGAGTAAATAGACGGATAGCAGCATTGACACGCTTGTTCAGTCAACAAATCAACAACGATATAAAAGCTAAGTGTTTTATATTGCTATGATAGAACCTCGTTGAGTGTGTCTGGAGGGTGTGCCTACTGGCATGATGAAAAAAGCAATGTGCGTGGAATGAAAAAGACTCAAGTATGGTGATGAGTATAGCGCCAGGCAAAACATCAATACGCGTATTGAAGGTACAGAGTAGATATCAAATTCAATAAAAACTGTACTTTGTAGGTCGAAACGGCGAACGCAAATTGCACATTGAACGCGCTGTCAAATTTGACCAGAACAGCGCCATTATCTCCACTTACGCGGAGATTCTTAGATGGTTAGCATTTCGATATATACCTGACCAAGAATATGAATATACCGCTTCACGACTTCATTCTTAGAGGAAAGCATACTTCAAGTTTCCTCTGTTGCTGTTGTTGGTGACGTTGTTTGTCAGAGTTCGTAAAGGCTCAAGCTCTCACAGGCTTGTCGTCGACATCCAGAAGCGAAGGAGCTAACCGCCTCCGATAAGGAAGCTCCAGCTCCATCTACCACAACGCCCACTACGAAAAGTACATACCTCCCGAACAACTTGAGTCTGCGCCAATTCTATCTTCTCGGAGCAGAGCAATCGACTCATCATGTCTCTCGATCCTCCGACATATCTCTCCTCCCTTCAGAACAACATTCGCACGAGACCAATACCATGGGATGGAGCTGTTCGCGCGGGTACCGTCAGTGAGGATCAGTTGAATAAGATTCGAGCAGTCGACAAGGTCAGAAAGGATCAGAGAAAGCAAATAATCGAGGGTGATATTGAAGGATACAAGGCACTCTTCGTGGGTTCATCCAGTACGCCAAGTGTGCTGGAATCTGCTGCCAAGAGTCTGCCTGTCGTGCAATACGTACTCGTTTTGTTGAAAGACTTGCTTGATGGTAGGTAGCAAGTGTACCTCTCATGAGCCAGCTAATTAAAGTCTTGAAGGTATTCCAACTCTTGCGAAGAACTTAGCAGATCACCCTGATCCCTTCAAACCATTCCTACCTCTTCTTGCGCAGTCTAATGACCCCGAAGCTCCCATTCCTCTTCTCACCTCGACTGTATTGTCAACCATGATCGGAGGAGCTTCAGGTACTTCGAAACAAGTGTCCGCAGCGCTCCCAAAGTTATTTACATATTTGTCGACGCTTACACGTACATCTGACGGAGGGCTACAAGATATTGCTGTGTTGGAATACTCAACTTTACTGCGAGGAACGAAATCTCGAGAACTGTTCTGGCAACACAGAAAGGATACAATTGAACCGCTCGTTGAGATCTTGAGATCTGCAGCAGGAGTCGCGGCAAATGGAGACTCAGCCTCTAACCTTTGGAGTGGTACTCCTAGTGTGCGTGAAGGTTCTTTGGGCGGCGGAGTTGGACTCCAGTTGCTCTATCATGTACTACTGGTCCTATGGCAATTGAGTTTTGAAGGCGAAAATATTGGCGAGGGTCTTGAGGAGTAAGTTCCACTAAAAATTCAAGGTCGCACTCACTAACTTGCGCAGGGAGTTTGATATCATCCCGCTTTTTACACAGCTTCTCAGACTGTCTCCTAAAGAAAAGACTACCCGACTCTTAATCTCCTCTCTTTACAATATGCTCTCAACGAACAAGCAGACCCTGCTACCCACTGCGGTTCTGGCTAGGCTACCTGCCTTACTGTCAAACATCAACGGACGACATTTCAATGACACCGATCTTCAAGAAGATCTCCAAAACCTCACGGAGATGATCGAAGAGCATACCAAAACACAAACCACCTTTGATGAATATGCTGCCGAAGTTAACTCCGGACATCTACGATGGTCACCACCCCACAGAAATGAAACCTTCTGGGCAGAGAATGCACGCAAAATTCTTGAGTACGAAAAGGGCGAATTACCAAAGAAACTTGCAGAAATTATGAGCAAATCATGGGATAATGATAAGCAAGTTTTGGCTATTGCATGTAATGATGTAGGAAGATTAGTTAAGGAGGTACCCGAGAAGAGGCTGCAGTTAGAAAAGCTGGGTCTGAAATCGAGGGTCATGGAGCTGATGGTGGAAAAGGAAGAGGCAGTGAGATGGGAGAGTCTCAATGCTCTGTCCGGGTGGCTGAGGTATAGTTTCGAGACCAAGTGAAGCGGCGAAGTGGTGCTTGTAATGCTATTTGCAGTTGTATCATCAATTCGAGCTTGGGGACCACTTATGATCCAGGCCCAAGGGTTCAGTCCAAAGCTCTCTCGACGCCGCATTATCTCAGCACCGCGTTGAATCATGGCGCCACGATGTTAGAATACAGTAGCGGTTGAGAAGTAGAATGCAAACCTGATACCCAGAATACTACAGTAGTTCGAAAATCCATCTATGGTTCTAAGTTTTGGATACAGCTCTGAGTCTCTGACAGGTGATGTGGGTCGCAAGCGGCGGGACTTCTCCACCCCCACTTCCCGCGGCATCTGACTTCTATTTCGAGCTTCGAATCCAGCACATCTCATCCAACAAACAACCAATTGAGCCACGATATGAAGCGCCTCTATGTTATTAAAGGCGCTGGCAATGCGGTCGCAAATCAAAAATCAAACCTCGCGCGCACATCACGCTTACTCTCAACTTCTGCTCCACGGACTGCTCTAAAGCTGACACCGCAACGAGCTCTCCCACTTACACGAACAACGACATCAACGATTCGAGCTTCAAAACACCCCTCACGAAATGCATCGTCGGCCTCTTCCTCTACAGAGCTGCAAAAGACCCCTCTATACGATCTCCACGTCGCCAATGGCGGGAAAATGGTTCCTTTTGGCGGTTTCCACATGCCTGTCCAATACAGCTCTTTGAGCGTCAGCGCATCCCACCACTTCACACGATCTCACGCCTCCCTCTTCGATGTAAGCCACATGGTTCAGCATAGATTCTCTGGGCCTGGAGCTACTGCGTTTCTCGAAAAGGTAACACCGGCTGGGTTATCAGAGTTGGAAGTACACAGAAGCGGATTAAGCACCTTGCTTCTGCCATTCACGGGAGGCATCGTGGATGATACCATTGTTACAAGATTGGGCCCGGAACTGTTTTATGTGGTTACCAATGCGGGATGTAGGGAGAAGGATCTTGCATATTTCAAGGAGCAGTTAGCAGATTTTGCGAAGGATGGCGGTGAGAAGGTCGAGTGGGAAGTTTTGGATGGCTGGGGCTTGATTGCGTTACAAGGACCTTTGAGCGCGGAAGTTCTGACCGAGATCTTGGTCGACCGAGAGGCAACTCAACTCCACGAAATGTACTTTGGGCAATCCAAATTCATCCAAGTCAACCTCCTCGACGGCACAACCTCAAGTCCCCTCCTCATAAGTCGAGGAGGCTACACCGGCGAAGACGGTTTCGAGATCTCCATCCCCGCCTCCGAAACAACCGCCGTCACCAACTCCCTCCTCCAAACCGCCACCCCCGAGAAGTTACAACTCGCCGGCCTCGGCGCCCGAGACAGTCTCCGCCTCGAAGCCGGAATGTGTCTCTACGGCCACGATCTTGATGAGAACACCACCCCCGTCGAAGCAGCTCTCAGCTGGGTAATCGGCAAATCGCGGCGCGCAACGGGTGGTTTCCACGGCGACTCCGTGATCCTCAGCCAACTGAAGCCGAAAAGCAAAGGCGGAGCAGGTGTGGAGCGGCGGCGGATCGGTCTCATCGTCGAGGGCGCCCCTGCTCGAGAAGGCGCCGAGATTGTAAACGCTGATGGCGAGAAGATCGGGGTCGTGACGAGTGGATGTCCGAGTCCGACGTTGGGGAAGAATATCGCGATGGGGTATATCAAGGATGGATTTCATAAGGCCGGGACGGATGTTGAAGTTGTGGTTAGGGGGAAGAGACGCAAGGCGCAAGTCTCTAAGATGCCTTTTGTGCCGAGTAAGTATTGGAAGGGTATGGCTCCTTCGTAGACGGATTTCTTTTGGGATCTGATGGAGTTTGGGGGTTTTTGGGTAGATATCTAGAGAAAAGCGAGCGAAGTCCTTTCAACAGGCTTAATGAGAATGTTTGGTTATGAAGATTAATGATGTCTGTTGTGTTTCTGGCATTCTGGATCATTTTATAGTCCTCTGAGAAATGAGACCTAGTTTGCCATGTTTACTTAAGGACTCGTCTGCAAACTAGTCACACTAAAGCAAGATGTAGAGATTTCATATACATATTCAGTATTGAACAACTATACTACCTCCTTAAAACCTCCTTTCTTATAAACAATTTCCCCACCTATTCAAATCCACACTACACGTATTTAACAAATGCAAGCCTTAAAAGCCGCTCTCCCTAATACTAATCCCAAATTATCCATATACAACCTGCCGCCCCCGAACTTTTCCAGCCTTTCCATTCTTATCACACAACCCATCCCATTCCGAATCCCAAAAACGAATCGACGCTCCGAGTAAATGCCTATCAAAAATAACACGAAAAGCGGGGGTATTAACAAATTAAAGCAGCCTATCCAGCAGTAGTCAACACATAAGAAGTAATAGCACTCATCCTCTCACTCGTCAGTTTCAACGAGATCCTCAGCAGCTCCTGCGAGACCTCCGGATCCGCCTTCTGGAGATTATCCCAGTTCTCGCGGTCCATAAGCCAGGTAACGCAGTCGCGTTCCGCTTGCACGGTGGCGGTGCGGTCAGTCTCGGAGAAGAAGGGGAGTTCGCCGCAGGTGGTGCCGGCGACGATGCTTTCGAAGTAACGGCCTTGCGGGAGATCGTAGTCGGCGCGGAGGATACCGTCTTCGAGGAGGTAGAAACCGGTTGCTGGTTCGCCGCTTCGGAAGAGGACTGTGCCGGCGGGGTATTCTTTTTTGGTGAAGAAGGGGGTGAGACGGAACCAGAAATCTTCGTTTTCGGTTGTGAGGCCTTGGAAGGTTTGGAGAATGAGGCGGAGTGGTTCTTTGAAATTTGCGTAGCGCGCTTCTGCTGGTCCTTCGTCGAGTGTCATGGTAGCTGCTCTTTGGAGCTGATTTCGGCGAGGTGAGCTGAATTGGGCGTCGATAGTTGGCTCAATCTTCGCAACGCGATTCTTCCCTGGTACATCCAGGTTAGACGGTGGATTCCTTAGACTGCTACGCGCTTCTTTGCTTGCGTAGAGAGTCTTGAGTAGCTCATTCTCGCAGCTTTCTAATGCAGAGTTCAGCTCTTCAAACAGCTTCACCTCGTTTCCATCCTGGCCTAGTCCAACAGCAGATAATGTTGCGCCAAGAGGCCCTTCTGAACTTATGCCACTCATAACAAGCGTAACGCCTTTCTTGCTAAAGATTCTATTCAACCTGTTGAATGCTTCGGCAGCAGAGTAATCGATTCCGGTGACATGCCATAGATCGAGGACTAAGAAGCGGATTGGCCGTTGTGCAAATGTTCCATCTTCTATTAAAGCTCGTAGGCGCTCCTCAACGCTGACAATAGTACCGAAGAATAGATATCCTGCTAGTTTCGTTACATGAACTTGCTGCCCAGCTTTACGCAAGTAATCATGTTGTATTGGGTTTCGTCGCACGGTGGATCCGGCAATTTCCCCGGAATATGATGCTCGAATAGCAGGGATTCTCGAGGTTTGTACAGTTAGTGACATGAAGGCGAGGCCAATACCAATAAAAATACCAACGACGAAATCGTAGATACCCATTACTAAGACGATGGTGATGACCTAGACTTGGGTTAGTAACTGGAGTTCGTTTAAAAGAAAGGCATGACTAACCGTCAAGTATTCGAGGATCTTCAGTTTCTTTCTCGGCTCCCAGACAGCTTCGAGGAACAGCTCGAAACCAAGAACGAAAATAAGAACACCAACCATCATCACCGGAATGAATCCAATGATAGTAGGTCCAATAATGAGCACCCCGACTGTAAAGACCGCAAGCATGATTCCGGCGACGCGACTATCGCCACCACTACGATAGAACAGTACCGAGTTGGCATACACCAAATAATTCTGAATACTGCCGGCAAATCCAGAAATTGCATTAGACAAACCATGAGCAATGAGCTCTCTGTCTAAGCTCAGATTATCCTCGCCAACGCTGAAGGCCAAAGATGGAACATTAATAGGCACGTGCAGGATGCCGAAGAAAGTAAGTGCAAACATCGCCGGGATACACTCCAAGATGGCATCCCAATCCACGAGATCAAACCCTTCACAAGTTAGCATCTTTGTAAGATTGGGGGTGATAATTGACTTACTGTACAAGGTGTAAAAATACCACCAAGGTTCTCCAGCTTCAGGCCCTTCGAAGATCCATCCGTTATCTGTAAGGTTGTCGAGGTTCAACTCGTCCAAAGAGAAAACAAAAAAGTAGAATACTGCCGGGATGAGCAAAATGTATGCTGGCAGGAAGTACCGATTTTGGATCCTCTGCTGCAGCTTGTATAACACAATTGCTAGAACGAATGGGATAAGCCATAACGGTAAGGTATCGACCTTGATCATGTGCTTCAAAGTGTCAAGGTTGTACTCCAGGTTGCCATCCATGCGAGCTGCGACTTCGAAGCCTGTAACGATCAAGAAGAACCCAACACCACCGATACATCCAGTAAGTATATGTCTCGGAATGAACCCGACAATATAACCGAATCGGAATGTACCCATCAAGAAGAATACCAAACCTGTAAGGATCGAGCTAATGGCATAAGAAGTGATAACCGTCGCAATAACTGCTTGCGGGTTTTCTTCGCCGACTTTAGCCATAATTGTGAAGGCCATTTTATGAAAGAAGGGAACGACCTCAATCTGGAATTTCGTTAGCGACATCATTTACACTTAAGTATCAAACCAACCATTTCAGAACCAACTCCTCCCCGGAAGCGACTTCCACCACAAGAATACACCAGCTGCGAAACAATACAACTTATGTAGAACATAGAAATACCAGCCGATCCCAGAGACTCGAAAATTGGTTGGCCGAGTGGAAAGAGAATCATGCCGTAGGATAACGCATCTAAGACATTGAGTAAAAGTCCAAGCACAACCGCAGGAAGATACCCCACAGGAGCAACAACGGCATTCTGCCAGATAGCTCTCGTGTTCCACGCTTTCGGGGTGAAAACAGTATGAGCAATTTCAACGCCTCGCTCTCTAGGCCATTGTGCTACTTTGTGGAGCTTTGACCAATATGGCTTCTTTTTCGGTCGTTGGTCCTCGAGGTCACCCTCACCAGCGATGTAGTCGGGATGAACATGAGCTTCCGGGGTCTTGGTCCTTGAAAGAAGGGGTGTTCTTTCATCCTCTACGACACCATCCAAGGAGATAATGAGCCTGCTCTGTTCCCCGTTCGCTTTACTACCAGTTGCGCGCCTACTTTTTCTCGCGTGCCCATTCGATTTGGCCGATGGTTCAGACGCACCGTTTGGTGGTGAAGTGTCCGCAGGGGATGTACTTGGAGGGGAGCGTCTAATGAGGTCTGAAAGGGCAGAAGTGCCTGGTCTATTTGGAGGAGATTGGCCATCGGCTGGCGATACAGGTTCAGAAACCTCTTTTATAGTATCATGTTGTATAGGCTGCTCGCCGCCGGCCATGGACGACTCATTATCGGATCCGCCGGTAAAGTAGTGATCGAGATGGGTTTGAATAGAACGTCGTGGAGGAGGAGAGGAGCTTTGGATTGAAGCTCTATCGGAGAGGGCGTAGGATGCGAGTTCGGCGGTATCTTCTCTTACGCTGAGAGCAAATTGGGCACTATCGATAGGAGCTGTTCCATTATTAGCCACTGCACATATCAATTGATCAGATGCCATGCATACCTGACGGCCCCCGATAGGAAAGGAGATGCAACGAAGATCGCGTAGGTTCTCTTTGGTTGGAAGCTCCGACATTGCTGTTTGAGGCATGGACGTCATAGTTTGAATCTGCCGCAGAATTCACCCACGCATCTTGAGAATCAGATCCAGCAATGACCCGCGGACTCGAGGGAGAACTTGTCGATGCGGCTCGTAGTTTTCGAAAGGTGCCAAAACTTTGCGAAGGTGGTAGAGACATGATGGTGCTGGAGTCGAGTAATCCTGCTTCGCCAACTGCGAATACTACAACCACACGCAGGCCTCGACACTTCGCCGTGACGGTTGTTCACGGAACAAAAGGGCAGCGATAACGAGATTACTGACGAAGCTTTAAAAAAATCGACGGTGCCAATTCATGAGATCAAGCGGGCACTAGGGATCCTTGCTGCTAACCGCAAAGCCGATAGCTCTTCCTGGAGAGCCGGTTTAGGACTGACTGGTACTGGCGAATCAAGGATATGAGCAGTACGCGCGTAGCAAAGTGACGTTCTAGAACATGAATAGCTGAGAAGTAAAGAAGTACTATATGTACTTTTCGAGTGAACAGACTCGTGGCGGCAGAAGAGAAAGTACCGGCGACCTACCTTCAGATACTTGCCAGAGCCGATGGCCTCATCCGACATGTTTTTGACGACCATCGTGGGTTCACAGATTTCGGATTCGCGGGGCCAGACTGGGTACCAACAAGGTGCTCCACCAGCTAGGTAGACGATGGTCCATTATTGATCTACCCGCGTCGTCGAAGTAGATTGTGTGGTGCTGCCAAATGAGAGGGTCAGGCTTATTTGCGTTAGTCGACTGACAAAATCATCTCTTCGTCTGCTGCGTTTTTTCACAGGGCTGCCCCGCTATGCGAGGTGGAAAAGCGGCTCTGAAGGTGCAATTCAATTCCCTCGTCCTACGGTAGTTACAAGTTCGTTTTGTCTCATGTATGTATGGTTATTCTTCAAAAATACAGGTAACTTAAATATCCAAATACAATTCAAGCAATCAAAGTTCCTTTTCCCAAGTTTACACTACATGCCATAGCTATGAAGAGCAACTATACATTTAATTATCCTGCCTGAAAGAGTGCCGCTTTTCCGTTTCCCTTTCGAGCCGCATCAGTTTTTCAAGATGCAGCTTCAAGAGGGGCAACAAACGAGGAGAACAAGTGCAACAAGACACAACAGCTGTCTGCCATGAAGACCAAGATTGATGGACTCCTCTCCTTGAAAGACAACTACCTTTATCACGTATGCCATTGTCAATCGGGATTGCGTTTCTTGTCAACAGTACAGCAGGCACAAAACCAACGTCTAAACCGTCGTACAATGACAACGACAAAAATACCAACGACATCACCTGCACATGCAAACGATCCGAAAGTACATCTAGCATGTATTGTTTTCAAGGGTCGAAAGTGCAAGTTGAAGAGGGGCAACCGGCAACGGCAAGGCCACCTGCAGGAAGTTTCTGTTTCTCATCCCCTGTTACCAAAAATCCTCCGGCTGCAGGTCTTCTCGTTCAACGAATGATAGACGAGATCTCGCACACAGTGAGAACGGCAGCTTTGAAGCGTAAAGGCCTTTCTCAAATGAATGCACCTCGTGTTTATTACTCCTCGTCAATCATTCCCCGGTAGAGTTTCCCTGGATGGCACAAAATGCTCAGTCTAACTCGCTTGACTTACTCTACCCCCGCACTATGCAATGAGACGCAGTTGATGGAACCAATTGCGTAAAATAGCAAGCATGTTGGCGCCATACTCCTCATCAATCCTGACATCGCATAGGCAATATCTGTTCTCATGATTTCGTAAATTCGCCATAATCTCTGTTGAGGAGGTTGGACGTTACACGGAGCACATATACTCATTCAAAATGGCATAGCTCCTGTCCTGAATGGTTGGGGACTGTACTTGGGGATCCGGCCTGATGAAGTCCCCGCTTCAATGCAGCACCATATAGTTATGTTCCTTTTCAGGTTCTGCATATTACTTCGACTGAGATGAATTGCACCCCGCATTTGACTGTTCTGCAGGTCCTCATTCAGGACCAGAAGGATAATTTGATTGTTCGAAACTCCGTCGGGGGTACGAAAGAACTCCGCCATTGCATATCTCGATCAGTAAAGCGTGAGGTGCATATTGCTGAAGCACCACGATGACTGCTTGGGCTGGTTACTGGCTGCTTGAGCTCGCAATTTGACACGGAGGTACAGCCGGAGCCACTTCTCTGTTGATTCTGTCGCTTTTACAGTCTCTCAGCTAAGCTTCAGCAGATATCCTTGAGAAATCAACCTCTCTACGTCTCCTTGGCGAACGTAAAATTGCGAGTTCTTCGTGAGATTGATGGTACTACATTCGCAAATTAGTCGACTGGAGTTATACAGTGGTCGATCTGATGCTTACCCATATTCTGTCTGAATTTCACCTGCGTCCTTCAGCACTCTCACGTCAATGAACAAATCGCGTGGGGGTTCGAGACTTCCTGTCAAGTCTATGTCTGTCCATTGACCCTTGAACGCAGCGAGCAAGTCACTGTACTGCCTCACATACTCCTCCTCTTCGGGGCTTAGGCTGCTACTATTTCCTTCCACGTTCCCTAAGTCTGCAGCAGACCCTTGGCCATTGCCAGGCCTCTGCTGCTGCTCTGCGAGATCGGAAACATCGTTGCCGCTCCATACCATTTCCTCCAACTTGTCAGTCCGTGTACGGTGGTAGGCGAGAAGACATCGCTTGTTCCGGCGCATACAGAGATGGTCAACAAGCAATGTACAGGCAGTAGCAGGATCGGCAGATGGATCTATTGAACCATTGTGGGACTGAAGTATATTCGACACGTCCTTGTCTAAATCTCGTACCTCCCGGGTTACCGCTCGTACGATTTCGGTTTGGTATGCTGGGAGATGCTCGAGTTTCTGAGTCCTTTTGGCATGTTGGACCTACGGAGAGTTAATAACAATTTGATAGGATCGACGAGAGGTAATTACCAGTTTAATACCCAAGTCTCCATACATTGGGATATATGCAGTTACAGTTAGTGGATTTCTGTGCGTGTCTGTTTGGGATTTGTTGCGCTCGCGTCGAGGGGTTGAAGTAGACGCGATTCGGGTGCCCCACTTTATTAACTTCGGTCATACGTTTTATCGCCGATTCTCTAAATCAACTTCACAACGTACAATCTACGACGTGTCTCGGTCTCAACCAACTCACGCCTCACTTACAATAATCAAGGCACAGACATTGTTGCTACAGCTTGCCCACGTCAAGCAAAAAGATCACCACAGAATTTTTATCGGCTACCTGCAGGACAATGGCTTGTTGGCCATGACTGGGTCATCAAAGACACTCCCCGTGGGAGGTTGGAACTCTAAATCGTTACAATCACTCAGCACTTCATCCTTTGTCGCTGCTTTCCATATAAATACTTTTCTTACAACTCCAGGCCCCGTCAAAATTTTCATAAACATTTTATTTGTTCTATCTCAACACCATCCACTTCAAGACACAATCTCAACCTCCAACCATGAGGTCGTGGCCAATACAGCTGTTGCCAATATGAACTATTCCGAGGGTGCTTCTTAGATGTACAACTACCAAAACTAGCCCTTCCATGATGCTGTGACCTGATGGGGTTAACATTTGGCTTCAGCCAGGTTTGAAGAGCGTGGAAGCACGAACTCCATTTCACACTCTCGAAATAACGCTCCATCACACTTGGCTTCCAGTTTCGAAAATATTGTAAGGGGGTAAACTTTGATAAATACAGGGACAAACAACTATGCTATTTTGCAAAACTCCAAAAAGAGACTTTTCCGTCAAGTCTATCCAATACCGCGGCTGCCGATCATATTTACCAGTACATTATAAAGGCACGATCTTTGAGTATCAGAATAAGAAAACTCGATTTCAAATCATCAAAAAATCCGCCAAACTCCTCAGTCGATTTTGCAACATTATTCCCCATCCATCCACTTTTCGAACTCTGGACCAGCATCCATCGTCTCAACCTGCCAGCCCTCTTGGTGCCCTCGAAGCACACTTGCGTGTGGATCATGAAGAGGCATTCCTTCCTGGACGTGTTCTGCGTCTGCAAATGACATGGATGGGTCACTTAGGGATGGATCGATGCCGAACGGGCCAGCAAACTTCTCGCCGCCATATTGGGTGTCGCCAAAGAATACCCCTCGGTCATGAGCTCTATCTCCATGATTGTTATCATTGAAGAGGGTCTGACCATGTGAGATCAACGAGGGATCAATCTTGTGCTCTGTACCAGTCATAGGCGGACCCTGATATTGGTAGTGACCCATTATGTCGAAGTCTTGTCCTCCGGGCAGGCCAAGATAATTGTGCATTCCTGGAGTGGATTGTTTCGTGAGAATTATATCCTCAGCACCGTTGGGCGGGTAGTTTGGGTTCATCCTGATCGTCTGTTGATAGTACTCGCCACTCTGAGGATTGGGGTGGTATTGTTGTGGTGCCTGCTTGCCTGGATTGGTCGAATGATACGACGATGGATGATATCCAACATAGTTTGGATCCATTGAGCTCTCTCTCGACGAGTACTGGTATGCGGATCTCGTGGTTGGATATGCCACTGGGCCCATGGGGCTGCTAGGAAGTGGGCGCTGCTTCTTGTGTCGTCTGTTTGACCCATGCCCTTGCCAATCATAGTCATCTAATTCCGAATCTTCAGTCATCAGCTCCTCAGTCATCTTTCGCTTCCCTCCCTTTGCTTGTCCTGGTTTCGTCGGAGAGAACTTGTAACCCGGATGAGCATTCTGATGATTGATTCTCTCAATACGTGCCCATTCGTTGAACTGTTCTCGAACCTCATCTGGTTCCAATGGCCAACTCTCACCACATATCTGGGAGATGATTTGATGATTGTTCTCGAGACACCAGGCATTGGCTCTTTTTTGGTAACATTTGCGATACAGCATGAACGAGTTCATTGGTCTCTTAACCTTGGCTGGTACCTTTCCTTCGTCGACTTCTTTGCGGCGAACTTCGGCAGACCGATTCACATAAGCTTCAATGTCTACGGCCTCCAGGGTGAAGTCCTTTGTCAGCTCCGTGAGAGGTCTGTCCATCTTCGATGTTCTTTCTCCCTTTGCCTTTTCCTTCTTCACTTTCTTAGGCTTGGGCGACTTCTCGGCTCTCGATCGTTCTTCGAGCTTGGGTCTGAGTTGCTGGCCTCGGTGTATGGAAAGACCGCTTCTGGTATGTAGCACGTCAGGGGTTGGAGGAGACGACGCTGGTGTGCTGTATTGATCGTATGTTCCTGAGAAATTGGGGCTGTAATTTTCCTGTATACTTTCATTAGACACATTCAGACCAGACACCATAGCATCACTTACGTATTGCAGTCCAAGATTTGGACTGTGATATTGTTGTTGATATTGGTATCTAGGCGGCTGAGACGGACCTCTTGACATTCGTCCATTGTCGTGCGATGGTGCGGGGGAGCCATAGTTGGAGCGAAGGTGCGCGCTATTCTCTTCTTGTGGATATGGTGAACCCGAATTGTGTTGAAGAAGATGGTGAAGGTTGTGCTGGAGGAGCTCGCCGCCATTTGAAGGCGCAGGTGAAGGTGGCATTTTGTTTTGTTGTGCTTTGCGACGAATTTGCAATGCTGCGATCGTGTGACTTCGTTGAGTATTCAAGGTTTCGCGTTCTTATCTCTGAATTTGTTTTTTTATGAATGTTACTGTCCCCCCTTTTTAGACGCTGGCTCGATTCAGTCCGTGGAGTAGGATGATAGGCGAATGATCTGAAATACTGATCAAGTCTGTCCGGCAGATGTGTACTTATGACTGAAGCTACAAGTGTTGTTCAAGCTTTCGATCGTGTCTTATGGATCAATACTGGATTGTCTTCCAAGAAAAGCTTTGATGAACAAGTAAAACTGTTGATACCCGATGAAAGAACAAATGTTGTTCTAGAAAGATGTTCTAGCGAAGTTCTTTGGCAGGACAGAAGTTGATCTGTTATGACTGTTAATAACTTTTTTGTCTGAGGGATGAATCAAGCGGGCGCAAGTTTGTCTTTTCTTTTGAATCGTGCAGTGACTGAAAATGTTTGGAACGAACCTATTGCATGTATCCGTCTTGCAGTAATCTGCCTCCTACCCAGCAGGACAAGTGTTCTGGAACTGCAGCGTCAAGCAGCTGAGATGCTAGGTTCCAGTTCTATCCCGTACCCCTGAAATTTTATGCAGCTTGAAGATGCTCTGAAGCTTGGGCGGTCTAAGTGTATCCTCTTTGTCGGCGATGCATCAACACTCTGTTAGATACAGCCAGTATTGCAGATCAGAAAGAAAGCTGCAAAGCAAGGTGTTGAGTTGAGTCTTTGTTTTGAAACTAAGAGGGAAGAAAGAGAACTTAGAGAACTCTTTCCAACAGGTCTTTATGTATTTGGGCAGTTGGGTGCTCACAAAGAATAATGGACGGATTAGGTCATTTTGATGGAAATACAGATTCTGCTTTCGGCCAACCACCGCGCCCGTACAGTGAAATATCTACACACCCAACACAGCACAACAAAATCCTCGATGAGCCTCTGGAAGCCACATTGAACCGACCCTTTGAAGAATATCCTACCATCCAATAGATATCTTGCGATGTTGGATAATCATTGTGCTCCCTTGAGTTTTAAGCCCAGACCCACGCCTCATGACCAAAAACACGAAAACACCTATAACTGCCAGTATCCAGGACGCAATCTTCTTGCCAAACGAAATCGATCCCTACTCGAATTTCAGGCGAGAGACATTCAGATAGTGCCTCCTATCAACGCGCCAAAGAAATGGGTGTACAAACAGCGCGGCTCGTCGTTCGTCTGAAAACCGGTAGCCCATCCCAGCGCAAGCCATCTGCCTCCACCAGTTCATGCGAGTTCGCAGCCCATCAGCACCCGACCGACGCTCTACCAAACTTCCCTTCTTCGCCCTAGTCGTTCTAGGAGGAATGCCCATGGTTGCCACGCTAGCGGCGTTCGCGACTCGCGTCAAAGGAAGCTCTGGAATGTACGCCTTCCCCCTTTCAGAGCCGCGGGCAAGCGCAAGCGGTTTGCTCCCTTATTTGCAGCACGCAGGTACGGAAATCGCCGGCGTGAGATCTGTGAATTGGCAAGTGGTGACTGTTTTGGAGGGCGTGAGTGCATGCATTATTTTCTGTATGCTGAGGCGGTTGGTAGGTGTGCGAGGAACGCATACCCAACGACGCTCGCGCGGGAACTTGCATGTAGACGCGTGGCTGCATAGGTCTTAGGATACGGCTCTTTTCGTTAGAGACATGGTCGCCGTCTCCGTAGATGGGCCGCGCACCGTTGGCGTGATGGGCACGTTTGGACTGCGTGGTCGGGTGGATGGGTTTGTATGAGGGAAAGTCAAGACGGACGTGTCATTTCCTCACTGACTATGGTCGTAATCTTACGGAGGATCCTCCGGCCTATGCTTTTGTTGATGGAAAGTGGTGGTTACAAGCAGCACTTCTGGAGCAGTGGCTTCGAGGAGTTCTGGAATTCATGATTCATAAACACAGAAGTTCCCAACATCTGCGAATGGTCTTCTACGCCTTCTATAGTATATCAATATCAGCATCAATAATTCGGCTGAGAACCTACGCGCAGCAGTGCCGCCAAAAGAAAAACATGCACTTACTTCACTTCTCAATCCAATGCGCTTGTGGGGATATCCAAAACAACCACATCTGGATCCGTATAACGCTTCCTCATCCTGCAATCTTTGAAGTTCCAACCCTGTTCTAGCATAGTATGCCGATTTCTCCCTCAGGGAGAATTCCCGCGAACCGCACAAACCTTCCACCTCCGACCTCAAGCAGCTTAATAACCTGAGAGAACCTTCAACGTTCCCATAAGAACTCAGCAAACACAATGATCATTCCCAAGCCAGACCTGACATACGAAATCAACTGATGCTCCAACCATCAGCTTCCCCAGAAACTTGATTCACAACCCGTCTACGCCGCATCAAATTAGACTCCTATAAATTCCCATGATAATACTTATGTCAATCACACCGCAGTCGTAGAGTGCAAGTGATTATGAGGATAAGCAATACATCTGATTACGACGATAAGCTCCTGTTTACGAGTTTGGTGTCGCCTGCGTCGTATAATCTTGTGTTACCTGTTACACCTTCCGACTGTCGCGGTTGAAATGCCGAGGGAAGGGGGTACGGTACTGTACATGTTTATGGTGCTTCGAGTGTACTAGGCAATGATCATGGTCGCACCCAAGGAGATGTAGGACAGCCTTATCGTCAGTCGAGGTTCACAACCTTACACCAAAACGTCATCAAAACAATTTCCAAAAAAAAATTGACATCTCTTTCTATTGATTCATTTAATAATGGTACATATATCTCATTCTCATTATCTGTTTCGTTCCCAGGTCTAATCGCTCCATTCGCTATAAATTATGTTATGCTTAATCGGTTTGTATGCACGCGTCCCGTGTATTCTGTGTGAAGATCGTCCAAGAGACAAATCCAAATACCTGTCACAAATCCCATATGCGCCGTTTGATGTTCAAAAGTCTGCCGCACAGACAGTGACGTCCATGGAAGTGCAAATCTACGTTAGAGATTCCGTGTCCGTGGTGGTTGTTTGAAAGTGGTGGCTACTCTCGTGGTGGCAGTATACCAAGAAGAGGGAAAGCGCCGTGTGCTTTGCTATTTAATACAAATGATTGGATTTTAATACGTTGGCGCTGGAGAAGAAGCCTGTCCATTAGGACGATTCCTTTCTGGGTCAGATACCTTCACTGGAGGAGTGAGGATCTGCTTCTGGAAGTTAGGTGATAGCGTGGCCACTGGTGGTAAAATCGAAGGTGTGTGGGATCCGAAACTCGAAGAGAATGACCGCGGTGGAGAGTGCTTTGTAGGCGATAATCCGCTGGCAGCAGAGGGAAGCGCCGAAGATTGATCCTCGATTTGGTTCTGAGAAGACTGCCCTTGATTCGCAGGAGTCGCCATTGTCTGGAGTGGCGATGATCCCGCTGGTTTCCAGACATGCATATTCGGCGCAGAGCTCTGAGGTTTGTTGCTCAATGGCGTTTCCGTATGTGACTTTGTCTTCGCGGCCGGAGTGAGCACAGGGCCACCCGCGAAAGGTGATGAAGCACCGAACACGCGGCTGTCTTGGTTGCTATCGCTTGATATTGACCTGGAGCCATTCAAGGCCATGGTAGCTAGAGGGGGTGATCCTGAAGTCTTCCGTGATGGGGAAGAGTTTGGGTTTGCTACACTCTTGTTATGATTCATGCCATTTCCGTTCATGAATGTGTAAACTGCCGGTTGATTAGGCGGCGGCAAATTTGTTGGACTATTTGGGTGTGGAGAAGAAAAGGCATGAGCGCTTGATGGTCTGATAGCACTGAAGGGTTGCTGCGTTTTACTGTTTGGAGATGAAGATCCAAGTTGCCTAGTGAAAAGCGGTCCTTGATTAAGACGAGAAGTGTGGTTGGGAGGTAGGATCGGACTACTCTGGGGTTGCCGCCGAGGTGAACTGAGGCTGGTATCTTGTTGAGAGCGTGGAGTCTGGGCTATAGAGGTATCATGAGATTGTCGTCCTTGTGGTGAAAGAGCAGATCCAGGTTGCCATGTGGCAAGCTTTGGAGCCGTTTGTAGAGACTTGACTGGTGAGCTATGTGTGCCGTTGGATGTACTTGGTGGAAAGCTTATATTTCCATTAAGTTTTGCTGGGAGGACGACAGAGACATTGTCGCTAAAGCTATCCTTGGCTGCAGGAGAAGAAGAAGATCCCGGACGACCCAGTTTAAGCATAATAGGCGGGCGGTTCTTGGCTCGTTCAGCATCCTCTGCTCTCCGTTGGCAAGTCTTGCATATGAAAGAGAAATCATCTCTCTCAGCCTCCTTCTGGCTTACTCCAACGCATTTACTGTGTTGCCAAATGTTGCACTTGTCACATGCAATACTGTGCGTGCCATCGTCGATTTGACCGTATGCACCACAAATGCAGTCAAATATCCAATCTTCTTCCTCCGCAAGCTCCTCAAGTGCTTGCTTCTTCTTCTCGATTTCGGCTTTGAGATGACGCTCTGACAGGCGTCCGGCGCCAGCATCAATCTTTTTACTATCCTCAGATAGATTGGCAAGTTCCTCTTCGTGTAAAATTCGTCTGGCCTCTCTCTCCTTCAAGCGCTGCTCACGAGTTACCATTCGGGATTCACGTTCTTTCTCCAGCTTTAGCCATTTCTCTTGCTCTTTCTTCGCCATAGACAACTCCGCCAGCCTTTTGCGTTCTGCTTCCCGCGTTTCCTCTTCATGCTTTTGCATTTCCATCTTTCCTGCTATTCTACTCGACCTCTTTGCGGTGGCAAGCTTTTCAAGATTTTGTAATTCGCGCGCCTTTTGGGCTGCTTTGCGCTGGCGGGCTTCTTCCTGCTTCTCCAGGATGGGTAGCACATCCTCTGACAATCTCTTCCATAATATCTTTTCGTTCGGATCGCGGCTCTTCTCTATCGTGGCGAGGAATGAGGTATAATCCTGGTAAGATACAGCAATACATTCCCATTTCATCCCACCGAGACCGTCGTCCTCTTTGATCTCGCCCACGGTTTCTCCAACCATGCTTTCATCAGCGGCTTCGGTCTCACTCTCTACCGCCTCGGCGACCTTCCTCCGCTTGCTAGCCCGTTGTGCTGCTTTCGCTTTCTTGGAGTTCTTCTTCGGCTTAGGGGTCGGTGCTGGAGGTGGAGGAGGTTCGGTCTGGCGGTAGAGTCGGTTATCATCGAGTAAGATGTATGTGCGATCTTCTGAATCCCATCCAAAAGGCTCAATCCGCTGACATTCCATTGTTAGCATAAAATAGCCCGGGATAAAAGTGTTGACAAACCCAGACTGCTTGTTCCGTATCCTTTTTCTCTTCCATCCTGTCGCGAATACGATCTGGATTGACCATTGTCCACTGAGTGAGTTGTTGTAACACTCGAATCTAGACGCAGGCAGGTTTTAGTAACCAATCAATGGTAGAATCTGCCACAGCATACCTTTGTAAATGTGTCGAAATCCAAGAACTTGGCCGGCTCTTCTTCAACTCCAAAGGGGTTGCGTTCAGGCGCCCTCGCAACATACTGTCGTCTTGTGTATTCATCGAAAATCTCGGGACTGGTTGCCGTTAGATAGATTCGAGAGATGGGGGATGTGAACGTACGTAAGTCCTTTGTGAGAAGAGACGAATTTAAGGAGCGCTAAACCAATATCCCGCAGAATCGTGGAGTGATGCGTGAGACATGCCATCTCCAGTTCCTATAGAAGGTCTTAGTATCATTCACAAAGCATTTGAGGTGCTCAGGCTATGATTTCGTACCTCTGTATCGAGATTCTCGTCAATCTTGACAGCCCTTCCGAATGTGAAGATGTATTGGGTCAGGGCCGCGAATTCCCACATGTTCCTTATGCGATCCAGCATCGTGATTTCCTTCGGCGGCTCTGGTGTAGGTTCGACGGCTTCCATCTCCTGCCGACCTCGCTTCCTCGACGATACCATGATTCGAGAGATATGAAAGTACTGATCGATGAGGTTGAACTTAAGTGAACGCGACAGGCTGCGGATGTTGCCCTGTTGTTGCAAGAGGAGCAAGTTGAGCTGAATAAATTTTTGCAAGAAGATAAGTAGCTACGACGTGCTGTAGCTACGGAAAGGGGCCCTCGGTCGCGGTGTGGTGTTTGTGGAGTTGTGTTTGGCGTCAGAGGAGGTCAAAATTATATCTTGACATGGTCGAACGCGATCGACCACTAACGCGCGATGCGGAAAGTTGACGCGACACGTGACCTTTCATCAGCCACAGGGGATTCCCAAAGCGGGCGGCATCCATCATGGATGGGCTGGACTGGTGGGGGAAGTACCTAGGTAAATGAGAATTATATCTAAGCCATAACCTGGAACTAGTTAAGTAATATGTAAGTGAAGACTACATCTGGTTCAACTTCTTGTGATTTCGACTAATTAAAAAGGGCCAGTCAAATTATCTTTCCCACATACTGTACCGTAAACTGCTCGCATCAGTACGAGTACGGCCCTATCTCAGTCCCGGACCAGGGTGCGTTGGTGTGTTCCATTTCATGTTTCCATATGCGTTGGATTTCCTACCTACTGTCAGGCACACGATATTGCACCAACTGAACGTTCCCAATTGACCCATTTTAAGTTTTGTATAACCTCCACGATCCTCCACATGTCGCAAAAGCACACGGCTGTCGTGACCAGATAATTGAACTGCCAAACCACTGACAGCGCCACATCCCGAAATAGCCTCCCCCTCCAGAATTGCGAATCCCCTGTTTTTAGAGCAATCCGAGCTTGAGCCTGCCGATACACGAACACCGACCTGCAGCGCAGCGCTACTCGACCCCTGCTTAGCCGTTTGCTGCGCATCTCACTCTTTCTCTGTTTGCTCCGCGTCGACGTTACAGAATTTCGAACAATCCAACGAGAAATCACGAAGAAATTTGACCACGCCGTACGGATAGGGAAAAAAAGGAAATTCGACAATAGCTCGCTGAAAACTCGTTCCAAACTCGCTCGTTTGATATGATGGCCGCTACCTAACCAAAACACTCGCTCTTTGCGCGCAAGAACCATACGATTGAACGCACATAATATCTACCAACACGATTGTACACGTCGAAGCAGGGTACTACACTGTTTAGAGGGCCTTCGGGTCATTGGCGTATGCCAAAATGCCTCCCCCGAATCCGCAGGACCGTTCGAATCCGTCCTCCCCACCCATTCCCCTGGTTGACCTGGGCTATCCATCAGAATCCGGCGATCTAGGAGATGGAAGGCGGCAACACACTCGCGGCAGAAGTCTTCTGGGGGGCGTATCGCGGCCAACAAGTGGTGGTTATGGAAATGGGCCCAGATACGAGATGATTGGGAATAACTCACCAAGTCCTCCGATGGGACGACCTCCCCAACGGCCATTGCAAGCTCCATCTTTATCCATCCAGCAAAGCAATTATGACGACCCAGGGACGCCAATATCACCGGTCGATCCTGGGGCATTTCAGAGCGCGATGGGGTTTGCTGGGTTGCTGGTACCGGATATCAGTGTATCGCAGCCTCCGCCAATGTCGAGAACACAATCCCCATTCGGCCCATATGGTTCAGGAGATTATGATGGGATTTCTCCATATGGCGGAGACTCTGGAGACGATTTGGCGTATCAGGGCACTAGCTACTTTGAGGGACCAACAGATACGGATAGCATACCTCTGACAGACACAAGTCACCTCCAACCTATAGACGGATCCGAGGCATACAACTCGAGAGGGCAGCGGCACGATAGATCTGGAAGCTGGGATGATGTCAATATCAACGCTTCGGACTCCTCCAGGAGAAGGAGGAGTACAAGAAACAGACTTGGGGATAATCTTTCTTCAGCAGAACAAGGACACTCTCCCAGTAGTGGCCGTTCGCGGGCACATAGTTATGGAAATGCTCTTACGCCAGATGGTCGACATCGATCTAGATCACCCTCGACGACATCAGGCGCTTTTTTGCGAGCTGGGTCTATAGTCAGAGCGATGTCACAGCGTGTTGTGAACATCAGTGGTGAGGCCGAATTTATCGAGGCCAGCGCTCGCCGCGCAACAACCAGAATCTCTAGACAACCCAGTCTATCGACGATGGCAAGTTTGAGTGACGAAGAAGAAATTCGATTCCAACCCAAACACAAAAAAGACCCGCTTGCAGCTGGACCTAACCCGCAGGTCAATTTACCGACAGCACCTGTTGAAAAAGCAATGAAGTTTTTCGGGAAGGGCCAGCCAGAACCTTCATTTGACGAGGAGACTGAGAAGCCTCCAAACCCTTTGCGGGGTAAATCTCTAGGCATATTTTCTCAGGATAGTAAAATCAGAACATGGCTTTGCGATGTGCTGGTATATCCACTTACAGAACCGGTCATTCTCATCCTCATCATGGTTCAGACCGTGTTGCTTGCTGTCGAGTCATCCAGAGATGTATTTACACATCCACGTCCACCAGGCTGGGGCAGCACAGCGAATGATTACGCCATTCTTGCTTTGTTTATAGTCTTCACGTTTGAACTCGTTGCTCGTATCATAGTATCTGGGCTCATAATCAATGCTCCGGAATACAGCGCCACAAGAAAAAAAGGAGGAATCAAAGCGATCATCGCTGATCGCTACCGTACAATATTCAAACCGGAAAGGCACAACTCGCAAAGAGGACCCCGTCCAAATCCTCTTCTTAGCGCACAGACTGTCGTGCGCTCATTTACCGCCATTCAGGGAGATAAAGTGAAGACTGTCGAACAAGCTCAGCGACTTCAATTAGCAAGACGTGCGTTCCTGAGGCATGGTTTCAACAGGCTTGACTTCGTAGCTGTATTTGCTTTTTGGGTAGCTTTCGTCCTTGGTATTACAAGAGTCGAATCTGATCGGCATTTCTACGTTTTTCGGATGTTGAGTTGTCTGCGAATTCTTCGACTCCTAGCTTTGACGCACGGTACTGCAATCATTCTTCGAAGCTTGAAAAAAGCAGCACCATTACTTGTGAACGTGTCTTTTCTTATCGGATTCTTCTGGCTTCTATTCGCGATCATTGGTGTACAGAGCTTCAAATCTAGCTTTGATCGCCAATGTGTATGGGTAGACTCAACGGACCCGACCAACAGTACTGGTAGCGCCTGGGTAAATTCTGGTCAATTTTGTGGAGGCCAGTTTACGTTGGACGGACTCCATGAGACTTGGAAACATGGCCCTATGATCAATACAGCTGCTAAGGATCTCATATCATCAAACAACAGTATCAAGGGCTACCTGTGTCCAGCGGGGTCATATTGTCTAGAGCTGCCGCACGAATTGCTTCCTTTCAATGGGACCGTTAGCTTTGATAATATATTTCAGTCCCTGGAATTGGTTTTTGTGGTCATGACTGCGAATACCTTTACTGACCTGATGTATTACACTATGGACTCAGACTACTTGGCTGCAGCTCTATTCTTTGCCGGTGGAATTATGATCATGATGCTGTGGCTTCTCAATTTGCTCATTGCTGTCATCACATCATCTTTTCAAGTTATAAGAGAAGAGGGAAAGGCGAGCGCATTCGCAGCTCATGTGAAGAACATGTTGCCGACACATGATCCAGAAGCTCCTCCACGCCTCGGATCCCTCAAAAGGCTTTACGACAAGACGTATTGGTTCTGGATTGTTTGTATCACTTACGACTTGGTGTGCCAAGCTGCACAGAGCGCTACCATGTCTCCAACTCGAAAGGCATTTATTGGCAACTCGGAGATAGTGGTTACCTTTATACTGTTCATCGAGATAATAATTCGTTTTGCCGTTGACTGGCGAGGCTTTACTCGAAACAAAAAAAATTGGTTCGATCTTGGAATAGCGGTGATTACAATGGTCATTCTGATTCCTCCTATCCGGAACTCGGGGCAGCCATACGCTTGGCTGACCGTTTTTCAATTGATCAGAGTCTACCGCGTAATTATCGCTGTACCCGTCACTCGAGATCTCATTACTCTCGTTTTGGGTAACGCGAGCGGTATTGCTAACCTGATGCTCTTTGTGTTTCTGATTACGTTCCTCCTTTCGATCTTCGCCGTGCAACTTCTACGAGGGGAATTACCTTCGCAACTGGATGGAGACGACGTCCAAGCCACTTTTTCTACAATATACAACGCCTTCCTGGGCATGTATCAGGTGCTGTCTAGTGAAAACTGGACCTCTATACTCTATAACGTCACTGGTGTGGGAAGGTCCCGAGATTCCGCCTGGATCGGAGCCGCATTCTTTATTGGATGGTTCATTCTTGCAAATTTCATCTTGGTGAATATGTTCATAGCAGTCATCCAAGAGAATTTTGATGTTTCAGAGGACGAGAAACGTATGTACCAAGTGAAAGCTTTCTTGAATAGGAAGGAGTTAGGTGGCGGGACCAGTAACCTATCTCTCTCTGCCATTTTCCGTTTCGGCAAGGCGAGATCGACAAAAGACCCTTTAGATTATGGTCCAGCTACTATGGAAATGCTTCTCAAGGACGCTGTTGTCAAAGACTTTCTTGATGATGAAATTCGGGCTGCTGAACAGACGACTCCAGCCCTGAATACCCAACCAACAGAGCCGGTTATAATCACTCCAGGTTTGATTACCCGACTGCGCGCAAGGTTTAAGAGAGGGATATTCAATAGTGAACCAAATCCGTTCTATTCAAACATCGAGTTCTCTACCCGAACCGACGAGACCACGGATGCCAGAACATTGGCGAAAGAAGCTGTATCTGCGACATCTCAACGCAAGAAAGCACAGCGAGAATATTTAGCTCGGCATCCCACGTACAACAACGTTCTGTTCATACTCGCCCCCACAAATCCGATCCGTCGTTTCTGTCAGAGAATCGTTGGTCCAGGACGAGGAATGGAAAGGTTCGATGGCGTCGAACCCAACAGGGCGGTTTGGTATGCATTTTCAGCATTCATCTATGCTGCAATAGTAGCGATGGTTCTTCTCGCTTGTGTGACCACTCCGCTATATCAAAAAGAGTATTTCGATCAGCACAGGTTCAGCGTGCAGAACTGGTTCGTGTGGGTCGACATGTCGTTTGCTATCGTATTCTCGGTGGAAGCACTGATCAAAATTATCGCGGATGGCCTGTTCTTTACGCCCAACGCCTATTTCAGAAGCTCGTGGGGGATGATCGATGGTATTGTGCTTATAACTTTCTGGATCAATGTCATAACCTCGCTCATGGACGATGGTGAGGTATCAAGAGCTGTTGGGGCGTTTAAAGCATTGCGCGCTCTAAGATTACTCAACGTCAGTGACAGTGCTAGGGAGACCTTTCACTCACTGATTGTCGTTGGAGGCGCCAAATTCTTCTCCGTAAGTTTCCACGCGTATTTTTGTTAATGCCATGACTAATGTCTAGCACAGGCTGCTTTCGTCACTTTCTCCCTTTTGATTCCATTCGCCATATACGGCGTGAACCTTTTCAGCGGCCAGCTTGTCGCGTGCAACGACAATGGTAGTGGTATCACGCAAGTAGCTGACTGCTTCGGCGAATATGGGTCAACGCCTTTCAGCGGTAATTGGCCAATGATTGCACCTCGAGTTGCATCTAATAACTGGTTCGACTTTGATGACTTCCCGAGCTCCCTCTTCATACTCTTCCAGATCGTCTCTCAAGAGGGCTGGGTTGACGTTATGTGGTCAGCGGAGAGCATTGTTGGTCGAGGATTACAGCCAATAATTCTCCATTCCCAGGGTAACGCCGTCTTTTTTGTCATTTTCAATCTGCTCGCCACAGTCTTCGTACTTACCCTGTTTATTTCCGTCTTTATGCGAAATTACACGGAACAGACTGGAGTTGCTTTCTTGACCGCGGATCAAAGATCATGGCTGGAGTTGCGCAAGCTTCTCAAACAAGTGTCACCGTCCAAACGACCTTCCAGCACGCTTGGTAGAGGCTGGAAAGACTGGTGTTATAAACGAGCTGTGCGTAAACATGGAAAATGGCAAAGAGCCATGACGTTGGTTCTTGTCTTCCACCTTATTTTGCTACTGATCGAATATTACCCCGAACCCCGACCATGGGACAGAGCCAGGAACTACATATTCCTCGTCTTCACAGTCTTTTACATGTCCAACATCGTCGTGCGCATTGTCGGACTCAGTTGGTCTAGATTCAGACGTAGCTCATGGGATGTGTTCTCGATATTTGCAATTACGGGGACGCTGGTATCAACAATCATACTGGAAGCGGACGGAGACCAGAGGCAGATTTACGTTCAACTTCATAAATTGTTCCTTGTGTCTGTTGTTCTACTTTTGATCCCGCGTAATGACGCTCTGGATCAACTCTTCAAAACTGCAGCTGCGAGTTTGACTAATATTGGAAACCTACTTGCCACATGGTTTGTCTTCTTCATTGTCTTCGCCATTGCCATGACTCAGACGTTTGGTCTCACAAGATTTGGGCCAGAAGAAAGCGGCAATCTCAATTTCCGTAGCGTACCGAAAGCCCTTATCCTCCTGTTTAGGATGTCTGCCGGCGAAGGCTGGAACCAAATAATGGAAGACTTTGCGGGGATAGAACCACCGCTCTGCAATAGAAATGAAAGCTTCTTCCAGAGTGACTGCGGGAGTGCTAATTGGGCCAGAGCACTGTTCATCTCCTGGAACATTCTGAGCATGTACATCTTTACGAGTCTGTTCGTTTCTCTTATCTACGAGAGTTTCAGTTACGTATATCAACATTCCAGCGGTCTTGGTAAAGTCAGTCGAGAAGAGATTCGACGATTCAAACAAGCATGGGCCACACTTGACCCCGAAGGAACAGGTTATATCACCAAAGAGCAATTTCCCCGGCTGCTAGGTGAACTCTCGGGCGTGTTCGAGATGCGTATTTATAGCCACGAAAATTCTGTTAGAGGTATCCTCGAAGATATTCAGGCACAGGGAACTTCCGGGCGAATCTCTGCTTTGGCAACCGGAGGTGGTAGTTCGAGCGGAGTCAACCTAAAGTTGCTCAATAAACGCCTTGCTCAAATAGATCCAGAGGAAGTCCGACGAGCAAGACAGCGCTATAATTTGTTCTTTGAGGAAGTCATGGTATCTGCAGACGTCGACCGTGGTATCTCATTTACCACAGTTCTTATGATCTTAGCGCATTACAACGTCATCAGTGATAACAAAAGCTTGAAGTAAGTCTTGGAAAACGCTGCACATCAACCTTACTGACAGTTCTTTTTAGATTAGAAGAGTTTCTGCGCCGACGAGCTCGCCTTCAAAGAGTCGAGGAAGAAATCCGCAGGCGGATTGTTCTGGGTTTCTTCGATACTATGTAAGAAGAGCGCAGAGCATATGTAAGAGATTCGCTAACACAACTTAGGTACTGGTCTAGAAGATTCAGAAAGCATCTTGAGAAAAAGAGATCAGGGCGGATGACCGCCGTCCCTAATCTCGGCCCAGAGATTTATGTTGACGACGATGAAGAAATAGCGAATCGAGCAAAAGCCAAGGCCAGTGCTAGAGCGTCAGAACGGCTGTCTCCCCATGATGGTGCACTTGATGCTCGCAGTTCTTTTATTGCTCACGGGTTGGATGGGGCGCAAAGGCATCGTCATGCCGAGTCATCCTCCAGTCTCGGGCCGTTTGGTACGTTTGGTGGCCCATTATCGCCCAGAAGTCCTCAAAGATCACCCAAATTATCACCACATCGTCCTACAAATTCCGATTTCAGCTTCGAAGCTGATCAACAACTCTCTGCGCCCAATTCGGCGAACGGTAGCCGACGCGGCAGCGAAGTCAGTGCTGAGAATGTGCTTCAAGTTCTCGACAACTCGGCTTGGGGGGAGAGTATCAGGCGCAGTTTTACTGTGAGACGACCAGAGCAGCACCGACGAGAAGGTCCCTGAGGACAGGACAACAGAACTATACCAAAAAAAACTAATATTTCAAAACTAAGCCTTTTGAGCTTAGGATAAATTACGATCGATCTTCGTTCGTGCGTTCGAAAATACAGACAGCGCCGATTCGAGAGCAGTATAGACGGTGGAGAAAAGCACCCGCGATTAATACCCTTGCGGGATTCTATCATTTGGTTTGGTCTGGCGTTTACGATCATTCTTTCACGGCCATCATGATGATTTTTACATTTTTTGTTTTGTTTCAATTATGGATAGAATTCAAGGTTGTACATAGCGTGCATTCTTGTATATTGGGATGCTCGCATATTTTTGTACATTGGAGCAGAATAGGCGCGGGATGAGGGCAGATAGATGGATAGGAGGCTGGACATAATTTTTTTCTGGATTACACATTTTTTTTCTTTTCTTTATTGTATGCATAGCCAGGGAGTTTTGCTGTGCCTTATCGAATGGGAAAGTTCGAGGTTGATACCATGGTGGGATGGAGGGGAATTGGAGGGATTGGTTGTAATAGAGAGATGGGTTGCTTGTTTGTATGAAATGATATAATAATGATAGGATCGAAATTTCTAGATTTCGGAAATCAAGAGCTTTACACGTCGTCTCTCTGTAATTTTAGAGGGGCTCAGATGGCTTTTACTTGAGTGGCTAGTTTTCCCAGGTAGTTGATTCGTTGCTTACTCGTGATCTGTGAAGTTTTGTTCCGTTCTTCGCGAAAGGCCATTTGCCCCCATGATTTCATGCAAGTTTAGTAGTAATTACAAACGCTATATATGAGCTCTCCTTTGACATCGAACAGAGAAGCAAACTTTAGATACGCGTCTTTGGCACTATGATTGCTTCTTCCTCTTGACTCAATATGGCATAGGAACCAAGTCGCGCACGTGAAGAGCTGAACAAGCTGCAGATAGTCACGTTTATAGCACAGCCCAGGCTGTCTGCAAGGCTCTATGCTATGACGAAGAAAATACCATAACCCTGGGCCACCTCGATCAACGAGACATCTTCACATTATTTTCCTCTCGATTTGGTCTCTTCGTCAATTCTAAATCGACGGCTACCGGGCCAAACCACTAATATGGATCCTCTCTCCATCATTGCCGGAATAGCAGGAATATCTCAAGCGGGAGCCTCATTATCAGTTGCCATCTTCCGTCTAATATCCGCTGCGAAAAGTGCACCAAAAGAAATTACAGATATCGCGAGAGGGGTGTCAGATCTCTCGATGATATTGCGAGAGCTTCGCCGCGTTTTAAAAGATGGGCGTCAGATTTATCGCCGAAAATTAATCAGGCGCGTTGGTGTCGCTATTAAACGCATCGGAAAAATTCATGATGAGATTGGGGAACTTCTCGAACTCGAGAGCGATTTCTCTCGGCTGAAATGGGCATTTAGACGTTCTAAAGCTACGCAGTTGCTATATCAGGTTGAGAGTCATAAGACTGGTGTGCATTTGATATTGCAAACGATGATACTGGCGAGTCAACTCAAGATGCATCGCAGGTTAGCTCTCTTTCCCGTATAATGATTTGGTCTTCAAATTGACACATTGCTCATTTAGTCAACACCAAGAGTCAAAGAAAGACGAGGACGACACCGATGAGACCAAACTTCTTCGACAGCAAGCGGAAAACCTTGTTCAAGTGTCTTATCAATCTTTACGTTCCCTAGTAATGACGGCCGAAAATGGGTTTCCGGAGGATTACTCCCCCGACGAAACTGATCCAGATGGAAACACAGCTGAAAATTCAAATGAAAGTCAAATCCAGCTGCACAAGGCCGGTCTTGAAGATACTGCAACATGGCTGTATGAGCTGGCGTTTTCTTCTATCAATGAAGTGGCCGCTACTGGAGATCAGGTCTCGAATCAAACGGAGGAGAAGAGCACCGACGGTGAAGATTGCGATATCTCACAAGCGCTTATACTCAACCTCCCTGGCCAGCAAGCCAAGCAGTTGTCTCAACCACTTCAAATATTACTCCGAACTCCTACCAAGCCTTGTTTGGCCCTCAACGAATTACTTGCTGAATGGACTACTTTGACAGAAGACGAAATTGAAGGTGTTGAAAGTTCGCGGAAAGAAGACAACGTTGAAGTCGATGACCAGGAGAACATTAAAGAAAACAATGGTCCGGACCAATTAAAAGACCTACCACTAATCCACTTCAAAGACGCTGTGGGTCGAAAATTCGTCTTTCCCTACGATCTTGCCAAAGATTGGGCTGTAAGTTAAAGTACTTCTTGTGGGTTCTAGAAAATGGCTAACATATTTCTCTTCAAGGGAGTGAAAGAATTAATTAAGCAGTGTTTTCTACACGTTGACATAATTGGACCTCACGTGATGGATGGCCATTATGACCTGATGTCAAGTGCCGGGTCCATTATCCTTCCACAAACTTGGGAGAGGTTAATAAGGCCTGGTGAAACGATAACGATGCAAATGTGGCCTATTCCAGAGCCTTCCACACCACGAAATACATTTTCTCCGAAAGGACTTGGATGGCCACCGCCTCCTAACCAAATTGTAATTGACAAGCCGGTAAAGTCTCCTCCATTTACAAACCCGGGTGGGATATCTCCCAATGTTTTATTCCCTTCGCTACCTGGGTCAACGCAAAAGCTGATCTGCGACAGAAAAAGCCAAAGGTGCGAAGCAATCAACCGAAAAGGTAAATAACAAAGAGACTTGACCAGTTGAGTCGAAAGGTTCAAGAGAGATTCAGCAACATGGAAGGAGTTACTTGGTGACCTCATTCAGTGAAGCTTCATGCAAGCAGAGTACAAGAGACAGGTATTAGAAAATTTTGTAAAAGCAACGTACAATTAGAGGTAATAGCTGTCTCTGAGAGGGTATCGACCTGGGTCAGAATATAAAGCCAGGTCTTCGTCAGCAACTAAACCTCGTTTACATACGCTCTAGAAATCCCAGTAACTTTATAGAGTAAAGTGTTGTAGCTATAAATGCAAGAGTGGTCTAGAATCCTGCTGCTCTAGGTACTATTGAAAGATGGCAGAGTAGTAGACAAGTTCTAAGCTAAGAGCATACTGATGCGAATCAACGGTACACTCCCCTCCTATAACGAACCTCGTTGGCATGCACCATAACGATAGATTTGATTCCAGTTCTGCAATCTACCTGCACCTACATGTCAAACTGTACATAAAATAATGTATACAGTGGGTTTCCTTGCAAAAGCGTCCTTTCAAGGTTCAAAAGAGGAGCTGCTCGCTCAGATCGCCCTACTACCAAGACAATCGAATTGTACAATATCCGGGACACGGTCTTCTCGATACATGATTGAATGTACACATAAACCCAAATGATTTTGAGGCACCTGAATGGTATTTAGAAGTAGAACCAATTTATTCTTTGAATACTATGTCGAAGACAGCTCTGATTGATACTGAGATACAGGTATCTGCCAAGCGGTGAAAATTACGGCAGACAGGCCTAGAACCAGACCCTTCTTCCATTATACAGGTAGAGTATATTGAAAGAACGGATTTTATAGAATGGCTTCCAGGGTAGCAATCAGATAATTCACCTTTCTTGTACAAAACAATACAATAAAAACACGAAAGATACCCAGATATTCGGAAATCGTCTTCTTGGCCAGATTGATTTAGTAGATCAATTTAGCCCCTCGTTTCTCGTATTCACGATCTGGAGTTAGATTTTCCGTGGCGGCCGTGCCGATGCATTCGTTCGTCAAGTTGAAACGGATCGCGGTAAAGTCGGCTTTACTCGCGTCACCTGTTCGCTTCGTCACGTTATGCCCCTTTTTACGTTATCTCAGCTCTCTCTTTTCGTACATTTGTGATCTTGTGAATGAAGCTTATGCAAGTTCCATATCAGCTGTTTTTTTACATTATCTATCCATCCTCTGGTGCAAACTTTATCGCCACGCCAACGATGCAGCATTTCTTGCCGTGATGTTGAAGATGTCCGTTCGATTCAAGGTCTGAGAGCTCAAAGTTGAGCTTAAGCGAGATCTTGGCGGATGTGTCAGATTTATTTTTCAGGGGGGGTTGTATGGGGGTATGTCCGTTTTTGGAGGGGTGAAACTTGTCACAGCTGTGGTGGGTTTGATCACGGGCGATCAGATTAATTGTGGTTTGTGGTTTGGGCTTTGATGTTTGGTGAATCAGGTGATGTTGGAACGGCAGGGACGCTGAGCTGGCTGTCGTCGTGGTTTGGGCTCTGGAGGGAGAGATCGAGACGTGTTCTTGAGGACGTAGGGTGTTTACGAATGAGGCTTTGGTGCTAGTCTTTAGTGTACGACCGGCTTTGTGGGTAGTGAGGTGGAAAAGGGGGAGTACGAGAGGTATTTTTGGAAATGTTCTAGAAGGTAGTTTGCATGATCTTTTGGAATTGAATTGATGCGAAGGATTATGTTGGTGATACTCAATACTCGTACTTCCTGGTAATATGGTACTCGTACCTGGAATCTTCGAAGAAGAGACCGAAAAATCCATGGATTCGGGCTGAGGTTCGCCAAGCTGCAATGGAGGGGTCGTCGTCAGGGCTGCCAACGGCTGACGTACAGTAGTCACACCACTAGCATTTTGGCCTTTTCAGCACGTCTGTAGCGTGTGATGTGCTGAAGAAACGGTAAGATGGCGTTGTGATACTGCAGTGGTCAAGTGTTGGTACCTGACTACTCCAGCACTAGCAACTTCTCCCCTGAGCAGAATCTCCCTCGCCTCGGTTCGCTCCCCTTGTCACAACTCCGGAACCGTATCCTCACCCCTTTGTAACATGATTCGCATTGACTTCCAGGCAAGGAATCACACTGTTGCAGCGCATTAACGTTTGTCCCTTCCAAAATTCAGCCTCTTGCCTGGATTCGGCTTTTATTGCATTCTCAGTGGGGGAAACAATGTTGTCAATCCACGCATGCCTCCCGGCCACGATGACCCTTCCCCCGGTCCAGGGCAGCTCACAAGTGACAAACCTCCCCTGTTAGACTCTGGTCGATCATCCACCTCTCCAAACCTGATCTCTTCCCGACCCCTGGCATCTGGTATCCTAGCGTGCGTCCCTTTGCCATCGAGGGCGTTGCTGGTCATTTAAATAGGTGAACACACGCAGTTTCCTCGGACGCTCCGACTCTTTCTCATCTTTCCTGTCTTCGACAAAAAGTCACTTGTGCAATCAATCTTTCTCTTGTTTCTATCCGAAACAAAATTAAAGTCTAGTACTATACAGACTCGTCACTCGTTCAGTGCTCAACAATAATCTACAAAGGCTGTGCCTATCAACAAGCATCACTCTTGCACCAACTACTATACAATTTTAATCACCACTTCTCTATATCTATATATACTTCTTCACCACCCTACTTTCACCTCAACCAACCGTCAACATGCGCACCACACGTTTCCAATCCCTCTCCTTCTCCAGCATCCGCACCTCTCTCTCATCCCGCCGAAGCAGATCCCCTTCAGACTCTTCAATGACCAGCACACGGGACTCATACTCCAGTTCTCCCATCTCAGAAATCAACGCCATCATGCACCGTCAGCCATCGATCGTCGACATGGAGGAAGAGAAGAAGACCTTCCCAACCGGTCTCGAGATCTTGGAACCAAGACCAATCGTGTACTGGGGCGGACTTGAGGAGCGAATGGGCTCCCTCTAGACGATGAAATTACGACGATGGGTTTTATTTTTTCACAATGGATGGATGATTTAGAGAGGGGTTTGGGAGATATACGCAGGCGATGTGTCGAATTATGAATGGCGTTACAATCTGCCTTGATGGGTATGAGTTATGGTATTTTACTGTCAATTGATGGGAGGGCTTATGAGTTTCTGGGTGATTGGGAGTCTTCTTTACAGACTTGCTTTTTGGATTTGGGAGGTTGAATCTTGCTATGCGAGATTCGGGATGTTTGAATTTGGGACGGATATCCTTGTAGCGATGTTGCTGCTTAAATACCACTTTTTCAACCTTGATCTGTGTTTGAATCTCTTTTTGAATTCAATGTGACTTGTTTGTCTAGGTGTTGGTGATATTCCAAGAGAGTTGAGGCTGACCCACATAAAGTCAAAAGCAAGCGGGTTGATTGGTGACAGTACTCTAGCCAAGTTCCTTGGCCTATTCCCAACATGAGAATCGCAGAGATACCTTTTTCATACCACGACTTAATTTACCTGCTCGACATGATATGGAGTGCTCATTGGCGGCCACAATGTTTCAATAGACGAACGTCCGTCTCCCATAATTCTCGATATGGAAGAACCTACCTGCTCCTCCCCCATCCCTTCTCCTTCCACGCCACCGACCGCCACGAATCCAGCCATAACTCATAATGATGGCATGACTCGATCTCAAGCCGCAAATCTTTACATCAGGTATGTTCTTTGAGAATATCCTCCGTCGATGATCAACCTATATCGTCCTTCTTTCTCCCTCTGCTACACCTCCGAGCTAGTTTGAAACAAACACGCGATGGGTTCAACGTTTGAAGACACCAACACATAAGATGCTTACGAGTAACTTACCAGTCACTTTTTAAGTACCTGGAACGTCAGATCATACGTAACTCTCTCATCCAGGCTCGCTAGTTGACAACCTGCTAATACATATATTAGGAATTTGCAGCGGTGAGTCTAAATTGAAGCTTACAGAATAGCCTTCCTAATTTAAGCTTTAAGATTATCTTTGCAGCATCGGCATTTCCTGATACCTTGGCCGCTTCGTCTACACGGTACGTCATACCTTATTCTGGTGCGGAATCCTGAAGGATCCAAATATGTAGGATTGAGTCAGTACATAACACGTGATACTAAAATCTCACAGAGGTATCATTCGGACCCTAGCCTCAATATGTCTTTCCTCGTCCATTGGGAGATGGGTTGACAAGTCTCCTCACCGGCTGAAAACGCTTTCATCTACGATTTCTATCAATAGGCTTTCGGTCATTGCGGCTTCGATATTATGGCTCTGCATCGCGGATCCGAGAGTTGGCGATACCAGCTCCTTCACGCCACCAATTCCTACATTTGGAAAATACGGAGCTTTTGCTCTGATTTTGGTTATGGAGATCTCGGAAACGTTGAGTGCACAAGGTAATATGCTGTCTATGGAACGAGACTTTGTGGTCACAGCAGCGGATCCAGATGGACATCCTTATGATTTGACGAATCTGAATGCTGTGATGAGACGGATTGACCTTACCTGCAAACTCATAGCTCCTTTAATAATCTCTGCAATTATCTCGGCTACAAGTGCTAAGATTGGAGTCCTTTTTGTTGGTGGTATGAGTTTGGCGAGTTGGGCAGTCGAGTTGTGGTGTGCGAAAAGAGTATGGGATATGAACGCCAAACTTCGAGTTTTGAAGATTACAAACCCCGATAACTCACGAGAACAAATTTATGTGACTCCAGTGAACAGGGTAGTCAGAGGTTTCTACCAATACACTCAAGACATCAAACAATACTTCGCATCACCAGTCTGGATCCCCTCATTCTCCCTTGCGTTACTCCATCTCTCCGCTCTCTCCTACGCCGCGACGTTCATCACCTTCCTCCTCAACTCCGGAATCTCATTACCCATCATCACGATTGCAAGAGCAGCTGGAAGTGTAGTTGAGATTAGCAGTACGCTCATAACTCCATACGGAGTAACACGTCTCGGAAAAGCAAGTCGACATGGTTATTTTCGAGGTCAACCTCTTGAGAATCAGGATTCTGAAACTACACTTCTCGAATCAAGGCAAGCGGAAAATTACATCCCGGATACGAAAGGAAATACGGAAGTTGGACTTGAGAGACTGGGACTTTGGGGGTTGACATTTCAATTCCTCAACCTCGTATATCCATCCTCATTCTCCTTCTACACCCACTAACCAGCCCAGCTCCCCGTCCTCCTCTCCATTTCCCTCCTCTCGTCCACCTCCGCCTCCCCCTCTTCGCTTAACTTGTTCCTCACATTCCTCACCCTCTTCCTCCCCCTCTCCCTCTCCCGCCTCGGTCTCTGGACCTACGATCTCACCACCACGCAACTCGTGCAAACGCTGCACCCCTCCACCTCCCTCTCCGCCTTTTCCGGTGCGGAGAATACGTTCATCGCTTTCTTTGAATTAACGCAACATGTATGCGGCATCATCTGGGCCAGACCTGAGGACTTTGTGTGGATTGCCAGTGTTGGGGTGGGTAGTGTGGGCGTGAGTGCGGTTTTGTATGCGGGATGGGTTAGGAGGGTGAGAGGGCATTTGGTGCATTGGAGGTGGGGGTGTAAGGGGTGAGATTTTGGTGATTATGGGTTTAGATGGGGTGAGACAGATCAGTGTACTAAACTAGATCTGTTGGGTAAGGTGGCTTACTAAAATCAACTTACCTTCTGCTTGAGTAACCACCAGGCAGTTTGAGCATTTGAGTGTTATCACCCACGTAAAGCTCAACAGATGATGGTACATTTGTGCCTACTGCCTAGCAGCCTGCAACCTTCAAGTTCAAGACGCCTACTACTTGTTTACTATAGTTCTCAACAATCATTTTAGGGTATAGTAAGATTATTAGTTACATAACGCTTTGAAGAAGAAACTGTAGAGAATTATATTAAAACCATCTACCTCTAAACTAGGTCACCAAAGTACTCAACTTGCACGAACAAGCTATAAGTAACTCGAGTGTTGTTCAACACAAACAAAGCCCCTCCTGAGACCGAAGTACTACGCAGATGATGACTAAGTCAAGCGATTTGAGTAGCCTTTGAGTGACAGATCTTGGTGATGTTCTACTATAGTATCTAAGTCGCCGATTGTTTTGTTGTTCTTCATCTCTCCAATCTATACACACACCAGGGACTCTCAAAACCGTACCTCCACATCCTCTTCCTTCACTACTTGGATTGGAGGAATGCCGAATGTTTTACAGTCAATTCCAACGTATTGGCCGAACAATATACAGAAATTCCGAGAATATAACAACGCAGGATGCATTATAGCAACTTGGAAAGATTACAATTTGTAGACGCACAAAGGTCACACATCTCTAACTTTACAACGAAAGATTGCTAGTTGGGTGTTTGACGGAGAGATACCAACACATCATTATTTACACTATTCTAAGTAAACAGATTTTACTTGTTTTCAACAAATTCTGTATCTTTTGCAGCATTATAGTAGATTTGTGAATCCTCATTGAGAATACCCAGGTGAAAAAGGCTTCAGATATCTGCACCTAAAACCATCTACCCATCACTCGTTCTCATCCCAAACTACCAACCTAACCACCTCTACACCGGCCACCTTTCCAAGCCTACAACTCAACCCAGAACAAGCGGATAAACCACAATTTACCACCATTCCAAAACGACAAATCGTCCATCCAACTCAGCCTGTCCGTCTATCTGAGTCTCCAATCTCGTCTAACTCAACAAACTTACCGCAGATCCACGATATCCAACCACCCGCGCTACAGACAAGAACACTATAATACTATCTCACACATAATCCCACGATCGTTCTTGAACAATCGAGCCTTGATAACACATACAACTCACACACAAAACCACAGAACCACACTCTCGAGCTTCAAACCCAAAGAACATCGTCATCAGAGTAATCCTATCACAACACCTTCTCAAACCGACCCGCAACCAGAACCTGGAAACTTCACGCAAGATTTCTGAACCTAGACATTCAATATGCGAGGAGCCGTTAAATCGCTCAACAACGTAAACTCAATTCGTTTACCATATCAAACGACTGAAATTCAGCATTCCTATAATCAACTAAGACTCAGCTCCATTCACTTCACTCCAACATTTTCAACTACCATTTACGCCAAGTGCATGTCTCAAGATCCCTAATTACATATAATCTATCCTTAGAATTATTATAATGGCTAGACAGTGGTAGTAGACCTGTTACGACTTTTTGAAATATGCTGTGTACGAGTAATTAGCGATTTCTGTAAGTACGCTCGAGAAGATTAAACGGGATTTTGGTGTAAAAGATGTTCCAAAGCTGTGTCACTTTTTGGTAAAGTGACCTGAATAGAATCATAGATATAGATAAAAATATACATCAGATTTGTATTAAAAAGTGAATTAATCCAACCTCGGCTATTCCTGACAAATATACAAATATTCACCAATTATTCATTCCATCAGCATAAACCATTCCCACATTATAACTGTCAGAAACACAAAACATCGGTATGAGATTTTCTTAAATTTCTCTCGCTATTCAAACAGCTAAACGAAAAGCACCAAAATTGCTCATTCCACTATCAAAGTGCGTAAGGGGTATCATATCATATCATATCAAATCAAGCTCAATACGCTCCATCCGTTCATCCATCCACAGAAAAATGTTCCACCAAATGCCCAACCCCATTTTCTATTAACATGCCAGAGTTTAGTTCTCATCGTCATATGTACTAATCCAAATATCGCACTATTGGCGCCCCAAGTCTTCTATTGATCCCGTATGCAAAACCATGTATCCCCGTCATTGCAAACTCAAATGCAAAAGCAGGTATCCCGTGAGTCCAGATTGCCGCCCAAAATACGCCAGCAAACGCTTTTAAGATCCAATCACACACGTCCGAATTCAACTTGGAATGCGAGGGTTATGTATCGTGCAACCCAAACATTCGCAATCATCACCACATTGGCAAGTCTCCTCGGTCCCACAACAATTTCCTAACGGCCGACGATGGATCTCACAGCCTATACATTCGCAATCATCTCCACAAGGACAGGTTGTCATGTCTCCAGCGCAATTATCCGTAAATGGGTAATTGACGAATAGGTAGTTTTCGGCTGGCAAGTTCTGTTCGTCGCCAGTGCCAGATGTGGTATCCGAGTTTGCGGTAGGAGAAGCGACCAAGTCGCCGTTTTGTGATTGATTCATACCATGGCCATTTCCATTCGTGAGAGGCGTTGTTGGTTGATGGCCATTAGTGTATACATCTCCAGATGACTGGTTCATGGACATTTGCCAAGCTGAGCGAACGTAGTCCTGAGTTGGTTCATTGTAGGGATGGGCCGCGCAACCAACACATTGACAGCTATCGCCGCAGGAACACTCGTGTATCGTATTCATCGAAGACTGAGGGACTGAGCTCTGGTATGCTGTTGCTTCGGCCATGGGTTGTGCCGGTTGCGAATTGTAATTATTGGTTCGCATACTTTCTTTCCAAGCAGCCGGCTGAAGAGGATTTTGAAATGAACCATAGGTTGACGGATAAGTGAACATCGTTGAGTCGTGTGCAATGTACTGGGGATAATAAGCTTGAACGAACGGCATATTGGCATGTGCTATCGTATGTTGAGGATTTGGGGCGCTCGACATCATTGGTGTTCCGTTCGATTCCTGTTTCAGAGGCTGAGCTGCTTTCGACGAGCAGCATCCACCAGTCTTCTTACTGTTCGTCTCTGGTAGAATGATAGGGCTCGTGGTTACACTTGGGGCACTTTGTGCCTTCGGTGCGCAACAGCTTGATTTCTTCGCTGGCACTGACGCTTCAATGGTATGGTTCCCATTCGTTCCGTTTGTTCCATTTGACTGGGATGGTGCACAACATGAACCCCCATTGGATACCCCATTCATACCATTTATTTTCCCTATTAGATGACTGTTGTTACCGCCATTTGCATATATCGTGGGCGTGCTTAGCGGACTTTCGACAGCATACGGATCCTTTTGAAAAACGTGGCCATTGCTAAAACCATTCATCCCGACAATTGGCGATGACCCATCGTAGGGCATTTGGGGTAATTGCATAGCAATTGGGGGAAACTGCGATGGTGCGCCAGCATATTGTGTGCTATATGCGTATATTGGAGGTTGACTGACCATAGTGTAACCTTGCGGTATTACTATGTTCGTCTGAATCGGTTGAATATCTGTTTGTGACTTGAACGGAAGAATATTGACACTATTCATATCCATTCTTGCAAAATTCGACGGATCGAAGGACTGCTTCCGTCCTTGCGATTGGGGACGAACGCTCTTCTGGACCTTGAAGGGGGCCTTTGTTGGTGACGGCAGATCTGACAACATAGAATCGGTATCCCCGCTGGGTATATTGGTATTCACAAGTGGTGCTGCTGTCGCAGGTTGCGATTCATTTCCACAATGACATGTCTGCTTTCTAGGTATCGCCGCCGTTACACTTCCACACATACATGCCTGCCCTCCTGGATGCGGGCATTGACTGAGAGGTCGTCCTGGCTTCCTGACCTGGACCATAAGCCGTTCATTCGCATGATTACATTTCGTCGATCGATGTCCGCGTATACATGGCTCGCTGTAAAAGTGACATGTTAGCTAAAGTTAATGACCAAGAAAGGAACATAGCCCAGGAGGCTACATGAGCCGATGAGGCTCAACACTACATGCATGACAAGGCACAGCCAATTGCTTCAAGTAAAGGTACCAACATACCAAGCCATCTTCAATCCATTGATAAGAGGCATTTTGGGGCAGCTTAGGAAAGGCGGTGCAGAGCAAGTTTGATGTATGGGGCCGCCGGCTGGTTACACCGTTTAGCTGACGGTCGTCGACGTCCAGATAGCCTCCGCGTCTAGCGATTGCTGCGATCTACCTAGGTACCCGACAACGTGCTCGTGCTTGTGCTCCTGCTTGTGCCTATACGGAACCACCAGACTGCATCCACCACTGCGGCGAACCGGTAAATTGGACGGGGTTTGTCAGACGGGGCGTAGAAGGAGTCCAGAAATGGCCATGCGGCTCTCGCAGGGTCCGGATCAGGGACGATTGGTAACAGGCCAGGTCGAGCGTGTAAATATGAATGTGTTGATAGTATTTAGGAGCGTGGAAGCCATCGGTTGGGGACAAATGGCAAGCAAGGTAGCAAAGCAACCACCTTGGGACGAGAAGGTTTGCGCAGGTTTAAGATGTGGTGAAGGGTGAAGGGTGAAGAGTGAGGGGTGAAGATGATATCTCAGCAAAAAGTAGGTGAAGGAGTGTGGGAGGTGAACTTGACTCGCAGGGACTAGACCGTCTGGCCGCTTGGAGTCGCTGATCGGACAATAAAGGCGGGACGCTGGGGACGGACGTCGGTATGGAGTGGGAGTGAGAGTGGGAGCATACGAAGTCTGCCAGTGTCGTTGGTGTCGCTCGTTGGTGGTGTTGTGCTTGGATCGTCAGATGTATGTGGCTCGTCGAATCATAGCAGAATCTACAACCAACATTGAAGCCAGGAGAATCTTTCACACATGGAAATGACCCCGCGAACACCGGATGGGGTAAGAATACGACCTCGCGCGGGAGATATTTACTCTTTCAATGACATTTCCCCAGAATGGAAGGCGTTCTCGAATGTTTACTTTTTGTTCCCGGTGGCAAAGCGAGCGTACGTGAGAATATTCGATGGGTTCGGTGGTTGTGTTTGGTCAGCGTCGTGAGCTTCCCATGGCTTTCGAGTGTCGTCCTCGTCTCCCAGACCGAGGAGCACCTGGAGGGGTGGATTAAAGGTGGGGCGAGCAAGTTTCCATTGGCTGGAATGCGTGAGCGTACAAGCCTTGCGATGCACAAAGAGTTCTGGGGTTGAGAAATGCCCCTCCTCGCTCCCCCCCATGAGAACCTAACAAGTCCGAGAATTAATCAATATGAAAACTCTTCAACATTGACGAGCGCTTGATTGGCGATATTACTGGATTTAAAACTGTACTCAGAACTCTTCTATTATTTCTATTGAGTCTACTTAATTATAATTGTATCGTATCACCACTGGGGCAACGGGAACATATTACAAGAGCTGCTATATCACGTGACACATCATATTCCTGTTTTCTCGCCAATTGGTCCGCTTCAACATCATCTGAACATCAGCTTGTCTTCAACCTGGAATGTCCTTACCTTTTTACTCGACTACAGTCTATCCACATTATTATCATCATCCATTCATGAAGCAGATGCTCTTTCTTCTAGAAAGAAATGGCGGAATCTTTGGCCTTCCATAAAATGGACGGCAGAACCTCATTACTAAGATGAAGAAACCACTCTTGTTTCGAACGCAAGCGACAACTGTAGCACATTCAAACTTCTAGACCTTCCATCGGAGCTGATACTTATGATAGCTAGAGAGCTACCTCCTCCATCTGCTGCGTATCTATCACTCTGCAACCGGGCTACAAGTCAAGTTCTTGGGCCAGATACATGGCAAAACCTAAAACTTCAACTCCCCGACACGCGTGCTTTATTCCTCTCCGACTTGTCGAGAGACCTACCGCAACATTACGTCTGCCATACATGTGTAAAGCTACATGCTAGCAATGCCATTACATGGCTTCGAGCGTCGTCAAAAATATATCCTCGGTGTCCAAAGGAAGAAGTTCCATTTCAATGGTGTGAACAATCAAATCTATGGCTCTGGTTCTCTTACGTGCAATCGGCAATGAATCGCCATTACAAGCGATCTGCGTATGGGCTTCCGTTGGAGGCCTTCCAGGCCACTCAGGTCTCCGGACGCACATCTCACCACAATGTCACACTTCTTTCCACGGACGCTCAGATTGTCTCCGACGAACTTCTGGTGCGGTCTCAACAGTTGGTATTAGTTTCACAAGATAGCCGCGAAGATCTAGCTGCCAACAGCTCCTTCCACCATTTTTGTCACCATATATGGCAGCGTGGTCGGAGGGGGGATAATGTGCCGAATCTAATTCATGCTCAGCTTCATCATCTTGGGCAAGGGGGCTATTCTCATCTCATCATTAAGCAATGCTCACGGTGTCCGATTGATTTCGTGATGGAAATTGTAGATCTTGGAGATAGAGGTATAGTAGGCTGCCTTACAAGATGGCTCAACCTTGGTTCTGGCTTGCATCCAATGGACCCTAAGTGGCGGAGTCACATAGGTAGACCTCTAACCCGAGGAGTCATCTACCAACCGCACTCTCTGGGGAGCATTCGCTCGAGCTTTGAGGAGTAAACGACCGTTAACTTTGACGAATTTTCTGCTAAGAACATGGAAAACCTGTTGTCGAAGCGTACTTTTAATTTTGTCACTCCTAGATCAGATGGGCTTGTATGGCAACTGCTTGACCGCGGCTATACGTATCGGTGGCGTCTTATGAACGAGGAAGACTTCCCGAGATTGACTATCTTTTTTGGTCGTCTATTTATCATGCTGGGGTGGGAATGAGAACGAGAATCAGACTAGAGATTCATCAATTAGACCAGGTGCCCTACCACGTTAATCAAAGGCTTGCGGGCTGTTATTTAGGATGGCGCTAGTGACACCAGCTATCAATATAGCAAATATATATCAGACGAGACGGAAGTACAAATTAATGTTACGAGCCTGGACATCCAGTTTTTCGATATCATTAGAGGTATGACGGATATAGTAGGCGTGGTACAGGTAGGTGTAGCTAAAGGTTAGAGTAGTCGTACAGAGTCAAAGATTCGTAGTAGAGAAGATACCTTCAACCTCAATTACAATTAAGCGCAGGAAATATCTCTTATCTCAAGATATTTCAAGCCAAAGCCCGAAACTATCTGATTTACCGAAAACGAATGTTAAAATATAGATATTCTGTCAATTTAGTCTAGCAAATATCCTGATCCACTGCCAAATGGACTACGAGCTAGACTAACGGGAACCTGGAAGCCAGTCAAGTTCAGGTTACACACTCGGGCGATCATCGGTAAAACTCTTTTAATCTAATCTGATCCGAGGTCACCACAACCGAACGGGAGATCTTCGAGAATTTTATGTTCGATCAATTTAGATGACCCTTAATTTATCGGTTCAAGACGAAGAATGAAGTTTCTGATCATTATTTGAAAAGAAAGAGTCTTGTTCATCTCATCAAATCGATAGAAACAAAAAACGCAAGTTGAGGAAACAAATCTGGTATTGCATGGTGCAGGTTTGTGGCTTTCAAATTTGACTTTTGTCCTTCTTGTCATACCCTCAAATCTCGATCTCATAATATCCATCTCCCGCTCGAGGCGCGCACTACCGAGAGCACCTTGTTACACACGGTTTTGACTACCGCTCCAATCATGCCAAAGTTAATCAATATCCGGCTGACCTTATGACAGGAGGTTTAAAAAATTACATTCGTTCAATCGGTGTCCCACGAGAATTCTGACACGTGATCCACTCCCCTTTATACCACTACCAAAACCTCGTCAATATGGTCGATACTCATGAGGACCCGGATTCGGACTCGGAGGCTATCAATATCTTTGCAGATCCGGAAGGATATTATCCACCGTCACCGAAACCTACCACCGAGACACATACTCTGCTTTCTGGTGAGGTGATATCGCTTCGTTTGGTTGGCCATAATCCGCTTTGGGGTCATCATCTGGTAAAAGATTCCCTCTGACATTGCTACGACCGCTTTCAAGTTTCTCACTCTCTACCTGATATTACAACCATCTCCCCTTCAAATGTACCCCGTCACTGACACCCCCAGTGGCAAGCCGCCCGCATAATCTCCCACTACCTCGAGAAAAACCCCTCCCTCGTCGCCCAAAAAACAATTCTCGAGCTCGGCGCCGGCGCCGGTCTCCCCTCTCTAATCAGCGTCCGCCTTGGAGCTTCAAAAGTAGTAGTAACAGACTACCCCGACCCAGACCTAATCCAAAACCTGTGGACCAACATCACAAACCTCAACCTAAACCCCACACCCTCTCTAACCTCTCCCACTAACACCATCACCGCCCAAGGATTCCTCTGGGGAGCCGACCCTGCCCCCTTACTCGCCCACGCCCCTGAGGGATTTGACGTGCTTTTCCTCGCCGATTTGCTTTTCAACCATTCTGAACACGGGAAACTACTGTCGACTCTGAAATCGACGCTGAAGAAAAGTAAGGAGGCGAAAGCGTACGTGTTTTTCACGCCGTATCGACCGTGGTTGTATGAGAAGGATATGGCGTTTTTTGAGCTGTGTCGCGCGGAGGGGATGCTGGTGGAGAAGGTGTTGGAGGAGCAGATGAAACGGGTGATGTTTGAGGGGGATAGGGGGGATGAGGGGTTGAGGAGGATGGTTTTTGGGTGGGTTGTGCGGTGGGATTTGTAGGTGTGGTGGATGGAAGTGATTGTGTGGGAGTGGTCGTTTTGTGCAGTGAAAATTTAAAAGTTCTGTGGACTTGTTGAGCATTTGTGGATTACACTTATGATATTTCGTGATTGTGGAATGTTGTACTATTGTGACCACGACTTCGCGAATAGATCACTAGCGGCAATATCATCACTCAGCGAATTCCACTTCATAGTCTCGAAAACTGTATAGAAAATAGTGGAGAAATAGACACACAAATTACGAAGAGACTAATTTATCGAAAGCCAAATTACAATGAAACTTCCTCTACTTTTTAGTATCAACCTTCCTCGTTAACGACACTAACCTCATATCTCTCTACTTATCACTTGCTCCTACTTCTACGTCCTTTCATGATCCAATTTTTTAAGCTGGAAATCCTTTCCCGCATTAAAGATTTTACTAATAAGCTTCAACATTCATTAAAGCTCTGACCTCTCTTATTTTACTCAAACGACGAACTTTTACACCCAGTCCAAATCACTGGCAGATAACTGCATATCGCTCTTTTCAGTTCTTTTTGCCATTGATGCACCCGACCGCGCAGGTTGGGAGGTAAGCGGTGCTTCGCACCATGGATGGTGACGAACTAACAGTTTTTCAAGCAGCACTCTTTCCCGGGGGGGGGGGGGAGTAAGCCTTGCTGTTTTTCAAATATGGAAATTCTTTTTCTAGGCGTTGTTGGGTGATGTTTTTAATTTTTGGGGGTCTTTTTTGGGAATTCTGTAACGAATGGCTCCGAGTCCTCGATCTGTGATGATAGTCACTGGAACGAGAACGACGAAAAGTACCAACCCTCGACCTTGATAGCGCAATATTATTCAGCTGGATCGGGGAATTCAATGATCAGAGCGACAAAGCAAGCTTCGGAATCGAGGGTGGTGAGAAGCACACTCATTGCGGGCAAGAAGACGCTATCCGCTATTTGAGACAGGCGTATCGGAGAATGAGCACAACAAGGCAGTTTTTGGTCTGAAAATAATAATAGATCCAAGTCATACGGGCCCTTTTCGTAGAAAGACAAGGTAAAGAACGCGAAGCAGTATTGCTTCATTGTGCCAGTGACGATGCGCGTCGTTGGCGTCACTAAAAACGGAATACCGTACTCAAAAATAAGCCGTTCATCGTTGAGATCAAATTCGTAATCACGGCTGATAAGAGGCGGATACTCGTTCAATTGGACTTGTCAATCGAAGGGGTGATAAGTAGACGGCTGGCGGTCGTTCGACTACTAATTCAAGTCAACAACACTGCGATCCGTGGTCAGCTAAGTAAAGTAACCATTTGCTTTACAGTTTCGATCCGGGTGTATACATCTTGATGATGATCATCTAAGTTGTGAGTTCAGCTCAGTACAACGTTAAACGGGTTTGTTACAGATTTCAGTCAAATTGGAACGAATCGAGGGTGTGCAGTTATCAAAAGACCCTCTCAAGCTTGACAACCTCAAACCTCACAACGATAGCAATCATTTCTGGAGTGCCGCGCCAACATTCGAGGAATGCATCGGACCTTCCTGCATTACTCGAAGCATTTCACAGCATCGAGAGGATGTCGCTCCTACAGTGCTGGTCGTCGACTGGCGCAAAGGGAGACGTCTCAAGTCCCCCAAATCAATACTTCGTACGCAAATATCGACCTTGAAGAATTCCGTCATAGAGCTTTTGCGCCAGAGAAACCTCTCTTGATGAAACGACAGCCAGGAGAAGTACAAGCGTTGCCGGCTACGAGAAAGTGGTTTGTGGCTAGCGAAAAGAATTCGAATCGTTGCGATGTCCAATATCTTCGCCAGTTCGAAGACGTTTATCTACCATATGAGCTCCACCTCGATGAGAAGGGAACTATTTCCCTAAAGGATTCTAAGCAGGAGGGTTTGCTCAAGGAAATATTATCGCATCTAGGCGAACGCCCTCAACATGGTTTCCATCGAATCAACGCTCCATTGTCCCTATTCCTGTCAGCATATACGCTATCATGGCCGCATTCTCTATACATCGCACAAGCACAAATGGCAGATCTGCCTAAGCAATTACAAGACGACCTGCCGACGCCCCGTATAGTCCAGCAAGCCGGGAAAGGAGATATATACGATGCGAACATTTGGATGGGGACACTCAATACATATACACCACTACACAAGGACCCAAACCCCAATTTATTCACACAAATCGTCGGCGAAAAACAAGTCAAATTGTACCCTCCAGCCGTTGGACGCGGGATATTCCAGCATGTGCAAGAGCAAATTGGACAGAATTCGTCAGCGACGTTTAGAGGAGAGGAGATGATGGCCGGGCCTGAAGCTCTTGCTTTGGAGAATGCTGTTTGGGGTAATGGCTCAGATGCGGGAAGATGGGATGGAGAACTTGTTGCGGATGTGGACCCTGGAGATGCGCTGTTCATTCCGAAAGGGTGGTGGCATAGTATCAAAAGTTTTGGGTCTCAGCCTGTTACGGTGTCTGCGAATTGGTGGTTCAGATGACGAAATACAAGGCTGCTCAATACAAATTAGCCAGAGACTCGAGGGATATATTTGACATGATCTCCCCATTGCCATTAACCCAGCGTATGTTCGTTCATTCACCATTCCTGGATATAGTCGCGATGAAGAAAACAAGCTGAAAGGTTTCAGGCGTTCATTGACTGGCCTTGTTATCTCATCTTAGCTATTTCCTCTTAGGGGAAATAATCTGTCCGAAGGGTAGTCCTCACTAAATAAGTGAGCTCCAACATACGCTTTGGAAAAAGGTGGAGTAGTACACCCACTCATTCATGACGAGTGATGCGTAGTGCAGCCCCACCAAAGAAAGAAATACAGCTTGAATATCATACTTCCCACAAACTTATTCTCGAAGTCCCCTGATACCTGTAATATTTGGCGTCGTACGCGGAAGGAAATGTAAGTTCTCCCATTCTTTCCACGAAGTCAATAGCAAGGTCCCTCGATCCACGATTTGTGAGACTTGGCAGGGGTTGATATTCATAATTTCGAGAGACCTTGGGTACAGAAAAGTGTGGTTCGTGGCACAGATTGTCAGTTTCAGTAGTCTTCACAGCTCGAATTTGTTGCGTCAAAACCAAATTCTTTATCATCATTCAAGAGAATGTGTATGCTTGGTATAATAAAACTCGTGACGACCCTCCCAAGAACGCGTTTCGCTAGTCTTTATATGAAGATGCTACGTTACAATAAAATGTTTCCGGTCACTTGGTGGTGGTTATAGATCATTCGGCTATGTGTTTGTGTGGTTGTGTAGTGTTCCACAAAGCCTTAGCCTTAAGCCTTCGCTTTTGCGACGTGAAAGAGTGACTATTTCGGGGAAATGTCACGATACTACTCAACTTTTCGAATGCTACTTCACTTTTGAAAATACTTCTAGCAGAGAAGGTACGATGGAAATGATGGTTCTGTGTTGCTATTGCTTTATTTGAGGTTAGGAAGGATTTATCCGCTTCTTGACTTCTGTCACTGGGTTGAATAGAACTGTTTCACTGGATGCGATGAGCTATATCTCTTCTTCTATATAAGCAACATCTCTGAATTCAAAAAATCGATCAATCTCACGGCAAGAAAGAAATCCTCAATACTTCTCAATTACTTACCATCAAAAATCACCATGTCCACCCTCCTCCTCCTCCTCCTAACAACCCTCATCCCCCTCACCACCAGCTACGCCATAATCTGGCAACCGCAAGCAACCATCACCACCCTCCAAGCAACAATGGTAATCCCCCAAGTTCCCGCCGGCCCAGGCATCCACTTCATCTGGCCCGGTCTCCAACCCTCCTCCAACCAATACGTATTCCAAGATGTAAGCGGTGATGACACGGGAATTGGTGCATGGACGTTCGCTGATTGGGCTGTGAATTCTGTGTGAGTTTTCCATTGGTGTAATATAGGATGGTACTGATGAGATGTAGGAGTAATTATAATAAGAGTGGTGATGTGGCTGGTATGTAACTTCTGGATGTTATGTAGGGGAAAGCTGATGAGTGAAGTTTATCCGGATGATTCGATTGCGATATCGTTTCAGTTGAATACGCAGACTGGGGAGTGGAGTAATGAATGGGTTACTTCTCCTGGTTCTGCTGGGAGTGCGGCTGGAGAGGTGTATACGATTTCGGATTCTGTTGTGCCTGATAGTGTTGTTTGTAAGTGCAGCCTAAGTTAACTTGTGAATAACGATATTGACGTGGTCAACAGCGGCTTTCGGTGCCTTGACGCAAGTGAGTATGAAACTTCTCTGGAGGGATTTTTGTTAATGGGTCTAGGCATTATTCGTTATCGAACTCCAAGCTGGAGCGACGTGGAATTTCGGTCCTCTTATCTTCAAGGATATCAAAATCGTCGCAGAGACTTCTGAAACGATTTGGTGTACTACGTAAGAGATACTTGTTATATTGCAAATACAGTGGCTGATATACGTAGACCTAGCACGGCAGACTCTTTCACATTCTCGATGACCGATCCGATTGTCGGTTTCGAATATGATCAGAGAGGTAACATTGTCGCCTCCTGCTCGATTGAGGGTTTGGTTTTCCTTAAGCCACTATAAGGGAAGAAAACATGGATTAACTTGGGGGATATCTGGGCATGGGACAAAGTGCAAGAATATGGGAGCATTTGAAATATAGGAAGGAGAAGTATGGAATTTATGAGGGTGCCTGACATTGCCAGGTTCGGCGTACGCGAGGAGGGAAAATTATAGCTTGCTACCTTGATGTTTGCTGAAATGAAAAGACTTTCGATGATCAATCAGCATCTCCCGATACTCAACAACGCTTGTATGTACTTGATTCAAGAGCAGAAGGATCGCCCAAAGACCAGGGTGAAATGCCTAGGTACTTCGCACAGTAATGACTGTGTGAGGGCGTACGATAATGATAGTGATCATCAAATACCGAGGAGGATTCCAAATACGAAGAAAGCCGACGAGGGTTTTGATCAACAATCATGAAGCCAGGATGTCGATTTAAACTTTCGACTCATCAGCGGAAGTACCTGGTCCCGGCGACACTTGCGACCGAAAACGAGATCGACATTTATTTCGCAAAAATGCCTCAGCAAAACATCTTGGCTTGGACCCTTCACGCATTGCTTGGGACGAACAAAGCTTCCAGCGAGGATTCGTGAGCAGTGCAGTCAAAGTGTCGTTGGTGATCAGTACGGCAGGTACCGAGGTATGTAGATCTGTTCCTGGCGGTGTCAAAATCAGGGTCTTCCACAGCGCTAGGTTTTTAGTCTTCCCCGGACCGGTTTATCTTTCCAGAAGATGCAGGGGAAAATAGGGGATTTTAGAGTTTGACAGGAGCCAGAAGTGAGACATTATTTGAATGACTTTTTGACCTTTTTGGCCTTCCAAGGTTCTTGATAAAGTCGACAGCGGTAATAACCTTGACGATGATGGACGATAGCTTTCTTTTCGCTAAGTTAGTCTTCGTAATGCTGTTGGGTGTTCTGTGCTGTTTGAGCAATTGACATAGCATCTGAATGATTTTGTCTACAGTGGAGCTCCAGATGGATGGGATGGTTCCAACTTTGCGCAAATGTGACTTACCTGAGTGACGCGCGTCTAAGACTATTTTTAAGTTTAGCTTAAGCGCGGCCCCGAAAAGATGACCGAGCCCGGGTCGGGGCATTAACCGGAAGCTTGCCTGAATCGTACTCCGATGTTTCCAAGCTTTTACCGCCATGGCTCTCGTATCCTTTCATCCAACAACACACACATGGCTTCCATGGCTGAAGCAAGACACTAGTCTCGACACTCTCCCGCTCCTTCTCCCGCACTCTCTTCACACTCAACCAATGGATATATGCCGCCCGCGGGGGCGGGGTTATGAAGCTATCGCACCCGGATGATTGTGGTCACAACATCAAGCAGTCGGCAATCGCGTTGTAACAAAATATGCGGAAATTCGCTGGCGGATGGCAGATTGCATCGGACGGAGAGAAGAGATTGTCAGACGTTTTGCGAGGAATTCAACGCCGTTGTCAGACAGCTGTTCGGTTGTGTAAAAGCCTCTGGGCAAAGAGCACTCACTCTTCTGCTCTGGCGACGACATCATCGACCTCAATCAACGACCTCATCGGGCAACGAGACCAATGAGAGAACTGACTTTGCTGAGCTGTCACCACTTTTACAACACTCAACCACACGGAACTTCGAAGTGGTCCGATCCGCCTATGTTATTCTCGTGCAATGGCCGCGGCCTTCAGTCTGCATCAGCTCAGTAGGCAGTGAGCGAGACGCGTGGATCAGGAAGCACAATTGGAACCATTATTGGATGCCCTCGTGCTAGTAAGCTGCCACGCGAACCATTGCTGATATGCAGGTAGCAGTTGTTCGCAACAAGTCTTCCCAATCATCGTCTCGACAGCCCGCACTCATGCTCGCCCACATCAAAAGTAATTTCTTCTTGAGATAGCCTTGCACAACAGAAATTGGGGCGGGGTCGTCAGAAATCTGTCAGTGATGCCGATATCAGTGGTGCTGGATCTCAAACGCCGGAAAGGGGATAATCTTTCGGAATATGAATAAGATCGACAAACTTCCGGAAATCCCAAAACTTAAAATGTGTTCCTGGAATTCGAAGCTTGAGGATCCCTCGTTCATGAGTTTCAGGGCACACAAGTTTAACTCAAAACATATCAAGATATTCAGGACAGCCGGGTTAGCCAAGGAGGAAACCTGGAAGTGACGCAGTTCCGCCCATGTGCCCATGCTCCTCTCTGCTTGGTTGGCCTCGATCACAGAAACTCTGCCCCTCAGTCTGTCACCCGGGCACAGCATCGGAAACTCTCCTCGCGAGCAAATCAATTCATGAAGGTCGGCAACCGGCCTCACTCGATACTCGGTTTTTTCAGCGCGACGACGTGGAACTCATGTCATGCACTCAAATCCTGCTGTCCAGCAACGTCGTCGACTTTATCGCTTTTCATTCGTGCTTTTCCTGGCTTGGCTTGCATTTCCTGCAGTCGTGATCACATCATTGGCATATTTACAGCTTCTCGTCGTGTCCACCTCTTGCCCGCTTTCCAACCAACATCCCTGGATTAAGCGAGTTTCTGCAGGCCCGCCTTTCCTTCCGCCTTGATAAGCCGGCTAAAGTACGCGATGGGGGACAACGCATCAATGTCTCACGCCGCTCCCACCACGAAATCCATGATAAGAAGCATTCCCCACCGTCATGGTCTTTTCCAATCCAATTCTCTCTTCTCCCTTCACACCACTTACAATCTGCTCCAAACTCTGCAGCTTCTCTGCCATTCACATTCTGTTGAACCTACCCAGGTACTGGATTATCCACGAATCTTTCCAGCACTACTACGACAAGATACGATTGCCGCTGGCTTGAGTATTATTACCGACAACTACACCATTGATCGTTTGAACCCAGAGGACATTTCCACTTTTGTGCGGATTTTTATCATTCCAAATGACTTGTGTTACCCAAACCATGGTGACCCGCTCGGATTCAATGGCCTTCCCATCGCAGAAACGCTCCAACAGGACCAAGGCTCCCGCCAGGTATATTCTTTTCTTTCTTGCCTGCTTTGCTGCTACTTACGCCACGAAATCATGTTGTCCGAAAGAAATGTTTTTCCTTTTGCTTCAAACAAACCATCGGATAGAGATTACCAGGATCAAGAGTGGCTACCCCGGACAACGATATACCATAAGGAATTACAGGACTCAAAGTTCGCACCGAACTCTTGATGAAAACCAACCTACATGGTCAAGCATCATGTGATTTATTATCATACACAGGACTGAGAGCTTCGACATCAGAGCTCGAGTAAGTATCTCCCTATCCACATCCCAGCCTGGTGGCGCCGACTATTCCTGGGATTGTTGTTCCGTTAAGAGTTCGTTTACCGTGGTTTCGAAATGAGGTATCCTCCAGGAACATGGGTGCTTTGAGCCTCCAACTCAGTCCCGAAATCCAGTTTCCATAGGATCTTTTCGACAGAATTGCCTCTCCAGCCATCCGCCCTAACGATGACCTGTTACTTTATCCGGGACTTTAACATCAGCCGAGGGAGTGTTTGGGAATTGCTTCATTGACCTCTGGATTCCTTGCAACTAATTAGCTGTTACATTTCTAACTCGCTGAGTTTACCTTGACGCTGGATTTCCGTGGCAGTTCCTCTGCCATATGGGCAGTTTAGGCTTTTCACCCGGTATCTTACCATGGGACACCGTAGAGGACCCTTTCTCGCTCGTTTTCTCACCTGGAGGTCGTGTTCGTGCTTACGCCGAGCCGTTCAGCTGTACCAGCCGGCCAGCTGAACACATAGTAGGCATTTTTCATGCCCTTAAAGTACGTACACCTGCATAGCGTTGACTTTCAAAGTCCAGATTGCTACCCCCTTCGCGCCGCCATGCACTAACAGTTACCCTTTTTGCTTTTCTTGTAGACTTTCTCCTGGAAATCTCCCCCTTAGTTCCGATGGATACCCACCACTTATTGCCAGGACATCTTTCTCTCTTTCGTGACTTCTCTGGCCTAATGGAATTCTGGTCCCAATTCAGCCCTAGTGCGTGTCTGGTTCGTTAGTCCGCTACCCCCCATAAATTATCATAGATGCAATTACTAACCTATTTTTGTTTATCAGGAAGCCTCATCGGACCTTGTTGCTTTTATTTCTTTTGTCATTCGATTTTACTGCGTTTTAAAAAAGTGGATGCACAGGACACTAACAGCGATGGTGTAGCGGTCTAAATTTGTCCACGGGCTCCAACATGAACCAGGGAATGCCTTTACTTTCTTTTCGTCCCACAGAACCTGTTCAAGGGCAAAACAGTGCATCCGTCTGGAATGAAGGTCAACAGTACTCTCAACAGATCCAGGGATTTCCTGATTCGTGCCAATTCTGGCAGGCGTCGCAAGCAAGCCTAGTCAACCAGTCCATAGGAAGAGATTTAGGACCAGAACAAAACCACGACCCGTGGAGTGATAGCACTGTCGCGACTTCAAAATTTGAGTCGCAAGACATGTCATCCATCACAGCTCAAGAATCCCTAGGAGCCCATTCCCAGCAGGCTACTCACACATCAGTTACCCCATATGATCAAGACCGATCGAGGACATACCCACAGCCTTCCCACGGATCTTTTCATATGTCTTCAACAAAACAAGATCTCACTGGAAGATCGGTCAGTCCAGAAAACACCGCCTTATATACCCCTACACAGATGGATATCCAGGACTACGAAACATACCTTGGAGATGACTTGTCAGGTGCTCAGAACATATTCCATGGAAGTTCTACCTCTAATGCAGAACAACAAATGATTAATGCTTCGGCTGCCGGACCATTTACGAACATCTACCCTACCGCAGGAGAGGAGTTGCTTGTATCTTCGTACCCAATCTCCATGGCAAATCAAGGTCCTGCAGTATCAGAATCGATGATGTACAATCCAAGTGTCATCGCCGGCTCTGAGCTGCAGTGGGACTCTAATGCTGTGGATGATTTTCTGGGATCACCAATCTCATCCCCAATTTCTCCCATCTCATCAACCTCTCCAGGAGAAACTTGGTCCATACCAAACATGATGGTCCCATCAACGAATAGCCCACCAAGATTTGAAGCTATCTCACCAAGGTTTGTTCAGGATCCTGAATTAGTGGAATTGAGCTCTTACGAAACCGGCGACAGGGTGACGAGGAAGCCAATGGGACCCCGCCATTCCAAGGTCGTTGGTGACATCGCAGCAGCTCACTCCCGACAACAACTTCTTGGAACTTTGGACCTGAATGAAGAGACCTTGAAATTGACCAGTAGGTCTAGCCTTGACGACAACAATGCTGCCAGGCTTCATCCCCTCTACCAGAATGTCAAACCCGGATCGGATGGATTTTATCACTGCCCATGGGAAGGCCAATCATCATGTCAGCACAAGGCTGAGAAACTAAAGTGCAATTACGAGTACGCCTTTGACCTCCCTCCCCAACTCATGTTGTCGACGCGAAGCTAATCATAGTCATTTAGCAAATTTGTGGATTCACATCTCAAGCCGTATCGGTGCAAGGTCGTTGCCTGCGAAAACTTGAATTTCTCTTCTACTGCATGTCTGCTGCGACACGAGCGAGAAGCTCACGCCATGCATGGACATGGCAACAAGCCCTTCTTGTGCTCGTATAAAGAGTGTGATCGTGCCGCTGCTAACAATGGCTTCCCACGCCACTGGAATCTTCGTGACCACATGAGACGTGTGCACAACGATGGTGGCTCTGTTTCCCCACCACCATCTGGACATTCCCGTGGTAAGAAACGCAAGAATGACGAGAAGCCAGAGAATCAGCCCACGGAAAAGGTTCTCAAGAGAGTGACCAGTCCAGCAGTGGTTTTGCACCAGCCACAGGAGCCAAGCCCAGAGGATCTATACCACCAGGAATACCTGAGGCTCCTAGCCTTGGTGGAGCAAATTCGTAATCCAAAGGATGCTCATAACCTGGAATATCTCCAAAACACGATGGAATCCTTGAGGATCTTGCACAGGACCAGTAGCTTCGCAAGCGGTCGCCGATTTTCTAGACAGCAAGCACATCAATCTGGGTGATTACATGCGCAGAATAACATGATGGATATTGTGAGTTCACTGCAACAACGTATATCAATGAGTCAACCACTGACGGCGTCATCTTGAACAGAAGCCAAAAATAAGACATTGGCAGACATGAATTTCCACGCCCCACACCCCAGGCTTCACAGCATAGACGTTCCCAGTACGCATGCTTCACATATTGCAAATCGACAGCCAAGTCATGAGACCAGCCATGCACATTGCCAAGGATCATGCCCTATGAAAGCTGCCAGAAACGGAGTTGCCTAAATTTAAAATATTGTCCTAGTGGACAATTTTGGAATCCCATCGTGACGGTCGCCTGTTTTTACCGGACAAATGTTGCTTATAGCGCTGTCCTGGACTTATGGTCGATTCGTTACAGGTCATTGATGGAGGAGGATTGATCTGGGAATAATGAAGGAAAAAGCATTGTTAGAGAATTGTTGGAGAGGCTGCTTGCTTTGATCGAGTTGCGATTTCGTTGTCGCTACCATGCAGTAGAGTGATGGACGGTGGTCCTAGTGACGAGAATGTGGAAGGTGCTCTAACTCAGTTGGAGCCGGGGATGTTGGGTGGACTTTGAAAGGCATGATGAAAAGAAGAGAGGCTAGAACTTACGGCCATTTTGTTTAGATAGATTTGCTTCTTTGTTGTTTAATTTATGGCTTATTGTTGGATATCCTAGAGATGATGAAATCTCTTAAGAGTCGAGACTGTGGACTGTAGAATATGCCTTCTATATAGCAGGAATTGTCCTCCTGTGTCGCGACATAGTCTGGCACCTTTTAGACTTGAAAGGACAGACAGAAACCTTTAAATTTGTATAGATAGAGTTAGTGGAAGTATCAATAGCAGTCGTGGTGCAAATAAGCTTTCATTAGGGACTCGTAGCCTTGCTGGCGCACGTCCTTTCCCTACAGCCTCGTTAAGCCACATAAGAAACATCGTCACCAAACCTACCATCCCCCACCATTCTTGCAAACCTACCACCATGGCGCGTCTCTCAGCAGCAGGTAGTGCTGTACCGGCGGATCACAAACATCTAGACCTCACGCGCATGATAGCGCGGTTGCAGACTACGCTTGTAACCCCAGATGCTGCGCAGGAATATCGATTACGGATATCAGAGCTTGAGAGGGAGAAAGTTGGAAAGGTATGCGGCCAATTAGTTGAGGATAGACGGACGGTTGCTAATGAAGAAAACACAGAATCTCGAATACGCAAGCAACTTATTGTTAAAGCTCGAACAAGATGCGCAGAACATCCGGGTCCTTTCGAAGAAGCAGGAGATGCAAACGGATTTGAGTAGGAAGAGAGATGCGCTTGCTCGATTGCAGGAACGGCTTGCGGATTTGAATGATGTAGGGATATTGCTGCCCTTTTATCTAAGCGTTTCGTTCACGATGACTGACTTTCTGCGTAGGCGGGCAATATTGACGACTCCTCTGAAGGAGAGGATCTGATCGGGGAAGATACCCCAAGTGAAGGAGCAGACGATACACAAGTTGAAGACACAACACGCTATTCACCACCTATTCCACAACCGCAAATCCCCTCCTCAACCTCCCACTCCTCCTCCTCACCCCCCTCCACCCTCCGAAACAGACGCACCGCCCCCACCGAACCCGACGACTCCTCCTTCGCCACAACAACCTCCTCCCACATCCCCACAACCAAAGAATCCCTCCTCTCCCACAATCGCGCCGAGCAAGAATCGCTCACCTCCTCCCTCCTCACCATGGCCTCCGCCCTCCGTGAGTCCTCTCTTGCATTCGCCACCTCTCTCGAAGAAGAGAAAGATATCCTGGAGAACACGGCTTCGGGGATGGAGAAGAATGAAGATGGACTGCGGTTTGCGGGGGAAAGGATGGGGATGTTGAGACGGGTTAGTGAAGGACGGGGATGGTTGGGGAGGATGCTTATGTATGCTTGGATTGCGGGGTTGATGGTTATTGCGTTGCTGGTGGTTTTTGTGATGCCGAAGTTGAGGTTTTAGGGCAGCTGAGGTCGCGTGAGATACTATTGAGATGCTTGAAGAAGAAGGAAAATACTAAATTCCTGGATTCGTGGTACGGTGGTTATATATGGGCTATTGGCGTTTGGGTAAAGATTTGGGCATTTCTTTTTAGATACCACGAGGGATTATATATCAATGAGAGTCGGAACTGACTTTCCTATATACGGTACTTTTTTCTCAACTTTCCTGCTTCGAGATTCATGTGTTTCACGCTAGTCTTGCTTTCTCTCTTTCTTTTCTATGACCACGAGAGAAAGTTCATACCCGTTTCGGAAAGAAAATGGAGAGAAGTTTTGGCACTTGGGATGCTTTTAAGCATAAGGTGAGGTAGAATAGGATGGAAATGAACCTTGTCATCTCCAGGCCTTTGTAAGTCGGTTGCACTTGGTTTGATTCTTAGAAGCGAAGACGTCTCAAATTTCTGTTAATTTGTAAAAGAAACTAGCTACTAGTAAAAACTTCAAGCTGTAAAATATGACCTATTTCTTTCTCCTTAACTTCTTTCTCTGGGTCTGCTTGAAACTAAATTGTGTCTCGGGTAATTGGGGATATGTTGGTAATTGGTAACGTATTTTGGAACTGAGATATGGGTGTGATAATGTGACGTGAGCTGGATGTATTGAAGTTCATTAAGATTCGTGCGTGAGTATATTGATACCCACTTTGTCAGGTGGAGTATAAGGTTGAATATAGTGATATGATCGACATGCTGATGAGTCGTTTGGATGATATGTGCGCTATGTGATGTGTAAAAGTGCTCGTCAAGAGTTGCTAGTTGTCGGATATTGAGATGATGGATATAAGTATCTGAAGCCTAAGTCAATCATCAGTTCCAAGCCTACATAAGAGAAAGAGTAACTTACCTCGTTTAACACATCCAGAGCGCTTTTCATGACCTGGTAAACTTGGTGCAAATCCATTCATTTCTCCTCGCCAATATCGCAAACCATATAAGGGAGTACCGTCGAGCAGCTGCTGAAGCTGGTTGTCGTCCTAGGATTTCGAGATCTTCCACTCTCTTCAAGGTTCGAATCTGTTTCGCTGTCTGAATCATGGATTGTGATCGTAGCGCCACGACGAATCTTGTCGTCCGATTCCTCCAGCTGTTGATTATCTTCAACTTCTTCCATGTCACTATCCGAACCGTGTATGGTGATCGTCGCCCCCATCCGATTTTTCTCATCCACATCCTCCTCCTCGTCCTCGTCCTCTCCATTCCCATCCTCATCTTCCTCCCTCTCACTACTCTCCTCCTCCTTAACCACCTCCCTCACAACCCTCCCAAGCTCCACCGGCACAGAACCAACCCCTTTCCCCTCCTCTGGCGGCGTATAAACAAACATTTTCTTAATCCTAATCCCCTGCAGCCGATAATCCCATTCATAACCCGTTTTCGCCCTAAAGAAAGTTTTAAAATCGCTAAACGCATCGTCGAAGAACTTGGGCGTGCACCACTCGCGGAAGTACGATGCTTGGTTGTGGCGCGTGCTGGTGTACTTCGCGGCGAACATATAGGTATGAGGTTTAGCTGTTGATTGAAAAAGCTGATACATCATCAATCAGGTATGGCCAAAATATAGGGGAATTTGAGTTGGGGTAGGGACTTACAAAAAGCACATACTTCTCCGTCACAACCCGTCCATCAACACCAAACCTCGTCTTCACCAGCGCAACCTTATACTCAAAGCCGTCCGGCTCATAATACACATGATTAACCTCTTTCCGCATGTCAGTTACAGGATCAACATGAGGGTCGCGTTTGCTTTCTAGAAAAAGGGGATGTCAGTACTTTGCCCGGTAAACTCTTCACATGCTTGCACACCGTTTTGAAATCTCTTTTTGAGGGTGTCGATTTCGGCGCCTTTCTTGCTGAGACGCTTGAGCGTGCTCTCGAGTGTCCAGTAGCGTTCTGAGCGGCACAATTTATTCTTGCGGACGAGGCATTCTTCAAGCCAGTCGAAGACCACGATATGGCAGTTTTCTTTGCCAAGGGCTAGGGCTTTTTTGACTAGAGGTTGCTCAGTTATTGTACTCATTTCATGATAGTAGTAGTGGTCGTCATACCCTGTTCCGTGCCTTTCTTAAAATCCTCAATACTGCAAATCAAATGGGTAGTAGAACTGGTGACTTCCAAAGCGAAAGTACCGCCATGTGCTGTGATCCAAGCGGCAATCTTCTCATGTGATGCAGGTTTGCCACAAGAGATGAATGTTCCGGACAGAGACATTTCTTTGCCTCGATAGATCTGCTTCAGCTTGACAATTCCACCGGTTTTACGTTTCTTGACTGCACCCGAACTTAAATTTTTAGACTTTTGGCCAGCATTCTTGTGGCTTCCTGACTTGATGGTGGCCATGTTGTAAAGTTGAATTATTGTTCATAGATATTGGACGATTATGCCATGAAGGGGTGTTAGCGAGATGTCTGGGAATTGGAGTGAAAGTATGAAATTGTTCTCTAGTAATATGAGAGGTGAAGTTAGGTTGACATTGAAGATTGGCGAAAGTGAGGAAGAATGTCAAAATGTATACCGAATTGAGAAGGTGGCAATGAGCAAAAGTTGAGTGTAAGTGAACTTGACGATTTGGCTTAGTGGTCCGATGTAAGTCTATTTTCCTAAGCTCGCTAATAGCGATCAACCAAGACTGATCGAAGTTGAGGTCGTCTCTGTTGAAGCCGACAGAATTTCTGCAGTGTGTTCTTGGAACTAATTAGAATAACAAGCGAGATTCTGGGTACAGAATTTGGACCCATAATGGAGTACAGTGGTAAATTTATTAACGCTAATGAGATGAGCTACACGTACCTTTCTCTTTTAAAATATATGGCAAGAAATGATCAAGATCCAATGGAGTAAAACGAAGTTCAAAACCCTATAGGAGATTGTGAGAAGTTCGACCTCACTACGAAGGTATGCAGGTTCGCTTAGAATGAATGCTGATGAAAGTGAGTGAGAAGTGTATGTTGTGATTTGGCCGCAATGTCACTTGGGAAACCACCAAGATTCGAAATATGTATGCTCTGGGTGTGACGAGAAGTTGAGATTGTAGACGGCCCCCTCAACGAGATAAGAAAACATATGGCTTGTATATCATAGGATCAGGCACGCATGCGAGTCTTTCAACGGAAAATAATCATATCGAACAGTAAAAGATTATTGTAAACCCTAAATTCCTTCAATCGCTTGAGATCGGGGTATACCATCGCAACATAGTTTCTTGAAAGGTCCATCCTGTATATCATTTATTCATTAACTGCTATTTCGCTTCATCTGACCGATTTGGCGGCTTTTATAAAAGCTTTAATCTTGGCGATACTTTGAACTCCGTTTTCTTCAACTCCACTGCTCGTGTCGACTCCAATAATTCTTTCACCTATTTCACCGGCCGATCTAACAGCATCCGCGACGTTATCTGAGTTAAGACCTCCTGCCAACAAGACTCTTAAATCTTGATCTTTCGACAAGGCATTCTGCACTTCGCTCATGTCGAGTTTCTGGCCAGATCCACCCGATGCAGAATCGAGTAATGGGACTGTGTGATAGCCTCTTCTACCTAGCCCAGATTGGCCTGGCTTGAAACTCTTGATAACTGGGACCGGGATTATATTTGCCCACTCCAAGGGTTCATTACCATGTAACTGAACGATATCAAGTTCGTATGCCTTTTGCAATTCTAGGACTTCTTCCAAACTCTGATTTTGAAAAACGCCAACCAACAGAGCTCTGTGGCTTGAAATGTTTGAGGCAGCGTTGGCGAAGAAGTCAGTAGCCAGGCTGCTACTTCTATCGATAAGGACTGTACCAGTGGTGGTACGAGTTTCATGTACGGCTTTTGAGATCGCAGCGGCATCCTTATACGGAACATGTCTGCCTCTACCTGGCACCAGAATCATTCCGATAAGATCGGCACCCGCTTTGATGGCTTCTGTAGCAGCCTCTGCTGTTCTGGTCCCACAAATCTTCACCAAGAGACTTCCAGGCGCTGATCGGACTGCAGGCTCCGAACCCCCAAGTAATTCTCGAATGAATTCGGCAGTGTTTTTAGCACGCATCAAAGCCTCTCCAACGAGGACCGCGCCAACGCCATTCTTTTTGTATGCTTCAACGTCTTGCGGCCCGGAAATGCCGCTGAGAGCGCAGACAATAGTCTCCTTTGGAACCTGGTCAAGGAGCCGACTCGTGGTATCAAGATCGACCTCGAAACTTGTTAAATTACGATTGTTGACACCAATAACCTTTGAGCCTAGTTTCACTGCAATTGACATTTCATCGGCCGTGTTGACTTCAACCAAAGGTTCCATGCCGAGTGATTGTGAATATTTGTAAAGTCGTGTAAGAGTTGCCTCATCCAGCATCTTCACTATGAGCAAAACAGTATCCGCTCCAGCAAGTCGAGCCTCCAAAATTTGATATTCATCAAAGACGAACTCTTTCCTCAAGACAGCAGGTCGGTTTGGCATGCCTTCTAACGATTGGCGAACGGCCCGCAGATCATCTATGCTACCCTTGAACCACTCAGGTTCCGTTAGGACAGATATCACGCTGGCTCCAGCGAGAGCGTAAATTCTAGCTTGAGCAGGAGCGCAGGCCGCCAGCGATATAATGCCTTTGGAAGGGGATGCTCGCTTAATCTCAGCCATCAGAGACAACGGAAAGGGCGACTTTCTTAAACGGTCAACAAAAGAAACAAGGGGAGGTGAAATATCAAGCTCATAAGCAGCCTGAAGATCACCAGGTCGTTGGGAAGGAATCTCTTTTTGAGCAGCGACTGATGCTTTTCGGTGCGCGAAGATCTTCTCCAGGATATTTTCCTTCTTCCCTGGCCCACTAGGACCTTTTTGGGGTTGCGCTTCACCCTTTATAAAAGATTCATTTTCTTCCCAAGTACCTCCTCGCATGTGTAGAAAATTCTTGAGCATGAGTCGGCCACCTTCGGTGAGGATACTTTCAGGGTGGAATTGGACACCCTCAAGAACATACTCCTTGTGTCGTACACCCATGATGGCTCCCTTTCCCCCATCCGGACCAATCGCAATCCAAGACGAGACTTCAAGACACTCTGGAAGCGTAGGGTGTGTACCGGCAAGCGAATGATATCGTGTAACAGCTACATCTTGTGGAACGTTGCTGTACACTCCTTTCGAGTCGTGGCGAAGAGGGGAGGTTTTCCCATGCAATATTTCCCCAGCATAGCTAACTTCGCCGCCGTAAAGATCAATCATGCATTGTCTGCAATATTTGTTATAAACATCGCTTTATATGTGCCGACAACCTGAGTGACTCACTGGCCCATACAGACTCCCATCACAGGAATCTTACCCGCGAAATGTTTGATAGCATCTCTGCTAATGCCGGAATCTGTCTTGGGATGACCTGGACCTGGACTGATCACCAGCTGTGTGGGATTTTTGGCAATCAGATCCTCGATGGTGATTTCATCATTTCGATATACGTCCACCGTTGCGCCTTCAAGTACAAAGTACTGATATATGTTCCAAGTAAACGAATCGAAATTGTCGATGATTATGACGTTTGAAGCATTCGCGAGTGGTGATGCTGCTTCCGGCTGTTGAGGAGAATGATCAATTAGATCGAGAGAACGCATTTTGATTGTAATTGATGGCGAAAAAGGATAATTTGATGAAAGAAGTCAGGACTCCGATATTCAATAATGTGGGGTTTCGTACTGCGGGACGAATCGAGAAGGCTGCGCGAAAGGCTGAAAATACGCACTGGCATGGCCCGTGCATATATCGGGTAAAGTACGGCAATTCACCTACGGGTACTGCAGCCATTCGCGCAGTTCTCGAGCGCGTCGCCCAAAGGTCGAGAGATATTGCAAAGTCGCAGCTCAGATACAAGACCTTGGACGTCGAGCTCCCATGCCCCGAGTCACGGCATAACACCACTGTTGGCTTCCTCAGCTTGGGAGCAATGGTACCATCACCACAGTCAAGCTATTTTCCCTCGTTGGACAAATGTCTCAATGGGGACGAAATTGTTATGTAGGCGATCCTTGATCTATAGTTTTGCTTTTACTGACCATGTTGTAGTTCATGGAAGGCCGTCTTCTCTGCCATTGAAAGCACCAAGCGAGGCGCACAAGATGAACAATCCGTTGTCGAAAGCTTCTTATCGAATTCTACGGTACGAGAATTACTAGCCAAGCCGTTCGATCGTTCTACTGCGACGGCTCAATCGAAATCGGTCTTCGAGACTAAGACCTCAGCAATCAACATTACCCCTTCTTCTGACGCCCGGTACGATATCAAGGAAGTGAAAGCGGACGCACTGTGGCTTAGTGATTCTGCAAAGATTGATGAGGTTTCGGCATTGAGAATTGTGGTTCAAGAATGTCAGGCGCGGACAACAGCAAAACTGCTTGGGCGTTTCTCGGAAGCCGAACTTGCTAGTATTCGGGAATCTGCAGGAGACAGCAAGTTCACAAGTCCCGTTACAGCTTCTTTATTGTCTCGTGGCGCGGATATAACAGTGATTAAGACAGAGTTTGCGACAGAAGATAACAGGCGCCAACGGATACTCTTACTATATCTTTCCGAAAGACGCTATTTTCTCGAATGTCTTAACAGATTGGTGCAGGCTGCCTACATCAAGAAGTGCTTAGATCTAGAGACTCAGAAGCGAACTACAGCGCCTACTGCCGACAACTGGTTGCAAAGAAATGGTAGGGTGTTTGTGACATCTGACATTAAAAACACCGAACAATTTCGATTACGATGTATTCAGGCTATTCGGAATAATGTAGAGTCTATTGGAAATGGCAGTGGGTGGTACAGCGGAGAGCGGCAAGAATTGGAAGTGGAATGGATCCGTACACACCTCACAGAAGCAACGCACACGATGGAAACATTGTTCTATCTGATCTATTTTGATGATGAGTTTCCTACCTCTGAATCAATCTTGAGATGGTTCGAATTACTACGGGACTGTGGATTCTTTGATCAGTTCACTATGGTACGTCGTATTGCACTCGTAGTCTTCTGCCAGCTGCTTCCGGGCTGGGAGGCGAGATAATATTTTATGAATTACTTTGACTAACTCTTCACAGGAAGACCCATCGCTTCAGTCTCTTGTCATTCCCCTACAGACTGCTTCAATGACGGCGTCTCTAGCTCTATTGAGCTTAGGGGGCACCCTAGGATACCTTCACGATGCCAATTCGACCGCGGCGATTTCACCTACTGCTGAGCCTGGTGCGCCTTTTGTACTGAATACCAAGACGCTTGAAACTCTTCACGAAATCATGATGCATGCAGCAGACGAAGGCTTCATCACCGCCGGGCCTCCAATTCTTGCTTGGGTTACTATCCTGAAGGTCCTCAATACTAGAATTAGTGCCAGAACCACCCAGATTGAAGATCGGGATAATCTAGGCAGATTTGACCCACGTGTGTCTACTGATTCAGAGACCGCAATCTTACCCGACCCCTACCAAGGTATGATGGAGACAATCATGGATAGTCTGGACGATGATGACCCTATTGATTTTCTTGCTCGGAGAGCTGTCAATCAAAGCCACGTCTTGGAGACACTGAATGCGATGGCTCTTCGCCTGGGCAACACTGCAGAGGCCTTTTTCGCAGATGAAACCGGTTCAATCATGCGGTCTGTCATCCTTGATCTCCTAGGTAGTAGCAATGACGGATTAGGCTATATTCCGGAGGTTGTTGAGGCTCTCTTGTCTACGCTCCTGGGCGGCCAAAATTACTGGGACTTTGTAAATTCAAAGTCGCAATTCAAAGCATTTGATCCTGTTGCGAACTTTATTGACAATAACGAATGGATCAATATCTTCTTCCAGACAGCTGTATCTAGATATCCTTTTGAACCTCAGCCGTTTCTCCGCATGATTCATGCTGTTGCGTCCTGTACATCAACCTACGCTGGCAACGATCCCAAATCTGCTGTGGGCTGGCTCGAAGCAATTCCTTTCTTTACCTACCAATTGCCGGAGGACTTTATCGACTACGAAACTACGCAAGAAGAGGACAATAATAATAATGTCCGCCTCAAGACACCGGTACATCTTTTTACACCACGGTCGAACGGACTTTATCAAAAAGTTAAATCAAGGTCACAAGCATTGACATTGGTTGACAAAGACTTTTGTATTCCAGCGGGGACCTATGGACGCATCATATCGGATTCGGTGCCAAAAGTAGTCTTTTGGTTTCACCAGTACTCTGGATTGAAGTACTTCGGAAAACTTTTAGAAACATTCTTGACAGCAAGCGATTTAGTAGATGCCACGACGGGATCTCCGGTGGATCGAGATTCTGTAGTCGAAATCATTGACATATTCGCAACCATCCTCCAGGGATACTCGAAAGGTAGCGCTAGCAATAGAAGCGCACAAGAAGATGCTCAACTGGTGTTAGAGCTCGCAAGCTCCGGCCTCAATCGAAATCGCGATATCATAACCGTTGTCTTTGATATATTTGAGGAAGAATTACACCGCCAATCTACCACTTCTGGCTCAGAAGTGCCATTGGGTATACTCGTTAGCTGCATCCATTTCATCCATGCACTCGTTGCAATTTGCCCGGGGCGCGTCTGGCCTCATCTTGCTCAAAGCAGTCTTCTTGGCGTCAATCGAGGTGGGGGTAGGCTGTCAATCATTGTCGAGGGCGTGGAGCTAATTCTGGGCCGTTACGACTTTCTATTTGCTTGTACCAAGCTGTACGAGGCTTTGATAGAGGACGTGGTTGCTAATGCGATCAGGAGGAGAAGCGAATCAGACTCGCCAGCTCGGTTCGCCAAAGGAAGTGATGTGGGCGCTGGGATTGCCGACCAAGTAATATCGAAAGTCCTTCTTCATTTCGCACGATATTCGGCCGACGTTTTGGAGAGTTCTTTCAGTTGGAAGTTTATCAGTCAGAATGACAGACGGCGATTGTGTAAAGCCATCGCGACTATTTTCGACAAGATCCTTCGGTATGTTTACGGCATAGAAAATAACCCGAAACTAGAGAAACCCGACGCTGTCGAATTGCCATCGAAGATCCGACAAAATGAGCACAAGATGATAGCAGAACCAACATCTAAACTCACTGGTGTCTTAATTCCATCTGCAGTGCAGATTGTGGAATGCTTTCTGTCTACGTCTTCCAGCTCCCTGAGATTCCAACCAATCTTGGTGGCGTTTTTGGATGGTCTTGAGACACCCGACCTGACGATATTGCTGAATGAATCGGAGTTGTGGACTACGCAAGTAGCATCCGTCTTTTCATTTTCGAGCACATTATTGCGAGTCAGCAATTTGCTTGGAAGGCCCCCAACCGAGCTTGCGCATCAAATGTTCAAAGCTGCCCCATTGATTGCTCGGCTCTACGCTGTTAACGACTTTTACAAAATACATGTGGTAGCATTGTTTGAAGCCCTCATCGTCACCGCCAACAATGTCGCGGAGCCTCCTTCCCTGCTTGGCCATCTCGGGCCTCACACCGCCAAGAACTTTCTTGAAGCTGTGTCAGAATTAGATAAACCTTTAATACGACCAGAAAATGTCCTTGCAATATGGCGTTTCCTATCTATGGTGGTGAGCAACAAGCAACAATGGTTTGGCAACTATCTGCTCACGGGCAAGACTCCACGAGAAGCGCTGGGGAAAGAATCAAACGCGAAGGATAGTTCGCCATTAGACAAGTCTTTATTGACCACAGCACTAGAACGGCTTTCGAACATACGCGAACTATCGAAGATTGAGGCGACGGCGATGTTAGACTTTGTCTCGTATTCACAAAACTTCTATTCCTGGACCGTGTATGCATCGCCTAAGCACGCCGAATTCATCTCATCAATGACTGAATATGTTGGCACACTTCGCCCACTACAAACCTCAACTAATGTCGATAATCAAATTGAAACATGTTTTCAAACCAAGATCCTTGCGACAATCGCAGAAATTCTGGCCATGCATATGTTCCACGCTAGGCAGATGCGAAGTCCTTCAGATATTCCAGACATGATTAGAAACTTACATTTATATTGGAAATCTGGAGTTTCCGTTCCTAGTTTGAACTCCTCCATCCACTTTCAGTTGAAGCAGAACTTCGAGGCCAGGTATCCGAAGTGCACTCTCCAAGACCTCAAAAGAACCACTTTAGAGGATCGTCAGCTTGGGAGACAGTACTTTTATGACGTTTCTTTAGCCGACAAGATGTTGCAAACAAATCAATCTTGGACTGGTGTAAAAGGCAATGATGGTCATCGAGCTAGTCTGGAGATTGTGAACGTCAACCTATCTCTTGTCGACGCACAAATAGTGAGTTTTAACATTTGATAGTTGTGATTACCATAGCTAACAATGTGATTAGGCTCTTTTCCACAGCTGGAAAGTTCTCGCCATTGAATTGACCAGCAGCCTCGACGGAAACGTCAATTTACAAGAAGCACTGATCAAAGTATCCCTCGATTGCCTAACGGCGAACTCACAGAGCCAACATTCTGAAGAAATCTTTGCAAGACTATGTGCCCAGCGCGCTGATCTTGCTCTCATCATTACTCAGCGCTTAATCGAAGCGAAATGTCATTTGGGTCAGATGAAACAGTTACTGGCTAAAACTTGGGACACTATTCGCAACTTTAGAGGCACCTTCGACAGAGAACTGCTCGAAGATGATACACCTTATTATAGATCACTGTTAAGACTATTGTTCATCGCTACACGAGCGCATACAGTTAGCGCAACGCACATCCAGCCGGAAGATTCAAATGTCTCCAAGAAGATCGCCGAGGCAAGTCCAGTAGCTTCGGTTGTTCTTGATATCATCAAATACGTGGTGGCGATGGGGCTTCGTGAGTTAGCCACTAAGATTCACGAGAACGCCTTGGGATCTTCACCTGAGGATATCGCTTTGATCACTGGTATCCTAAACTCTTGCCTTCACATACCTGGGATCGAGTTATATCAACCACAGATTGTGTCGATTATCATCACTAATGACACCGCTCGCGTAGCCACAACTTTGTTCTCGTGGGCTGACGGAATAGCCATTGACGGCGACCCCATTTACGGCGAACTTAGTATACTTTTTCTCCTCGAACTTTCTAGCATGCCGCTCATGGCCGAACAGCTTGCAATCGACGGTGTTCTTGGCCAAATCGCTTCCGCAAACATTACATCATATCTTCGACGGGGAAATGTCAGTCCATTCGCGGAGGGCACTGGTCTCCAACGCTGCTACAGTATTTGGTGTCGTGGTATCCTCCCATTTCTCCTCAACCTTCTCGATTCGGTACAGGTCTCTATTGCGGCGGAAGTGGCCATGTTTCTCAATCAATTTTTGCCTCTTCTTAAACAGTGCTCAAAGGCTTTCGAAGCACCTGAATCATCTCGAACCGCTTCAAAGGCACAAACGCGCTTCATATCCCTTAGCATGTGCTCAGAAGTACATTCCCTTGCGCTGTTGAGTTTTATCATATCTGGGTTCAGGGAGAGTCTAGAGGGCACGAACGAGATTCCCGAGGTCAATCTAGATACCGGGGCCATACTTGAGAACGTTGAATTTTGGCTTGGTGCTCGAAGCATTCTGAGGGAGAGAATTCTACCCATGGGTGCCAGAGATGAGCTTTTAGCTAGGCAAAAGGTCGAGAAGGCGCCCGCGGGACTCGGGGGCGCAGGAGGGAGTAAACTAGAGGAAATCGTCGTCGCGGAATTGATGGGAATCAGGGATATTCTCAGTGGTGGTGCAGACTCTTGACCTGTATAACTGGTTCGGTCTCAGCACTTTATTACGACTTGGCCATTTCGAGGGATAATCAAAGCTGGCTAGTGGTTGGCAAATGTAATATATTTGTAGCATTTCTGCGGCGTTATTCTTTTGGGCACAATTTTGAAGTCCCATCAGAAGTTAGGAAAACGCGAAGGATGGCCATGGGTTAGAAATTCAAAAGATACGGTTCGTGCACTTTGTCCCAGCGGTCCATCACAGTGAATGTAGGACCTTTCACGATGGCTTGACACGGCCCTATAATTTGTTTCATCTTCTTAGATGTCTAGCAGCTGAATGTAAAGGACGTTCTTAGAGCGAAAATTACAGAATGACCATCGCCAAATCCTTTCTTCGATTTCACGTCAGTGACGGCGGAAATAACGGAGTGCAATCATGGCATACCAGATACAGGTCCAGATTGTCACATAACGCACGTGACCATTAGCCGCTTCCGCATAGAACTATTCCACTTCGTCTGCCAAAGCCTTCTTCTTATGACCGGTACACATTGATTTTCACCGTCGACCGAATATTCCGAATTCGTCAACGACCAATTAATACCCGGCATAGGTGCTTTCTGCGACGATATCAGGTGTGGGGCTTCTCTGTGAGCGTCTTGGGCCGCAGGTGGCTCAAGAATTAACCTCAGGGCGCAGTCAAAACCATAACCCTCGCTCTGTGTAACCGCACTGGATCTGGGCCAATAATTTTTCGCGCCCGTTGGTGACCTTTATCCTAGTGAAGAAAGTGTGGCACACTGCATGCTTCAGGCAATCCGTTTAGGCGAAATGGAACCCCCTATCTCCTTATCTTTCGTGGCTGTGATGTTGTTGGTACTGGGTTTCATAGCCTCTAAGTACCATTAATTGACCTTATGTGTTGCAATTACACGGTGGGGTTCAGACGGCCTGCGACAGATTTCTATGCGTGGTGCTGGCGCGATGTATCTTATATGTTGAGCAACATGTCTTGAAGCTTTGAGGTATTGCGATTCTTTTCTTCGTACTCTGTACATTAACACCTTTCAATTCTCGGTGTATGCAGTTATCGTATACAGTCACATTTTATATTCACTTCAATTACATACAAGCCTTTCTACATAATAATTAAAATGGGCTATTATGTTGAGAGTTCCGAAGAGTCAACGGACGATGGACAAAAATTATGGAATCCGTCAAAGACTCTTCGGATAATCAACACAGATCCAGGATATCAACGCCTAACTTGCTGCGGCCATGCTCCCTCTCAACGAAGACGTTGTCGTAATCCTATCAGGGCAGACAATCGAGAATTCATTACACGAACCTTAGAGGAGATGGCTTATCTACGCCCTGGCAGTGCAGCTGTCAAGAAGAAGATGCGGGCTATTGCCGGTCCAGCATTGTGTGTTAGAGACCACCAGAACCAAGCAGAGGAGCTCGTGATGCAGTGGCAGGGAGAAATCAGAGAAATGGAGCCCGAGATGATTGGACGCAAGAGTGCCAAACCCAGCAAAGCAAAGAGAGAAAATTCCGTGAAGGATGAATTTGAAGACGAGATGCGAAGCATGAAAGACCTACTGGCAGAACTTCAAGAAGAACTCAACAACCTGAAGCGAGAACGAGCGTCAGGCCGAGGAGCAACATCTACCAAGATTCAACAACAGACAATCAAACAAGACGAAAGCGAGACTAAGGAGCGTCAGCAGAAAGAAGAAGCAGAGAAAGAACGGTTGCAAAAAGAACGTCTGGAGAAACAGCGCCTGGAACACGAACGATTAGAAGCAGAGCGTCTGAAGAAAGAGAAGGAGCGCCAGCAGAAAGAAGAAACCGAGAAAATCCGGTCGGAAAAAGAACGCCTGGCAAAACAACGCTTGGAAGAAGAGCGTCTCGAAAATGAGCGTCTAGAGAAGGAGAAACAGAAAAAAGCAAACGAGAAACGTCAAAGAGACGCCGACAACGAACGAATACGCCTGAAAGCAGAGAAAAGACGACTCGATCGGGAAAGAGAGGAGCGAGAGAAAGTGATGAAAGAGAAAGCAGAATGGCAGCAAGCATGGCAAAAGTACCAATCTCAATGGGCCGATTTCAGAGCTTCTAAGCAGAGCGATGGTGATATGCGTATGCGAGACGCAATCCCTTGGCCTGTTCTATCGGGTGAACACAGTGATGTCAGGGCCTCCACTGTCAGGGAGTTCTTCAAGAAGGCGATACCAGAAGATGCGGATAGGTCGAAACTTATGAGAAGGGAATGCAGAAATTGGCATCCTGATGTTGTGAACCGCAGACCTCAAGCTTGTACGCTTACTCCAGTTGATCGGGTAATGATTGATATGATCTGTCGAGAAGTGACTGGTTTGATGAATGAAGCTGCTGGGAAGTCGGCGGAGAGTTTTGAGTAATGGGATTTCTCGTTTTGTAAATAGGTTTAGATGGATATACCCCGGCGCAGTTATATATTATTATTATTGGATTACTTTACTTGAATTCTGAAGCGAGAATATTTTACTTGCAATGCAAAGTAGGTATAATTGATGGCCTTGTTGGTTTACTAGTTGAGAACTGGCTCAGGGGTAGCGAGCTCGCCTAACAGCAACTTGTTTCTAGTCACTCTACTTTCTTCCACACTTACCAAATCTCTGTAATTTTGCGGCAGATCTTGGTGGATCATATCTGGAACTTGATAAACAGGAATCTCACCTCTTTGGCGAGTTCTTTCTACTTGTTTTGCGTTCTCTCGCTGCGCCCACGCGCCCATTGAGAATTGTGAAGAGCAAGCATTTGAAAACGTGACAGACCTTTTTCCCCGAATGGGAAGTCATACAAGTTCTGGACTTTCCTGATTCCAAGAATACGACTGAGTGGTTTGGTACTAAACTTGGAAACTATGGCAACTCGGTTCCTGATCTATTCAAGTATCCCAAGTTTCCACACCCTGAAGCTGTAAAAGATGTTGTGTTCGAATATCTAATGCGTCCTTATAGGTCATCAATTACAACAAGGGGCAAAGGTCAAAAGCATCAAAACGAAACTAGCTTGATTAATCTTGCCTTCCGCACCTCCTTGAAGAGCCAGTAGTAAAGAATGACAACTTTTTGTCATCCATACGCTAAATTAAGTCACATATTTGATGACATTCAACAAGTACTTCAGTACATAGGTTGATGATTTCGGTTATTGTTCGGTAAATGATGGTTTTGATAAAACAGAAGTTGGAGCTGACGCTGAGGTTTTGCTTTTCAGGTGGGCGGTGGCCTTCACTAATTTTATGGTTCGCCCCCATACGAACCATGTCTAATTGCCTTGTTCTGCCGAACACATTTTCTTGAGCCTCATTCTGTCACATATAACCATCTCGTCCCCCTTTCAGTAGTAATAATACCAGAGTGCCAATCATCCAATATTTGTCGCAACGATCCATATCAAACTCACTTATGAATCCACTCCAACCTTCTCTCTATCTGCTGTATTCAGGTGATCATTGGAGTTATTGGGTTACTATTACAAGGTGCAACAATACTAAATCGATACCGTATTCGAGTTTTCATTCGACGTCCAAGTAAGCTTTTCTAGTGGAAAATGTTTGAATGAGAGATCATAGCTAATTATCTTAGAGCGCCAATCACGCGGAGAAGTATAGTTTGCAAATTCAGTTGTTCTTGGGTCGTGGACTCGTGGTGGTTACAATAGGTCAGAGGACTTGGCGTCTAGATTTTGGGCACGCTAGATCAATTGTACAGTAAGATCTGTATTATAAGTAATTAAAACTGTTTATGGTTTAAAGCCTTTCCACCAAAAGTAATCTTTTCATTCACTACATATTGTTTTACGGTACAGAGAGATCTTTTGTTAGAGATTGAGCAAGAAGGTGCTTTATCGCTTAGTTGGAGTAGCTATATATTTATCTCCAGTAAGAAATTACTACCAGAAATATTCATATTATGATTATCCATCTGGATGACATTGATCATCTTAACCTTCTTCCCAGCCGGGTATTTTGCCATTTCATTTGTGAGAAGCACATCTCTTGGCGGGATAGCGGAAATGCCACCAACGACTCAAAAACATCCTCTGCTCAAAATTGATATTTCTCCGTTAGAAGATCTTCAGAATTTATTTTGAACGCCGTTTAAAAACAAGTTAAACAATTGAAGCAAGCAGCCAACCACCTTCCTAATCTCGCTAGCTTGACCCCGCATTCGTATTTCCAGATGATGGAACAAGAAGGTGCATCGGTGCCCAGCAATTGTCATGATCCACAGTCGCACCACTTATGGACTTGGCTGGAGTGTGATATATTGAGGCTGAACTTTAAAGTTTTACTTACAACAGCTACAAATACCGAACGACTCCTGAGGGACATCTCGTGAACTTCATAATTGTCTACTCAGTGTTCTTATCCAAATGACGCTCCGAAATATGTTATTACCTCTTCTTTTCCTACCATTTTCATTTGCGACAATTTTAATCCCCCCACCAACAGGCAAATATGGAGTTTCTCTCACAAACATACAATTAGTTGACAAAACCCGCCCGGATCCATGGGGTTTTGACACAATTGCAAACCGCCGTATAGTTGTCTCACGATTCGATCCCGTCGCCCCAAGATCATGTCGAACAAAACAGCGGATCCCATACATGACATCCGTAGTTGCAGAAGAAGAAGATCGTATCCTAGGCCCCTACGAGTGGCCAGTCGGAGTACTAGGTCAACTTGAGCTAGAATTGTGTGTTCCTAAGAACAAGGTCGTGAAAGACGCACCTGTCGTGCTGTTCTCGCCAGGAGGAAATACTACACGCTTTTATTATTCCGCGCTTGCCTCCGAAATTGCCAGTAGAGGATATTCAGTCATCACTATCGACCATCCCTTCGAGACGGATATTGTAGAGTTTGACGATGGTACGATTGCGTATGGAGGACATTATAGCGCAAGGAAAAACCTCACGTTTGCGGAGACTGCTGTCTCAGTCAGAGCGGCTGATATGTCATTCGTGCTTGATACTCTGGGATTGAAGGACCGTAAGAAGGATAAAGCTGCTGCGTTTGGACACTCTTTTGGGGGTGCTGCTACTGCAGCGGCCATGAGACTCGATCCTCGAATTCGTGGTGGGGTCAATCTTGACGGATTGTTGTATGGTGAGGTCGTACAGGCGGGATTTGGCGAGAAGAAGAACAGCAAGCAGTCATTCGTCCTCTGGGGTGCTCAAGGTCACAATTCTACGGAAGATCCGGATTGGAATTCTTTTTGGTCAGCTCTAGGAGAACAGAATGTATGGAAGCGAGAACTGAGTTTGTTGGGCGGCGCACATGGTGCATTTTGGGATTTGAACCTTATTGCCGATGTTGCTAATGTTCGAGGCCAATTTGGTCAATATACTGAGGAGGATTTGATCAGTAAGCTACCAGGGAAAAGGGTTTATCAGATTGTAGGTGATTATTTAGATGATTACCTCAAGTTTGTTTTCGAGGGAGGTAGTGAAGGGTTGTTGAAGGGGCCGAATAAGAAGTACCCCGAGGTGGACTTCTTGTAAATATAATTAAATTCGGGCATGTCATTGAACATTTTACTTTGACTATCTCTATATCTTACGGTCTCAGCATCATTATCTCCTGTCTCGTTTCGTGATCATTCCAACACACGAATGATTTTCGGTCATCTTTCTACCCGCCTTCGCGGTCCTCGTTTCTGTATAGTGTTTCTTTCTTTGTCACCTCACTATTCAAGACGTGTAGGAAAATATTTCAGATTTTATATTACCAGAAACATCAATAGAACATCTACATATAGTTGAGTACGATTTTCAATAGTAGTAACTCGAACTCTTCACTTGTATTGGCTAAGCGAGCTTACCCCTGATCACGGTCTGGAAGGTAATGTCCTGACTACTCCTTTGCGACAACGAAACCAAAGACAAGTTGCTTGCAGTATAGAAATCAACATTTATCGCAGTGAAAAGCCTTATACTGAATAATGCTATTGAAGTATGGGATAACAATATGCCCCTGGATAATGAATGCTTCTAAGCGAGGTCGATTCGTTTCCAGCTTTGTCTCGACCATTTCTAAAAAAAAAAAGAAACCTGAAGACATTTAGATATCTTTTGACTGCTTGCCATTAAAGTTAATGAAATTAGAATCACCTTTCTTCTAGAGAAAATTGTCATTACCTCCAACTTCAAATTCATCCACCCATTCACGACCCACTTACTTCCCATACACCGCCAACCCACCTCCATAATTCTGCCACCTCATCTGCCACTCCCCATATCCACCACCATCTCCATCTCCCTCACCTCCTCCTCCCACCGCCCACAATGCCATCAGACGACTACACCCCCATCGTCCGGGGCGGTCTAAAACTAAAAGGTGCCTCCGCCCCCTCGGGCATAAAGAAGAAAAAGAAGAAGTCGAAACCGACCGTGAACGAAGAAGGACTCTCAAAGGCGATCGACTCGGACGCCGGTTCTAGCAAGAAAGCGGCAGCACAGGAAGAAGAAGGGTTGGATTTGCGCGAATTGGAGCCTAAAGACTTCGATGGGAAGACGGCGACGGAACGTGCTTATGAAGAGACCAGACGGAAACGTGTACGTTATTCTCCATGCCCCATACCCTCTATTCCCGACCCTTAAGTATAGAGACTGATGTAAATTATGATATAGTTAGAACGCCGCCTCGAGAAAGAAGGGCCGAAAACACATAAACAGCGGGTGGAAGGGCTGAATACGTATCTGAGTACGTTGAGTGAACATCACGATATGCCGCGTATTGGACCTGGATAAGGTGGTTTGGTGGTTTTGGGAGAAGAGGTTAATAGGAAAGATAAACGGCATGTGAGGAGAGAGACGGATTTTGGTGGAGTTGGGGCGCTTCTGGATGCGGAACTTTCAAGCGTTACAATCTTGCCACTTGCTTAATACCCGCCGTGGTACCGAATATCAATGTACAGTTATGAGATATAAATTAAGGCACTTTTTCGAGGCACACTTCGTAAGCCAAACCACTGTCTAGGATGGCATTTCAAGACAATCGAGTCTTTAATTGCAACATGCAGATACATTGTAACTAGTTATATCAATCTGAGACTTATAATCATAAAGTCACATCTTCTGCTGACATCACAGACATTCAAGCATGCAATGTGTCTGTAAGGTCTAAGTGAGGAAAATTATTCGAGGCAGCGTACTGACCATCTGGTTTCTTCTCGCCATCAAGCGTCGAAATACTTAAGAGGAATTAAATCCTACCACAAAAGCGCAAAATAGGGATGTGAACGTGTTTTGATAATTGATATGTACAAGAACCCATCTCCTTTTGTGTAGGGTGTGCGTCAAAACTACTTAGGTAGATAAAGGATATCATGTTGTTCATGATGATGTGCGGAGCCTTTCAGCAAGGCTCTCAAGGTCTACTCTGCCTCAATCATCCTCCCCTCCTTTTCTGTGTATCCAAACACTCCATTCTGATCCGTCTATTATGACCTGGCAGCCTTCCAAACTCTATAATTCCAACGACGAAATCCCAGTAGGGAAATCCGTCAAAACAAATCCCGTTACGTGGTATATTAAGGAGAGACATTAGTTAGTACTATACGTAATTTTTGAACCCAAGTATGCTGATCCCATCCAAACGCCATTATCGCTATGCTGCGCAGTTTAAACAATTTTTTAGACAATGTATCCGTCGCTTATAACGCAGCTGCCGCTGCGATCCCCAGCGCTCCTAAAAGAGCAACATTAATGCCAGAACGCTCTCTGGTTGCAGCACCGGTCTGAAGACCCGCATTGCCGACGCTAGTTCTGGTGGCACCATTTGCACCGGTGACTTCTCCCGCAGCTGGAACGACCGTGATCGAAGTAACGGTGGTCACCGCACCATTGGGAAGTGTGGTTTTGTAAACGACTTGTTGAGTAACTGAAGGCTCAGCCTCGTTAGGGGTCTCGGTTGGGTTGCTATTTCCACCAGTTGGAGTTGGGGTTGGTGATTGATTGTTGGAAGACGAGTCTGTAGGACTGTTAGGACGAGAACTAACAGTATCTGACGAAGCTTGAGGTCTCTGAGAGGTAGATCCTGCCCGAGTAGAGGACCCGGCCTGGGAAGAGGATGGGCCCTCGGCGGAGGTAGATTCTCGTGTCTGCTGAGACATAAGGGAAGAAGCCGGAGAAGACACTACCAGTGAAGAGGAGGATCTCTCAACAGAGGTTGATACTTGTGTCTCTCCAGATGTAGGGGAAGGAGCCAGAAAAGTAGAAGAGGTGACAGGACCCTGAGAAGTAGTAGGAGAAGAGGCTCGAGACGTAGGAGAGTTGGCAGGGCCTTGAGAATTAGAGGCGGACGAAGGAGATCCCTGAGAGCTCTGTGGATTTTGTACCGGGGCGGATTGGGCCGAGCTTGATGGAGCCGGATTTACGATCGTCGTGGTAGTCGGAGCTGTTAAAAACGGTGTTAAAAGGTCAAGCTGCAGAGACAAAACAACGCTGGGTGTGATCGAGTACGCGTAGACAAAGTTGTATAGGGCATTTGCTGAAGGTAATGTCGACGTGTTGGTGTGTGATGATTATAATTCGATGAAGGATGCATAGGATGGTTTCGTGGAGCAAGTTGTCATGTCATAGAGCTCATTCAAGCGACCAGATTTCAAGCCAATTCAACGATTTCGTACATGAACTTTCATGCCAAGCATGCAATAGAGAAGAAAAGACGAATTGGAATGGTACATACCTTGCTGAGATGGCGATTGAGTCGTCGTCAGCGTCGTATCTGGGCTGTTAGACGGAGTAGACGGAGGAGAAGGAGTGGAAGAAGTAGCTGGGGCGAGTGGCGTGGTTGTCGTCGTGCTTGCTGGAGCTTGAGGGGTGCTGGTTGATGGCGACGGTGCAACTGTCGACGTGGAAGGAGATGGAGCTGGAGGTGGATTGCTCGTCGACGTCGAGGGCACCACAGGAGCTGGCGCCGTTGAAGTACTAGTAACTGTACTTGCTGGCGATGTTGTTGTTGGGACCACTACAGTTGTGCTAGTCGATGGTGGTGGTGGTGGAGCAGTAGTCGTGCCATTGTTTTGTCTTTTGGCCAATTCCACCAGGCTAGTAGCAGCCTCCCTATCCTCTTGATGCACAGCTTCTAGAGCTTTCTTATCTTCCTCAAAAACTCCATGCTTAAATTTCTCCTTCAAATGCGAGTGTAGTACGTCGTGGAGGTGAGTCGGGTCAATTGAATCGAGGAGCGATTGGAATTTCGATAATTCATCCGCGGGAACATTGCCACGAGCAATATTGTTTGTGGTAGCGCAGAAGGCCCCGATTGCGAATACAGAGAGGAGAAGGATAGTCAACAAGTTTCTTCGAGCCATCTTTTTTCGACGTCGATCGGCTTCGTCAAGAGTTTTCAATTGCTCGATATCGGAAGGTGTTGAGGATCGATTGAGCGAACGAACGTCTGAATAATCAATCTTTTCATCGTTAGCACGTTCCATGACGACGAGGCCAAATCAGAGGCTGGCAAAGGGCGATGAGTGAGCTGAGGTGTCTGAGAAGCTGCAGGTCTCAAAGCAAAACAGCTGAGGTCGTTCGCAAGAAGCCAAAGTCGTCGACGTGAACGAATGACGGAGCTCGTAGAAGATGAGTGAGAACTGCGAGTGATATGGCAGCCAACTCTGTATGGATGAAAGTTGCATATATTCTGTAAAGAGTGTTCAAAAACTCAAGTCTCGTATCAAACACGCCGGATGGTGGCTGACGATGACAACCACCTGGGCATGCGGCGATATTGATTGCATCCTTGAACCCGTCCATATCGTATTGAGCTGCAAGCGCAACGTACCGAGGTGCAGGGCAGAAGTATTGGCCGACAACAAACATGACGCCCCTCCAGCCTCTTTTTTGTCTTTTTGGCAAAGGCGATGGTGTTTAGAACATTCAAAAAATCATGAACTTACGAAATAAGAATAACAATTTTCCGCTCTTTCTTCCTGCTCTCGCTTCGAACGAATGGATCAACTTATGGACGAGTTGAGAAGATGCGATGAACGAGGGTCGCAATGGTAAGGGTTGGTTTGATGGAATACGAAGCGGGTCAGAATACCTTGGGAAGAGGCACAAGTTTCTTATATCGTTGGGAAGTCGCCATCATGAATGCGAGCTAACTTAGCTAAGGTACGTTACGGCAGTGGAGTAGCCCAAGTCAAGCAGCTAGATTATTCCAAGAAAACAAACGTATGTTGCTGCAACGATTGATCATCGACAGGCGTTACCCTCAAGGATCGTAGCTTACCTGGTTGGTTTTCTTCCTCTCCAAAACTTCGTATAATGCACGTTTTCCACCTTAGTTGGAGATAGTCTAGCCGTAGCATCTTTCACTTCTGCAAGCTACGGGAGGGGAAGCCATTCAGAAGAACTTAGTTCCCCAACTATCAGTGGTGTCGCCAGGAAAATATCTCAAGCCAAGGAAATGGTCCAGTTCTAATGCACAGTCCAGTTCGGGAGACAGGGTGGTCCGTTGGTAAGTCCTGCTTCAACCTCAAAGTTGTAAGATTCGAGCGTACTTGATCAATTATTGACCCCAAAGACTTGCTCAAAATTTGCGTCTTAATACTTTCATATCTTCGGACAGTTATATGTTTAGAGATATCGCACAATAACTAAGAGAAACCTCGAAGTCACAAGGCCCGTCTTACCCGTATCTCGGGACAAACTCCCGCAAAGATTCACAAAGTGCCCCGCTATCCAGCCTCCCGCTTACTCATGACAGTTAAACCTCCACTGCAAATTCCCCTCTCGAGTTGCTTTCTCTCTATTTCATTCTTCAAATCGCATGGTTACCATGATATGCTCAAACAAAAACCATCAATCATAATTCCTCGACGACGGAGCACCAAAAGTCGAAAAACTACTGCCAAAAGCTCTACAACAGACCATGTCAATAACACAAACAGATAAGGCCCAAAGCTTGTCGTCAAGTCTGAGGGCCGACGTCACCACGAACGGAACCCTACACTTTCAAAAAGGCCATGGTCGCATTGCCATCATCGCCATTGATGAATCCCATGATTCGGCAGTTTGTTGCCTCTTTTTGTATTTATCCAGAACCTGAAACCAAAAGTTCTGCCCAAGCTGGCGATGATATACAGCTCTCTTTTGGATGTGGAGGAAGCCGTTGGTCGATCAGTACCTACGTAGGTGGGGCGAAGTCGTAGTCGTATTTCTATTTTGGGACCACGAATAGACTTGGGCCATTCGTACGTCGGTTTGCCACTCGACTAAGTTTTCCAGATCAACAAACCCCTCACGACATGAAGTCTCTTTGGAAGTCGAGTCAAGAAGCTGCATTTCCAGCCATAGAAGTATCATAGTACGTGAAACCAGCTCGTTGATTCTGCATCTCGTATCGCTTTCACATCTTTGCAGCCAAGTGGCAAGCGACAACTCAGAGGAGAAGAGACATCCCGTTGCGGATTGTGATAAGCTGCATGTCTGCATATTTCAAAGTTTCAGGCCAGCTTACTCTCTTACAATTCATTTGCCTTTGTTGTTTGGAGGTATCCATTGCCCGTGCAAACAAAAGGACGAACGGATATACCTAGTGGTTACAATTTGGGACTGGAAGGATGTCCAAATTATGACATACAATTTCGATCAACTCAACTCTCGAATTTCCGTCGATTTCTCTTTTGCTTTGCAAGTTAAGAAGACGGCCAAGTCGTATTTTCCTCTCGTGTCTCAACGTAGCATATTAAGGTCTCAGGTTCTAAGGCCAGTGTAGCGCTTCCGCTCGCTTCATTTCTTACGTCAACTTCTTAAAGAGAGGCAAAGAAACACAAGGAGTGTCAAAGGAATACAATGCATTGGCCAAGCCATGTTCGTAAATATCAATAGCAGCATGTTGACAAAGTATTCCTTTCACTGCCCAATCGTTGTTGCAAGATTCATGAAATTTCTCATCACTAGTTGCGATGAAACATATGAATCTTGGTTTGCTCTGGTCGCATGCCTGATGTGGTGTCTACTCTTCAGTCTACTGATCCCACCTTACAATAGTAAACCAATCCTCTATGTTCTACTGTTTAAGTTGAAGACGATAGTCTTACGTTCTTTTAGACTCTTATGAAATCGCAAGCGAGCAGTGAGTTGCAAGTCCGAGGATACACCTTCTTAAGGTATAATAATAATATTCGGCACTAAAAAGCTACGTTTTCGTACCTCTTTTGAGCAAATACTTTATTGCCTCTCATGCAAAGGTTATAGGCCTGTTAAGGAAGAGTTGTTAGATGTCGTTTTCTGCCACTGTTACATTGAGAAGGTGTCTCGTCAGTCTTGGAATGCACTGGCGCGCTAATAGTTATATCTTCGATAGTATAGCTTCTTGTAATCGGTCAATCTTATCTGTTTCGGCAGTTTCATTCGTTTTCCCGATTTCAAGGTTGTTTGTGATCCAAATATTTGGGGGGTTTTGGTCTCGTAGGGATCAAGTTTGAGTGCCGCCGAACCTTGACGTCTGATGGGTGCGGCAAGCTAATGCCACTTCGACAAGCAGATGGAGCTTGGTATTGATTCGATTTTAGAAAATGCACGTCGGTTGGTGCTTGATTGCGGACCGCTCTTTTATTCAGTTGTTAGTTGGCGAATTCCCATCAGAATCAGTTTGCTGCATTTATTTTATGCTTCTGGTCAGAATATGCCTGAATCACTGAGCTCAGCCAATCACTTGTTGCATTTATATTGGGACTTGCCCAACGTGATTCTATCAAATTAGGATAATCCCAAGAAGATTGAACCTACTTGCCGCACAAGTTATGTACTGTTTGATATCGACGGATGGGATTGAGAGTCGTTCCGCATTCACGACGCAAAAGCTGTGCAATGCCTTCGAATGTTCGGCTATTCTTTAGAAACTAATCATGTACCTCATGCTCTGCTTAAATTGTCATGGGAAAAGCTGTAATGGAGCACTAAATCGAGCGGAAGGTAGCAATCCGTACCCCGCTCTGGGAAATCTTAGTAAATTATCTACCTCAATGAATATCGTTGAGTATCTGGCTATAGTCAGCTGACGTTTCTCAGGTTGTTAAAAACTAGTCAAAGTCGTTGAGATTTCTAGAACATCCCAGATCTTGTACTCTCGATAAAGCACAATACCGTTCCATCTCAATCAGATACAACACCTAAAGACACGATGCTCCAAGCCACAATGATATTGCCTCTTGTTTTGACAACACTGGTCACAGTGGCTAACGCAAGTCCACTCGAGCCTAACAAACGACTAGATAATGGCCTGGGTAAGACTCCAGCACTTGGTTGGAATAGCTGGGTAAGTCAGACTGGAGAGAGGTCCTCCATTAGGTTTTAAGCGGTGTCAAATCTGAAAGCCAGCTGACCTAAAGTATAGAATGTAGGAGGATGCTCAACCGCAACCGCAGCAAACGCACTCACAGCAGCCAAAGCCTTTGTCAATCTCGGCCTCAAAGACCTAGGATACAGCTATGTCAACATCGACGACTGCTGGGCGAACAAAAACCGCAACTCCAACGGCGACATGGTAGCCGACCCCTCAAAATGGCCAAATGGCATAAAATCCGTCGCCGATCAAATCCACGGCATGGGTCTCAAATTCGGTCTTTACGGCTGCTCCGGCACTCAAACCTGCGCAGGCTACCCCGGATCCCAAGGCAACGAAGTGCGAGACGCAAAGCTCTTAGCCTCCTGGGGAGTGGATTACTGGAAATACGATAACTGCTACACGCCGTCCGGGAACTCGTCGGGGAGGTTTATGAGAATGAGAGACGCCCTTGCGGGGTCTGGATGGCCCATCTTTTACTCGATGTGTCAGTGGGGGAATGATGCAGTGTGGACTTGGGGGAGAAGCGTGGGGAATTCATGGAGAACGACCGGAGACATAACGAATGACTGGGCGTCGGCTGCGAAAATTGGAGCGCATGCTGGGACTATTGCTGGGTTTGCTGGGCCGGGTGGGTTCAATGATCTTGATATGATGGTAGGTATTATCCCAAAGTTTTTAGCAAGGAATTGCGGAAGCTAAATATAATTGTCAGGAAATCGGCAACGGAGGACTCAGCGCAGCTGAAGAACGTACTCACTTCGGTCTTTGGTGTATTGCCAAATCACCAATCATCCTAGGAACCGATCTCTCCAAAATCTCCGCCTCATCCCTAAAAATTATCAAGACCGCCGTAAGTTCTCTCCTCCACAAAGAATCTAACAATCACTAACTGAACTTTAGGGACTTCTAGCCATAAACCAAGACCCACTGGGCAAAGCTGCCGCACCTTTCAAACCAAGTGGTAAACCAGCTCCGGTATCAGGAAAGCTTTATCCTTACTGGGCTGGGCCGCTTAGCGACGGTGTTGTCATTGGTCTTATTGCGGTAGACGCTGCCGCTACTCTTTCAGTGAGTTTTGCAGATGTTCCTGGATTGGGAGCTGGTACGTATAACTGGACGGAGGTTTATGGAGGGACGACTGGCTCGGGAACGAGTGTTTCGGCGAGTTTGGGATTGCATGATATGGCTGTGTTTAAGGTTACTAAGGTTTGAATCACTCCCTACATGAACTTAGCTCTTGTGTCAGAGAACAAATCGTGTTGCAGCGGTGTCAACTTCGGAGAATTGGAAAATCATATGTCAAATGTTGGAAAATAAAACATGGCAGGAAAACTTTGCAAGTGGTGCTAGTATACATTGACATCCACCTTGGAAGGTGACTTCCTGATCATTCGCATTTTGAGACACCTTTTTAGCATCACTTTGGTATTTGCTGCTCAGGGAAGGCCATTATGTATACTCTCCTCGTCACTAAGTAGGTAAGATTGGCCACATTATAGAGTACAAGAACTACTCTCGAGCTACTCACCATATAGTTTCTCATATTTCAAAACCTTTCCTGGCGATAGAAAAGGCGGGCTTTTCTTTAAACAATTGTTGCGACCATCACCCCCGAGGAGAAGATTGCAGCTTCTCAGACTATCTTCTGAATGCCGCGAGCAATTTTATAATTCGAACAGCTAGTGCTGATGGTTGACCAGTAGAAGCGATGATGAAGTCGTGGGGGCTAAAACAAACGTGATCGTGGTAAGTGACTTGTGGGCTGATTCCAGCTCAACTTATCCACTTCGAGATATGATGCTTGTGGGTTCGACAATTCTGATGCAATTGAGCGATCGCACAATGGGTCACCATTCGTATGGCGGCTGATGCGGCGTAGGTTGATATGACTTCAACTGAGATAGTGACCATTACGGCCGATGGCGGGGCTGTATTCCTCCGCAAATTGGCTGTCTGAAACACCACTTCATCAGCTATTCCTCCGAGGTGCAAATCAGAAAGCGTGAAATAGTTGGGATTTCTTAACTTTTAAGACGAAGACTATAAAGTTTCGGCTCTCCGCAATGGATTTCGATATCTTTCCAAGTTATTATTTCATCAGCGTGACCTCACTGTCAGCGAAGGCATTCAGCATAGACGATCCAAATAGAATTACTAAGATACTATTACCTTTACAGCCATACTAAGATGGCTTCTCAAACTTTTTTAATAGTTGGCGCCACAGGAACTCAAGGTGGTTCAGTAATTACGGCACTTCTAGCAACGCCTTCGGTTCCATCAATCCAAATACTAGCTCTCACGCGAAACACAACATCTCCCAGAGCCAAAGCTCTTGCTGCACTTGACTCCCGCATCACCCTGTTACAAGGCGATCCATCATCACCCAAAGAAATATTTACAAACGCAAATACCCAAATAAATGCCGTATTCTGCGTGACCGTCCATGGCCCAACCGGATCCGAAGAAGCGCAAGCTCACGGCCTCATCGACGCCAGCATCGCAAAAGGCGTCAAACATTTCGTCTTCACGTCCGCTGATCGCGGGGGAGATGTCGCCTCAGATCGAAATCCCACGCCCGTCGCACACATTGCGACGAAATTCCGCATCGAGCAGTATCTCAAAGAGAAAGCCGCTGGTACGTCCATGGCCTGGACGATCCTCCGACCCGTGACATTCATGGACAATCTCACGCCCGACTTCCCCGGGAAGGGATTCGCGGCTATGTGGAAACAAGTCGGAGCTCGACGGATCCAGGTCGTTGCTGCGAATGATATTGGGGCTTTTGCCGCGAAGGCGTTGTTGGATCCGGCGAGGTTTGCTGGGAAGGCGATTGGGATTGCAGGGGATGAGTTGAATTTTGAGGAGGCGTGTGAGGTGTTTAAGAGGGAGATGGGGGTGGAGATGCCGACTACGTTTTGTGCTGTAGGGAGTGTGTTGAAGATGGCGATGAAGGATATTGGGGCTATGTTCAAGTGGTTTGAGACGGGTGGGTATGCGGTGGATATTGAGAAGGCGAGGGAGGTGTATCCTGAGTTGCAGGATTTTGGGACGTGGTTGAAGAGAAGTAGTGGGTTTCGTGAGGCAGTGGTGTAGTCTGCGGTTTTGATCGGGACGTCTGAGGTGGTGTTACTCTTCAAAACTGCACTTAGATGCCCTTATGTATAGGTTTTTTTATTTCTACCATGGTTCCATGTGAATAGGTTCTAGCCTTATCAACTACCCATTGTACTCGTACTCTGCTATAGTCAGACTCATTTCTCCCTCAAAACTCATGGCATGTAACTACTTCAAAGTCTATAGCTCTACACAAAGTGGTCCTGTCCAGGGGATATTCGCTTGTTTACAAGCTTGGCTCGATGAAAGCGCCATATCTCATCTGCCACTTTCATAATCGTCTAATTAGCCTGGTCGCGTAATTTCGTTTAAGGTTACGCATTTGTTACAAGGAAATGCATTAGACCCATAAAGTCCTAAGAGCCTGAAGTTATGTGTCATCAAAGTAGGCAATGAGAGGTCTAAAGGGAAAAGTAGTAGTCTTGATCCAACGATTGTTTGATATCGACTTTTGAGGGAAGCTCTATACTGAATTGGAAAGTTCAATAGATTCCTGAATATTTTAAATATGTTGATTGTTTGTGTTTGTTAAGTAGCATAGCTTAGGCTGGTAATACGTAGTGTCGATAGCTGCAGACGATGTAGTGATCCAGCGCTTCTAGGTCGGAGGAAGCCGCTCTATTCAGATTATTGAGATGCGAGCCGCTATAGATTCCATGAGCATCGTTCGGTGCGATCTTTCATTTGGGAGATGTGGAATAATCATGGTGAATAAATTGGGATGATGGTTTTCAGGGGCGAAGACTTGGATTAAGCGAGTTTTTCTATATCAAATACCTGTACTGGCCAAGTTAAGAGATACGCAAATGTAGAAGAAGAGAACGATAGTTTGTTTCTGAGCAAGATACTAACACATCCTGTTTTGGTTCTGTACATGACTTAGTAATTTGATGGCTTCTTTATTATTTCACCCTTTTCACTAGGAGGTACACATTTCGAACAAGAGAAGCTTGTGTAAATTTCGTTCGCTCGCTATCCTGCACCCATCACTTCTCCGTATGAAAAGAAACAAATCGAAGTCTATTGGAAATCTAAAAAAAACATCTGGAGTTCCCAAGAAGACCTTACTAGTGTCCTGTGAAAATCTTCTTCGACTTACTGTATGCCCTCTCAACCTCAATCTCGCTTAACGCACCAGCACAACAAAATCACGAAAGCAAAACATACAACAGTAGGTATTCGCTGGTGGTCACCCACCCAACTACTAATCTACCGATCTGAGGCTTATGTATGGCAGAGCGGACGGGATGCCCATTTCTCCTCAGTCTATGGTCGTATGTGACAGGAATGGCTGTTTTTGGGTTTATAATCCAAGATAATTTGACGCTGATAGAGGAAGTTAAAAAGACTTTGCTAGAGAAAGGGTCATGTAATCTAGATAGGAGTACTTAGCTCATAAAGCAGGAAGAAGCTCAAGTTAGGTTGTCTGAGGTATTTCTGGACTTTTAGTAGGACTCAAATGAGGCTGTTGATTCAGCGAAGGATCATTTGACAACTAGCAACCTTCGAAATTGAAAAGGTACGTTGAAAGTCTAGTGGTTCTTCACTTGAATTACTGAACCACTGGAGGCGAAGTAAATCGTCTACTTTCGCAAGCTATTTGCGCGTTAAAGAAAGACGTCTCTTTAGCAAAATTAAATTGTCATCTAACAGCTCAAGAAATTTTCCCTTGCATTCTTCAGATAGTCTACATTTATACAAACACGCTAATCCTTCTCTTTACCCTATACTCGAAGTGCTTGAATTACAGCATGTATTAGATGGAGACGGATGTAAACATACAATAAGCCAGACGATTAACGTGTCTTTGAGCCAGGAGTGTAAGAGGAAAGAGCTACCAGTAGAAGACATGCAGTTAGTGATTCAGAATCTGCTGAGATATAAATTTAGGTTCCACCGACGAGAACACAAAATCGTCAATCTCTGCTATGGACGTTAGCAAATGTTTGTTGTGACCTGCTCTAGCGATGACATACACGCATAGAGTTCAAGAATAAAGAAAGCCTTGCTTATCGGTTTCGACTCTCGAGATTCAATTGACAGATCTCGAAGTGCAAGTGTTTGTTATAAAGAAGTAAATGATAATCACTGTCTGACAGGTATTTCTATCTGCTGAAAAAGAACTTGCTACAAAATTAACAACAGACCCCACTCGAACCAACCAAGCTTGAAGCTTGCTCTCGGTTCATGAGATACAATAAGACACATTTCTCCTATCCAGGAGCAAAGCATACCCCATGATGCAGTTCTCAACATTGAGGTATCTGAATCTAAAGCACGATCGCAACACGTTAGTCTGACTAGAAGCTGAGCCGCTAAGCCTTGTAATTGTATTGAGATTAAAAGCTCCCCTAGATCGGTATAGAAGTTTGCAAATATGTTGTCGCTAATGAACTTTAAAATGGTACTTACTGGCTTATTTGCGAAGTTGGTCAACTCTACGGTTGCTAGATCTCAGACTGGCCAAAAAGTGTATGAGGAGCCATATATGTGATTTCTCGTTGACGGTTAAGTCAATGTTAGAAGACTTTGGGTCCGGCTGCAGAGCCTAAATCCCAACCTGGGCTGGCCCCTTTTCACAAATTCAAGCTCATGCCATTTGTGGGCATTATGTCATCGATGTAATTTCTGTACTTTCGACTGATATAGAGCGGAATTTCCAAACTGGTATACATCCCATTTCCGCCAAAGCGTCCATATCAAGACGAATGAACCACCCTCCCCAGGTATGGCGATACCGTACAAGAACGAAGAAGCCTGCTATCATCACATATTCCCTAATCATACAGCAAATCATCCCTTTTCTACACCATAACTTCTCGCATTAAGTATTCCATCTGCATCTGCTCTTGATTTATCTTCCCGGGGGTGGTTGTTGCATCATCTGTGCCTGTTGCTCCTGGAATCTCTGTCCGATTCTTTCACTTCCCGCCATGAATTTCTTTACGCATCTTGTTACGCAGCCGGTTTCGCGTTGGACGAGGGATTTGGTGGTGAAGTCATCGATGCAGGATTCGAAGCAGTGGTTGACGAGGCCGGAGAACATCTGTAGGTTACTTGTTAGTCTGAGTGATAAGTGTATAGTTTAGTCCAGATTTGCGCATGGTAAACCCATCGAGAAAGAGAATTGGGCCCCGAAAGGCTATGATAGATAGCCAAATCGTATAAGAAACAAGACTTCCGGTCGGAGCTGCCCCTTCCCCTTTACAGCCATCATATCTGTTGGCAGACTAGCCTTGAGAACCTGGAGACCCTCAGAGGCCTTGCACTTCCAGAAGCCTTCAAGCGTTGCCGATGGATGTGGAAAAGAAGTTGGAGCGCATCATCTTCAAACTCAACAATTCCTTCCCTCCAGTCGAATCCGGCTAGACTTGCGCCATTGACAACAAGTGAAATCCTATGAGAGCAGTAAAAGACTTACACCCATAAACTCCTTCATCTGTTTTCGTTCCATGCGAGATTGGAACTCTCTCTGCTCAGCTGCGGTAAGTCTGTTAATCAATTAGCATATTGCTTCGAAGCTGCCGATCCTAACAATGCGAGCTAACATACCCGTCCATGTTGAGTTTTGTATGGGATTTATTTTGATGTATCTGAGGCGATATCTCTTGATATGATCTGTCTTCGCGGAGTGTCTGTTCGAGATATAGAATGTGATATTCGCTGCGTTTCTGATACTCCGTGAAGCTATTCTCGAGTGTCCAGGGTTTAGAATTTCGACTCGCTAGCGGCCCGTCATCTGGTCGGAGCTTGAGCTTCTTTGATCCGATGTTTTGAGCTCCATTGGATGTCTGAGGCATAAAGACTAATTCCAGGCCAAAACGTCCAGAACTCCAAAGGACAAATTAGGACGGTTCGATACGAGACAGTTCGATAGCGGACTTGCAGATCGTATCGAGCTGTCCAACGATGATTCACTTGCCCCTCTATTTACTTTCAACGACTCCCGACTCCCGAGTAGCTCTTTGGAGCAGGACCTCGACTGCTCGACCAACTTCTTGGACTAAATTATCAATAAACAGATTCTGTGGAGCAAGCCGAGTTCTTGCTTGCCGTGCCGAATTCCCTACGCTTTTTCCTGGCTTTAATGTTTGTTTATTGACTATGAAAGTCAATGTAAACATGATAAAGGTAATCTTAGAGAACATCGCATTTCGCTTAGATCATTCTTTCCTCACTACTTATGCTCGCTGCCCTCTTAGTTAGTCCCTAGGTAGAATTAAATGGGAAGTTATTAGTTGTAAGCACCATGAAGTCACCAGGAGAACTACCGCAGAGGTCCCACCAACGCATCGTCACGATGTCCAACATATCTAAAGGTTCCTCCTTCTCGCTAGATTCTACACACAGTTCAGGTCTTGAATCCAATGGAGCGTACCATGTAAAAGTACTTCATGATGTTGCAATCGCGACTAAGCTAGGCGTGGATTCACAATTCCAGCCAATTCCCAGAGAAACGGAGATATAGTGACTGAGGTCAGCCAAGTCGAGGTCAGCTCCAGCTAGGCACAAGCCACAGCTGTTGACACCACGTGACTGTATGGACTTCTCTCAATTGCTCTGAAGCTTGGACCAGCATCCCGCTAAGCCCCCAAGCTCGCTCCTCACTGTCGATTTCCTCCAATCCTCTGCTCTCATGCCCTCTGCCTTGCTGCAAGCTCGTTCGTCTGCCTGACTGGTCCTGCTGGAAGACTCGTCGCTCTACCAAGGTTCCAAGCACAGCACAACCCTCATCTTCCACTCCCACCAGCCACACTGCCATTGGCAATCACAGCTTTTCGTCTCCTCGCCCACGACTCCTCCCTCCCTCTTCACCAAACCGACATCTCAGTCTGCCTTGATTTACTTTCCGCTGGTGTTTACCAACCTCATCAACCGCTGCTGTTGCCCGTGCTTTCCGCGCTTACTGGTGCCCTCGTTGTCGCGTCTTGCGCCCGATCAATCTACTGGCGCCCATTCCACAATCCGGCCAGACGACTGACGAACCTGCGAAACCCTTCGTGAATAACAACGGCATCTGTAGGTACATACCTCCGATCGACGGCCAGCCGAACGAGTATCTAAAAGAAATAGTAACCTGCTATCATCAACGAAGTCTTCTATTAGCTTGCGCGAAGCTGCCTAACATCGACCCGACGGACTTGCACCCTCTCGACATTCTCCTCTGCGAACGCTATAGAGCTTCACGTACGGCGACGAGCCGACGGGGTGAGCCATGGCTAATATAAATTCGGATCATCCAATACCTTCCTCCTCTCAGCAGGCATATCCAACTCCCCAACCAGCTTCCGTACAAGCTACCTCGCCTCCTACGAAACAGAATCTGAAGTCATGGTGGGCGGGATTTAGAAAGGAAACCAAGAAGCAAGATGCACAAGGTAATTACCGCGCCCATCACAACCCAAACATCCCTTCTAGGGATGCTTTCACTCGTCAGGACTCGATATTTGTTGCAAAGACTCCTAGGCAACATAGCGCAACTTTTCGGGAGGCTGGACTAGTAGAGAACGCAGCAGTTGCTTGTGGCTACAGTATTCCCAATATTGCCCTCAAAACTGCAACGATCGATGCTAGTGCTACACGCCTCTCAGACCGAAAGCTCGACTCTGACGCGCCCTGCAATCACATCAAAGTTAGACGCACTTCAAGCGTCGTCTGGACATCGAAAAGTGTCAAAAAACAAGAATTGCGAAAAGCTGCAAGTGTGCAATCTTTGAAACCTGGGGGAGGCTTAATGACTCAGCTCGAACGTGAACGTAGCGAAACTGGCGATGCTTTTCATGCGGAAACCGAGTCTTCCTCAAAGTCCCGAAATTTCTCTCACTTGTTTAATGCGTTCAATGTGTTTCGTTTAAAGCGCTTTGCTAAGCTTACAGGTCAAACAGCAGAACAAGCTCCAGGCATTTTCGGCGTACCCCTCCGTCAAAGTATCACCTATGCGAACGTAGCAATCTCTCTTGTCGATGCGGAGGGGAAAAGCTACATTTATGGATATGTACCAATTGTTGTCGCGAAATGTGGAGTTTATTTGAAGGAAAAAGGTCTGCATCAAATCTGATAGCCCCCATAAGATGACAAGCTGACAATGAATAGCAACTAATGTGGAGGGTATCTTTCGTCTAAGTGGCTCAGAAAAAAGAATCAAAGAACTCAAGACAATCTTCGACTCACCAGAACGCTATGGCAAGGGCCTTGACTGGGCTGGATACACTGTGCATGATGCCGCAAATGTGCTGAGAAGATATCTGAACCTTTTGCCGGAACCTATTGTTCCCCTGGATCTCTATGATCGCTTCCGAGAACCTCTCAGAGGACATACAATGCAAGCTGTGGGGGACAATGAAGGACCACAGCTACCCGATTCTTTCAATGTCAGCCATGCCATCACCACTTACCAGCAGCTGATTACAGAACTTCCCCCGCTCAACCGCCAGCTGCTGTTGTACATTCTTGATCTCCTCGCGGTTTTCGCATCAAAGTCTGACGAGAATCGAATGAACTCGCAAAATCTAGCTGCGATCTTCCAACCGGGGATGTTGTCACATCCTGCTCATGATATGGCGCCTAGCGAGTATCGTCTGAGCCAAGACGTTTTGATCTTTTTGATCGAAAACCAAGATCACTTCCTCATCGGCATGCGTGGAACAGCTGCCGATGAGCAGACGGTCCACGAAGTCCAGTCAGGTATCACTCCTCCTGGCACTCCGAAGACACCAGGAAAGAGCCCCATGATAGGCAGATCCGCATCAAATGCAAGTGCGGGCGCAGACAGCGTGAGAAAACTTGGAGGCTTGCCACGACGAAACGTCTCCGTGTCGTCGAGAGCTTCAAGACAATCCAATGGTGCTCCAAGCCCAGCCAGCCCAGCATTGTCACATACCGCAACCGGCGGGTTAAATCGCAGTAATACAGTCCCTTCCAAGAGGTCACCCGGTTTGCCCGGCAACCGTATGCAAAGAACTTCCAACTCACCGTCACCGGTCACACCTATATTTACCCCGGCGCAAACTCAACCTCGCAACTTGTCACCCAACGCGAGGGTGCAAACAGATCGCAATGTATCTCCATCATCAGCTAGATTTGGTCCTACGACTCCCGTTGGGCGATCAAGTCTTGCCCCCTCTTCTAATGCCGATTTCGTCGTCGCAAGCCAAGAGAGACTGCTTTCTGATCAAAGTGAGAAGGCAGAGGTATCTACACCGCAAAAGGACAGGAGTGTGTCGAGCTTCTTCAATAGATCACCCACGGTCGATGCCGAAAAGAAGCAACCGAACAAGTTGAGAAAGAAGCAGCGACAGCCAAGCTCAAACCCAAGCGCGCAGTCATCAACAAACTCCCTACACGCACCACAGCCCAGCATGTCCACTACTTCGTCACCCGCTGTTCAACCGTCAGCGGGCCCACAAGAAGTTGTCGAGAGACCCGTCCTGGAAACAATACCTTCAGGTGTTCCTTCGCATTACGATCCTCAGGATGCTACCCCACCAGCAACCCAAACTCCTCGCGCAGAACAAACTCCCGAACGAGTTCTGCAGCAAAGTACACAGTACGCTCATCCCCCGCAACCAGAGGTAGATCATGCAACTGCTTTAGATATGAGGCCCAAGGGACGCTCTCCACCAGTCTCAGTACATTCGCATTCATCCTTCAATGACCAGTCCGATGCGGATCATCGCGAGGAAATAGCTGCTGCGACCGAGCAAAGAGAGAAACGGTCAAGGTGGCGACTCTCAAGGCATCGTGATTCTTCTAACCATGGAAATACTCTTGCACCTGGACGCGGTCTCGGGTCGGATGCAGGAGCAGGTGCCAGTACGAGCTCAGTAGGTAGTGCTTCACGTCCACGCAAAAGCTTTACTGGTGACACTGTACCTGTCGGCACGGAGTCTACTCTTGTTGCTACACATCCATATTCAAGTAACGAAAGTCATCCGAGTTCTGGTGCTGGTTATGAGGAAAAGAAAGGGCCTCTAGGATGGATCAAAAACAAGATGCGCGAGAAACGTGAGGAGAGCAAGGAGAAAGAAGCTGAAAAAGAACGCAACAAGAGCCCTCCTGCACCAACTGAGCGACAGAGCATGGCTGGCGCAGCGAGAGGAAAAAGCATGGATGTCAAAAGGGACGACCTCCCTCAAAGAATTGCAGAAGAGTCCGGCCAGGAGCAGCAAGAACCTCATGCCCAATACTATCCACCACCTCAGCCTCAACCGCACCCACAGTCACACCCGCAACCCGCACACCCAGAATCCTAGGTGTGACCATGTATAAGAGTGTCGCGATCATGAATTTGGTGTAATATTAGCGGACATGCATGATCTCAGTCCGCATTTCCAAGCATTCTTGACATTTGCGGAGTTTCGGCGATGAATGAGAGCGGATTAATGGTCATGGCCCCAATAATTTTGAGGGCCTTTTCTGCTGCTGATGGATTGATTTTTCGAAGATCGGATACCCTGGGAAGCTTCTTTTGTTTTTACTCTCTTTATGCCGAAACTAGGTGAATTAGATTAAATTTCCTGTTTTCTCTAGCCGTTACTTGACTTGGAATCAATGGAGTGGGCCATTCAAAAATTAGTGGGCAATGCGGATTAATAGTTGGGTTTATTCAATTGGCTTCATGCTTCTTTTCTCCTCTAGGAATTTGATTTGGCGTACCGAAGATGCCGCTTCTACGTTTGACGCGGATGGAAAGACATTGGTCTTTCCAATCTTACATTGGATGTGGTTTGCTTCAGTAAGGGTGTTTAGAAGGTGTTGTAATGTTTGGACGAGCTGTAAATAGGCCATGGAGTACAGCATATTTAATATATAATGTTGGTGACACAAACGTCGCGTTCCATGACCCGAGACGTCGGGTCGAAAATGCTGTGACTTGTCTTTCGTATGTTTCATCCTCCCGAATCCGCACGTTTCTCGTGTAATACACTGTGTACGATGAGGTTGAAATATAGTATCGTACACTGCATACCGGCGATTAATATCTGCACTGATAGGCTACCGACTTCAAAAACAACGGCCAAATGTATGCGTGATTTGTGTGATTTCATGTAAAAAAAATTTAAACGCTTATCCAACATATATTTTGGTGATGGGCGCCGCTGATTATTATGTCAAGTTACAGTCATGACACACACTTCAGAATAACTAAATAAAGAACCAAATGCGGCCAGACCCCTAAATACATGGGTCCGCGTTCCATCTCATCATGCGCGAGCGATCCAATCGCGGTTCAGATAACGACGGGAAACCCCGTCAAAAAGTTCGAACTTCCAATCTCATCTCATAATCTCGATTTCGGGAGCAACGGCGGTGGGCCACAGCTCTGGCTCGCCGACCGAGCCCCCTTTTTACTCTTTACGTCTTGGACGGTTTTGACATATTTAGGTTTGCTGACTGAGTGGACATGCTGCGTTAATCATTTTTCTTTGCTTGCTCTCTTTTTTCTTTTTAGGTGAATACCTATCTTCTGTCTTTACGGAGTTATCGGTACGTCGGAATCGCTATTCGGATATCGAGCATCTATCGAGCGTCGCAAATGAACTTTTTGGGAGAGAAACGAGGGACACGAAATATGCTGGCTCCGAGCAACGTCACGACGGCGGTACGACTTGCGTTTGCGCTGTTTGTCGTTTCGGTGCCGGCCTTCTACTATTTCAGACATGATGGGTTGGGGGATGGGAGCAGGGCGTTTCTGCCTGCGTTTCCGAGCGCGCCGGCGAGTCTAGGTGGTGAGCAGACGTCAGAGATGGGGGCGTCTATCGAGAAGGAGGATTTCATTGCGAAGATTCTGGGGACGGAAATTGATGGGCCGTTTGATGCGAAGCCTTTGCAGGATTTGTGTGCGAGGACGAGTTGGCAGGAGGGCTTGGTTATGTCGTGTGAGGCGACGAGGGGAGGGGGGATGGGGAATATACGGAATGTTTTTGTGGATTGTGTGAGGTTTGTGATTGAAGCTGGTGGTATGTATTTGGAGATATAGTTAAGAGAGGATAACAGCTGATAAGAGTTTACAGCAACCGGCTTTGTGATGCCAGACATCCTCTTGCGATCGAATACGGACCTGAGCAATCTACACAGTGGGCCGAAAGTCAGATTCGATTACATGTTTGACAGCGCGTATTTCAAAGAAACGCTTCAAGCAGCTTGTCCACGATTAAAGGTCCTCGACAACCCACCCACCTTCCGCGATCCTCACAAATGCAATCCCCAAGATCCCATGAACGACGGCTGGGAAGTCTCGCCCGAACTCATCACCCTCCTCGCCGCGCCCGAGAAATGGCGAAGTCAATTCGACCGCTGGATGGCCAACGAAACCTTCGACCTCGACAGCACGCAAACCAAACACGTCGACATCGGCAGCAACATCCTTCTCTGGCCCATGCACCACGACGGCGTCCCCTTCATGAACACCTTTGGTCGAATCTTCCGCTTTCCCCTCTCTGTCCGCCGTCTCGCCGCCACAATCCTCTACAACCTGCACACCACGCACCTCCCCAACTTCCTGCCCGTAAACGGCATCCAGTCCAACGCCTATCACGGCGCGCACCTGCGCACCTCCAAAGACGCCGTCGAAGCTGGTTGGACACCTTATGAAGAGCAGTCCGCAGGCTACATCGCACAAGCGCGCGCCGCGAATCTGAACGTCATATACGTCGCCTCGGGCTCTGTAGAAGACACCGAACGTTTCCGCGCCGACGCTGCAGTCCACAACATCACCACAGTAAACAAACACGATCTGCTCTCCGAATCCGAGCTCCTCGAGCTCAAAGCCCTAACCTGGGACCAGCAGGGGCTGATTGACTACGAGGTGTTGCTGCGCGCGACCGAGTTTGGTGGTATCGACACGAGTAGTTTTGCGTGGAACATCGCGTTACGAAGACATATCCTGAGTAAACGGGATGATTATCTAAGTGGACCTGAGGAGCAGTTTAATTTGAAGGATGAGTATAGTCAGGTGTTTGGACGACGGAATCGTGTTACGTTTTTCCCGAGGGGGCTGTGGCCTTGATTAGAGGAGCATTTTAGAATGTGTAGAGGGGCATTTGATAGAGGGGAGTTTGTTCTTGTGTAGAGCTTTTTGGGTGTTTTGTTGGATATGTTAGGATATGAGCGATTTTGTTGATAGACAGATCTACATTAGATAGATGCATTGGGTTGGGGAGTTTTGGATTGATACCCTAGAACTAATATTTTCTTGTTTGTTAGATAAGAATGGAAACGCTTTTCTTACGTCAAATCTTAAGGTGGCTAATGAGTAGTATGACCTATTTGAGAATGAGATTTCCGCTAAAAATAGTTTCTTTATTTTGTTAGTTAGTATCATGACCGCCCTAATTATCCTCCTCTTACTTATCACTCACGCTACTTCTCTTATTAGTCCCCGCTTCTGTTTTACATCTAACCACCTATATAGCTCTACACAATTAGCTCAACCTCGCTTCATCTCCTAAACCTCAACGGTTATTACTAGAAAGAATAAGCTGTCGAAAATGTATAAGCTACTTCAAGGTCACAATAGTCAATCCTGGATATAAGAAAGGCTTAGCGAGCTAAACGATATAAGAATATATATCTAGCGATCTTATCACTAAACGCGATTCCTCTAATCACGACTCGACGACGATGTCGTTGCAATATACGGATGTATGTTTAGAAATCGCTAGATATTAAAAGTGTCTAACATGCTAGGCTGTAAGTATATATCGATATAATAACTTTACAGTGCGAGCGAATATAACACTAACAAGACATCCTCACCGAGCGTTAGGAAGTTAAGAAAGTATCCCAAGCCAGAGCAGTAAGCGACGCAAGGACAATAGAGGTCAATAAAGCGAATGAACGAGAAGTAGTCTTAGTTTCTACGTGTGAGAAGAGAGTGATAGACGTGCTTCGAGCTTAAATTCGGGAGGCCCGGAGGTGAGTATATAAGGATTAATTAAGCGAGATGTAAAGGGGGTAAATTGTGGTATTAGTGAGTGAAGGTCTTCTAGACAATTTTTACTTCTGAGTTTCAGTTGCTTGATACTAGGCATTACCCTTATACGTTCTGTCCTGTCATATAGCTTACCCTACATTCTGACAAAGGCAGATCTGATCGTGTAACACCTATCAATAAACTAGATGAGGCGTTCGTTCTTGTGTTTCAATGCTTCTGCTACTCTTCACTGTAAAAAGCGCCATTGTCACGTAAACCACCACGATCATCGCTATCGTATATGGCGGTTTTTCGAATGGTAGGAAGAGCATCAGCACTTACTTACAGCATAATCCTTTCCTAAATCTGTGTCTACTTCACTATAATCACGTCACTACTCATCAGCCGACTCTTCCTCGGTTGCTGAGAACTCCAGACGGCGCCTTTTAGGCCTCGGTGTTTCTTCCGTCCTACCACGATGCGGCTCCGACCTAACGTTTCCTTTATGTCGACCATTAAGATGAATTCCCATCATTCTCCGCTCCTCCAACGCTCTTTCAATCTCGTGCACGCTCAATTTACAGCCATGCGATTCCGCAAGCCGCCCAGCTATTACAACGACATTTCGTATCTCGCGACCGTTCAAATTTTTCGTGGCGAGCTTTTGGAGCGCCGTTTCGTCTAGCCATGGTGGTTGTTCGCCAAGTGCCTTGGATATGAAGAGCTTCCAGATCTGGGCTCGAGAGTCTTGATCAGGTGGATTGAAGTGTATCATCACGTTGATTCGAGATAAAAAAGCGCGGTCAATGTTGCCGGCTCGGTTTGTAGTTAGGAACATGATTCCCTCATAATATTCCAGCATCCGTAGAAAGACTATGCGGTAATGTCAGATTTGTGTTTGAGAGATGCTCGCAACCATGTAGAACACGTACTTGAAACCAGGGCGTTGCGTTGGAGATCATTGGTCGACCGTCGCTCCAAGAAGATGTCCGCTTCATCAATGAGCAGAATTGTCTTCCAGCTTGTAGCTAAGCTGAAAGCTTTTGCGAGATTCTTTTCCACTGAGGATGAATCCGTGCCAAGATCGCCAGCGGTTATACTATACAGAGGCATTCGCGCATGCTCTGAGATGCTTTCTGAGTCAAGTTTAGATTCGTGTCAATCAGAATCATACTGAGTGGTACTTGCCAGCAGTAAGAGTTTTGCCAGTACCTGGTTGGCCATGAAGCAAGAGCATCAAGCCCTTACCTTTGCCCCGTATAATGTCCTTAAACCCAGAGAGTTCGTTGCGGGACTGGTTATGGGACATCACCAGTGCCGAAATCATCTCCTTCTGTGAGGACTCCAGTACAAGGTTATCGAAGGCGGCGGTATTGAAATTGACCTCTGTAACTAGGTCTATATTGAAAAAACACCAGTGCTTAATTTCCAAGGCAAAGCCGGGTAAAAGATCGTTACATATAATATAGTCTTCTGACGACAGTCTATGTTGAGCTTCGTTGGCCGATGCAATAACATGTGAAAAGGCTGCCCTACAGGTCGGGTTATTCCTGTTAAAGGCTTCAAAGTCAATCATTATTCGGCCATTGACCTGAAGCCCCATTAACAAACGCGCAGCCACTCTATTCGATTGACTTACATGAATATCTCCCCATGGAGCTTTGACTTTTCCAGAACCAGAGGAATCAATTCCGTGTCGTGTGATCGATTTGGCCATACCCACATACTGCCTGAAATCAGCTCCAAACGAAATAACGTAGCGACGCCCTCTTTGTTCGAGTTTCAACCTCAAATTGTTTTCATCTGTGTGATATTTCAAAGGGAAAATCGGAAGCTGATCAAGGCCCATATAGCCATCATATTGCTGAACCTCACATGATGTTTGCTCGTATCCAAAATTTGTGCCATCGAAGCTCATTCTCAGGGTCTCAAGATGCCACGTTGATAGATTAGACCTTCTCATGGTGACTAGACGCGAAGCGTTCATCCTTCCATCGGTGTCCTGACATAGCAATTCCCCCGGTCGAAAGGCCATCCAAAGGTCATCGAAGTTTAATCCCGGTGAATTGCTGAAGACCATTGAGCTGTAAAATCTATCCAGATGGAGCTTGAGCGCGTTGAAGCAATGCTGCAAAAGTAAACCCAGATGTTTTCGGGGAGCCATATCGACTAGACCTGCGCCGTATGTCTGTAGCTCCGTTCGATAGTGGAAAATGCACTCCGGCAAACCTCTGATGACGATCGCCTTGGACTGGATATTGACTCCCGGATACTCCGTGATGACTTCTTGAAGCGCCGATACAAGAAATGGGGATTGGATTAGAAGTTCGCTTCTCTCGATGTCGTGCTCTCTGGTATAGAACTTCGTCCAGATAAGTGCAGAGTCTTGATCGAGATCTTGGCACTTAGCTATATTCCAGGAGCCGTCCGGCTTGACAAGAACGGTAAACTGCTGCCCTCTCGAGTTATAGTGCACTTCGTATATTTTACGTTCGCAGATAAGACCAGTAGCTCCGTCTTCCCTACCGGTCTCATTCTCACCCAATGCTGTGAAAATCGCCATTGCAAAGGGATCTTCTTGAGTGAAATCTTCAAATCCATCGAGAGAAGTCTGCTGCGCCTGACTTGATAAAGTTTTCGGCGTCTGCTTCGGAGCAGTAACAGGAGTAAAGTATTTGACTTCATCGGGAGTAGAACAATCTAACTTCTATCAGATAAAGCATACTAAACGAAAAAAGAAAGTAATACTTGTGGCAATATGCGAGTCTGTCTTTGTATCTCTGACGAGCCTCTTGACACGATCCTCGGTCAAGATCTGATTTTTGAATTGAAACGTTGTTGCATGTTTTCCTAGTCGTTTCCTCTCCTCGGCTTTCATTGCCATCCACTTGGCCATTGGATTAGGTATATACTTGGTAATCTTCCAATCCTTGAGTTTTGCCTTGTATTGTTTCTCACTATGTCAGAGTTAAGAAACATCACTGTTCAATGGAGCGCGTAGACCCACGAGGCTTTGAATTTGTGTTCCTTCTCCATGAACTCCATTATCTCCTTTAATGTCTTCTGCTCTTCACTATACATCTGTGTGATTTCGGCACGATGTGTATCCCAATCCCCATGGCATTTTTGGGATGAGATTGAGTCCAAATTCGTCGGTGGCAGAACCATGTTCCTGGGCTTTTGCTGCCGATTGTGAAAGTCGCACTCATTCAAAAAGAGATGCGCCGTTTCCGAGTGGCAATCATTCCTCATGAGGCTATCATCGTAGCTCTCAATAGCTTGTGTAATATCGCCATATTGCAATTCAGAGAAGTCAGCCGGAGTGGTGCGAATGAATGGGATGGCGGCGTATTCGGGTAGGCGTGATGCAGTGCTTATAGACAAATTTGGTTGCCTTGAGATAGGATGTGCAGTCGCTGCAGATTGAGCAGTGGGTCCAAAGCATGATAAATCTGAGAAAGAAAGGTTTGCATCCAAGAGATGAGGTTCAAAGCCGGTGATTTCGCAACTAAGCCCAGTTCGGTGCTGGGAGTTTTCCATGAGGGAAGGGTCTGTACGTCGCTCCTGCCATTGCAACGACTCCTCCTCCATCGCGAATCATGCAATAAACTTAACCACCGCAATTGAGTGAAAATTATTGAGCGACCAGACCGAAGGAGGATCAATGTGGACGGAGACAGAACTGTTTAACGAGCAGAGAAAGGATCTGTCAGTATCTAGATCGAGAAGAAGCCATTTATTTAAACCCGACTCAGTGAGGCGCCACATCGCCCTGTGACTTGGGCCGACATAGCAGCTGCAACATCACAGCTCGAAAGTTCCACGCAAGGCTTTTCAAAAGAACCCTGCAGTGTCGTGCATAATGCAATTCGTGACAGGCACTCGAGCACAGAACACCTCAGCCTTGAGCGAACATTTGATGGAGATAAGTGAAAACTTGACAGGAGAAGACTTAGGAGTATACTCTACGGTCACTACAGAACTTAGATTATTCGTTATCTAAATAGATAATCTAAAGTTACTAATCGGGGGTTATTTCAGTATTCTTAACATTCGCTTATTTCAATTACACCTCTTACGAATTGGCATTAGCCTCAAATATAGAGCGGTACCGCCCAAATCTACTTTATCTAAATTAATAAGTAGGTATATTACTAAATAGAAGAAATCATTCTACGCCAATATCCTCACCTTTATAATTTTCAAAGAATACTCTTACTTTTTAACTATAGACTACTAATTAGATAGATAGTTAGTAAACACCTAACTTTAATTTATAGTTCTCTATAATAAGTAGGCATATACCCTTACTAATTTACATAAAATACTGTCTTAAACTATAATTGAGCGGTACCGTTCTACATAATATAATATACTATGTATAGTAAGCTTTCACGCTATATAGCTTCGTCTATTCGAAAGTCATTCGAAGAAACATACGAGCGTGATAGAAAAGTTAGAAACCCCAAGTCTGCAGATGATACTACGAGGAGTACAGGGTCTTTGACTGACACTTATCTTCCCCACCGCGAGGGGCAATTGATTGCTCGAAATCACAAACTAGATACTCCCAGTCGAAAGTTCGAACATCTCGAATTATATATATATGTACTATTCAAACTCCCGCCAAATTAACATTATCTAGGTATCATCCGATCCGCACTCGTCTGTCTCTTATGTTCAACCCTCGGCAGCATCAAATCCGCACTGGTCTGTCTTTTATGTTCGTTCCTCGGTAGCATCAGATCCGCACTCGTTTGCCGCTGATGTTCAACTCTCGGAAGCATCATATCGGCGCTTGTTTGTCTCTTATGTTCATGTTCCCCCACACCGGATTCTAAATCGTGTCTCTGTTTTGGATTAGTTGATAATCCACAAAGTACTGTTAGAAAGAACTTACACTCTCACTCGACCTCCAAACCTCCTGTCTAACCTCAATAGCTCTCGCCTTAGGCGGCTCTCTCACGATCGTAGGAAGCGGCCAATTCTCCTCCTCCGCTAACGTCCTTAACTCCCCACTGCTCCCCCTCGTATCGACCCTCTCAAACCCCTGGCCGCGTCCCGTTCCCTGACCTTCGATAAACGTTCTAATTCCTGTCAACGTCCCTCTTTCCGGTCTCGGTAAATCGTCTAACGGTCTCGCACGTCTATGCTCCTCCGTATACGCACTCCCTGAACGACTGGAGCTCAGCCAACTTGGCCAGCTCCCCAACTTGCGCATCACGCCTTTCATACCGCTCCAGCGCTCCTCGCCGCGGCCGCCACTACGCGACGCAGACCGGTGGTTCACGAGCATGGTGCGGAAAGCTGTGACGGCCGTCATGGCGATGCCGACTTCGGCCGAGATGATCTGCCAGTAAACTTCCCAGCCGGAGTCGAGGGCGCCGTCGGGCGCGCCTTTGAGGCCGGACACGCGGATGATGGTGGTGGTTATCATGAGGATGGTGAGGCAGAGGGAGGCGGCAAGGGCGAGTTTTTGAGAGAGGCGGATTTTGATTTGCCAGATTAGGCGGATGGGAATGGCGAGGACTAACTGGTTAGCGAGGTTAAGGGGGAAGCATGTGGGGGTGGTTACTTAGGAGATCGCCGACCACGTCGAGAACCATTTGGGAAAGGGCGTATTGGACTGATTTATCTGCTTTAGGGCCGAATCCGCATTGTACTGGTTTGGATTAGCTTCATGATATGGTTTGGAGGAAAAGGGATTACTTACGAGCTTGCGCGAGATTGATATTCTTCCTATCCGGACAAGCCAAGACATAAACACTAAATCCATATCCACAAACGCCCAAATTAAACAGTAACACCACCCACCAAAAAATCATCATCGCCCTTATCCTTTCCACCAACTTCCGGAAAAAGAAGATAAAACTAAGTTTCACGCAGACGATGGCCGCCCACGTACATAACAGGGAGTTGATGACCTGTTTCTCATAATCCATAACCTGATCTAGCCAGTTTGGCGGCGCGCGAAACAGCGCATCGACGCCATTGTACGTGAGATCGGAGACGAGGAATTGCTCTTCGGCAATGGTGTAAAAGAGGACTAATCCAGCGACGAGACAGGAGAAGCCGACGAGGATGAGTCCGTCATCGAGTGTGAATTCGCGCTGGATGAAGACGCGGATGTAGAGTCTGGAGACGGTGGTGAAGAGGCAGATGATGAGTAAGATAAGTGTTGAGAGCTTCGGGATGTGGTGTTAGTGATATGGAAAATTAAAGATTTGGGAAGTAACAAATAAGATGTTTTAGGAAGTGAAGAAAGATAACTTACAAAATAGGCTTTCCTGTCTATGCGTCCCGCTTGATCGTGTTTTCCTCCCCAGACACTCATCTTTGCGATTGCGATTCGGATTCCCCGAGCTCAAGCCCAAGCTCAGCCTTATGCGATAATGGAGGGGTAGCTATCAATGTCGATACACAGCTGTATATATAAATGTAAAAGCAAACACGGCTTAATTCGAGAACCTCAATTCCATCACTTCAATCATAGACATCTCTTCCAATCGTTCCACATGCGCAACATCAAAAGCAGAGGCAGATCGGAAAAAAGAGGTGCGGTCCGTAAGCCTATACATACTCGCCCACCATGCCATGTCGCATACACAATCCCATCCTCCACCCATCCCATCTCACGCCCAGAGGGTGGGGACGGGAACCGACGAGCCAGGCAAATCAGCGCTCCATCTTGACCCCAATATTACGTGGGCGTGGCGGTCAGCCTCCTCTTTCGCGGTTCTTGCTCACCTACATGATATATACAGGGTGCGTTTCTCGCAGCAAGAGCCTAGAGGTTATTTGATTAATTGGGCGAAGTGGTGGTCTCCGAAATGGGGTTGCGCATGGGAGGAGAGATCCAATGGTACGCGAGGACATAATCGTGGGTGCAGAACCCACCAGTCGTCGTGCAGCGTTGGTGGAAATAACCTTGTTTCCTGGGACCGGCGTGGCTGTGGTTCGCTGGAATGGGGCCTTTGGACGTTTCTTTTCTGGGCTTGTTTGGTGGGAATTTCTGAGCCTCTGAGGTGTTATTTTGGTGGTAGAGTGGACGAGGGGGAGGGGTCTGCGGAAGCGTAACATCGTTTGGTGGAGACACCCGATAGAGGCTGGGAAGACGTGCTGAATGAGGGTTTCGTGCATAGAACGGGTCGCTGTTTATTCCCTCTAAACACCGTGGTTCCCTGGTGGATGAGAGTGGTCCCCTTGTTGGTGAGAGGTGAGAGGTGAGAGGTGAGAGGTGAGAGGTGAGATGCGCTTCTAAGCTTCTTGGGGATAATACCATGCGGCGCGGTGTGAAGTGCGAGAGGGTGTGATGACCGCAGGGACAACACGTGGCGGTTAAACAGGTCTTGCCTTGACTTCCGTACTCCGTACAAGCGATCGAATCCTCTTGGTGTCAGACCTCCTACTGCTGCTACTGAGTAAGATGTAATATGTGCGAACCGCAGGATTATCCGCGATGCATTACAATAATAAGGGGGATTTAGCCGTGGTCGTTTAAGTTAGCGATGCGGCTAGATGCGAGACAAGTTGACTCCATCGCGCTGGTGCGAGTATTTTTTGGCATGTGTCTGGCATGCGAGACTGCTTTACGCGACCACACGCTGACCGCCATTGGCCCCGTCGTAACCTTACTCCATACTTGCTGCTGCGCCTGACCTCACAGCCGAGCTATTCTCTTCCAAGCTTCATAACCACCGTGATCCAACAACTCTAATCTCACCATATCCCCCCGAAGAGGCCAGACATCTCCATCATCATCACCACCTCACTCATTCACCATGAGCTTCGAGACGACATCGCCCAACATCTGGGTGCTCTCCTTCCACAACTTCCTCAACCAGTGGCAGAGCTCCGACCGCGTCCTGCTGATCGCCAAATGGCTCTTTTATTGCGTAATGTTCACCTTTCCCTTTGCCCTGCCGATCGCATATCGACATCTGGCGCTGCCCGAGGAAATAGTGGAGATCAGGAACGAAGAGGTTGAGGGTTACGATCCTAAAGATTACGACAGCTTTGTGAGAAGCAAGTACGAGAAGGTTGAGCCTGCGCTGGACTCTTGAGGGGGGGTTCTCGTAGCCGAGGTTAGTACCTGCACTACATATGTGCAACAACTCCCAACTAACAGGACGACAAAGTTGTGCTTCGTTACAACGATATCTGGACTCTGGACTCTGGCGCTTGGAAATGTGTATCGATGGCCAGTCCCAGTGGATCTCGACGGGGGTCAGACTTTCCACAACGGGGGCACGGTTTACGGACCGGAACGAGCTTAGGTCGGTGATATCGGTGATGCATTTGGAAGGTCTTCCTAACCTAACGGCTATTTGGCAAGACCGAATTTTTCGATAAACGGGGCAGCGCTTCGAGCGCTTGGAATAGGCAATGGAAAGGTAGCAGTCGAAAGGCAGAGGCTTGGGAGTGTTTGGATAAGGAGTTTGTATTGCAGTATACCCGTTGGCAATTGTTTTGCATATGGAATTTCTTTGCTAGTCTATCACCAATCATCAATACAGCATGTCGCGTTTTCTAGAGCAATTAAACTTGTCAAATCTAATTGCCGTCTCCATCTACCAATTTCAAAATCCTGTACTCCATACCCACCCGATCGGTCCGCCCTCAATCCCATCACACACACTAGACCAGGCCTACACAACATCCACATGTTCCCCACGTGGTGATACCTCAACACGCTCGACACGCTCGTCTCAGACACAAACAAAGTACGAAAACTCCCATCCAAACTCCATGACGTACAAATGTACCACGCCTCTATCCAAGGTAGTATCACAAGCTGTGCCGCTCAACACTTCCAAAAACAGTATTTAACGATGTGTGGCTTCGCATGCCGATCTTAGTTTCTGACTTTTGTTTTTCCCTTGCAAGACCCACCAGATTGTGACTTCTAATAATACCTATCTTGGGGGTTTGCTAGTAAGTACATGGTACGGTTGATTGTTTTGGTCGATGGGGTTGGGTAGGCTAAAGATATGATTCATGGAAGTGAGAACTGTTCTGGACAGGATTTGGGTACGAATAGAAAAGCAAGAATGAACGCGCTAAGAGCACGCGTTATACGCGCGACAATGTTGCTAGTAATTTGATTTGTAGGTTTGAATTCTCGATATCTCACATTAGAGGCTCTACTGAATTTTGTAATGATGGTCTGTGTTTTCGATTCAGAATTTCTAATACTTGATTAAACTAATTTTTCATCCGTCATGTTGTAGAGCTTCGAACTTTCGCAAGCAGCTGCCCGTATACAGACTCTCAATTTCCCACCCGACGAATCGACAGGTTTAGTTGATGTGAGGGCCTTCTTTCGTCTTCATGTCACGTGCACAGACAACTACTCGAGCGAGGAATCAACAAGTCGCCATTCTCCGTGCGATAAATCTCTGAAAATGGTTAGGCCTGAGGTGATTAAACTAGCCAATACAGTCTTCATTGCAGTGTGTGAACTTTTGGCCGTTCAATACGACCTTGACGACCATTAGGGTTAAGTATTGCAGAGGAGCTCGACAGCTGAAGCAGAGACGGAAAGCCTCAAATCAAATCGTACCAATCAAATAAATAATCAATACACCAAGCTCTCCCACTATGGCTTTCTCGCAGCCTCGTAATCAAATCGTGCTAACCACGCAAATAATCAATACGCCAATCTCTCCCACCATGTCGCTCTCACAGCCTCGCAATGTTCGCAAAACGATTCTGAACGATAAACTCGCGCTCGATGAGTCTCAATCTCTAAGCGTGATCAAAGCGACAGGCAAACATGAGTTTTCTCGCCTCGATCGCAGCAGGAATCGCGGGAAAGGTAGCTCGAGAATACGTCGACGGGCTAGTGGGAGGAACGGCAGAAGCTCTCGTCGAAAAAGCGAAGACTGAGATATTTGGCCGGCCGTCCACCAGCAGGAGCACGACGGGTGTCAAAACCATCAAAGATTACGGAAAGGTTCATGGCCGGACGTTCGTTGAAGGGGAGGGAAGTAGCGCTCGTAGCACTACGCCTGCGTATCGGCCGCGGCTGAGATCAGGGTCAAGTAGTAAGAACACGGAGGAATGCGAGCCTGAAGTTGTGAAAAGTCTCGCGGATGTATATCAAGAGCTTCGAATTGAAAACCCGGAAGATCAGATACGTGTAGTCACTTTGACACCGGGAAGTCTGGACGATCCGCTAGACTTCCAGATGAAGTTGGTCAACTACTGGGAGAAAGATTACATAGCTCTATCCTATCGCTGGTCCACCGACTCTCGCGAGATCATCATCGATGGCAAAACGGTCAAAAAGCTCGAGTACAAAGAAATGGTTATCAACGGCGTAACTGTCAAAAGCGTCTTCACGAACTTACATTCCGCGCTCCGATATATCCGCGCTCGTCTCACTCGCCCACGAAATATCTGGTTCGATGCGATATGTATCGACCAAACGAGTCCTCTGAAAATCGGCTCCGAGAAGTATCAACAGCTGTTGCTCATGGGCGAGATATATGCTTGCGCAGAGGAGACGGTGATATGGCTAGGCCCACCGAGTCCGCAGAGCGACAATGCACTTTCGCACTTTTCGTCGCTGGATAGGGTCGATTTGAAGAGTCTTATCGATCGGTACGAGCGAGACGAGAGATTCTGGCTCGACTTTGGAGATGGAGTGATGAATCGAGATTGGTTCGGACGGGCGTGGATGGTTCAGGAACTTGCGTGCTCGAATGAGGTGGTGTTCATGTGTGGGTATCAGCAAATGGATCTCCAGCGGTTCTACGATCTCGTGGAATTTACTTACTCAAGCGGGCGACCGTTCACAAGGCAAGAATCTCCTTATAGTGAAGAGTTCACTTTCCGCTGGCGATCGTTCTTGGAAATGTACGTCGCGCGCCGGATGTGGAAGACCGGAGGCGCGCTTACAAGTATGGCTTCATGGCTGCAAAAGTTCCACGCCTGGGGATGTCAAGATAAGGAAGACCGGATTCTGGCGTTCATCGGGCTGTATCATGATTACCAAGGCGAGCTATTCGGCGTGGAGTGGAAGGAAATGTATACCAGAGTCACAACGGCCGTCTTAGAAGCAGAAGGATACACGGACTTCCTCGCTCTTGGTCGAGGACCCTATCGAGATCCGACGCTTCCAAGCTGGGTCCCTGATCTGAGTGTGCCCTATACATCAGAAGCTCAGGACCCGCCGCTTTGGTGTGGATGGGGAACCGTGAAGCACGGTAGGAAATTCAATAGTAGTGCCGACACGAAGTTCGATGGTTCTATTGATATCAACACAAATTTGCTTACCGTCCGCGCGAGACTCGTCGGAGGAATCACATCGATGAGTCGGCCACACGATACTGGTTACGCATGCATTCGCGAATCCAGGAACCTCGCGCTTCGGGAAAACGTACATGCAGGGTATTATCGCTCTGGCAGTACCGAGACCTGCGTAGATGCTCTTGGTAGCACGCTGGTCTGGGATCTCGATTATATGGGTTACCGCTGCGCGGCACATCGAGGTTTCTTCATGGATGAAGACGATATTCCAGCTGGGTTTCTTGAGAATTATACGGGGGATGCTACGGGACGGGAAGCTGCGTGGGAGGCACAGGTTCAGGAGTCGAGACTGAAATATAGACTTGGGAGAAGGTTTGGGACGGTGCAATGTCTTGAGCTTTCCCACGTCATGTATGCGATGCTTCCGCCCGAGACCAAAACCGGGGATGTGGTATTTGTGTTGACGGGTGCGACTATTCCAATGGTGTTCCGACGGAGCGGGAAGGATTTTACATTAATTGGTGGCTGGTAAGTTGACTCTGCCTTTGATAAGGAGGGTTGGTTACTGACCGAGTTTAGTTATGTTCACGAGGTCATGGACGGCGCGGTGTTTGAAGGGAGTACGAGTGTTTGGAAAGAGAGTGAAATATCTGTCAGATGAGACAAAAACCCTTTCAGCAATTCGTATACAAAATGCTTCGTTTCATCTAAACCGACGCGAAGTGATATTATATGCACAGATGCTCACAGTATATGAACCACGCCCTGCTTCAAGCCCTTCGAATCGTTCGTCAGCGACCAGTCCCTCGCAAGTAGTGCTCTCACACAACAAGAAACACATTCTCCTGTTCTCAACAGATAAGTAGTCTTACGTTTCCCAGATTCTTGAGAATTATAAAGCGCAGCTAAGGCAGCGCATCGTGCAAAGTCGTCTCGAAACTCCCACACGCAGCAAGCAACACCATTTTGGTAATGAAGGTTGTCATGAAATTCTCTATCCAGGTCCCACCCTCTTCTAACAAAAGTGCAGGGCCATGGCAGCGACGAACAAAAAGGTTTGTCACATGATGTACGTCCAGTCGATCGGAGAATATGTCGTGTTGAGAATCCGGGTTGGATATAGATTGTGCCATCTGGAATAGACGCCTTATAATAGAAGGTTACTTCCCGTTCTGTGGAGCGTTCTGCAATCAATGGAGTGACGGAAACCTCGTCAGTTCGTAATAAGTCTTCGGGGATTGTGTCGACCGCTCCTTCAAAAACAGCTTTCGGGAGTGTGGGGCGGAGGCTTTCGTGGTAGAGACTATCAACAACAGCATCATAGCTTCGATCTTGCCATTCTATATGACCTGGAATGATGTGTATTTTCTGAGCGAGCTCCGCACTAGAGCTCAGAAAACGCAGACTATCTTGGTAGAAACATAAGCCTACAGAACAAAGTCCTGTATAGCAATCGTTGCCATTTATTGTACTGCGTCGCGGCCAGATCCCAGCAAACACGAGGAAGGCGGATGCTAATGAACCATGTACAGGTTCTTGGAAATCGTCCTCTTTCCTGTAATTTAACTCATTGCTGCTCAAAACCCGGAGCTTGTCAAGACAGTATTCCCAGGTCTGATGACCTTTGGGAGGCTGAGATCTACCAAAGTTTGCCCACATACTAATGCAGCTTTGGTAGACTTCTTCAAGACCGGAAAGTGTTGGGTCCAGGCCTTCAGGGTAATCGACGTTGGCAACGATTAAGACTAAATGATAGAGTGTAAATGCAACAACAACTAAACAGCGGCTGTGCCATTTCAACATATGTGGGTGACAAACTAGACATGAACAGAGCGATTGCAAAGATCGCAGGTGAAATTCGATATCTCGGCGTGCAATATCAAGTGTGACCCCAATAGCTAAGTCCAGACTTTCAAGGAAACCTGTCGCAGATTTGAGCTCTGGTAAGATAGAAACAATGCTGGATGAAAAGCCTCGTCCGTATGTAGCTTCCGAGAGGTACTTGTAATTTGATTCTGACTCTGATTTCTTTGCTTCGGATTCAAGTTCCATTTCTCCCTTGGCAACGGCTTCATATATACGAGCAATACTTCCGAGGAAGCCGCCAAACATTTTTGCATGCTTAATGAGCCTATCGTTGAAGTCTGCTACCCCAAAAAGACGCGACAAACACTCGTCCCAAGGCGCTCTTAGCGAAAGTTTGAGAAGACTCTCGTCCGGAGTTTGGATAAGCAAGGCCGTGTGGGAGCGCAAAACATATGTTGTGTTGGTTATCATCATTGAACTGTGATGAAAGTCGACATCTGCTGAATACCGCAACGTTACTTGCGCAGTCTCATGCTCAGGCGTGTTCGTGTATATCAAACGTCCGGTCTCGTGCTCAACCCGGATTGTAAAGTTGAACAACCACTGAGCCAACCCAGCTATGAATGCACACTCGCTGTATCCGAATATAGTGATATTATCTACTTCGCCACGAGATATCTTAAACATCCCACTAAGCACTCGAGCTATATCTGTTGCTGGAGACACCATGATAGCGGACTTTTGATGATCGTCCCACGCTTGAAGATGCATCCCAGAAACTGTATTGGAGAAAGAAGTCCGAGTAAGAACGCCAGCACAAGCCCGCGCGAGAGCCATGAATTGGGAATGAGGCGGTTTGTAGTCGTCTGGAAAGCCTTCAACAGACCAAAGCTCTCGCAATACCCAAGCAGTAACCGTCTCGCTATGCATTTCTCCCAGACACGAGCAAAGAGCAATTAGGTCAGAACCATTGGGATCCTCGGCCAGCAGCTTGACGAAGCTTCTATGCCCAAAGCCAAAGTAAAGTATTTTGTCGAAACCAGGGACCCCTGATAGATTTTGGATTGCATCCTCTACTCGTTTCTCTCCAAGACTTCCAACTTTGAACCTGCTAGCTAATGCAATCCCTGCCGCATAGGTAGCTGGTTGTACACCAGCTGATGAGAAGCGCTGGAGCGTAGATGCCGTCAAGGAATAGACTGTGCCTCCGAATGCCACCCAGTCTACCTGGCCTTGCTGTGGAAACGTCGAAGTGGTTGAAACCTGAAATGATGACGGATCATGAGACATAGTGCTCAATCGCTGCGTTGAATGATTGAATTGAAGTCTTCCAGCAGAACTTGTCCCTGCAAAGATGTATATTGTACCAAGTCCTCGAAAAGCTGGCAGCCTTCTCCTTTCGTTGTGTTGTCACATGGTGGCTGCATCTGCAAGCCACTATCGACATCTCGACCATTTATAGCCGCATACCACTTCCCATCATTCGGCATCAGAGATTCTTGCCAACAAGACTGAAGGATACCGAACCTTGTTATCGGTAACTATTTCCAGAATGACTATGCATGTTACTATACATACGTTCTGAAAGGCATGTATTGTAAAATGGTGAAATTATGACCTCAGGGGCGAGAGGAGACAATGTCTCAGATAGATCGAAGGGGACTGAATATACAGAAACACGCTGGGCGATATTCTGAAGCAGAGCTTTAATACCTCTAGTCTCGGGGAACGCACTGGTGTACGGAGTCGGAATATTTGAGGATATTATCAAGGGGTTTAAAAGCGTATCCGTTCAGGTTCTACTGTAGCCTTATTACTCGACAACCAATACCTGTAAATGACGTCGAGCCTTGAAGAAGCCCTCGGTCTGCATCCCGATGCTCATATCGAGCTACTGAGACATTGAATTGTGGAAATGAAATAGATCGATCAATGAGATCATTCTCGCTCTTCTTCGGTTAGAATCAACGAGTCAATAATTTCCGTCAACTGAACAGCAATCTTTCGGCCTCCCTCTGCACTCGGCTCAACTCGATCCGTATAATCCTTCTCATTCTTCCCATCCAGAACGTCGAAAAGTGGGCAAGGCACCACGGTTACTTCTGGAATATGAATGTTGGTCGTCGCCAACTCGAACATCTTTCTAATAGCGGTCTGCAACTGTGCAGGAAAACTGTTGTAACCTAACAACTTCAACTGAACATCCGCCCAACTTTTCTGGGGCCCAGCTTCCAGAGGAAAGTAAATCATGCAAACTATCACCGCTCGGGGTTTGCGCTTTTCTATCACACGTGAAATGTATGCTTGAACCTGATCTCTAAACATTTTGATAAAATAATTGAGAGACCATGCTGTTCCTTTCTCGATAGATGACCGTGGAGTAAGCCATGCAAGATGTAACATATGGCAAATCGTCGCAAACGTCGGTTTCAACGCAATATCATTCGCACCGATTGACACAATGAGAATGTCTTCGGAGCGAATGTTGTCTCTGATGAATTTATCGTGCTCCAATATGGTATTTTCTCGTTCCTTTAAAGTAGATGCTTCAACTGCTAGATTGAGTGCTGTCGCGCGGTTGCCGAGGAAATGATTCAACCAGAAGGCGATATCAGGCTTCGGAAAGGGTTCATCAATAGCTGCCTGATATATCTCGGGCACGTCGACAGCTAGCGGCTTGCCGAACGACCGACTTGACGGAATCCAATATTTATTGTCGAAAGAAGAGTCACCGGCTAGGTATAGGATGGGTTTATTCGGCCTCAAAGCGAGAATGGTAGATTGGAAAGCGGTAACGTCTGGAATAGGGTGGCCTCTCCACTCCGAGTAGAATCGTGAGGTTTTAATTTTGGGTTTCATTGTGATTTTGATGGAAGATGATTACCAGGAGGTATTGTCAATAATACAGGGTTACCCTCTGGATCATGTGACTGCTAGATGGTAGACGGTAAGAAACCTCATTTCCACCTGCCCATGTGCTTCCCAGTTACTTTCCTGTTTATTATACGCATTATATATTCTACATTCGAAGAAGCCTACAACTCAATGTACATATAGGCTGGTATCAAAGTACTCGGAATCTGTTACGCTATTAGTCGATAAATCAAGACAAGTAAGCCGTCAATGGTTTTGTAATCACTACGTACGCTTTCCTCGACAACAAGATCCCCGCATGATTCCCAGCATCGATGGAGCAGAGAACGGACAGAGCTGTGAGAAAGTCGGTATAAATATGATTGGGGTCACTCACATGGTTGCAAAGCTGACGATTAGGTCAATGTAAGCTAAAAATATGATTCTTGGAACTGAGTTTTGTTCTGCTCAAACCGAAGCGAACCAACAATAAAGCGCTAGAAATTACCTTATACGCGTGACATTGTTGATGGTATACACATTGATACTCATACCTATTCGTACATCCTCGCATCAGCAGAGGCGCAGATATAATACGCTATTGTACATCTAGATCGACGGCCGGTGTCTCCTTCTTATGTTTATGCTTGATATACTTCACCCCATCCATATAAGGCCATAAACACTCGGGGATAGCCACTTCGCCCGTCACCTCATCCCAATTGTTCTCCAAAATAGCGGCAATTATCCTCGGTACAGCCAAAGCAGTTCCATTAACTGTGTATGGAAATGAGAACTTGCCGGCGTCACTCTTGATTGCAACCTTCGTAGCAAGTCTCCTAGTTTGGTAGTCTGTACAAGTGCTTACACTAGTGACTTCTCCATAACCATCATCCTTCTTTCGTCTGGACGGGAAAAACGCTTCGATATCTCGTTTGCGGGTCGCAGAGGCTCCTAGATCCGTACTAGGCATCTCAAGTATCCTACAATGAAGTCCAAGCGAAGTCAAGATTTGAGTTTGGATTCTGCACATCTCCTCAAAGACGGCAGTTGACGCTTCATCAGATGGTACTGTCCAAGCAAACATCTCTACCTTGGTAAACTCGTGGACTCGATATAAGCCTTTCGTGTCAAGACCTCTCGCGCCAGCTTCAGCCCGATAACATCGAGAAACCCCAACTCTTTTCAGAGGTAGGTCTGCTTCCTTCATCGTTGTATTTGCTTTCATCGCCGCAAGAGGAATCTCTGCTGTGGCTGCAAGGCTAAGCTCCGGTTTTACACCAGCGTCTTTGGCATTCTGTTGGATACTGTAGACTTGCTGCTCTCCATGCTGATCTCGAGGTTGGAACCCACACGCCGCAGCAATATGGCTGTAAACTAGACTTGGAGGAGACACGGTAACCCAGCCTTCTTTTCTCGCAATGGAGAGCGCATATTGAACCAACGCTTGCTCCAGCTGCGCTGCTTCATTGATTAGATAGTACCATCCCCAGCCCGTAGTCGTCGAGGCACTGGCGAAATCAAGAAGCTCGAGTTCTTGACCTATTTCAACATGAGACCGTCGCGCTCCACCCAAGGCTGTACTATCCGTGTCCGGGGGATCATTGATAAATCCAATTAAATTAGGCTTGGTACCACGAGGCGTTTCAGCGCTCGTCAGATTGGGAATCGCAGCAGCAAGAGATTCGATTTGGGAGAGAAGAGGAGCTTGTTTCTTTTCAATACTAGAAAGCGTATTTTTCAACTCCCTAGCCTCTGCCATCAGGTCCGCGTGGGACATCTGATTTAAAGATGATATCTCTGCTGAGTTCCCATAACGGAGAACGTTCTTCTGCGGATGCTTGATCTGCCCTTGTATTTTGTTGTTTCTCTCGCGCGGATTCTGTGCTTCGTCTTGATATTGCTGCCATTTCTCATGTAATTCGTTGATTCGCGCTGGGTATATGGCTTGTTGTCGGTAGTTTCGTTCGATGCAGTTTTGTTTATGTAGAGCTTCATTGGAACGGATGTGCTTAATGTCAATTGAGGACTTAGGAGCTATCGAGTTTGACGACAGGAGGCTGGACGAGACGTGATACAAGTGTTTCGACGACCGGTGATGCAGCTCTATTCGACATTGAAAACATGTAAACGTTCGTGCCGATTTTGACATTGCGCCCAAGGTCGTTGATTTACGGTTGTCGGAGCTCGATGCTCGGGTTTAGAAATTTGGAGCTCTGACCACCTCCCCATGCCTGTATCAAAAAGTTCGGCACGTGGAGTGCCAGGTGGTATGTGAGATTAAGGATCAGAGAGTACAGACAATAAAACGAATTTACAGAGGTCATCTAGGGTATCTTAATTATCGTTCAATAGCAAACTTGCAATGCCACGCTGTCTCGGCGGTCCAGGACCCGTCCGCAGAAACCCTTCGACTCCATAGCCATTATTATTAGTGTTACGCCCATAATCCAAGTGTCCAACTCGACCTATCACCTCCGCCACCTGCAGTCTTAAATGCTCCAGGGCCCATACTCTGCCTCGAGCTGACAGATATTTCACCACCCCTCGAGGCGCCCAGAGACCCATGTTGAAGCCATTGGTCTTTGTCAATCACCGACACAGCAGGGACTTTTAAGTGTGATAACAGACTACCTCCTGACCAAGCGCCCAGAGAATCTATAGCCCGCAGGCTCCCTTCCTCCATAGGCGGATTGCGCTTTCTTGATTCTCTCCGCAATGCTTCTTCGATAGGATCCTCATCATGTGGTTGTAAATATGCAGGCACTTCTTGACCAGCAGTGACTGGAATAGGGCCATCGTCGAAATTTCGACTTCGAGCTTTGTTAAGCTTCGGGTTATTTCGATAAGCTTCAACAGCTTTACCCTGAACGTTATTCCAACCTCTCTGCTGAACAAGAGTAGAGAGCTCATTGAGGACACGACTTTTCAATCCCGGAAGCTTAGAACCTCCTCCAACGAGGATGATGCGTGCCATACAAATAGATCTCACATCTGTGGGAAGCTTGAGGAGACTTCGATATATCAGCAGGTGCAAAGGCATCTCCTCGTCATCTAATTCTGATTCTGGCACACCCTTAGCGAAAAGGGCATCCTCACAAGGATCAGAAAGATTCGAAAATGCCACCTCTAAGGTTCTTGGTGGACTACAAGACTTGAGTGGAATTGAAACTTGCGGCTCGGTTTCGGTTCCTCCCCAGATTTTGAGTGACCTCATGCTCGATCTAAACTCATCCTCCTCTTTAACAGAAGCTAGTCCGTCGGTGTGTTCTTCTGGTGGTGACTTGTTTTGACCAGGCCCACACCAAGCCATTCGTGTAACTACTTCCTCACATTCCTCGAAACTTAGAAGTTCTCGAGCTGCTGCCCTCGCATCTGGGTTTTTCATCTGGGATAGCTCTGGGTTTATGAGTCGGCTCAACATCATCAAAATCTCTTCCCCAAGAAGTTTTGTGGCTCGCGTCGACCGCAAGGTCTGAACCTCTCGATACTCGTAAACACTCGTCACAACAGTCTCACGCCATCCTACGTCAACGACAAGACCGGATCTTAAGCCAGCCGCCGCGGTCGAAAGCGCTGGGGAGGATAATAGAGATATGGTAGGAGCTTGGAAATTCGTAAATAATGTATCCAGGATAGTAGACAGTAGAGGAAGTGGTAACGCAGATGGCAAAATTAAAGTCATTCGCCGCGGTCGTGAGTCAATGAGAAGATATCTACACAACGCATCAGTATTCAGACTCAGCATATAT